AAAAAAAAAAAAAAAAAAAAAAAAAAAAAAAAAAAAAAAAAAAAAAAAAAAAAAAAAATAGGAAAGGAAGGGATTGAGGACCAGGGCTGGGTTTGAACCAACATAAGATTCCTGAGCTTTAACCAATTAAGCTACCTGGCCATCTACTGGGCGCATCCCTTGCCGGGCTCGCTCGTTTGCTGTTGTCAAGCTTCAGACCTGTCTTGCCCTAAGTACCTGGACAAAACTCTTGAATGTTTGTTTGAAATACTGCCTGGTCCCGGGCCGCACAAATCGGCCCAGGCTTGGGGGGATATGTGCATGCGGGTTGCCGACGCTTAGGTACCTGGGGCCTTTGTGTTAAGGGGGATGTTGCCGCGCTGCAGGCCCTCGAAACTCCGTCATTGCGAAAGTCATGAGGCTGGGCAAGACCTGAAGCTTGTGTGAGGATCGCTACAACCGACTCGAAGACAAGGAGTTCTAAGTATCGAGACCGGGAGTAGGTCGTAGTTATCCATAAATGATCTCATGATCCACTCTACAGCACAAATACTGGCTCAAGGCGGGGGTTCAGAGGTGCTGGATCAAACAGAGCTAATTCATTCCGAATCAGACCTTAGAGAATTCTCCCATCTTGTGGCTTATGATTATGGTTCAAGCTATGTTGTACATATGGTACCATACAACCGACATCCTGGGCGGACCCTGCGTGGTACTTCTATAGTTACAGCCATAAATATACATGTAGAGGCGAGGCTTAGTCCCTCAGCGCTTCTATGTCAACCACCTCCTTGACAGCTTCAGTTGTCAGATTCAAAGGGCTATCCTCGCCGACGGCCACGCTGTCCTCGATCCTGATGCCCAGGCCACGGAAAGCCTTGGGCCATCTTTCATCGTCTGGCACGTAGATGCCTGGCTCTACCGTTACGCAATGGCCCTCGCTGAGCGTAGTGCCGCGAGAGAAACCCGGCACATCGTGGACATCTAGTCCGATGTAATGGCCGACATGGTGTGGGAACAGCGTGCTCATAGCATTACCGCCCACGTCAAAGCCAAGCTGCTGGAGTTGATCCCGCAGGGCAGTCTCGGTGATGCTGTGGAGTTTGTCGAGCGTGACGCCGGCGCTTTCCCGGCACAGGCTGACGCTGGCGCGCTGAGCCGAAAGGACAGCCTCGTAGAGGTCCCGTTGCGGCGGGGTGAACTTGCCCGAGACGGGCCACGTCCGTGTGATGTCGGTGATGTACGTCCCGTACTCACCGCCGGCATCGACCAGAACGAACTCGTCGTCGTTCAGTGATCCGTTGTTCAGAACATAGTGGATCAGCAGGGCCTTGGGTCCTCCAGCCACGACCGGTATGTAGGCCGAGCCGTCGAGCCCGGCCTTTTGGTATTCGTAGTCGAGGAAGGCGGCAATGTCCTTCTCGTATTTCCAATCCCGCCGCATGGCATTCGTAATGGCACGCCCCGAGGCCTGGCCGGCTCGGCGCATGCATGCTATCTCGGCAGGAGACTTGACCGCCCGCAGCGAGTTGATGGCTGGCTTCAGGGGTGCCGTGCTGATGCCCGACGCTGCTGCCCGCAGCGTGTTCCCTAGCCTCGTCGGGACCCCATACTTGGTCAACTCGGCATCTGTATATATTTTCGTGACCCCCTTCAGGGCAGCAGTAAGCCCCTGATCCAGCCTGCCGATATCGCCAGCCTCATCGACGTTCCACACGTCGCGCGCGGCGTCCAAGCCGCTCCACGGCCCGTTCCATTGCTCCTGCTTGGGGTCCTTCGGGCGACACCACAGGTGGAAGATGTAGTCGCCGTCCTGCGGGCTGGTCTTGACAATGAGCGCGAGCGACTCGGGTTCGCTAAATCCGGTAAGATAGAGGAAGTTGCTCTCCTGGCGGAAGGCGTGGAAGACGGCGCCGGAGCGGTACTGGGTCTGGGCGGACGGGAGCAAGACGGCGGAGCCCTCGGGCAATGCGGCCACCAGGCGCGCCCTCCGTTCGTGGTACTCCTGGGCCGATATGCCCGGGGTCAATTCGCCGGGCGCGAGCAGATGGGGGTGGGTTTCGTGGACGGGCTGGCCGAAGAGGAAGCTGGAGGCCGGTACTGTCGTCGCTGCCGTCGCGTAGGCGCGCCTAGCCCGAGGCGAGGAGGGCGTCGGCGCCGGCGCTGTTGGCGCAAGACATCGGCATAATAGAGTTGTGGTTGCGGGCGCCCGGGGTCTGGCCGCCGTTGAGAAGCTTGAGGCTTGACGATTAGCCTGTCGTTGAAGCTGGCGCAAGGGTGTTGAGACCTTGCGGAGCTTCATTTCGAGTGAGGAGAGGAAAACAGACTTCTGGTGTCTGCTCACGCGGCAGCTTTCCGGAAGGAAGAAAGGGCCCCGAAAGGAGGGGTGCGTCTCCAGAGACTCAGATAGCGAGAAAAATCTATCGTGAGACGGATAGCACAAGCTTGCGTTGTAGCTCCTCCTTTCTGTCACGCAAACAGAGAGACAGACATATGCACACGCATGCACACACACTCTCTACCAACTTACAGTAGAAGCTCCAGATTTGAAAATGACGACGATGCGGGTCTGAGAGGTGTCGTGTCTACGCCAGTGCCCATGGCACCTTTTCTCGGCTAGCTAAGGCTTAGCGCAAACGCCGCCCTGCTTAGCTGGCTCGGTCCAGTTGATAACCAGGTACCAGTTAGCAGCCGACGAGAATCAGCAAATTGTATATACTTAAGTAGCCATGCGAACAAGACAGGTTTCAAGCAGTCATCGTGTTTTTGTTTACTCTGCGCAACAACAGCCTCAATGCAACTTTTGGCTGCGTTCTCTAAGTAACGGAGAGTCTACAGATATAAACAACACGTAAGCTGTGTTTGGGGGTTGGTCGATTGGAAAGGAGAATTATAAGGAAAGAAAAGCTGCGAATTGGAAGGCAAAAAGACTTCAACATGCTTGTCAATATTGCTTTTGAATAGAGCTGTATCTGGTGGCCGATTCGTGGGTTGAATGAACAGTTGACGCCTCCCGGCTCGAATGGAATCATGATTAGAGGGCATGGGACCATGTGCGGCGCCATTTAACAACTTGATCATGATCCAACGACTCGAAGCTGACATACATTGGCAGGATGATGGGTACGAATGTGTGTGCAATTATGAGATCCCTGCAATACTATCAGCCCCTGCAAGTATGTAAGAACGTATCGGTGTTGAGCAGTGCACGGGCCATATCTATACCATGAATATCCGTTCGACCCGCCTTGCACACCTCTCTGCTCTGTGTCGATCACAAGGGTATGAATTCGACATGTATATGACCATCATCGGTTACAAATATGCGGTCACCTAAAAGTATACCTGTCCCAGGTACGCGGAACCGACGAATCTCTCCGCATTTTTGATATACTCCACCTACCTTCTGCGCTGTCCCAGTGCATCCGCATACCCGCATCTCTGAATGCGGAAGTCGAGGAACGGAGCCATTGCCTACCTATAAGGGCCAGACAGGATCACATGAAGAGCAGTCGAAGAATAGCGTGAGCCGTGGCCTTCGATGTGATGTGAAATGCAATACTTTGAGCTAGATACCCATGTGCTTTGCTGCCTAGGCAGGAACCCGATGAGCTTAGCTATCTAGCCAATATCGTCTGGGTAAAGCTTGCTTGTACTCCCATCATTCCTTCGTTCGTCGGCGGTGCTTACATGACATATCCTCATCAACACCTCTTTCTCCAAGACGCCACATTGTCAGCCTGAAGAGGTCGAATGACTCAGCGGCATGCTAGAGTCGGGTGAACTGCTTATTATCCAGCCCACCCCCGTAGCCTTGGCATTTATTCCCCCCTGCTTTGCACTTTCTACCGCTACGCTATGGCGGACGCAACATTCACACCATACTGGAAGCCTCTCAGCGAAGGCTCTGGCCCCAACTCCTGGGTCTTTTACGCTGTGGCCAAGATCGCAGGCCGGCACCGCCCCGTGGCTGTTGTCTCCAGCGTAGGCACCTTCGAGGAGGAGTCACTGCATGGGCCACCCTTGGTGGCCTGCTGCCGACGCATCGTCACGATCTTCTCCGACCCGGCCAGTCACACGGCTATCCGCGGCGAGCTAGGCCTCGCCTCCCTTTACTACGCCGAGAATGGCGACGTTCTGGACAGGCACCGCCCAGAGCCGGTGGAGTTGCCGGAGCTCACGCGGAAGAACCCCGGCGATCCCCGCCGCTGGCGGCCGTGGGACCGCGCCGGCATGCAGCCGTTTCCATTCATCTCGGCTGCCCTCCTGCAGGGCGTGGCTCTGGATCCCGCGCGCGGGCGCAGTGCCCCGAACCGTCCGGAGCCACTGGGTACCGTGTACCGCGACACCGACATCGAGTGGGGAATGGTGGTCTTTGACATCACGGACCTGAACGCTGTGCGGTATGGTATAGTCGGGTTTACCGTCGGCATGGCAAAATTTGTCAGGTCTGTGGAGGAGGGAAGACCACGGTTTCAGGGTGCTAGCTTTCAACCTGAGGAGGGGCCGCTTAGAGTCCTAGAGGAGGTGCGGCCGCGAAAAGCCATGTCAGCGGGTGATTATATGGCAAAGTTCAAGTATACGGGCTTGGTCTATGAAACCTCAAATTACGACTATGATATGGAACGTTTGGCGTCGCTACCGTTGGTAGATGATACCGCCTTCAGCCTAGTATGGCCATCGGGCGGAAAAGATGATGATAATAACCTCTTATTGTTAGCCAACTTGTCCGTAAGTACTCAGGGCCCGGAGGGCTTGACACAGAAGACCTTGAAACAGATCATCGGGAAGACCATCCGAGAAAGCAGTCACCTAGATGATCTCGATGTTTCTGTTTTCGACGAGGTGCACAGCTTTGGTGGCTTCAAAGATACACTTCGGCAGTACATGCTACAAAACTCCGAGAAGGTTGGAAACACACTCTCGGCAGGCCGGCTTATTCGGCTGGCCTTTGTTGAAAATGGCCATCTCGGCTTGGAACAGTTGAAGACTCTTTCTGCCCAGTCTGTCTCGGCGGCTCTGGGCGACAGGCTTGAGGCGGATAATACAATCAAGTCCATTAGTTTGTGTATCGAAAGTGTCCGGAGCACACCTGCTCAGCTTGCCGAAGCACTCTCGCGGTCGAGCGGTTTAAGGGAAATCTGCCTACTGCAGAGTCCTATCCGTGAAAGCGATACACTAAGTGCTCAGCTTCTCGCGGAGCTCGCTAGCCGGCCTCAGATTCTGTCGTGTACTAGAGTAATATTCACGGGAGCGTATTCGGCGGCTCTCCGCAAGAAGTTCTGGTTACCAACAAGTATAAACTTCACCACACTGGATATTTTCCCCGTCCAACAGATATTTGTCCGATACCAACGGAGATCGGGGCGTAGCTTCCGGTTCCACTACGACACTATCCATCTTAGTGACGGACTCCTCAGACCGGAGCGCTTCGCCGCCGGCTTCTGTCTCTGGATTTCTATGCTGGAATGGAAGGATGAGTGGATGTTCGAAGACGCCGCCCCATTCTTCAGCTTCTCCAGCGGGCCGGCATCCCTATCCGACAACCCGCTCTCGGCGGCCGAGGTGAGTCCTATTCTCTGTGAGAATTTGTCCCTGCCGCATTTGATGCCGGATCATACCTTCTGCGCGCCTCGGGCCCGGGATTTGGTCCCCGGTGGCTGGACAGTCCTCGTGTCACAGGAGCAAAACGTAGCGACACAGACCGACGGCCAAACCCACATTCGCTATGCTTTCATCCGCGTACGCGGTCCTTCCGTCGTCATCGAGGATCCGCCGTCCTCTCCACCGGGGCCCGAAAACTTAGAGGTTGTCGGGCTCAAGGGGTTCCTGTCTGCCACGGCATCTGAGGTAGACCCTGCCATTATAGACCAGCGCCTAGAGGATACGCGTAAGAGGATCAAGGCGGAGGCTGCTTATCGCGGGTCCCCGTGGCCTGCCCAGGTGGAACCTCTTTCGGTGCTGACCCAAGGGGAGGCGGCCGCTATGCTTTTGGAATTCCTAGGCGATGCCAGGAAGCGGAACGAAAAGTTCCGTAAAGCCATGGAAGGAGATCCAGAAAGTGAGCCTGGAGTGTTCCCGCTTAGCTGATCTGTTGATCTGCTGTCGCTGACATTAAGACTAGATTGGAGCTGGTATCCCGAATTATCACCCGTAAGCTCTCTTTGAACATGCACATGCGTATTTTATATGTGTGTCGATTGGGCCAGATGGGAATACCCAAGCAGGACAAAACGGCGAGAAATCCAACAATATTCGATAGGATGCACCTCGAGCTAATAAGTGGAGGGCGCAGTAAATCATGACGTTAGCAACCGAAGGCTTGCTGGGCCAATAGGGGTAATTATCTGGGTTGCCGACACTTCCATCACGAAGAAGCAGACGTGCTCCGCCTCGTATATGCGTGACACTTGTGCTTGGCAAGGACACTAGCTACCTTTCCAAAGCTAAATCAAAACCTTTCAAACTTAAGGGTCGTCAGTGATACCAGTATGAAAGGCTGAAGTCCATGACTCCCGCATACGTCTCCTCGAACTGTATCCTCCCGAGGCTTTATGATACTCAGCTAGGGTTATATTAAGATGCAGGAAAATCCCCGAGAATATGACGTGTGATCGCCCCGGCTTTTGTGAAGAGCGAAGTGTTGAATTCGCTTGCGCACACTTCTCTATGTAGGTAGCCCCAGCACAGTAGATATACTAGACATAACTATGAAACATTATCAAATGCGTACGTACCAGAAGCTCCTCAACTTACTGGTGGCGTTCGAACTCAAGGCTACGACGAGAAATATGCTGTGAGCATCCTTATGTGATTTATGATGCGCCTGTTCCCGGGTTAGACGTGGCCATTCCGAGACTATCAACTCAATGCCTCTGAACAGTCAAAATCTACACGCTGAAATTGGCTACCCGAGCAATCGCCAGCCTCAAAACATACATCAACCTTCATGCTCCGTCCTTTAGTCGACGACTCCTCGTCCTGATGGCGTTTCTGCCCCGGTTTGCCCAATGCCCGAGTCTTCTACCTGGACGTTGGTGACAGAAGCTACACTGAGAAGAGAATGGAAGTTGTTCAGTCACTGCATCGCAGAGATCTCATGGTAGGGGAGGTGACGGATGGCTCAGAGAGTGACTTGCCGAGTTAACATTCTACAACCCTCTTCGCCGCCCTTCGATCCAGGAACGCTTGCAGGACGGCGTTTCTACTGGATTTGGGGACATGTCCGCAAATAGAGGGCCTTCCTCTCAGTGCTCTGCAGGTTTCTGGTGCTGTTATTATGACGAAATAATAAGAATGTTACGCCCAGTACTAAAACACCATATCGACGTGGACATCGAGGATTGAGACAGGGACGCTCCTCTGGTATAAGCCATTGCACCACCTCCATCTACAGAAGAGATGGCCGACAACTCAATCGTGTCGGCGCGGGCGTTGACAAAAGACAACCGCTCTCCACGGACAACAATCAGTCTCCCGGGCCTGTGCTGCGTGTGCCGTTGCTGAGACCTGGCAAGATAGCTACTGACCTATGGTGCCAACGCGAAGGAAGAGCACGATGCCATGATGAATGATGGCAGTCGTCTTGTCCTTTACCATACGCTAGCTTACCAGAAAACACCGGCTGCGGTACTCGGAAGTTTTAAGCGGAACTTGAGCAATGAGTAACTACACAAGTAATCAAACCAACATGGTGCCCGTTTCGGCATGGGCCGTCGCTGGTTGCTGCGGTGCCGCCAGGCGTGGATCTTTTTAGTGGAGCGGTGATGTCGCATTGGCCTGTGCCCGCGGTTCTGTTATTGTTGTTGATTCTGATAATTGCTCCCTGTAGCCTAGCGCAGCGCACCGGTGGGCAACCAGCACCAGGCCACCAGCAACGGGGACCCGCCCGAGCCGCCTGCCAGCTGTGGCTGGACTGGGGGACGGGGGCCCGACCGGGGGGGAAGCTGGGGCTTTTGCAGCGACGGAACACGCTTCCAAGGTTCCTGGAGAGCTTTCCAGCTAGGTCGGCGACCCAGAGCTCAATCTCATTTCTCTACCCATTTTGCTGCCACTCCTGCCACCACCACGAGCAACCCGACCACATCCCACCCGCCGGCCACGCTGCTTCACGTCGAGTTGGTAAGTGATTCTCGTGTCTTCTGAGCCATTGAACGCCTGCACTTCGCTTTTGGCCCTCGAGCTGCACCCAATGCACGTGTAGCAGCTCCGGCCTGGCCGTGTCTTGGGGGGGCTGTTACCCGCCCTGCCCGCGTGTTTTGGGTCACGGTTCGTCGCGTGCCATGCACCCGCAGCTACCTGCACTGCACGACCGCCTCGCCAGCAACTGCATTTGCACCTGCCCCTCCACACACTCACACACTCACACACTCACACACTCACACTCGCACACCAAAAGTCCACACTACCAACCAGCCAAAGCCCATAACAACCACCCTCTCTTTCTTGACCTGCACTTGCTCTCTTGCTCGCCTTGCGCCACCCCAGTTTCCTCCCCCCCGCTGGAAAACGGTGCACACGGCCACCGCCGCAGTTGCATCCTGGGCGTGAATCTCGAGGCTAATATAACAGACTCCACAGTCAACAAGTCTTTTCCTCACCCGACGTCGAGCCACCATCCCCGACCAGCCCGGCCCGTATACTCGGCCGCTCTGCTCTGGCCCTGACACGAGACGACTGGATCCGACGTGACGCATGCTGCTACACGCCTAGCCTAGCCTCGTCTCGATACCACAGGAAGGGGAACACACACAACTCTAGCATGGTAACACGATAGGACATATATATGGCAGCAGTATCCCTATCACCGCCTCCCATCCTCCTCGCCACCATGTCCTCCCGACGCATGCCGCTCTCTTCCAACCAGAATGTCGCCAACTCTCCCATCCGCGCCTCGGCCGCCGCCCACGCCATCGTCAAGCCCAAGCGCTCCCTCGCCACCCTGCAGCGCGAAGAGGCCTACGCCCACCCTCCCCCGGCCAAGAAGCAGGCTCTCGAGAGTGGCATCCCCCGTCCGCTCAAGTCCCCCTCGCAGCAGCAGAGGCTAGCTAGGACCCAGCTCTCGTTGCAGACGCGCCGGAATGCCAACAGCTACGAGACAAAGCTGGCCAGAGAGAGGGCCGGCCACCACCATGGCGAGGCCACCACCACCACCACCACCACCAGCAAGTACACCGAGCGCGATCTGGAGGAGATCAGGCAATGGCAGCGTCACCACCGCGCGAGGTTCCCCAACATGGTCTTCTACTTCGACAACATCGCCGAGGACGTCCGCGGGAAGCTGGTCAAGCAGATTACCGCTCTTGGTGCTGTACGTCCCTCCCGGCCCGCCGAAACGGTCCTCCCACGTTTCAATTTCAAGTTCACCTGCTGACGCGATCATGTATAGCGCGAAGAGAAGTTCTTCTCCATCGAGATTACCCACGTCGTCACCACGCGTTCCATCCCCGTCGAGTCGCGCTCGTCTCGTCAGCGACAAGAGGATAACACCGCCACCACCGAGACCCACGACGACCAGGAACAGCTACAGACCATCAACCCGTCGTTGCTCAACCGCGTCAGCGGCCAGTCTGTCAAGAGGAAGTTGTTCAATACCACGTCCACGACACAGGCGCCCAGCCGCGGCACCTTTGCTCAGATCCGAGATGCCCGGCCGAAGAGAAGCACGGACGTGCTGTCTCGTGCCCGCGAGATGAACAAGAAGATCTGGTCACTCGATAAGCTTCAGCGGATGCTGTCAATGTTGTTGGAGCAGGACCTCAACGTCAGCGCCGCCATCGCCTACGGATCGCGCAGCGCCGCGTCCCAGTCAACACACGCTCAGTCCCGAACGGCCGACGAGAAGAGTCTGTTGCAGCTGTTGCACAACGAGCGCGTCAATGGCCCCTCGGACCGAGATCCGACTGTGGCCACGAGGGAGCTGCACTACTTCAAGGGTCCTTACATATACGTCTACGACTTTGAGGAGAAGCAAAAGCCCATTATGGCGAGGGAGTACAACAAGGTGACGGACAAGTCGGACGGCGACTGGCCGCAGTTTCGGACTGCGCCCCTTGGCCGGTGCCCCTTCGTCGAGGATTACGACCACCGGGAAGTCGCCAAGCCCAAGAAGCGAGAGGTTGTGGCCAAGCCTGCCACTGGCTCGAAGCCCGTCCTGCAACCTCCCGAGGCCCCGCCATCGAAACCCGTGACCGGAAAGCGGTCATTGAGCGAAATGGAGAGCGCTCACAACCGAGGCTCTAGCGTTGCTTCGACCGAGTTCAACCCCCCCAAGCTGCTGGCGGGCAAGAAGTTTGACTTCCGCCCCAACGCGTTCAGCAGCCGTGCGGGTACCGCGAGGACCTTGTTTGGCGGAGAGCCGGTGGCTTCTGGCGTTCAACCATCCCACATGACATCCGCCATTCGGTCCCAGATGATATCATCCACTGCGGCGACTCCAGGTACCATCACAGGCCTGAGCAAAGAGGTTCATGGCCTTCAGCGCAAGGTTCTTCAGCGGAACAGCTCTCACGATCTCAGTTCCCGCCGGACTTTCGGAAGCGTCGAAACTAGCTTCAAGGAAGATAATGACACGAAGAGATCGGGAACTCTGGCGCGCACGTCGAGCCGGAAGTTGGAGTTGGTTGACGAAAAACTGGCTGCAGAGGAAGAAGAGCGGGATGCCAAAGCCCGGAGGGAGATGGAGAAGCGACTTGTGAAGCCCAAGAAGAAGGATCCCAAGCCTGGCTACTGCGAAAACTGCGCCGATAAGTTTGACGATTTCGATGATGTAGGTTGCCCTTTTTTTTTTTTTTTTTTTTCTTCAAAACGTTACCAGAAGGGATCATAATGCTGACCAAATCACTAGCACATCTTGTCAAGAAAGCACCGCAAGTTTGCGGACAACCCCGAGAACTGGGGCGAGCTGGATGAACTTCTCTCCCAGCTGGAGAGAGAGCCAAAGCACAAGCACTACTCCGCCTGGACTCCTACTCTACCCGAGTATCCTGTTTATTAGACAGGCGTCTTACCTATCAGGAATGACGACAGCTTAACCGAACCAAACGATACCCCTTTCCTCAGATTTCTTATCTAGACGTCTCGCTTAGGACCTCTGAGCGCTGACGCGCATTTTTCATTCCATAATCGTTCTTAACGCCAAGTTGCTCGATACCATTGCATGGCACGGCGTAGCGTTCATCAAGAGAAATGTTTCATCAAACTTTCTCATTTTCTTCGATCCCATCTTCTTTGAAGCATTTGGCGGCGATCTGGCGATTCGATTCGTACCTTCACTCTGTGGTTTGGTCTGCTCCTCCGGTCGGTCTTGTTGGTCTTGCATTTTTGGACGTGGTGGGAGTTAAAGGGGTCTGGTGACAGTCACACACTCCCTGGGACAGGTGGCACACGATGGTTCTTGTGGCCAGGCCCAGTTCACGAGAGGGAGGCGATGTAGATATATGAGCATCGTACATGTGTAGTCTTGTATTTTACGTGGCAGAAATGACACATGATGAAGCAAAACCTGAGCCACGATCCTGTGTGTGTTGTTTGTCTCCTTGCTGAAGTGTCTGTCGACGTGTCTACTGGATCATTTGACCGGAGCGTGCACCTGAGTTCACCAAGGGTTGGATGTGGTCCCTGCCAGTGACACAAGTCTACTTGATAATCCAGCTCGGGCCAAAGTTCAAGAGGGTTTGTCTAATCATGGTCAACTGGTTGTGACCGCTCGTCCCCAGATACTCTAGACTGACAACGCCGAGAACGTACTCATTATTTCACAAGCTCAAAAGGCGGGTGAGTCTATGGCCCTGTATATGATCCGCAGAAACCTGCGGGCTTGCTACTTGTCTTGGGAATCACTCCCAGGCTTGACCACTCTTCAAGTTGCATCCCTTGGCCAATGTATCCGTCAAACTTACACTACGACAGAGTCTATTCATTCAGAATCCTGTCAATTACCTGCGATACAGCCACGCAGTGCTCTTCCTGGTACGGGGGAGCCACAATCTGTAGCGCTAGCGGTGAATTCTCAAAAACCTCTGGTCCGGTATCTGCCTGCAGTCAGTTGCCCTTCATCATCCACCGCCGGGAGTTTAGAACTTACAGAGTCTCTTCATGTCTACATCGTACCGGTCATAGGGGAAATTGGCCATATCCGGGTAAGGCTCCTGGGCGTACCACTCGGGGGTCGCCACGTCCGCCGTCAGATCAACACGACCGTATGGTACCACACAGCTCGGGAAATCGAGTGCGTTGAAAACAGCACATATCGCAGACGTGATGTACTCCCCATGGGGCGGCGCCGGATGCGGTGTCGGTGCGGTAATGATGGCATCTAAGTCAAGACTGTTGTACCTCTCAAGGTAGGTTACCCGCAACTTCTTTCGGGCCCGGTGGTTGACCCATATCTCGAGAGGGGTCAGGGGCGTCTCGGACCAGCCCGTACATACGCGTGGAACGAGCGGCTCTCCTGACTTCTCCAGCTCCTCACGTATGCCAATACCTCCCTCTTGCGTATACATCCGGAAGGCGATGTCTGCGCCCCGGCGGTGCATCTCGGCCCATTCAGGCCCTAGCACGAGTAATTCATGACCGGCTTCTTTAAGTTTCGCCGCTGCCGCACGCAGGATACGCAGTACTGGAGGTGAGAAATGCACCACACCGTCTTCAAGCAGCAAGCCAAGCCTGAGCTTTGGACCAACAATCACATTGGAGTTCCACGGTATCGGAACAATAGATGGATCCCTGAGCCAGGGCTTGGCCGAAAGCACGGTCTTGAAGAATATCGCGATCGTGTCCAGATCATTGGCAAAGGGTCCGTAACCAGCCGCGACGCTGTCGGAATACCCTGCACCGCTTCCGTAGCCCGGGATTCTGGTCGACGTCGGCTTGAGCGTGTAGACGCCATTCCACGCGGCCGGCAAGCGAAGCGAGCCGCCGCCGTCGGTGCCAACGCCCAACGGCGACCCCCTGAACACGACCAGGGCAGCCTCGCCACCGGAACTTCCCCCGGCGCTGAGGTGTCTGTTCCACGGGTTCATGACGGTCCCGTAGATGTTGTTGATGGACTCCACAAGCAGGCACGCCTGCGACAGATTGGTCTTGACGAACGGGATCGCCCCGGCGTCTCTGAGTATCGCCACGAGCAGGGCGTCGTTCTGCGCGACACGATCCAGGCGCGACACAAGGCCGCAGCTCGTGATGCGGCCCGCGACATCGAACACGTCCTTGATGGACACGGGGAGGCCGTGTAGCGGTCCCCTGGTTCTCCCCGTCGACCTGAAGAATGCATCATACTCGCGCGCCGTGGCGAGCGCCTCCGTGAAGACGAGATCGGTGGCGCAGTTCAGTGCTTGATGTGCGACCGCCGCGCGTTTGCAAAACGCAGTGACGGTGGCCTCGGCCGTCCACTCGCCGCGCTGCAGGCGCTCGATGACCCTCGCCGTTGGAGATTGGATAATCTCGTCCTCTAATGGTGTCAAGAGTTGAGGTAACAGCGCTTGGCCTACGACGCAGGTCATTTCATCAGGGGACGGAATTGACATGAGCCATTCTTGGGGAATCTGGCTGTGTAAGGTCTGCCTTCGCGCAGCGGCCTTTTCTTCCCATAGTGCCGGCATCGTGCAGGATCACCAGATGCCTGCTGGTTATCGATATACTAATGTTGTGTGCCATCATCTCTGCATCTCGCCGAACTGATATATCTGGTGACCAGGGGGTCGCATGCCGGTTATGCTGTCCACCCTGTCATTATACATGTTCAGTTGCCCGCGGGCCAAACTACTATTACAGGGGTTGGTTTAGTGTCACGGCAGCTTCCGGGCTCCCGACGGCAGTGATAGCGGAGAACGAGCGTCACCCGACAGCTGCATTCACTGAGTGTTCGCCCGCGGCCAATGGCCCCCCGGTTGGTTGATCCGACTGTAAATATGAGTTCAGGAGCATCAAGGCCGTACCGATCCAAGACCGTCAAGCCGTAAGTTCTTCGTGCCCATTTGCAAGGCAGCGTAGACTGACCCCCTTTTCCAGGTGCGATGCCTGCCGGCGGAGACGCATCGCTTGCATCCGCGACAATGCGAATGGCGTCTGCTCTCTCTGCCGACATCGTGGCCACACGTGCACCTTTGAGTCTTTGCCCCCGACGCGCAGGGCAAGGCAGGCGAAAGCTCGGGCGGCAACTCTAGGATCACGAGTTGACAGGCCCGTCGAGGAGCTTGCCGATGCTCCATCTTTGGACGAAACTGCCCAGGTGCCACAAGTGTGCGATGCTGGAGGTGATGAAAATGAGTTATCGTCGGCATCTCGCGATTGGTTTAATGGCACAACCATGTTCACGAACAAGACGTGTCTGTACTCCGGCGCCAGCAGTGATCAGGATCCCCACCTACTTCGTCACCTTGTCTACGATGAGACCGAGTGTTTCGGTGATGATTCCTGGACGGTATGGAGGATCGGGAAGGATCATGGCGTCTCGTCATACCTGACTGTGTTTCCCAATTCGCACTTAGATTGCTCGACGAATGTGTACTCACTGACCGAGATCGAATCCATGGTCGCTCCATATCAGGACGAGCTCATCCGGTTGTACTATGCCTATGTCCATCCTTCTTACCCTATACTAGAGTCTCAGGAGAGTATTCAGAGTCGTCTCAAGGAGAAGCAGATTCCAGGGTCTTTGATAGCACTCGTGTATAAGCATGGTGCTCATTTCTGGCGCCACTCACCCCTGGCTGGGTCTGTGCCATGCCCATTGCCGCAGGAAATCCGGCCTTGGGTCTTCTCACGGCTGTCTTTAGAGATTCGGACACCCAATCTCGCGACCGTGCAAGCTTTGCTTCTGTTCATGCAACTCATTCCGGGCCGGATTCGGGCACCAAACCATCCCGGATTCTGGCCGTTGACCAATGTGCTGGTTGGTGTTGCTCAAGAGATAGGACTACACGTTGATCCGAAAGGTTGGGGCATCGCCCTCTCGGAACGGAAGCTTCGCCGGATCCTCTGGTGGGCTGTGTTATCACATGACAAGTGGATGGCGCATTCGCTTGGGCGGCCCTCGCACATTGCTTCCAACAGCTGGAATGTGGCTCATCTCACGCTGTCCGACTTCGCAGACGACAGTGGACGACTACCGGTGGAATCTCTGTCGTCTGTCAGCGCTTTTATTGCCTTCTGTGATCTAGGTAGTATCCTTGCGGCTGTTCTGGACGCCTTCTACAGTATCCGTGTCGAATACGACGCCAGGTCACCAGTGCAAGCCTTGGAAAGGGCCCAGCCACTACTGTCGCGGTTGCAGAGGTGGAGGGAGGACCATTCCGTTTCAACCAACCCCGGCCATCCCCATCAATACGTTGTGCGTTTGACCGCCTTGACTGTGCGACTATCGATACAGAGAGCCGTGTTCGGCGCCCTCTCAAAGCAACGAAGCGAGCGAGCAACTTCTCTAGCAGCGGAAGTCGTGTCCACCGTCCGCGAGGATCTTTTTGCGGTGTTCGAGGCCCTGGAAAGATCGAGACCTGTCGGACTGTGGCTCAGTTACTTGAAAGGGGACCTCGCCATGGTTGGGTCGCTACTCATCACGCTGGTGCTGTCCAGCGTTGACGATGCAGAACTGGACGAGCGGAGGGCATTGCTGTTACAGTTCCGGGGCCATTTGAAGGTGCTCACCGAGCTGCATGAACAGAGCGAGTCTTTTGAGTTCTCGCGCTTGCCATTCCGGAGGTTGAATCTGATCATGGAAGAGCTGTTTGGTGAAGATGAGATGAATGTGGACTTTGTCACTACTCCAAGCTCACTATTTAGCGCTGTCGGAGTTTGAGTGATGACCCGGGACTATTCAAATCTATCATGACTATTCCTTCCGGTTCTTTTGCTTATACACAGGCATTGAGAGAACTACATTGGCTACTTCTGTAGTTATACACACATTTGTTGCAAAAGCAGGGCTTGGCAAGATTTCTGTAACGAGAGGATCAAATGAGGCTCTTCTACATGAACCCGCTCCTACACGGTACCTCATAGGGCTATCTACAGATTCATTACGTAAAGAAACTAATACCGGACAAGACCTCAGGGCTAGCTTTCCGAGGCTGTTGTCTTGGCCAATTTGGCATCTCGTGCATTCTTGTAGATAACATCATCAACCTTAGTAGGATCGTCTAGCTCAGGTGCTTCTATGTCGGAGATTTTGGTAGTGGACGCTGTGATAACAAAGTGATGAGATCGCCAGGCAGGGATATTTGCATGGAATAGCTGGTCAAGCTCTTCCAAGCTCTTATGCTTCATCTCCGGGACGAAGAGGAATACGAATGCCATTGAAAGCAAGGAGATGCTGCCGTAGATCATTCCAACTCGGGTTCCGAGATTTCCAGGCTCGTTTTGGATGAACGGGTTAATGTATGTGATCAACAGGCTCGCTACGAAACCGATGACCGTAGCCAGCGCGATGGTCCGTTCGCGAAGCTGTGTGGTTGCAACCTCGGCTGGAATCAAAGTTAGCGATTCTACTTGCAGGAGACCGGATGGTGGCTTACTGGTTACAGTCCACATTGTTGAGCCCCATGTAGCAGCTGAGAATACGCCCTGCCACAAACGTCAGAGATTCAACAATCAGCATTACTCATTAACTTCAACTCACATGCAGTAAGATGGCTGCGATGCAACCCTGGGCAGATGCACCAGAAACGCCGCCGGGAGTCCAACTGGCAAGACCACTGACAGTCATCATCAGTCCTGCCATGAAGAAGGAGCCGCCCATCAGCATCGGCCGTCTCCCGATCTTATCGGTGAGGTAGAAGGCGGCAAAGCAACCGGCCAAACAGCAACAGATCTTGGCACATGCGATAAGCTGCGGCTCCTGCACGCCAACCTGTTTTAAAAAGATAACAAGATCTATAGGAAGGGAAATATCAGCCTCTCGTTCTTCGAATGGTTCCTAGGACACCAATACTGGTCCTTGATCTACATATTTCAAATCCATGCGCAACTCCACTGGAATCGGACGAGCAGCATTGAGGCTTCTACCAAGATTCAAGATATTGGAAGATATGGGCTGTTTGAAACACTGACAAGAGGTGAAAAATGAGTTGCCTTGGGCCTGTTGGAGTGTTTGAACACCAATAGCAACAAGGGATCGCCGTGCATTGGATCCCTTGAAACAGTCTGCGTAGCTTGTAGCCCGGTGATTTTCAAACTCCAGAATCATGGCACGTTCTATGGTATCCAGTTCCAGAGCGATTTGGTCTTTCGCCGCACTGTGCTCGTGGATATAGAAAAAGGCCTTGTGGGCAGCGTCCCGCCTCCCTTTCTGCAAGAGCCAGCGGGGAGATTCAGGGATGAACCACACCGAGCAGAGCAGCATAACAGGAGGCAATAGCTGGACGACAATGGCTATATCTCATTAGCTTCGGCTTACTGACGGTTCGAATGTTCCGGACTTACGCAACATGTACGCCCATTGCCCTTGGAAATGTTTGGTGGAGGCATACACAAGCGCAGATGCCAAGATAGCTCCAACATACAACCAAGTTTGGTAGAAGTTGACAAGACCGCCGCGAATCGATGCTGGTGCAAGTTCGGCCATGTACATAGGGACCGTATTGGCCTCAATTCCTACGGCAATGTTAGCCACGCTGGTACGATATAGAATTGTATGATCCTGATATACCCATGGACACTGCGTTGATAAGTCGCCCCACCATCAAGGCCCAGTAATTGCGGACGGCGCACTGTATCACCATACCGACTAGCGCTATTAGACAAATGATGACCATCGTCTTCTTGCGGCCAAATCTGCTGGTTACGTAGCCCGCAGTCAGACAGCCCACAATCCAACCCGCGATAGGTGTTCCGCTTGCAGCAGAGAGCCAAGAAGAGGGAAGAGTCCTTGGGTTGTTGGGGCCGTTATCCCTCCCATAATGATCGATGAAGCTCTGTGCTCCAATAACTCCGGACCACCAATTGTTGTCATAGCCAAAGTTCTATATCATCTCATGTCAGACATATCATCGATGACTTCCTATGCCATCGAGTGACCTACCATCGCACCAATCTAGTTCACAATTGTTAGCGGCAGATCATGTTACATGCACGAGTTAGACGAACCGATGCAAAGAGATATATCCGCAGCATGCGAATCGTCATCTCCCGGAGGAACTGAGGTTTTCGGAACGCCATGGTCAGTCAGCCAAGAGGGGGAATTGAACCCGATTAGGCAATTGGACTAGACTTCAACAGGCGACAAAGTTTCACAAGAACTCGCTGATCTTACGAGAAAGCCTGGTAATCATTCAAAGAGCGTGAGATGTTCTTCGATGGAAAGAGTATCTTAAGTAATTCTCTCTTGCCAAGGGACGCACTCGTCAGTACTATGTAGGGGCTACCCAGGTATAGTCTGTGAGTGGGTCTGGGCTAACCCATATCGCCCCGCGGGCAACCCCTCGTCCACGAGCATCGGCGGCCACATGCAGCACTGCCTTGGCACTCTCGGAACATTCCTAGCTTCCCGAGATTGTTGGGCAGAGTTGGACTATTGCCTTGTACCTGCCTCGCCCTTGTTACTCTTTCAAGACTCGGTTTGGATTCCGCGAACGATGACCTCTCCATAGGACTCAGTTCCGATCTCTTAATTGGGAGGAACATGCCGTTCAAGTGTGTGTAAAAGTCAAATCAACGTATGAGTATGACCTTTGCCGTACGTAGAGGATCAAATGTCGAATGAATCCAATTGCACAAAAGAGGTCGAAACTGTTCCTTGGCCATAACACCCGATCTAATCTTTATCATCTGAGTTTAAGGAACTGTAATTCATGCGTTGGTCTTTGACCATTTTTCTGGGCGCTATTCAATTTTCAAATTCTACTGGAGAGGCGGTATACCTAGAAATAACATCTCAATACACTTGTACACAAACCTAATGGTAAATTCCCGTGTGCTTCACTGATCGCAGCATGGTTTGAATAACCATTCTGCCTCCCAACATTTAAGCCAAACCCAATCGCCTGTTCGCCAACATCCGCACATGGCGTTGGCCTTCCGTCAAGCCCGGCTCTTCGGCGTCAAATGGAGATAAGCCAAGCGCCTGCTTACCCTGGGCGCTGAGAATATTCTCCTCTTTGGCGCCATGGTCCTCATGTTCGCATTCACGTTCCGTAATCGAAGGTGATGAGGCAAAGTCCTTCGGGGGCACCGCCTGTCGGAAAGCCTCGCGCACATGGACCAGGGACTCAATGTTGTAAGGTGTCAACGGGTTGCAGGCGTTGTACGAGACGCTCGAATTGCGGTTGCCAGAGTGGAAGCGATCAACCTCATGCACTAGATCACAATGCCAGAAGACGTAATCGCCGGGCTTGACCGGCGGGATCCCAACCATGCTTTTGTCCAGCTCAAGGTGCGGGTGATGCTCACGACTCGGCCGGAACTGCGTGTTTCCAGGCTTGGCACCAGGGAAGGTTGGCTGAGAGTCGTCGAACTCCTCCCCTTGATGGAACAAGGGCCGCAGCATGCAGTATGCGACAGAGGCCTTGAGGCTTGGCAGAAGACGTATGGTGCCTTCGCCGGTAGATGTATGCGACATTGAGAGCCACCCCTGCAGGCTTCTCCAGCAGGAGCAACCAGGCTCTACGCCGTATAAGTCGCTCTTGGCTTCAATACGGTGATCTGCCGACCAACCGTCCCAGTCTTGCCAATTGCCCTCAAAAATTTCTCTAAAGTTGGCACGGTTTTCCTCATCCTCCCAGCGCTCGATGGCTCCGCTGTCCAGATGCGCTGGAAGCGTATAGGCAGCCTCTTTGCTAGGATAGCGGATGCGAAAACGGTCAGGGTAGACCACTTGAGAATCCATATCAATGGGCAGGTCCTTGTTCGAAACGTGCCAAAGGTGAGAGACGCAGGACATTGCCGCGAGAACGCGCGGGTGGCTACGTATCTGAACCTGCGGCCTTGTCCACCACAAGGACCAATTTTGCGGATTGTCCCTAGGGAAGCCCCCGACACTCTTGTGAGCCTTGGTATACTCGGTGAGCTCTGTTTCCCAGGAAGTGGCCTGCTCCGCTGGCACAACATTGCGTAGGATGAGGCAACCCCGCTCGCGAACAAGATCAGTGAACGATTGGGGCAGCTTCCCACCTAAATTGCGAGTAATCTCGGTCAGCATGTCAATGATACTCGATTCAGACAAGGAAGCTTCGGGGTAGGTCGACGAACCATTAGCCAAAACATCGTTGAAGTCGATTTCTGGAATTATCTTGGGGCCAGTCTTTTCGATGAACGCGGCCTCATTTTTGAGGACGTCACAAACGCGATGGTAGGATTCAGTCACCTTCTGCTTGTGCTCGGGCTTCACTAGTGATCCTTTGAGCTCTGCGAACCGTTGATCCAGAAGTGGACATTCCGCTGTGACTGGCTTCTGGACCTGGGTCTGGACAGGTTGTGCCAACGTTTCTGTGGTCATTCTGGCTGTACTGATGGTGGGTGGGTCTTTCCAAGTTAGAGTGCGACAATAGCTAAAACCGTGGTGGCACCTATAATTTTGAACTTCGATAATTCGACTGGTCAAAGATGGGTGTGGGTTGATGCGTGTCGAAAATACCAGCTGCAAGGAGGTGATATATTACGCGCTGCCTACAAATATTCATCCAGCAACCACGAATAGAGGTGGAGATGCAGCAGGTATAGTCCGACTGCGGGCCTTACGCCTAATTCGAGTGTGGACGTTGGGGCGGACGACACTCGGCCGCGGGCGGACGTCAATTTCGTGATTGAGCTTTGAATCTCCCAATGAAAGCCCGCAGTGAGTTGCCCGCGGGGCAATTCAACGTGCGTCCATCAAATGACCAGCGCGCAACCCCTCGCATATTACAGAAGACGAGTCGTCTGCGCCGGTTTTCCCGGATGAATATATCCTGAGTTACGAAAATTATTACTAGGTTCGAGACGGCTTTGGTCACTGTGAGCCAGGGGAAGCCTCGCGGCCGGATCGCATCTCATCTGTCTGCCCCAAGCCTACCTTGCATGTCTGCTCTTCATTTCCAGACGTCACGGCTTCATTTGGCCTTGGGACAACGTGGTGGTTGTGGGAGCTGGAACGAAAGAAGTAATTCTCAACTCCCTCCATGAGGGCACAAGCGAATTTGCAGGGCACTTTCACTACTGGTGCGCGCAGCTCCATGACTTCGGGAGTCTGGGATAGGAATGCGTTGATCCGGAAGGAGGGCATCGTCTTCGCCGTGCGCATTATAATTCATAAAGCATTCAGAATTTTCGACCGCTACCCGGACTGCTTGCACCGCCTCTCATATGGGCGTGCGTGACCGCTAGATCTCCGGTGTGGCTTCCGGCTTTGCGGGGCCGGATTGCCTGTAGCTTTTGAAGCACATGCCGGGGGCCATCCCGGCTGCGCGCGATGCGGCTTTGCGCGCAGCCGTTAGGTTCGGGCCGCAAAGTGCGACCTGACTTCGGTCGGGCATGCAGCAGCTGCCTAGTCAAATGGCGACCGCGCTGCAAAGGCCGCTTTTGGGGTTGAAATCCTAGCATCTTCTACAGTTACAAAGACCACAGGAGTATCATTCAGTCATTCAAGGGCTTGAATGCATGGACATGAGACAGCTTGAGAGTCCGGCAGCTTCCAGGCAGCTTCCACGAAAGGGAGAACATGATAATGAAAGCCGACACACTCGTGATACTCAGGAAATACTCAATTTCCTCTTTCTTCAGGAACATAGCGCCGGTCGTCTTCCAACTTACATTCTACTCCAATACAACAGCGCAGTAATTGTAGTCAAGCCACATCTGGGTACCACAACCTGAGCTATCTATGCCCAGAACGAGGTTCAATGTCGCAAGCTCGAACACAACCCGACCGTTGCGACTGGCTAGCAGGTCGCAGTACTTCGTGGCCGCCTATGCACCGGCCCGACTTGTGGCAATGGAATTGAACCTTGGGCATTGGAGACTGTCCCATTAGCCTACATGTACTTAGGTAGTGTAACAGGAAACCACATTAACTCGCCTAAGGCGAGTTTCTGCCAGAATCGGGGCTGACGTAAGCTACCCGGGCAATTCTGCGCTAGGTTACCCGGGAAGAAAATAAGCCACCTGGGCGCTACCCGGGCAGCCACATCTTAGTGTTTGCGTTCCGGGCAACGTCAACATAATTCCAACGCGCCCTCCTTCCTACAAAAACCAACCAGAATCGTTAGCCAACCAGGAAGGTTGTCCTCACATCGACTGACACTTTCCATTCAACTTTGCGCGCAACCTGGAATATGGCTGGATCCAGGTCCACACCAGACTCGGGCACATCCGGGGAGTCTCAGGCATCCGAGCCAGATGTGGCTGAGCAGGAGATGGATGATACTGAGCACTCAGATGAATCAGAATCTGATGAAGCCGATGATTTCCTCGATATCGAAGCTGAAGAGTCCGGCGATGATCGGAGCGACCATTCGGAAGATTACCCCGAATGGCTATTCCCCCATTTTTGCCGCCTGCCTATCGAGCTTCGTCACCGTATCTGGGACTACTTCGACCCAGCTATGAGAGCGCCTGCTCGAATTTTCAACTTTTTCGTCGTGGAGAATCAGCGAGGACCCGATGAAGCGTGGGAGGGCCCTGTGCTGGAACAACAAACTGCCGCTGCCCGAGCAGTGCTCGCAGTTCACCGAGAAAGCCGCGCCATGGCCCTGAGATTCTATCCTGATGAGGCATTCTTCCGCGGCAAATTTGGTGTTCTCAGGTGTAACAAAGCCAGAGACATCGTACGATTATCCAGTCGCCGCGGCAATCTTGTCGATATGCACAGCGCTTCCCGCATTGGCCTGCTTGCCGGATTTCAGCACTTGGCCCTGGATACTCCCTCTGATGGATTTCTGGACATGCCAAGTGATTATCCCGACGTGCTTGCAGCAATGCCAGATGCACGCATGTTTTACCTTTGCAAGGATGCCAGCCAAATGTTGGCGAGTTCGCTGAAGTGGTGCACTTGGGATACAGCGTACAGGTTCTACATTCAAACAGAGGAAACACCGGGCGTTGGTGAAGATCTGGAGTACCTGTTCTGCTGGCCGAAGCCTGAGATTGAGGGCCGATCAGATTCGAGCGTTCCCCAGGATGAAGAAAACGGAGGGGAAACAGAACCTACTGGTGAAGACCCGGCAGTCATTAACTTGGAGAACGGTAAAAAACTCGTGGAGATGATACAATTCGAATTTGAGTCCGGCGTTAGTCGATACAAGAAAATCAAGGAAGCAACTCTTGCGGCTGGGGAGTTTGATGATAACTATTCGAGCTCTTCTGACGGCGAGTCGGATCTCGGTACCGAGATTAACGAGTACGAAAGCGAGGGTATCGATGACGCTACAATAGATGAGGAAGGTGAAAGTGAGAGTGAGGATGACTTGGCTGTCCAGCGATCTTCACCTGTTGATGAGGAGTCTACGTTTGGTGGCTTTTCCCCACTGCAGCAAGATAATGACCAATCAAGTATGGCCAAGCTCTCCAGCCTAGAGCCGGAGTCTCCAGACGAGGCGCCAGCTCCCAACAGGACCAAACAATCCGGACGGTATGTTGTCAGCGACTCTGAAGATGAAGACCAAGACCCTCCGCCAAACGTGCAACCGCGCAGAGCGGGCCGCCGTGTTGTTACCGATTCCGAAGATGAGGATGAGCGCGCCAACCTGAAAGAGCCGAGCCGTCCTTCTACTCGCCGCTCCCAAGTCAGGTCTCGGGTCCCGGATGAATCATCCGAGACTGATGAGGGTGATGAGGAGTCCTCGGAAGAGTCTCAAGATGAAGATGATGAGGACGAATCCTCTGAGGAAGAAGAGCAACCCAAGAAACTATCGTTGGCAGAGAGACTGCAGCTGTTCCGCTCCGAGGTACCCGCCGAGCAGGCCAGAGAATCTGACTCAGAGGTGGACGAGTTCAACGACGATCAGGAAGAATTTGAGCCTGAAGAAGCGTATGGCGGCGCATTTGAGGACGATGAAGAAGGTGATGTTCCTTCCGAACATGACGAGCTCGTGATGGATCCCGATAAAGAGGGGTCGGGGGAGGACGACAACGAGTGGTGAAACTCTGGGTTTCTAATATGATGTTTGGGCGAGCGTTGTGGCTGCTGGCTTCTGAATTAGTTTAGTGTTTTATGTGCTAATTGGCACCAGAAGGTTTGCCATGTTCACTTCCCTGGAGCAGGATACACTATTCTGAGGCTGCTTTTCAAACTGCGTAGTGTCTGCATCAACCACAGATGCATGTGCCATACTATGGTAGCCATGTAAACGGCAAACTACCGGCCTGTCCGGGGTCAACGTTGGGCGCCCTTGTTCTGGAAGGATTTTAGTTGACTTGCACCACGAAAATCGTCCCTTCGTAAACGCAGCGTTTCCATGGGACACTTTCTCCTGTGCCAGATACATCGGAGCACAATTGAATTTCCAAGGAGATTCTATAAATTGCTGCCAGGTTTCTTTATTTTGACTGACCGGGGTATCTAATAATCAAATCCATTTTTAATACAATCCGTCGCGATACACGGAAATCAAATAGCCGAACGCGCGGTGAACCATCACTGCCTCCCAAAGAGCTCTGTCGGTCTAGGTCAGAGCCTATCCTCTATTTTCTGCTCTGGTGTAATATCTAGCCTCTTGGACCAGCCGGAAGACGTGGGTCGTTCGTCGGCGTCTGTCCGATCTACCACGACAACGGTTGTCTTGGTGATGGCGTGAGGCTGCAGATTCCTCCCCGATAGTATACTCTCTTCGCTTAGGTTATCGTCCAAATCGTGGCCGGATCTGTTGTGACGAGTCCCTATCTGCGTAGTCGTAATAGATCGCCCGTACTTGGAACCGGGTCCGGTACCAGGGCCGTAGGTGCGGAGATTGTAGCCGTCTTTCTTGTTCGAAGACGTGTATCTGAGAGAGCTGTCAAGGATCCTCTTGAACATAGGCTTGAGACAAGGCAGGCAGGCGGCGACGATTCCGGTATTGAGTTCGGTCCTGAATTTAGTAGACGTTAATACTATGTTCGCTTTTTGGAACACAAATAAGAATATACTAACGAGATCCAAATCGTCAAGTTGGCTGAGTCCCAGAGAAAGTCGCCAGACTTGCCGTAATTCGAGATGTAAACAGCTTTGACAATCGCCGCCGCACAAGCACTGGATAGCAACTCATGTCAGCAATTGATGCCGATGTTCACTACTACAACGTGAGACTTACAAAACACCCAGGCCCATGATGCAGATGAGCGAGGCCTTCGTCCGAGAATTGATTTGTACATTCCAAAGCATGGGAATCGGGATTACGGCGAAAAACATGTCGGTAAGAATGTTGACAACTTTCCGAAAGTTAGCGACTTGAAAGAAATTGAGTTAGGGGGTGGGGATACCGACTTGAGTTCGCATAGCTGAGTCCCAGTGTGGTCTTAGTCGCCCAGCAGGTCGTCTTTACACTCGAGTCCCAGAGCACTGCAATGTTTTGGCATTGCAACATAAGTGTCATAAAACACATGAAAGTGTACGCCATCAGAAAGATCATTGTCCCTTGTAGAATCCGACGATACAGCTTATTGGGGGCGATTCGCAGAAGAAAAAACCCGACCGACAGCTTGACGAGAGGAATTGCCCACAAGTATATCGGTTGCGACACAAAGTTGAGCATGAGCCCGTACTTGTTCACCTCTGGATCAAGATACGCAGCATGGCGACCAGCGCCATACATGACTTGACCAACGACGATCCCGAAACCAGTAATGGAGAGGATCTTCAAAGGTTGTTAGTGATTGTGTTCAGGGGGAAAGAGCAGCAGAAAATGAACCATCATACCATCGATGCAATGATCATCCAGTCCTGTAGATGTTAGCAATCATACGATCAAGCAAGTATACAGCAGGATCGCCTTACATCGAGACCAAACATATGGACCATGCGTAGACGTACGAACACTCGGGCGCATACCGTGACCAATGCGATCGAAGTTACTGTGGCCACGGCTCCCAGAATGTCGGGTCCTCTGTGATCGTCTGGCTGGTCAGCCCCTGCCAAAATTAAGTTTGACATTTCTGCTGGGTAGATATTGGCACTGATCACGGGCAGATTCAGACAAGACTCTGGGGAAAAGTCAGAACGGGCTTCACTGCGTGTCGATCATTCCACATCAACAATCATATAAAGAAGACAGGGACCTTCTGTCGAAAGAAATCTTGGCGAACTCGAGAGACCTCTAACGCCCGCTGACACATGTTTCTGACGGTAATTGGTTCCATGATTTCCTCCGTCAGGGGTAACGTCACCACGGGTTCGTTTTCGGTAACCATTGACCGATATTGGGAAACGTGAAGCCACATGAATGACTAGCCAGCACTCTCCACTGGCCTTTTTTCCACTCATTTGGGTCGGTACGCCACGGTAACGATGCCCAGTTCAGTAAACGTAGTAGTGGAAAGTTGGATTAGGCCTGCATTGTGCCAATTTGCAAACAACTAAGCAAGGGTGATTGCATTGGTTTGAGAATAAATCTCCCCGTATCCAAGTTCGGCCCTCAGTAGTGTTCGGATAGAACCCAGCCAGGTTCCCGGGGCAAGGGTATACTGCATTGTCTACCCCCTTGTAGAAGCTCCTGGCAAATAGCGTGAAACTAATAATCGTCTAAGGAACACTGGTATGCTGCAGCTGAGCGGCGGTGCGGTGGAGCACAAGGAAGTAAGGTTCAGCTAGCGAGCTATACCCACTCAGCATCAGATCATGCCAATCCCAGAGCCTTGCAACAGCCACCGGAAATCCCCCGAGGAAGACGCCCGTATGTGTCGGGCTAAATGCCGAGTACCGTCTTGGAGGATGCCATGGGGGACATGCAGACCAAGGCTGGGAGACAGCCACGCGGAAGTGATGCAGCACATCACGCTACCACGTGCGTGCTGCAGACTTTCTATCGCTTATCTGCCACCTGAGCCTGAGCCACGCCACAAATGTGCTGAAAATTTCCGGGAGTACGTATGAACCCGATCCAGAAATAGACTTCATAAAGTTATGGGGCTGACGATCCGCGGGCCAACGGTGGCGCCATCGCTTGGTGTTGTATACTAACGCGAGTTGTTACTACATAACTTAGTATGGTTCACAGATAGCGCACGAACGGCGTGGGTCTGGCTCTTCATCCCTCTCCTGTGCCGCCGAAGTGCGCGAATTCGGAGGCCATCTCGATATCCGAGGTATTGCTGACTGGCGCGCACACTGCTGCTAAAGCGACCATGGGTCTACTGAGAAGCTGCGTATGCACGCACATGCTTGTGTTCAGCGTCCCAGCCCTGGCTGGAATATGCCAGCCAATCGTGGACGCACCCGCCATGCCGGGCCGCAAAACTATTGGCCGATGGTGGACAGGTCCTTGGCCACAACATGGGTGAGTTGCAGTTCTAGACTCGCCGTTATCTCCAATTGTCAAGGGTCGCCTATCACGCACTCTGGCGCCTTGTTGTCGTGTAGCAAGGCAGCCAGCAGCCTGCCAGTCGGGACCCGGCGGCGCACCGGGTCTCGGAGGACGTAACTGCTGGCCATTGGCTGCTCACTTCTCAATTTCTCACTTCTCACTGCTCTAAATTACTAGTCGCCCCTGGGAACCAGTGGAAGAAGCTTGAGAAGCCGGGGGGGGGAAGCCAGCAGTTGTGGGGCCGGGTCGCGTCCGGAACGCTGCTAATGCGGTGGGGAGGAGACCTTCAGGGTCTTCGCGAAATGGATTCCAGATAGAATTGCGGATAGCGTATGCAGCTTAATGCAACAGCCTTCCAAGATTTCTGGTGGATTATCGAATCATTCCGCTGCCCGAGCAGCGGGGGAGCCATGTCTGCAGGAGAAAAATTGAATTGCATCTCGGAGGCAGAACCAGGCAGGACTGTAGGCCCGCGACTAGTCAGTCTCGCCGTACAGCCGTACGAGCATAGCCGTGGGAATAGAAATCGGTAACAATGATCGGGCCATTGAGGGTCCCGATGCTTGGCTAGGCTAAGCTTGCCTTGCCTCTGTAGATCATACTTTAATACGGGAAGATCTGAACGAAGTTGTGCTCGTAGGATCTGCCAGTGCCAGTGGTCTCCTCTCTCTCTCGTCTCCCCAGCTCCCCGTTTTCGAACTTGATCAGCGTCGCCATGCACTTGTTCCGGCTAGTTCCCGCCCTTCTGCTCGGCGCAGCCTGGGCAGCTCCCGCCCAAGATGATACCTCGAGTGCACTGTCGCAGTTCCAAGCCCTGGCAAACAATGCCTCATCCACCGAGGCTGACGAGCTGGATGACCGTACTTCGACAAAGAGAGCCAACACTTGCACTCGTGACAACCTTGTTGTCCGCAGGCCATGGTATGATGCCGCCCCATTCAAACTAAAACGCCGACTTTCACAGATATACTGATGTGTATATGATAGGGGTTCGCTGAGTAAGAAGGACCGGAAAGCATACACTGATGCAGTCCTCTGCCTGCAGAAGCTGCCAGCCAAGACGCCCACTAGCCTGGTGCCAGGCGTGAGGTCTCGCTATGACGACTTTGTTGCTACGCATATCAACCAGACCCTGAACATTCACTACACTGGAAACTTTCTTTCGTGGCACCGCTGGTTCACTTGGCAATATGAACAGGCCCTGAGAAACGAGTGTGGCTACAAGGGATACCAGCCGTAAGTATTCACAGAAATTGTGTTTTGGGGTTGATACGTGGGGCAAGATGGCTGATAGTCTCATCTCTAGGTACTGGAACTGGGCCTTGTATGCCAAAGACCCTGCGTCGTCGCCAATTTTCGATGGAAGTGCCTACAGCATGGGCGGAAATGGTGCCTACATCCCTAACAAGGGACCCATCGCCTTGACCCTCGGCGACTATCCTGTCATCTATCTTCCAGCTGGCACCGGCGGCGGTTGCGTGACTTCCGGCCCTTTCAAGGACATGGTGGTGAACCTTGGCCCCGTGAGCATGCCTTTGAACAACGGCACCGTTCTGACTGGTACTGGTTTGGAGTACAACCCCAGATGCCTCAAGCGCGACGTCTCTGCCGCAGTCAACTCGGCATATGCCAACGCGACCTCAATCATCAACCTGATTACCCAGAACAACGACATTGCCGATTTCCAGATGAAGATGCAAGGTGTGCCAGGATCTGGCTCAATTGGTGTGCACGGCGGCGGACACTACACTGTCGGAGGAGACCCATCAGGTGATGTCTTTGTGAGCCCTGGCGAGCCTGTAAGTATCCAATCCCATCCGCCGAAGACCCCCATGATCCCATACTTCCGGACTCCTTCTCTGCGCATTGTTCGAGGTATCATGTACTGACTTGTTTATCACAGACCTTCTACCTACACCACGGAATGATTGACCTTGTGTGGTGGATCTGGCAACTACTCGACGAAAAGAACCGCCGCTTTGCTATTTCCGGTACCCAGACCTTCTTGAACCAGCCGCCAACCCCGGATGCCACTCTGGACGACATCGTTGACCTTGGATATGCCGGAGGAGGTCCTATTACGATACGTGAACTCATGAGCACAACCGACGGGCCTTTCTGCTACACTTACGGCCTATGAGCATTCACGAAACTGAAACTCGCTTCAGCGGACGACCATACCTGAAGTCAGTGCATGACGACCGATGTTTATGGTCGAGCACATTTGGATTCAAAATATACATCAATGTTAATCAACACAATAGACTAGAACTGTTAGACCAATTCAGTAATTCTTATATCGCCCAATGCCACGTCCTGGCTCCAGCTGTACGCGCGTTCAGAGTACTTCACGGCGGTATAGACCAAACTTGTGATAGTCATGGATTGAGGAGTAATACAATACAACAAACAGTAATCAATGTAACCTTCAATCCATGCAATCAACTCGGTAAAAAGCCGGCCGCCGGACTTACGCCATCCTGCGGACGCGAATCTTGGCTTTGATGTTACTCCGCCACTTCCTCACAGGATTTATATCCCTGTTGCGCTCAGGCAAAGACCTGGGGAAGCGCTGTGCCGCACATGCGATATCCAATCGTAGAATTTCTTCGCGCTGCGGTCAATTTCATCGACCAGAATTTGTAACAGGTAGAGCTTGGCGTGCAGCAGGACGAGAGATTGCAGATTAAAGCAACTTTGGTGTCAGCTGAAAGAAACGCTACCCCCCAAGCTCGACGGTTCGTGTGAACCTACGGCAACTCTAGTTAGTTCTTTTCCTGCAAATGTAGAGGGTTCCATCCGCTGAGTAATCCTTGACAGCACTACAGTGGTTATCGTGAGATTGGACAATTATATGCTGAGACTACCACGCGGTGGTCAAGCAGTACGACCTGATGGATACGTCAATTGGGCAGCCCGGTAATGGAGGCGCGGCGATCGCGTCGGCCGTGGTGACAACCACTATTGCATTTGCATCAGTGGCATTAAGGGTGTACACAAAAGTCAAGATTTCTCGGGAGAGTCTCGGCGGCGATGATTGTGAGTTGAACGCAAGGCTCCACTTGGCACTGATCTGACTGTGAGTTGCAGGTTTACTCTTGGTCGCGCTTTTGTTCCCCTTTGGTATGATGGGGCTCACTATCAAAGGTGCGTAGTATTGAGGTCTATGGCACAAAGAGCATGTAGGCCAGCAGCTAATAAGTACACATCCACAGCCGCCGAAGATGCTTTCGACAAGGGACTCATTTATATGTCTATTGTTGAACTCGAGGCGTATCTCAAAGTAATATAACATCCCCGACCGAGCCTCTACACGAACTGACTGGCAACGCAGCTGATGTTCGCGTCGGAGTTGATGTACACGGCTGGCATTGTATTTTCTAAGTTGGCTTTGCTCATGGCCTTCCTCCGATTATCGACGCGAAGATGGCATCGCGCCACTCTCTGGACTGTGTTTGCGTTCACGACCCAGTATGGTCTGGCCTACGAGCTCTTGACTGTTTTGAGATGCTTGCCGGTAGAAAACCACTGGGACCCTACACTAACAAACTCGGCATGCTTAAGCACGCTCACCGTTTCGTTGCTTTTCACCGGTATCAATCTGGGATTGGATATCGTCATAGTGATCCTCTCTATTCCGTTGACCTGGGCTCCGAGGTTGCCCCCGAGGGAAGAGATGCTGCTCTGTCCCACATATATCCTAGGAGCATTGTAAGTGCTTTCTGTAATGTGGTTTCACGTCCATTTACTTACGAGATCTCAAGAGTCCTCACTGCTGCTGGCTATCACGTATCCGGTCTTTTTGAATGGACCAGTTTTGGCATGTCCTCTGCAGTAGTGAAGTCACATTGGTCTTTCTTAGAGGTCAACGGCGCTATCATCTGCACCGCTGTCCTCGCTTTGAAGCCGTTTTTCATGCGCTATCTGCCGGCGGTGCTGGATCCCGAATACACACGGCAGAAGAACCTGGAGAGGAAAGCCGGCGAAGTCCCGGAACTAAACTCTAGCAATGTGTATGAAGCTGGTGGGATGGAACACCCACATGAACTGCCAGCAGAGCATGAGCACGTACATTGCCTGAGCGACGATAGGGCGACCCGCTTGGGACCAGTTATATATCATCCACAGGGGCGTTAGGGAACTCGGTATGAACCGGGAGGAGATCGAGGAATCTTCATGGGATAGATTGAATCATGGCTCGTCAAATGGAAATGTCAAATTCAAGTCGTGTTACGGTGCAATTGCGTGCCGAAGTATACAGATGTAGCCACGCAGGCAGTGCACCAGTCGACGTTGCATGCCAATGCTGGCATACATAAGTGTAACCATCTATCTGAGGTATACTTCGCTTGAAACATATATAGACAGGTTAGGTGATTGGCTAGAGGATATGGGTGATTCTCGCGACCCATCCGTCGGAGTGGTTAGAAGCGACTTATGCAGGAACCAAAAGATTAGCGGGGCACTTTGTCGGGTTTCGTCGGGATCGCCAGCTGCACGGCTGCGTCATTTCTCGGCTATCTAATCTATCACGATAATTACTGCTCGTGTACTGTAGAGCATGCAAATAAGTTAGCAAAGCACGGCCCGACGGCTGAGACTTGGAACAGCAGAGAAACGACCACAAGCAACGACACAATGGCTTCCAAGAGCAAGGCGCTGCAGTCGTTCCTCACAAGGGCGCGTCGCGTGCCCAGTGCCACTCCAGCATGCCAACAGAACCTTCGGGCTCGTTGCATCCATGCGACGCCTTCGCGGCGAACCGATGGCGTGTTCAGAGGGCTAACCGATGGTCGTTTGCCAACACCATGGATTGAAGCATTCAGGAAACAACAGGAAGGCCAAAGCACCCGCTCATCGGAGGGCAAACCACAGGAGCGGGACATGTCCCCGAAGAAAATGAGTGACAGCTACCATCGGGTAGTCCTACCTCTCGGCCAGGACCCTTGGCTCTCCGACACCTACATCAACTCCTCGGGACACATCAGGTATGGAGCTCGCTGTCACACAGTTCTTCTTGTCGTGAGGCGTTTCCCTAACGGCCTTGATGCAGACTAGGGACCATTTTCATGGATTTGGATGCTCTCTCGGGCATCATAGTCTACAAACACACCGGCCCGGGAGTCACGACCGTAACCGCCGCGCTCGATCGAATCACGATAGCACACCCTCTGACGGAAATATGCGATCTGGAATACAGTGGCCAGGTCACCTATGCCTCGGGAAGAAGCAGTGTAGAAATCACCTGCAAAGTGGCAAGGGCTCGACCTGAGGGCGAACCCAGCCGACCCGAGGACGTCCTCCTCACTTGCACTTTCACGATGGTCGCGCTGGATTCTGAGACCAAGAAGCCAGTCAATATCCCTGCCCTAGTATATACCACCCCTGAAGAGGAGCAGATATACAAGACGGGAGAGGCGAAATCATTGGCGAAGAAGAATGCGCGCAAGACATCACTGCTCGCGACCGAGCCGAATGATCCAGAGTCGGCCTTGATACACAAGATATGGCTCAAGCAGGTCCAGTACCACGATCCTAATGACAGCCTTCGCCAACCCGCAAATGTGGTGAGCATGGCGAAAACACAGCTATCGACGGCAGCTATCATGCAGCCGCAGTACAGAAACCGGCACCAGACCATGATCTTTGGAGGGTTTCACTTGAAGCAGACCTTTGAGCTGGCGTTCTGCTGTGCTGCTAACTTTGCGCATGCGCGTCCGACGTTCATCAGTGCAGACCCTTGCACGTTCCGAAACCCCGTGCCTGTGGGCAGTGTGCTCTACTTGACCGCAAGGGTAGCTTACACTGATCCGCCGCTGCTAGAGGAAGACGGGAGCGAGTCGCGGCAACAGGACTCAGAGAACCCAATGACAAGGGTCCACGTCCGTGTGGACAGCAAAGTCCGAGACGTCGAGCATGGAAACGCGAGACCGACGGGCCAGTTCAACTACACATTCTCCGTGCCCCGAGATATCAAGGTCATGCCGCACACATACCAGGAGATGATGATGTACGTCGACGCCCGCCGGCGAGTGAGGCTGGGAGACATCCAACACCGCCAGGAGAAGACGGACTCGGACAAGGAGCGCGCGCACCTGGCTGACGGTGCCAACCTGACCGAATAAGCCACCGTCGGGCCTGAAGGAAGGATGCACAGTAGTACAACAGAATACTGTATTAATGATAATATGCAACACGTTGCGTACTTTTGCGTGAGAGCCTGAATAATGGTAGAGCTCGTCTCCAGGCATTGAAACAGTTGACGTGGATGCCATGAGTCTGGACCTGTCAACCGGATTGCGTGTGCCACTGTTCCATGCTATCTATGCCTGCCCGCGCGCGCCAGGGATGCCCCACGTTGCAGCCCTACATACCAAATGACCCCGCCAGAGCTGATTCGGCCCTGGCTGCTTCGCGCTACAACCCAGCCAGAGGTGCCTTGACTCCAGACAACGTCTTCGTCTTCCTCAGTCATCAAGTCAGTCGTCGTCTTTCCAAATATAGAAGCGTACCTATATATCAACAGTCCACGAAGATGGAATATCCGGACGTACCAGAGCGGAATTCTCCCTCACCGCCACCTTCGCCGACCTTGGACCGGCCCGCCTCACCCGAGCTCCCGCTCACCATGACAGCCTCCGCGGTGCTTACGGCCTTGCCGCAGGATGCAAGTTCCGCCCTCGCCAGCGCCGGTGACTTTGAACAAGATAAGGTCGTTGTGCGCTTCAAGGCGGTCGGCTCGGCGCCCCAGCTGCAGCGAGAGGTCCGCAAGATCAGTGCGACGCAGAAATTCGAGGCTGTTGTATCGCACCTGCGCAAGGCACTGCGAGTTTCTCCTTCGGACGGCCTCTTTCTTTACGTGAACAGTGCCTTTGCTCCAGCACTGGATGAGATTGTCGGCAATCTTCATAGGGTGAGTCACGCTCCCATTCACTTTCCACCCATTGAGTGCAGGGCTTGAGGTTGACATACAACAGTGTTTCAAAGACTCAAGTGATCAACTTATTGTAGCCTATTCTATGACACCCGCCTTCGGATGATACACTTCTGTGTGTGCATACTCTCTAACGTCCAACTCCGAAGAACCGCAACAACGTATTCCCTTGGCAAATGGTATCCTACCAACTCCTGAAAATGCTAACAGTGACTTGCGTGCGACGAGCACCAGTTTTCCCGTGGATTTTACCTTCGCTTTTCACACCCTTCAAAACCAGGATGACTCGTTCTCTTCCGTTTTACGCTCGAGCTGCTCTTCAAAGGCCTCGAGCTCGTGTTGCGCGATCGGATATGTGTGCTCTGGGCCTGGATACTGTCGTGCCTTCACTTCAGTCTTATAGGACGTGATCGCACGCAGGGTCTCATCCCAGACATTCCCATACTGCTTGACAAATTTGGGGAGAAAACGTCCGGGTGGGAAGTTGCCAATCATGTCATTCTGGACAAGAACCTGGCCGGAACAACCATTCCCAGCACCGATACCGATGGTCGGAACCGACAATTTCTTGGTGATCAACGTCGCGACTTCTGCAGGAACAGCCTCCAGGACCATCGCAAATGCCCCAGCTTCTTGCACCGCAAATGCATCTTCGAGCACGCTCATCGCGCCGGATGAAGTTTTGCCTTGGACACGGAAGCCGCCGAGAGCGTTTTGACGTTGAGGAGTAAGGCCAATATGAGCCAAAACGGGGATTCCAGCGCTAGTGATCCTGCTAATGGTCGGGGCCATCTCCTTTCCGCCTTCGAGCTTGATGCCTTGGATACGGCCTTCCTTGACGAACCTAATGGCTGTCTCTAGAGCTTGTTCTGGTGAGATCTCGTATGAGCCCATGGGCAGATCTCCAACCTGGTAATCCATGAGCCTCCCTTTCTTGGCAAACGACAAGGGTTGAGACTTACTGTGAATGCCCCTTTCGTTGCACGGGCGACAGACCGACAATGGAGGAGCATCTCCTCCACAAGGACCTCGCTGGTATCCTCCATACCCATCGACACCATGGCCAGACTATCACCGACCAGGAGAATGTCCATGCCGGCGGCGTCGGCGACTGCTGCACTTGGGAAGTCGTGGGCAGTCATGACGGAAATGGGTTCATCCTTTTTGTACATAGATCGGATGGTACCAACCGTCACCTTCTTCCTCGGCGGGCCCGTGGGGGTGCCCATGGGAGAATGTGAGCTCCATCGCTGTTGAGTGAGTGACGACAGGAGAGGCTTGGCGGCACTCAAGGGGGCAGTTGATCGCGTGCCCCGGTATAAGGATAAGGCACACGACCTGAATAATGTCGCCGGCATTGTGGGAGAAATTGAAAAGGATAGGCGATGATGGTCTTTGCCAATTGCGAATCAAGTTCCTTGTTCTTCCCTACATGAGTTGCGAAAGAGAGAACTGACTCGCGACCATGACTGGGGCGTTTGGCGGTTTTTTATTCTTCGGTCATGATGGGATTTGCATGCGTAGAATTGAGTCTCACCACAGAATCTCTGGAGTTTCCCTCAGCCTGTGGCGTAAGGGGCTTGAGGGGCTGCGGTGGCCTAGGCTCGCCGCGGTACGTACCAGTAAACGTGCTGCTTTTTGACCGCTAAAGTCGCCGTGATCAGCGCAGGGGCCAGGGTGCGCCACAAAGCGTCCCAGGCGAACTCGCGCGGGACCGAGGTTGTAGAATGCGCCACGGGTCCAACGGTGCGCCGGCAGTCTGGGCCCTCACCTGTTGAGAAACGCCGGTTCAACACATGTAGTCGTTAAGAGCCAGACTTCGAACGAGGGTGATGCTGGATGTCGTCCTGAAACAGGGTTGTCTAGAGCCTCGTGCTGCTCATTCATTTCTTTAAACGCCAAGTCAATGCCTGTGCCAGGAAGTTCCTCAGCATGGGCCAGCCGGTGAAGTAGATAGAAACAGCTGCAGGGCCGCATGATTGCGCGCTGTCGTTTATTTACCTAACAGTGTGATACAGTAGAATCCAGCTTTTGCAGCATAGCTTTTCCGACTCAATGATTGTGGACGAAATGGATAGCGCGAACGAATTCCCGGCCATTGGTAGAAGCGCTTTTTCTTTCCATATAGCCGCTGAACGCAGTCCTAAACACGAAAATGCTCTGCATGTCGGACGGATTTTCTAGATGCGTCATTGCTCAGTTGTGAATCCTCCTAATGTCGTTTCCGAATCAGATATTTCCATACATAAAGATGCCTGATTTCGGTATTCACAAGTTGCCGAAGTCCATTACCCGGCGCTCTCACATACGGAGCTGAGTTAGGGCCGGGTAAGGCTAGCCATATTCGGTAATCTTTAATACCGAAAGACCGCTTACCTCCCGCCGATAAGAACGAGGCCGAGTGAGGTCCGGATTTACGAAAGTTTAATCTCTAAGTGAATGGGCTTCATTAGATCAGAGAACAGTGACCGACGAGGAGTATGTGGGAGCAGGCGGTCTTGGCCAATCTAGTATAAGTATGCGTATGCCCACATTCCAATCAACGGGAAATGCAACCATCCATCAAACACCCACTTGCCAATCCGTCCTTCGACCGTCACCATCAATCAATATCAAGAAGCAATAATGTCTCACGCAAAGAACGTTGCGATTGTCGGAGTAAGTCCAGGTATGCAAATATTGCCAAGTATAGCTATTAATCAGAAAACAGGCCACTGGCTCTGTCGGGCAGTTTATTGTGGCCGAGCTCCTCAAGGCCGGCAAGCACCAAGTAACGGCCATCACCCGCTTCGAGAGCAAGGCTGTTATCCCAGACGGAGTCAAGGTTGCAAAAGTCAACTATGATGACCATGAATCTCTAGTCGCTGCGCTTAGGGGACAGGAAGTCCTCATCATTACTATGAACGTCACCGCTCCCCCCGAATCACAGCTGAAGCTCATTGACGCTGCAGCGGAGGCTGGAGTGCCCTGGGTTCTTCCGAATGAATGGGGGTGCGATCAGACGAACGAACAACTGGCCAATGACATCTTTTTGGGACCCAACAGTCGTAAGGTCAGGGCACGAATCGAGGAGCTCGGCAAGAGCTCTTGGATCGGCATCGCTTCAAACTTCTGGTACGAGTTCTCTCTCGGAGGATCTGCTGACCGTTACGGCTTCGACTTCAATAACCGATCAGTGGTATTTTTTGATGACGGAAAGCAGCCAATCAACACGACCACCTGGCCCCAGTCCGGTTTGGCGGTGGCGAGGCTGCTGGCTTTGCCTATCAATGCCGATGATGGCAAGACTCCGGCGCTCTCAAACTTCAAGAACAAGTTTGTCTATGTCTCGTCTTTCTGTGTCAGCCAGAAGGATATGTTTGACTCTGTCTTGAGGGTCACGAACACGAAGGCGGAAGACTGGAAGATCACCCACGAGAACTCGCATGAGCGATACCAAAGTGCCGTGAAGGCGCTTCAACAGGGCGACAGGACTGGCTTTGGCAGGGCTATGTACACTCGCATGTTCTTCCCAGATGGCTCTGGGGCGTACGAGACCACCCACGGCTTGCAAAACGAAGCACTGGGACTACCAAAGGAGGACTTTGATGAGTTCACAAAGCGGGGCATCGACCGGGCAAAGGAAGGCCTTACTTACTAATGATGTTGAGGCAAGGCCCGGGGAGATTAGCGGGAAGTGGCTTGGTGCACCAGGATGACTCAGAAGATAGAAGGCCTTTGTATACACGAAACTTGGGGGTGGTGATTCGACGTGGCCGTGCCGGTAGGTATTTCACGACACCGCGCACGATCTGAGTTGATTTAGTGTTTAAATGAGTAAGCCAATGAAGTGTATGATTTTCCCATCTGCAATGTCTATGCACATTAGGTGTAACTGTACAGACTAAGCACCAATACGGTTTAATTACCTGATTGGCTTGAATAGGCTTGAGATATCGATCTCGGGATCCTTCAAAAACATTTCAACTTCCCTAGATAAACCCGGCTTACGCCCAAATAAGTCACGACTTCGGGGACCCAGCCCGCATGCACTATACATGTGTAACCGAATTCGGGAGTTCATCTGCCGTCGGTAGTGTGTACCCCAGATCTTGGCGATCGGGTTGTATAGCGTGAGCAATTGGCGTGTGATGTTCTCCAGGCTTGGCGTCAGGCTTTTGGAGGTTTGTGGTTGGGTGGGCCAGATTTGGTTGTTTCTGCTTTCAGCCGGGATCGTTCCAGAAGCTTGGCTCTGGCTTTGTGGTGGCTGGCTAAGGTATGACAATCTAAAGGGTCAATAGAGACGCGGGATCAAATGCTTGGAAGTCTTTCGGGTGGCTACTTGAGTGAATGCAGAGTAACAGAAAGGCCGAGGTACCACAAGGCCGAGTATTCCACCAACGACGTTGTGTTGTTGGTTGAAAGGTGTTCGCGCGGCATTGGATATAAATATTAGAAGGTACCTGTCAGCACTCAGGTCTGCAACCTACAGCCTTGCACACGACACTCACTTCACCATCTTGCACTCTTCGATCACTCACCATGAAGGCTTTCGTTGCTCTCGCCGCCGTCTTGGCGCCCCTTACTGAGGCGCACTACATCTTCAACCGTCTTATCGTCAACGGTGCATCTATTGGTGGCGAGTATGCCTATACACGCAAGAATAGCAACTCGTACAACCCAGCATTCACCAACGAGCTGATGAACTCAAATGACCTGCGGTGCAACAAAGGTGCTAAGGCCGGAGGCGTTCCAACCTACAGTGTAAAGGCCGGCGACAAGATCGGTTTCAAGCTCTGTAAGTGTAACCTTAAAGTGACTTCTCGATTTATTCGTGGCAGAATCATTTGATTTGTCAATAAATACTGTTTGCTAATTTCCACTTTCCCTGGCTAGTCAACAATGAGTTTATTGAGCACCCCGGCCCGGGCTTTGTCTACATTTCCAAGGCACCCGGCTCTGTCGCCGAGTATGACGGCTCAGGTGACTGGGTGAAGGTTATGGAGAATGGTCTATGCAACCCATCTTCCCCAGGCAATGACGGCTCGTGGTGCAGCTGGCAGAAAGACCGGCTTGAGTGGACCATCCAGAAGAACATCCCGGCGGGCGAGTACCTGGTGCGAGTCGAGCATATCGGTCTCCACGAGGCGCACCAAGGCAAGGCTCAATTCTACATCGAGTGCTTCCAGCTCAAAATCGAGAGCTCCGGCACCGGAACTCCCGGACCTGCGGTCAAGATCCCCGGCCTTTACAAGGCTTCAGACCCTGGCATCGCGTTCAACAAGTGGAACAACCCCAAGTCATACACCATGCCTGGACCCAAGATGTGGGATGGAAACTAGTGGTTACGTGTTAGATACCAGCCTCTATGTTTCTGAATTCTTATTGCTAGCATCCTACTCTACGGGCTGAACCATGCCGGGCAGCTACTTACAGAGCAGCCGAGCTTCAATTTAGAGACAAACCGTTGAGTCTGAAGCAACATTAAATATTAAATAATGACTTTCAGGTCACTAAACATCCATTCCTCCTAATATGCTGCGTGATTTGCTAGCCTATATTTTTAAGTACATGCCAGTTCTGAATGAGTTCTAGGGGCAACGTCGTAAGTCAACATTCAAAAGCCAGGGTACTTGACCACCCAAATTCCTCCGTACATTCAAACTTTTTCCCCAAGGAAACGTTATCTGCTAGTGGAATTTGTCCGTCAGCAATTCGATTAAGGGGAATATGTTGCTCCGTTGGTAATTATAGGATACATAGGGTCTTGAGGGGAACCCTTCTCATGACATGGACTCATACCTTCCGACATAGAAAGGCCTTAACAGCTACTGGTGTGATTATGTGGATAGATTGTTCATAGGAATTGGTAACGGGCCAGTTCTTGTGTATCCCTCCCGGTGGCGCCGAGTGTGAGAAGGTGATACCATTCCGTCTTGGACCGGAACAACTCAGATTGGACTCAACGCGGGGGAAGATACTTGAGGGGAGGGAAGAACAAAAAGAAGAAGAAAAAGTTTGAATACAGTAGGGCTCAACCCGAAATCGAATCGGGGTCACTTGCACCCAAAGCAAGTAGGATACCACTACCCCATTGAGCCTTGAGTTCTTGTTGGAAAATGGGCTTCAAAAACATACTATATGACGCCTGGTAGTGCGTACGGATGCGTGTGAGTCACCGGCGAGCGAACGCCGAGATGATGGAAACTCGGCGCAGTCGTCCAAATGGTTCATTCTTCTCATATATCACCTGTGCGTCTTGAGACTGACATAATCGTTGTCAGGGTTGTGTTGGGCTGATGTAATTCAATGGGAAGGGATTGGGAGGGGCTGATGGCCGGAGTGAGCCGAGGCTGCGCTGCCCTGAACGGAGTTGGGCCTCCAAGGTACCATTTGCCAAACCTCTGTTTTCCAAGTGTCGCTGTACCTCGGTAACAAGCCCCAAGCATTTATGAATTGCTTACCTGAACTGAATTGCTCAATTGCGATGCCAGCTGCCCTCCACCACTGCTCCGCAGGTAATGTTTACAAAATGGAGAATTCACAGGCGATGATTGCTAAGCATAAAAGGCCATGGTTCCTCTGCAGCTGCAGTTGTGGTTTTTGTCATTGTGAGTACAACATCTCACTTAATCCGATAGAAAAATGGCAGTCCCTTCACACACCACAGTGAGCACTCTCAAAGGTCGGTTTTGCCTGGTGAGTTTGGCTTCTGGTACGTGTCCACAGGCGCGCACTTTGATGACCATGCGGTACAGAATAAAACCCTGAGCGACTCGCAAGACCCAATCCTTTCACTGGTAAGTGCCCGCACATGCCCGCATCTATGATGTGTTGGCCGAACCTTGCCTTGATGGTATTCCAGCAAGGGGTTCCCTATGCGATTCGACAAGTTGCCAAGATCGCTAGAATGGAACTTGATATTGCAGTTACGCCATTGACCATGGGGTTCATCGGAAACTGTCAGCCTGCGAATCTGCGAATAAGCATGACTTCGAGCTTAACGGATCTTGGTTTCATCGGTACCGCCCCATTGAGAGCCGTTGGGATACCTACAAAGAAGACCGAGGTCAGGACTCTTGATGGATCTGAGTTCACTCAGGAAGAGCCAGTAGTTGGGAGGTTCCTGGGCAAGATGTGGATTTGTTCCATAGTTCAACTGGAGAGTGAAGATGTTGACGAATATTTGAAGGAAGGCTGGGATGGTGACAAGGACGATAACTCTGTCATCCGCTGGTCCGTCAAAAGTTTGAAGCTTGAGAATCAAGAGCCTTGGTTTAGTGAGCAGGCATGGGGAATCCAAGGAATGCGTTATACAGGCCGGGTTAAGATGTCAAATGGTGCAGGTGCGGCTGCTTATGCTAAGCTTGTCTACGACTACCAATGGTAGAAGAGAGGGAAACCGTCGAAGATAGCCGAGTGTGCAAGAAATCGGTCCGTTGAGAATCGGCGATGCGCCACCAGCATGTAACGCATAGTATCGAGCCTTAAGACCCATTCACAGCCCACACTTAATCAAGTATTAAAGAGCAGCTGATCACTGGTCAAGTCCTCATATCACAGACTCGAGTGGAATGGAATATTAGCCACCTCCAATTCCGCGTCATGTCTTTCAAGGTTAGCGACAGAACTGGATTGACCAATTGAATACCTTTCTCCAGGTGGCTTGTCTTTTGCATTTATCCGCAGCGGATAGTCGGATCTGAAGCCAATTAGATAGTTGCTGAGAGCACGACAACATGCTGTTCGCTCCAGAGGTTTCTTCCAACAGAATCTAAAACAGAGTCGCCCCCCTACAGTCCAATATCGTTTCTTAATGCGCAAGAGGAAACGTGCACTGCATTAGAAAACACGACTATCGCTTGAGGTCGTTGCATGTCGTGGGGACTGTGCCGTCCTCGATACCAATCGCGCTGGAAGAAAATCCGTATGCGGGGGCGCACGGGTAAATAGATGTAACCCAGCTTTGAACCCCATAGTGCCAGCACAACCTTTTGGCACGCAGTGCACTACTGTGTCCCGTCTTGGCGCTGTACGTCGTCCGTCTGAGCGGACTCATGGGCCGGTAAGCCTCGCTACCAGCCGTGTCTAGCTGCAGCTGTGTGGTAACCTTGGCAATCTGGGGATTAGCGGGCACAACTATTGGCCAAATCAGAAACCCATGGATATGTGTTCCAACTTTTGGCATTCCTATATATCTCCCGACCTGCCGCTGAACTCGAGACTCTGTCTTGGTTTACCCTGGGCTTCAGCCGACTCTCTGCAAGCAGGGTCGCGCGCTGTGACCCTTACCGCTCAGCGTGAAGGAAGGCGGCGAATTACTTTCATGCGAAAAGGTTCACAACCACTAAATCTCCGGTATATCTGAGCATTTCGGTTGAATATGACGCTCGACTTGCCATACAATTTGTCGTTGCCGTTAGCAGTAGAGAACGAGACGAATTCAACAAACGATGGTGGTCTCAAATTAGTAAATAATTACACTGGCTATTAGGTGCATATGAGTTTCGCTGCTGACTGGAATACAGGATAACGACCTTGGAATACCAGGGGCTCTCGTTGGCATCATTCTTCCCCACGTCATTTGCACATTATTCGTGCTCCTGCGGGTCTGCTCGAGGTTGGCATGTTTAAAGAAATGGTTTGTCGATGACACTCTCATGGTGATCGCCTGGATCTGGTCCACAGCAGTGTGCACTGTTTATGGACTTGCAGTCCAGGCTCCTGGAATCAGGGATGCGAGGATCACGACAGAAAGCTCCATCGTCCCGTATCTTCTTCGGACGTACCTTGGACTCATCTTTTACCAGCTCTGCCTGTGTTTCACGAAATTGTCCATTGCAGCATTCTACCTCCGAATGCTGAGCAGTAAACCGGCAATGCGCTGGCTTTCGTGGGCTACGATCGTGCTGGTAGTCGGATTTGGTGTCCCGCTGCTCTTCATGAGTTTGCTTCAATGCTATCCAACAAAAGGCCGTGTGCTGGGTAGGCCGATGGGCTGTCTGGATTTCACGGAGCTGCTTGTGTTTAGCTCCTGCATGCATACAGCAACCGATGCTTGGTTGATTATATTGATCGTTCCCACTATATCACGGCTTGATCTACCTACGCGGCAGAAGGTGGCGCTCACCATCATTCTGTCACTTGGCATCTTTGTTATTGCCGCAAGTATGATACGGCTGCAGCTTAGCCTGCACAAAGATTTCAGGCCGACTACAGGAGTCCAAGGGTCCAACACAATGGCTTTCTTCATCATGACAGTTCTCGAGTGCGACACCGCAATCATCTGCGCAAGCGCCCCCATGATACGCCCCATCATATCCAAGATGTGGCCGCCGTCCCCCAAGGAACAACCACGTATCCGCCAGCAAGACCGTAGCTTCAATTTGACGACGGTTGTAAGCTATCATGGATACCCATGGACCGAACCAAACACCCCTTTGGTCAGAAGTCGAAATGGGAGTCTAGCAAACATGCGAGTCTCCATGCCGAGGCCACCAATACCAGCCTTCAACTCTAGCCATCGAACCCCGACGTCGCTAAGTCTTAAGAGCATGGTGAGCGCCAGGCTCCCAAGAAGCCGTGGCCTGACAATGACAGGGCCCGACACCACACCCATTCTCGATAAGGCTTGTAATGAGGCCGAGAGCAGAAGAACGTCAGTAGGGTTTGAGGGTTATGAAGACCAATACCTCGGGTATGGAGAAAAGAAGAAATCAAAATTCAAGGGTTCGCCGATCAAAGTGATTGGCTCTAGCAAGGAATGGTCTAGTAGCCAGGAGAGTTTCATGTCTCCCAAAGATCCGGCTAGTCCAAGGACACTCGGATCTAACCCAAGGCCAAGTGGCGACACATCGAATGATGAAGAGAGACATCATGATATCGGAGGAAGCATTGCGCAGTCTCTTCGGGATATCGACAAACCTGAATTGGACAGGTGACTTTTTGATAGTTGATGGAGTTCTTTGGAAACGGAGTAGTCCCACTACAGAGCACTAGATACACTAGCCTTTCGCTCTCATAAACAAAAACTCTAAAAGGGATATAACTACCAAACTGAATGGATACTGGTTCGAGAAATAAAGAACGACCAAACTTGGCATTACAATGACGACGTCGCTTTATGGGTTGAGATCTGATTACTCAATGCGAAATCCTTATCCCGACTTCCGCACTAGTGATGAGCTCGTGATGATTTGCCTGATGCATTGCCACCGGTTGGAGTAGTCACCTTCCATCATGGTCAATTGCTCTTGCATGTTTTATCTGTTTATGTAGCAGTTTTCGCCTTATCGCGAACCCTAAATTGAACTGAGCTCCTCCCATCGTTCAACATCTCACACAAGCGCGCCTGGGACCCCACCATTAAATGGTTAGAAGGCATGCAAAACCCGTATGATCCTCCATGCTTCAACTGCTGACGTAGTGCGATAGACCGTTCCTGTCGATGCTTTAGTGGAGGTGGCTTACGGTAACTATGTGCGAACCAGTAGATCACCACCACCTCGTTCGTTGTCGCATCCCACCTATCTGCGTGACTATCTGACTAACAGCGGCTGACTGAGTAGACCAAGTGGTGTATCACCCTTATGTTCTATATGCTCGCGCCGTAGGAGTCTTCGTATCTGCAATCTCCATTGCTGACCAAATGTTTTCAGTGTCAGCGAGAAGGGTACCATTTACATGAAAGCTCGTTCGTGTACGCAGTTGCGAATGATAACTGTGAGATAGCGGATGCGGGGCACATGAGACCCAAGAGACTTAAGTTACGTTGACAAAGTGATGTAGCTATCTTTGACAGCTAAGGTGCAATTACCTATGGCGTTTCTCGCCAATTGCAGACAGACCGGTCGGTAAACTTCTTCATTGCTCAGTTGGTGGCGGTACAAGTACGCGGGTTCGCTCTTCGCTACACTGAACTGCCAGGCCCCTGCCGAGTGCCAAGCAACGAAATGGCCACGGGGATAAAGTTAAGCCCCTCCTTTCTAAGGCCGGTCAAAACAGAGTATCCGTACAGATTATGATGTCAAGGTATAATCTTACCCGTGAAAACAGCAAGAGGTAAGAGATCCCGCCCTCACAGCGATGTTTTCTGGGGTCTGGGGTCTGGGGTCTGAGACATCGGAACGTGTAACACGGGAAATACGTGTGGCAGTAATCACCCGTCTTGAGTGACAAGGGTGCATCGAATTAGAAAGGCCGCAATTGAAAAACACTGACCGCAGAATCACTGCTGCAAATCCAGTTGTAAAATGAAGAGTAAGTGTTCAGTGAGCACAATTTAATCTGTACATTCATGACAAATTGTCTCTGCTATAACATTCTCCTAGTCCAATTGGACGATGTGAAGGCGGATGTAGATTTTTCGTCTGTTCTTTCTGTGCGGTACGCATGAAAGCATGATGCGGCTAATCCTGATCATCGAATTTCCAGAATCTTTCCGTCCCATCTGATGTGTGCATATGTAAGGTAGCCATTGGTGACCTTGGATGATCGTCGCCATGGTTTGAGCGGCTCAGATGTCTACCTTCACGAATAACCCGGTACAAAGACACACAGACGGACCTAATACCCAATTGAGAACTCATGAAGAACCATGCGACCCGGTTAAGGATGTGGCTGATATCGACTTTGGTTCGGGATAGGCAAGCTCCATGCGATGCAGACTACCGATGGCAGCGGACAGGCCAGTCACTATACACGCCGTAATTCATAAATATGGTACCACGCATTTTTCCTCAATGCCTCGCAGGATTTCTCTTGTTCTTCTCTTCATCGAGTACTATTATAATTTGAGCCATATTTGAGGCTATTTTGAGAGGCTGCGATATAACAGGGCCCAAACAGAATGAATTCGTCAGGAGTATGCGGCTCGAAGATGTGCTCGGTGTTATCATCTTGGGGTGTTCTATCCAACTGGGTAGCTCTCTGCCCCGCGTCGCAGACACCACCGTGACTACTGAACTCTCGAAAAACGATACGGGCTCGAACGCAGACAGCACAAATTCGCAGGCAATGGTTCAACACAAAGCAGTATTTCACAAACGAGATACTGAGACGCGAAGATCTCTCGAAGAGTCACTGAGCCTTTCGTCCATCCGGAATTTTTATTTGTCTAAAAGGCTCTGTTTGCCAAGATGCACAGTTGTTTTCAGCATTGACCGGCTAGGCTACGGTGACTGTTGTGAACTTGAGGATGGAGCATGCTGTCCCACGCAAACGTATAGTAGGCCGTGGCCAATGTGAGTCTTCTCTTCTTAATCAAGTAGCAAAAAAAGCCTTAGATCATCCCTAACAGACGCAGTCCCACCATTAGTGTTCCTGGAATGAACATAACACAAACAACGACTGTCATTAGGCCCACGGTCACTGAGATCTTCTCGTCGACCGTTACGGAGACCATGACTTTCATCAGCCCAGAAAACGAAACACTTACATTGAACACGACAGTCACATCCTGTTTTGCGACCATCAAACGTAACCAGCCTTTATGCGCCACCGAGGGCTCTGCTCGAACTACTGGCGGAAATTTGCCTTTGGGTCCTCTCTCCGCTTCTTCAGTAGGATACGCTTTCAAGAGAGCTGGGGCATTCGTGATCCCTTCAACTTGGTTCACGTCTGAAACGACGCAATCCACAACGACAATAAGCGTGACCTCCACACCTACAGTGACAAGCACGATATTCATAACGATTTTCACCTCGGTCACTATTGCACCCAATGCAACAGCCACTATCACTATAACAACCACAATCTGCGATACTTCTCCGAGTCCGACAGGGTCATACACGCAGACACTGCCATCTAGCACGTCAACAATTGGATCGACGTCGACAGTACCAACCTCATCCAGCACAGTGCCTGGCACCGAGTCGACTGTATCAATCACCAGCAGTACCATAAATTCTAGCGGCTCAACGTCTTCTTTAACTTCACCGCCGAGTTCAGGACCAAGTGGCTCCTCAGACACAGGCAGTGTCTCACAGACGACTGTGACAACGGGTGAGCCTCCGACAACGACTACTTTATCTAGCTCAAGTAGCACATCACCACTACCTTCTGAGGGGACATCGCCAAGTTCAATATCTTCATCCGATGTAATGTCATCAGATGGTAGTAGCAGCACATCGATGCTTACATCAACAGAAACAACCTCTGGGCCGGAATTCTCAACATCTGCAAGCAGTATTAGCACAGAAATTCCAACAAGCTCGTCAACATCTCTAGCATTACCTACATCCACAGGCCTTCCAGGCCCTGAAACAGCGCCTGGTTTAAACACCAGTCAGATAGCAGGAATCGTTATTGGTGTAATTCTATTGCTCGCCATATTAATCGTGGCTGCCCTGTTGCTCAGGAGATGGCTTCAACGACGCCGTGACCAAGACGCAGAAGCCGGGATGCAACAACAATCAGACTCAACGCCGCCAGCGAATATAGATGGGGCAGGAGAAGTAGGCGGCGCCGGGGGAGATGGCATGGTCCGTATCGTTATACGTCCAGTGCCTAGGCGGGGTGTGCGAACAGGATTTTGGCCGCTCCCCCCAGGGAATACAGGGAATCGATACACGTTTTACTTGGAACAGACGACGACAGGGGAGACAACTCCGAGGAACGGTGGCAATACCACCGAGAACTGGAGCAACGCCGGTGACCAAGGAACTGAAAGCCCTACTCCACCGGTGGTCACGGGTGAGGCCAGTGCCAGTGCCAGTAAACGATGGTTTGGCAGCTTGGGTATTGGATAATCAACTTGAACAATATAGAGACAAGATGTAATTCCCCTTTGGTTGAAGCCTTGAATTTGCATGCCTATTCCTTACGTTGGGCAGTGAGACCCCACAAATTGGAGTTCAGAAATTTGAAATGACGAGAGGGCACATATGCTCCTCAATCACATTGGGAAGAGGTATTTAATAGCCCAATATATCAGAGCCCACGCGGAATCTCTTAGTGACGCGAGTATGAGGTAAAAATAGTTATACTACCAACGCGCATCACAAGTATGGATACTTTCTGTGCACCAACCTTGTCCTGCAAGCACCAACTCAGAATCAGGAAATCATCGAACTTTGGCTCCATGCTACGACAATCAAATGCAAGAGAAGTCGACGGCCTGAGAGTCGCGCTTTAGTATAGTGACGTCGACTCACTACGTTGCCTCGCGACAACAAGCGAATGCAAGGCTGCGAAGCTGTTACGCCTTTCTTGACTTGAAAGAGAACCTCGGCGGTCCTAATCACCTGCAGTTTTCAAGTTCGAGCCGATAATGAAGAGGAAACCTCACGCATGTCCCTTTTGCTAAATTTATGCAGCTCGCGGCAAGGCTTGGCCCCCAGGGCGATTCCACGCCCCCTTTCGGTCGTGCAACCTCGCCATATGCACCAGGGCCTACCATTACCAATTGCAATGTCCGGCTGATGTACTTCAAGGAAATATAGGGCGCAGCAGAAGTCCGGAAAGGCCGTTATAAGGCAGGACCGCCCCCCTCCTCATGCCGGCAATTTGAACAGAATATTACTTCCTAGATGTTGGATTTCTAGGCGGTATGGCCTAATGACGGAGTTGATACACACAACAGAGTATCCGATGGCAATGGATGGCCAATTAAATTGACCATTAGTATTTTGTCACCTGAGACGAAAGTCGCGGCCTTCGATTGACCAAATTCGATTGACCAAACGACAAGTCATGTCTGGCTCAGCTCCCATATCAGTTGGGCTTGACCCAGCAGTGACACCTACGGTGATTCCCCGACAGGACACAGGAATATTAAATCGAGCGGGACCAACTATCACCCCATCCTGGACTACGACGATCACTCAGACTGATAGCTACGGCCGTCCTACTGCGACAAGAACTAAGCTAGCTGTGATAGAGACAACTTCGGATGGCAGGACCACAGATGTCCTTCGCGAGACTGGTACTGAAACTATGCCATTGACTACTGCATTCATGCCGCCATCATCATGCATTGGACGCTACTACAGTATGACTGCATTCTCAGAGAGCATGGCGACTCGCAGCCCTGTAATATTCAGCGATGCATCCGATCGCCTATACAAAAGCTGCCTGCCGACGGCGACGGCCTCGGCCCGGGAAACGGTATTTAGCCCTGGCATTTGCCCTAGTCTGATGGCACCAGTCACCAACATGGCATATGATAGACAGTATACCGAGGTTTGCTGCCAGAGCGGATTTACGTGGGACTTCCGAGGCTGTGCGTCACAAGTCATGTCCACTACGAGAGTTTTGGTAGCCCCGAATATTACTACCACGGATATACACATAAGGGTCTCAAACGTTGTAGCGCTCCACCCAGCTTCCACGGTGTACTGGCAGCATCCCGATCTCAGCCTATTTCCTACGGATGTCGCGTCGAGGTTGCGGGAGGTGGAAGCTTCACTGGGACCTGTGTCGACTCCGACTCCGACCCCTTCGACTCTGCCCCGTTCGGGTGAAGCGTCGGATGGATTAGGCTGGAACGCAATAATAGGGATTGGAGTGGCGACCACAGTCGTGTTGCTGATAGTAATCGTCTTCACTTCGGCCTGGGCGTGGAAAGTTAAGAAGAGACGGAGCCGCGCTCCGCGGCCAGGTATCTCGGAGCTTGGATCGGGTCATCCGGGCATCTGGAAACGTTTCTTAGGCGGTCAATGGAGAGCAGAGTTGACCAACCAGGGTCAAGTGGCGGAACTGGAAGGCGGTGGCAACGTCCAGAGAAACGGCGACGGGGAGCATGTTGCGATGAAACCCGCAGAACTAGAAGGCACAATCCCCTGTCAAGACTCGGATGATGACACGTTATCATCGAACAGTATCGCTGCGGGGAAAGGCGAACGTAGCAAGAGTTCGAATCCTGCACAGGATGATTTACCAAATGAATGCGCAGCAACAAATTAGCTATGAAGTGAGATAGTCACCAGCTTAAGAAGCAGAAAAAGTCGAAGAGTATCAAGGTTGAATCGTCGTTATTTTGCCGGTCGCCGGCGTGACCTCTTGATGTGGTCATGTTTTCCTGATATACACATACACGTATTATAGTTGTACAAGAGGTCTAAGATTCTCCTCTAAACCAGAACCGGCTGAAATCCATGTCAAAAAATGACCATCCACCCGTATATGCCGTTGAACGCCAAGCTATGCCGCAGTCGAGTGAAGATGTGTTGTTGTGTCGAAGGGATCGGTCGCGAAGTAGCGACCCGAATCTGCCCTTTGTATCCATGATCCGAAGTTTTCGTTTCTCCTGTTGGGCCATGGGCTGCCTAAAGTAAAAATAAGGCAAGCTCCAACTACCGGTCCTTGTAGACCTTGGGCTTCCAGCCCTCCTGCACCTCGGCCTCCTGAGCGGCCTTTTCCAGCGCGGGTTTCACCTCGGCCTCGATGCGTTCCCTGGCGCGGAGGACCTTGCTCTGCAGGTAGAAGCTGCCGCCCTTCTGGGGGTCGTTGGCGTCGAAGAGCTTCTTGAAGCGCTCCATGACCTCGTCCATGTTGGTCTTGCCGCCCTGGGGCGGCTTGACGTTGAGGATCTTGCAGGCCTCGTCCATGGTCATGCCGCTGCCGAGGCTGGCGCGCGCCGAGGCGGCATTGGGGTTGAGCTTGGCCTGGGCGCGCTGGTAGTTGGAGGAGGCCTGGGCCTGCTTGTAGGCCTCGACGAAGGAACGGCCCAGCACGCGGGAGGCGGTGATGACGACTTGGGTGATCAGACGGTGAGCCTGGGGAGCGGACAAAGGTCAGTCTCTACAATGCGCAACAACTTGTGATGATCTCTTGCCACGGCGAGGGCGGGCGAGGGCGGGCCATGGCAGGCAGTGGAGGCAGGGGCGGGAGGCGTATTTACCATTGCGCCGATGATCCGGAGAGCAGACAGCAAAGTCGCCCTGGAGACTTGACAAGAAAGAGGTATCGGCGAAGAGACGGGGTGGTCGTTGCTCCCGAAAGTTGCACCTGTTGATGGACTGTCCCCGGAATTGATTCCTCACAACGATACGGAGCGCGGTCGCATGTCCACCGGATGGGCGCTGGCCATGGCACTGCATGCGATCCGCCGCGGGCATAATTTTTGGTCGGCGCTGGAAAATCCTGGAGCTCCGGTCCCAGCTGAGTCCAGTCCCTGCGTTCCCCAGGGCCCACCGGTGGGCGCACAGCTCAGCACAGCACAACTCAGCACAGCACTAGCCACAGGCCATCAGTTCCACCAGTCCTTCGTACCCATCGAGTTGAGGCTTGTGTCCCATGTCTTGTGTCCCACGTCTTGTGTCCCACCCCCCTGGTCCCCACGTCACCAGTCCAGTGTCTTGGTGTGTGTGTGCGTGTGTCCCGGGTTTCCAGGTCCCAAGGAGCTGGGGCCACGGATCATCACCGACACTTTCAATTGAAGCCAGGCTGCTGCTTTCCCGCACTCCCGCTAAGTAGCTCCCAAGGCCCAAGGGGACACATCTGATATTACGACTACGGCGACGACGAGCACGATTTCTCTTTTGTCAACCCAGGTACTCCATACCTTAGGGCCACCCCAGCTTCTTCACACTCCTTTGACCTTCTTTCTGGGAAACAGGCGCCCCCGACCTCTCTTGCGCCTCAGATCCCTTTGGCTTTCCACCCAACTCCCCTCCCCTCCACCTCCACCTACACCCCCAGGGACAGAGCAAAGCGCCCAGCGCACCGAGATGTCACAGTACTACCCGAACCAATACGGCGCCGGCGGCGCAGGCGGTGCCCAGAACCTCCAGTTTTATCAGTCCTCATACTCGCCCGGCATCCAGGGCCACGACACGCCCTCGCAGTCCGGCGGATATGGCTACGGCGCACCGGCCGCCGCAAGCTATGGCGGATTTGGCGGCCCCGGGGCGCCTGGTGTCAGTGGCCGCATGGGCGAGCAGGGCGGACTGAGGACTGGCTGGCTCGCCGCCTTCTCGACCGAGGGCTACGACAACGAGCCGCCGCTCCTCGAGGAACTTGGAGTGAACTTTGACCACATCCAGAGGAAGGTTGGTCGCCCCCTTCTTCATCTCGAAGACCAGGAATCACGCCTTCTGGGGTTTCCCTTTTGCTAACCAATCGTCTTCTTGATATGCAGACATTAGCCGTTCTCAACCCCTTTTCTCGCGTCGACCAGCACCTGATGGACGATTCCGACCTGGCTGGCCCCATGTTGTTTTTCATCATGTTCGGCTTCTTCCTGCTGTTCAGCGGCAAGGTCCACTTCGGCTACATATACGGCCTCGCCCTCATGGGCTCCGTCGCCCTCCACACCATCCTTTCCCTCATGACCCCCGACGGCCCTACCAGTCCGTCGCATACCGCCCCGCAATACTCGAATCCAGGCTATCCGGGAGACCCATCGTCGCACGACGCCGACGGCAAGGGCCACCTCAGCGCCACCTTGACCTTCACCCGAAGCGCCAGCGTCTTGGGATACTGTCTTCTGCCACTGGTCCTGACCAGCTTGGTAGGAATCGTCATTCCCATGGACACCCCGATCGGCTACATCCTGACCAGTGCTGCCATCGTGTGGTGCACCACGAGCGCCAGTGGCATGTTCTGCGCCGTCGGACGCATGAGTGGCATGAGAGGCTTGGTAGCCTACCCCCTGGCTCTGTTCTACGTTGGTTTTGGCATTATGAGCATTTTCAGCAGCAGGGGCACCGGGAGTCTGGGCAAAGCCGCCGGCGTTGCGTCGTGAAGGCCTTCAAAAGGAGTGGACCGTATGACGTCGGGGGTCATGGTGGGAAAATAACGGCGTTTAGACGGTTAGACTGCTGGGCGTCTAGGGTGTTTCGAGGCAAAGTTAAAAACGCAGGCACAATCTATCCGAGAATACAAAGGTTGAATTCTTGTAGTATAGGCCGGGAGTGTCACGGCCCACATCGTCGGCCATTTCTTGAAACCTCGCGTTCGGGTGCTGAAGAGCCCCCGCGGCTTTACCAGCGACGAGCATAAAACTCCCCATTTGAGGTGTCTGCCTTTGGAAATAAATCAAACTCGTCACTCTCACATGCTGTCCTACTATGGAATGGAGCCACGCGCATGGGTCTTGGGACAGCTGTGTATCGTTGGAGTGTAGAGCGGAGTTGAGGAGAATCAATATTCCCGAGATTTTGATACCAACAGACAATGTTCGTAGTTTCATCTCCACGGACTCCCCGTCCAACTTGTCATACATGTCCATTACAATGTCGAGGCATTTACAAGATTGTAGTGTTGAGTGCTGCGTAATAACGGGTAATAGTGGAGAAGACTGTACGCAATTCAAGGTTCGGGAACTAAGAGCACTATATAAAAGAAAGCCCGTCGCACTGTCTCGCCACATCGGGGCTTTTCTAATTGTCTCGATCATTACGAGTTACAGTCCACCACTCACAAGAGACGAAACTTTTCGGTCTCTGGCGGAAGACTAGGGGAGAGAGGATCCACAGACCATGCCCACCATAAACTACCGATTAGCGCTCCCGTTCCGGCAGTGAGCTTTGATCCACATTCTGCTATATCGAAGCCGCATGGCATACTTAGTCGACCAGAGCCAGCATAACCATGGATGGAAGTCATGCCACGCGCCCGGAACGCAACACTGATATGCCAAACATGACCGTAGGCTTTACACGAAGCCTCGGCACTATAACAACATTCTGAACTAGGTACTTGGCGTCAATCGCCACACGCCTATTGCCACGAACGTCATCAGTTGATTTGAGAGCAATGGCATGACAATAGAGTTTAACCCTTTGGTAAGACATCGAAAGGTGTATACCGAGGAAAATGTGTCCACAAGTTATTAGCCTCATTCGTCGTTCCCAATAATACATTGTCGGGTATTTCTTTTGCTTGTAAAGTCTTGATCGACGGCACCCAGTTCTTGCCGTACTGCCCTGATGTAAACGTTCACCCAGCCGCAAGGCCAAGATGATAAGATTTGGGCTTTGGTCGGTCCTATAAGCATGATTCACTACCCTAGTCAGTAAGTCGACTTTGAGGGATAGTTGAGGCCACTAGCTTCAACACAACGCCCAGCTGAGCTTGCGTGGTGAGTTTCACGACGGCGACGTTGCATGATGTTGCCTCATCCGTCGCTTCCGAGTCTTTAACAGGAGAAACGTTGCTTCGGTAGAAGAGTAGGAGAATGAGTAACCGTACGAGGCTTTCCCAATGGACTTCAATCTTGACGAAGGGGCACCTCTGATCAAGAATTGTGTATATAAAGAGAGAACTTCTTCCCTCGGAGTTTTGCTTCACTGGACAGACAATAGTAACTTCTCAAGTGTCAGACTTCACTTCATTACTACGAATTGCCCTTCTCAGCGGAGATCTTTCTCGTTCGGACATAATCCTCGAACAGCCAGAATCATATCTACTACTCACGCTACTTGCAAAGACTCATCACCAACCACCCCGATAGCCCGACACAATGGTTTCTTCCAGCTTTTTCAACATCCTCACGGCCCTGCTGGCGGCAGCACCTCTGGTCGCTGCGCAGACCAATGTCTCCCCGCCGGGCCCCACAACTGGATCTTTTGTCGCCGAGCAGGTCATTGCTGAAGACGCAATTGCGCCGGCGGCGCCCACGCAGATTGGAGTTGGTCGGTATGATGCCAGAGCACAGGTGGTTCGCAGAGAGGACGCACACCCGGGCCCCCTTGAAGGATGGTAAAGTCGGCAAAGCCAGAGGCGCAGCTCGTCTTGCTAGGTTGGGCCTTTGACCCTTGCGCCTCCAAGATTGTGTTACGAAGTTGCCATTGCAGGCTCTGTGGTTTGCATCGAAGAAGGTTTCCCGGAACACATATACTTCTTTCATAGTCATTCGTTTAGTTCCGTTAGCAAATTGATTGACCCACAGTCGCTCTTTACAATACTTTCCACATCATTCCGCGTTCTTGCAAAGCAACTATGATGGGTAAAAAGCCGTCTTTCTTCTCTATCCTCACTCAAGATCTAAAGTGTCGAGGAGTCACCCCAGGATGTTTGGATTTTACTTACCGTGGGAGTTTCCGACATGCATGACCTAAAGTCCACTCAACCGGGCGCCGAGATGAGGATATTAGAGTCGCATACTATACGGGTCGGCTCTTTACGGCTTTTGGCGGATGCAAGCCGCGTGTGCAGCCTTATACAGCACCAGGTCACTGTGCCTTGAGAACATACTCCAAATACGAGGAAGAAAGCACATCGGGAGTCATCGCCTCTATACGATTGCGTCCGAGAGAGGGGTACATCAACCTTAAAGGTCCTCCAAACGGCTCATCCATCGTCGAAAGCCAATTGTGGTTTCCCAGACGGCGGCCCTGCACCTTCAACTTCGCGATCAAACCTGGGGTGCAGCATGGGGTGCAGCCTGGGGTGCAGCTCGTTTCCGCCCGAATCGGACATGCGCCCCGCCCGTACACGAAACTGTGCTGATCACATGAAAAACATGATTGGCTGCAATGGCCGCATAATTGATCAGAATTGGCGATGCTCTAGAGTTTCCACTGAGAAGTGTAATCGTGCTCTTCGGTTGGCGATCACGTCACTGTCATCTACATGCACCGCTAGTTCCAGAGCTGCAGGAAAGCTTGCTGATGTCGTATTTGGAGGAGAAAACCGCATGAAGAGTTTTTCCCGCTGCTGCTTTTCTTCGGGAGCTCTTGGACTGAGTTTAGATGCCATGAGGTCAACGTGCAGCTTAGTCTGCGTTGCATAACGGGTCAATAATGCAGCGCGGAACCCAAATCCCAACGGCCGAAGTCTGCATATCTGATCACAACGGGAGAGAGATCTTGATGATCCACGACATAGGGAACAGAAATTTGCCCGTAATCAAATCTCCAGAACGCAATATTCCATTGAATGCCATCGTTGTCTAACGAAGTTCTGGTGCTTGGACAACAGCTCATCAGCCTTGATCCCGGATATCGCCGTGACGGGCTTTGGAATAGCCACTTAGGCGTGCATTTGTTTGGAATTAATGCATCACTCCATTTCCATGGGATCGCGGTTCTCACATGTCTAGGAATCGATGCATTAGGTTGTACTATGAGATGGTGCAATCGCTCATTAGATCGCTGGGTGGAAATGGCTATATAAGCTGCCCAAGCCGTCCCCACTGTATCGTCTGGAACTTGGTCATCACACCACACGCTTCTCCAGCTTGAGACGATTCAACGACGTAACGAGAAAAATGGTTTCAAAGAAATTGCTCGCCGCTCTCCTCCTTGGCAATCTTGCCCTGGCAGTCCCCGTTGACAGCGAGAAAAGGGGCGGGGGCAATGATGTGGGTGCAATTCTCATCTCGACTCGACCTGATTCTAACCCCTTTCAGTTGAACAATCCAGGAGGCTTGGACCATGGCGGCCCCAAGGCACCTGGTGTCAATAAGCCAGGTGAAGTCGGGTTTGGCCATGCCCACGACGGTGGTAAAGGGGTAAGTCCATTCAACCAACAGGAATTTCGTATGACTTCAGTTGTGTGTATTTACTAACACATGCATAGCCTGAGGGTAGGATTCGCAGATTTCTTGCATAATAAACAGTGCTTATATCACAAATAGGACCGAAGCCCGAGGTCTGGCATGGCGGCCGTGAGTTTCATTGCTATATTTCTTTGCGTTTTCGGTGCTGACCATAGGTAACAGCAAAGGCTGAGCCTGTCCCTCCCCACCCGGAAGCGGTGCCCAAGCCCCCGGAGCCTGAGGGTAAAGGAATATGTCTTCTTCAAAGAAGAACAAGGCTAATATATTGTCAGAGCCCAAGCCGGTCCCCCCACCTCCTCCTCCACCACCCCCTCCCAAGCGTACGTTTCTTTCCTTGGAACATATTCATAGGCAATGAAAGCTAACAGATGTAGCGGTTGAACCTGCGCCTCCACCGCCGCCGCCTCCCCCTCCTCCTCCTCTCCCTAAGCGTAAGCCTTCTCTCATCATACTTCTAAATAGAAACTAAACAGACGTAGCGACGGAGCCTGCTCCTCCACCACCACCACCACCGCCGCCCCCGCCGCCCCCTCCTCCTCCTAAGCGTATGTGGTTTCTCCTATAGTTCGATACACGAAACTGACAAAGATAGCAACTGAGCCTGCCCCTCCTCCACCGCCGCCTCCACCGCCACCCCCTGCTCCTAAGCGTACGTTTCCGTTCCTCATCAAAATTTTGAAGCTGACAAATATAGCGACCGAGCCCGCACCTCCACCTCCTCCTCCCCCTCCTCCCCCGGCTCCCGAGTGTAAGTATTCCAGTAGCAACATCGTGTAAATCTGAGTTAACGTCTCCAAAGCCGTCCAACCTGCGCCCCCACCGCCGCCTCCACCAGGTAAGATATGAGAATGAGTCTACATTATTCAGCAACTAATTATTCCACAGTCCCAGCCTGCCCCCAGCCAGCTCCCAAGCCCGATTCTGGTGATTGGAACGGCTGGAATGGATACAACGGCAACGGCTGGAAGGGATACAATGGCGACGGCTGGAAGGGCGATGGCTGGAAGGGCGATAGCTGGAAGGGCGATGGCTGGAAGGGAGACGGCAAGGGTCCTTGGAGTGGAAAGGGTTGGAATTAAAGAAGATTTCACTTAGGACGTGGAAGAAAGCTGAAGTTGCGGCCTATGTTTATTTCTACTAGTATGGGTGCTTGAGAGTACTAGTACGAGGAGCTTGGCAATTCATTACCACTATATGTCTGTGTTCCTACCCGAGAGTGAATGTGCCGTTCTCCAGATTTCCGAGACATGATACCGCTTCCAGTGGGAGCTTGAGAGTCACACTTCGTGTATTCCAACAAGGCGATTAACACACCTTCCATTTATCACGCACTGCCTTCTACAAAGAGCTGTGTCAGACTGGTCACACAGCCAATCGCTTCAATTCCCCCTCTGGAGTGCAGCTCACAAAGCGCCACCAACTCGAATGCCACATTGGTACAACTCGGTTGACGACCGTTTTGGCCAAACCCTTGAGGGGTGGGAAGACGCCATGCCACATGCCATCTTCGAATGTGACAGTCTCCATGTTCAGGAAGAAGACAGGGACCGTGTTGAGGAAGAAACCTAAGCTGATTTGCTTCTTGCCTACTTGGTCCATTAGCATAACGGTTCAGAGATATGATCACATCACAAAACGCCAAGGAGTATGATTGGTCTTACCTGCCGCGTCGGCGATGCCAAGGATATCGATTGGGTTCTCCGGAGTGCTGTACTTGGCGAGCGCCACAATAGCAGATGGCTCTGCTTTAAGATGGTTGTGCAACGGCTCCTTGAAGGAATCCATGATGGCGATCAACTCGGTAGCGGAGAAGTCGGGGCCCTCTTTCACGAGGTAGTCCTTCATGCGGTCCATGCCACTATAAAAGGCCTCATGCTCGTGGACCGCGCCGTCCATCAAGCCCGTCTTACCCGCCGCCTTGTCAATGTTGGGGAACAACTCCGTCTCTTCATATTGATGGTGCGTCTTGACACACTCAATCCAAGCGAGGGAGTAGCTGACAAAATCGGTTTTGTCAGTAGAGGTCTGCAACCGGGGCGCCTGTTGGTAGATGCTATTGAAACCACGAATGAATGCATTGTGGCTGAGGGCCATATGGGATGCTTCGATCGTGAAAGGATCATCCTGATTTGAAACAACTATGGTAAGCAAGCTGGCCCATGTCGATGCGCCGCTTCCGTAAGTACGCACCTTGCCAGTTTGGAACTTTGGAGTGGGGATCAACGACAACGGTGTGTCGGTGTACATGGGAGGCGTGTTAACCGCCATATTGGAATGCACGAGGCTGATCAAATGATCAAGAATTTGACTGAATCAGGAATATTATGGCTGCTTGAGCTGATGTCAGAATTCGGGAGGTTCTCCAAAGCTACTGTGATATCCTGCGAAATGTCAGATCATCAAGTTGCCTAGTCACTGATTGGTTGGACCTTAGCTTGTTGGTTGGTTGCTGTTGAGTGTGCATTTACCTAAGCTTCTATGAGGAATAGTGTACGTAGGACTAGGAGCTCCGGTAGGGATGCATGACAGTATCTGCGGGCCGGGGAGGACAGCAGGTGCGGGGATAACGGGAAGCAAGGGAGCGGGCCACTAGAATCCTTCCAGGATTCCGCCTATCGCGTATAGAGGGGATTGCAATGCATTGACCGTCCCACGCAGGCTTCCGGGCTTCAGGGTTAGCATGCAAGCAGGTTGCTTACCAGAGCCTGGATTAATCGCAGAAGCGACAACCAACATGCTGGAACCTGATACTGAAGTATAAAGGCCCCAGCAGTGTGTGTGGATAACGAAAACGAAAGATAATGACGAGCCTAGGAAATATCCATGTAAGGAGACAAGGAGCAAAGTAGCAAATGAGTGGCTTGTGTGTTAAAAAGTCAGAAAGTAATGATGCCGACCAGTGAGCGACACTATAACTAATAGTCCTTCACATCAAGCAGAATTCCCTAGCCAATAGAATGTCTATGTAGTCATACTACAAGGTTTAATCCGCCTTTCCAATATCACAGCATTGCTCAGAGGACCATTCTTGGGCGTCCTCTCGTTCAACAAGGGCTAAGTTTGGAGCGTGTCAGCGAAATGTTCATATAGACTTTATGACAAGGTATTGCCAGCCTACCTGGTGCGGCAATCACAGATGCAACAGACACAGCCAAAATAACGAAGACAGACTTGAAGTTCATGGCGTCTTTGTTCGAATTCGATAGTTGAATGATAACGTGTACTTTGTTGGTGATTGACAATTTTATAACTCAAGGCTATTGATGGACGTGTAGCAGGTTTATCGTTCAAGAAAAGTGGGAGCTCTGGTCTTTATAGCCACAAGGCAGCCAAAAACCCAAATCGCTCGCCCTATGAAACAAGTACAACACCCTCCTGAGGTTCCCGGTGTGGGATCACACCGGTCAACGCCAAGTGGACCTATAGTGACTGCCTGATGTCTAGGCCCTTGTTTCTGAACAAATTTGGAGGTTCCAGGTACTCTATGGTGAAATATGGACCTGTGAAGGACCCATGTGATAGTGGCTGCAGAAAAAAGTGGAATCATAATTACCTTGGGAGGTCATTGGGTGAACATAACTGCACGGATGTACGGTATGATAGTATGTGCTGACAGAGGACTTACAGTGGTAGTCTACAACTTATTGAATCACGACAACTCATGTATTTTATACGGGTTAATTCTGTGACTCAAAGCCAGATGTGCAAGTAACGGTGATTAAAAGAAGTCAGTAGGCGATGCCCATTTCCTCTGGCTTGGGGAAACCCCCATCTTGCCATGCCGAAACGTTAGGCAACAAGGGAGCTGCATATTCGAGTGCGGTTATCGGCGGAGTATGTGTGAAGATCCTTGAGGAGTTCACCGCTTATTAGTGCTGACGTTCGGAGAATGCTTGAATGGTATGCATGCAGGAAACTATGCATCTTCATGGCACAGGATCATTCAGAACCGCTCGACCGGTTTCAGATGGTGGTAATGATTTCGTTTTCGTTTTGGTTCCCAGACTGCGTCTCTGCCCGCTCTGCCATCACAGGAAAAGTGGTGCCATCAATGATTGTCAAGTCATTTCGGCCTGCTCTCGGATTTCACAGAGGAACTTCAAACTTTCATGCCCAAAGCTTCCATGCTTGAAGCAAAGACACAAATCGGCGAATTTTGTATTTCTTTGTAATATTGTTTCGTGTTTTTCCCAATTCAAGATGGCTGATCGTCCTACATCAAAAGAGTATACTCCCGTGGATGATGAGGAGGCGACATACCTGTACGAGGGAGACAGCAGTGAGGGCCTTCTCGGGGACAGACGAAAGTCTGCTAGATCTCCGCCGAATTGGATACCGCGAGTGCAGTGTAACACCGCGGGTTTCTTATTGATAGCCGCGCTCATGGTTATTTCCGTTCTGGTTACTATCCAAGGTACCATTTGGTATGAAAGAAGAGGCAGCAATGCGCCGAGGTGGCGCCCAGCGTTCTGTAAGTTATCCACTTCCTCTGGGCCCGACACTCAGCGTCTAAACAATTTTCTCTGAATATTTACTGGATGGTACTGATATTTGTAGCACCGTTGTATGACATGGTTGAAATTCCACTAGTAACAACATATGCCGACCACTCTCCAGCGCCTAATGCTTCCGATCCAAGGCACATCTACCGACTCGACCCAAGTCCCGAAGTCGATGCAGCCTGGACCCGCATTGCTACAGCGGATGGGATATATCCCATGTCAGCGTCAGACGTAGTTCGCGCAGGAAAGGACCCAGAGATGGCTGTAGATGCGCCGGAGTCGTGGGGATTCCCACCGGGCAAAACCAAAATGATGGGTATCGAAGGGTTGCATCTACTGCATTGTCTGAACGCAGTAAGAAAAAGCCTCATTACTACCTATGACTATTACTGGGGCTCTGAGTATGGGTTTGCGCCGCCCGCTGTATTCGCACGACACCTTAATCACTGCGTCGATATGTTGCGACAGCATCTCATGTGCCATGCCGATCTTGAGCCTTTCACTTTCAATTGGCGCGTTGGTCAGACGAAGCCATACGCCGACTTTGGAATTCAAAAGACGTGCGTAGACTTCGACTACTTACTGAACTGGGCCGAGAGACACAAGAACCCTCGGCACGAGGAGCTCGTAAGTTAACTTGATATCCATTTCCCCCCTCCTAGTATTTCCATTGCGTTTTGATCACTTTTACAAATGCTTGCAATTCTTGAGGATTCTTCAACCTTGTTGATAGTTGTGTTTACTGATCCTTTTCGCGAAAGTAGAGAGCTTTAGAAAAACCCGAGAATGTAAAACAAAAAGAAGCCCCAGCAGGATTACCACAAATAACTAATGAGACAATATGGAGTACACGAGGACACTTCCCACTGGCTAATCTCACCGGTTTAGAGGGCAAGGAATATTGTCTCGGCACAACGTGATAGGTAATGAGAACCGGAAAATCAACGGAACCGGGAGTTTGGTCTGACAATAGTAGAGAGTCTCTCAAGTGGCATAACCCTCATGAATGGTGAATATGTATCGGCAATCCCTTGTGTGAGTAGATACATGTTGCATTCTTCGAAAGGGAACCACGGTGCAAGTAAACCTGCAGGTAGAGGTCCATCACGCAATGCAGTATACATAAAACCAAGTGCTTGATATTGCAACAGGCATCTCACTTCTAAAATTTCTGAAGTTTTCTAATTGAAACACGATCTGAATTTCAGTTCAAAGGTTCGATTTCGGCGTGCGAAGAGCAATTGTGTTGCTAAGGGTTTCCTCAGCATCCCTCTCCAAGCGCCGTGCAAGCTCGTCGCAGGATGGGACATCATGAATCAAACCAGCACACATACCCAAACTCCATACGCCAGCGTTGACATCACCAGTCTCGTATACTCCACGTCCTCGCTTGCCACTCATCAAATGGGCCACATCCTCAAACTTAACGTCCTGTTTGGAATTTTCGATCTTGAAAACCTCTGTACTAACTTCGTTCTTGTGAAGCCTGCTGGTGTTTCGGAATTTACGTAGCACCAGTACTGTATCGTGCTCGCTTGCTTTGACAATGGCGTCCTTGACATTGGGATGTATTGGTGATTCCTTCGTAGCCATCCATCGTGTCCCCATGTTCACACCTGCTGCCCCCAGCGCCAGTGCAGCAGCTACTTGTCGGCCATTAGCAAACCCCCCTGAAGCAAGGTAAGGAATCTTGAGCTGTTCGGCACATAGACTCAGTAGCATCAGTGACGTTGTGTCATATTCGCCTCCGTGGCCAGCACACTCAATTCCATCAATGCTGATACAGTCTACGCCCAACCGTTCAGCTCGCAAAGCATGCTTCAACGCCACACACTTGTGAATTACAGTGCATCCGGCGTCTTTAACGATCTTGAGCACTGGGCTTGGGTCCCCCGCAGTTTCGATAATTCTTATGCCCTCCTCAACGCAGACTTTGGCATATGCCTTGTAGTCCGGCGGATTAATGGCAGGCAGCAGCGTGATGTTAACCCCGAATTGGACCGCATCTGGTTTCAACATGCTGCGCGTTCGGTGGATCTCTTTTCGCAGTGCCTCAGGCGTCGGTTGTGTGAGAGCAGTGAGAAATCCGAGACAGCCGGCATTGGCTACAGCAGAGACCATCTCAGCGCGTCCGACCCACATCATCCCGCCTTGTACGAGAGGGATTCGAATCCCCAGACTGGTAGTTAACCAGGTCTTGAATGGCATGGTCGGAGATGCCCTCAGCTTCTCCAGCAGGGTCGCAGTTGTAATAATTAAAGAAGACAACCTAGAGAATAAGAATTACAATACGGCGTACTGTCACACTATCACAGGACTTTCCGGCAGAGATGGTGCACATTAACCAGCTGGGACTCAAAATTGCGTCTCATGGCAATAGGTTTGGAATCCTTTTATGTTTGTATTTGATGTTGGTTACAGGGGTTGGAGCGGGGTTCCAGAAATGCGCAACATTTCTGGACCGAGGTATATAGTGGGGATGAGATTCGACTTTGAATCTTCGTACCAAATGGGCTCGGACTCAGGAAGTACAAGGAGTCATCGCCTTACAGATGAAATCATTACCAAGTTCATTGCACGAGAAGAATTTGCATGCAATGAACCTTTTAGAATCTAGAGACACGACCCTCACAAGTGAGTATCAGAGGTAAATACTAGTCGAGTGCTGAGTATAGCGTCTGGACGACCCAAAGAATGCTATATACATCAAGAATATAGCCAACGGAGAAGGAAATCAATGGCCCGTATCTACATTACGACATCACCGTACCGTTCAGCTATCTCGTCTCATTGTGAATTGGCTAAATCACAACCCCTTCCTCGTCAAACTCTATGCGACTTGTAAGCATATTCAGAGAACCACGTTGATAGACACCATGAGAATCCAGCTTCAATGAGAGCTAAGCATCAATCACTCGTCTTGAAATTAACGTCTATCACTTAGGCAGACCACGCTGATGCGAGGTGCGAGAGCAGCCCATGAGAGAGCAGACCATCCAAAGCCAGTGGCAAGGTAGCCAACAGTTAATCTGCAGCCTCAAGTGACATGAGATCATAGGCTCCGATAGCATGAGGGTCCATCGCATTGTCCAGTGGAAGACATAGCCTGGAGAGCGCACCACCATGGCCGCCTTCAGCCCAGCATAGTGACAGTTTTGCATCATCCAGAAGGTTATCTCTGCCGACCCAATCACTACGATAGATTAACACGTCATTTTGAACATCTCACTAATACGTGGGTACGATGTTGGCGCTGTTTCTGCCACAGACTGGCATGTAGCAAAAGTGGCATCTTTCCATATTGCACCTCACTTACAAGGTTGGCAGATTATGTTCTTCTACTTTATTTAATTTCATTTTATCTCATAGTACCTAAGCTACTTCTTGCATTTGGTCTTCTGGGTCCTGCTGCTGCTCGACAACTTCCCAAATCCAGCAGAGGCAGGGACCTTGCTCTGAGCTTCACTAGCAGACACTGCAGTTGCGACTGACAGACCGGTGAAGTTGGCGAAGAACTCCGTGTCTGAGCTATCAAAGGTGCCCGAGTTGCTGTAGATGTTCGAAACACAGGCTCTGCCAAGTGCAGACTCGCACTGCTGGTTGGTCGTGTCGTCGGGAGAACTGAACAGATGCCCCTTGAAGTCGTCGACAACGATGGTTTCGACATCGTCAAACACACAGCCTTCGAAGAGGCCCTGCCCGTTTGTATCACCCTCGATAGCATGGCCGCTGATGTTGGACCAGACGCTGTTCACTGCGTGGAACAGAGTGCTGCCACTGAGTGCTGGGCCACGCCCAGACGTTGACCAGATGTAGTTGTCTGAATAGACATTAGGCTTGCTAACCGATTTGGGAAAACATGAGAACTCACTTTGGAAAGTAATTTGATCCTCTGTGCCAACAAGCTCGATGGTCCAGTAGTGGTATCCATCACACCCGGCCGACCAGCTAGTGGCGCCATCGATGAAGTTGTTAGACAAAGTTATGCGACCACTCGGCTTTTGGCCAAAGACGTAGTGCTGGCGTCCAAGTAGCGAGGTCTTATAAAATTAGTTGATTATCATCCTACTGGCTCATTTGACTCACTGTACAATGATCAATCCAGATCAAGTCCGACTCGGCGAAAGTGAAAGCGTCACCACCCCATACATATTGAGGATTCAGATCCGTCTGCGCGTTGGAGCGAGTTAGTATGGTGCACTTGTGATACACTACCGATGGCTTTGGCCCTCTCGCACAGTTTTGACCCCTGGGACCCGCCGCCAAGGGTCTTCGAATATGGTGTGCTGGAGAGCTTACAATGTGAACGTTTTGGACAATGATATTGGAGACACCATTAGTCATTCTTAAACCTTTTCCTTTGATAATACCACTGCTTCCCACTCCAATTAAGGTCTTATTCGACGCCACTGTGATGCCCTCTATGGCGGCATTGTCATATGTCACGGTCGCTGCCGTTGTTGAGCCGCACCAGTCGTTGGCGTTGATAGCCAGCTGACATCCGGCCCCTGTTCCGTATGGTGCACATCCAGCCTCTGTGGTGGTCCCTTCGGATTTCGTGAAGTCGTATGTTTTCGAGAGTACGATAACCTGAGCCTCTGACGACCCGAGAAGCGACACAAGCTCGTCGATATCATTCGGATACACTGGCGTTGCGTTGCCTCCACCAGTGATCCCCGTAGCAAACCCCTCCGCGGCGCCAGACACACTTTGTGCGAGTACTGAGCGAACAAGGCCTGCAAGCACGGCCACAGCTGCAAGAGACTTCATAATGTGTGACTTGGCCGTAGGTTAGTACTACGGATATGTATGGTGACTGGTGTTGTTGGCAGCAAGATCGTGTTCCCATTGACGCAGAGCTTCCATATAGGTTCCATGTATGATATATACCAAGGCCTGGTTCGCGTACTGAACACTTGGGATGGCCAATGGTTGAGATCCACCCTTCTTCGTGGCTCGTTTCTAACAGACGAGTTGTAGCAATTTCAATTTCTATGGCAATGCTACTCAGCCAAGAACATGTCATGCCGGTATGCAAGGCTTATTTCTGCGGACCATTGATGATTACACGCCAATTGGATCTCAGACCCGAGCTAACACATCGGGTGGCTGGATGCATTCAGCAGGAATCTACAGTGAATCATTTTGGGTGAAACAGAGAAATTGCTAGGGAGCAAGGGGTTGTCGTCTGAAGGAGATTGAGTACCCACTAGCTACCCAGGATCTCAGCGTGGTCCGCAGTCTAGCGCATCGCAGGGACCATGCGGCTCTATGGACAGATGGAGCAATCCCGAAGCCATCGGACGGCTTGCGCACCACTTATTTGGGCTGGATGGTGCCCATTTGGTTGAAGTTAATGAACCGTACAGGGGTGCTAGGAGTGTTCGGGAGTTTGGGTCGATGAGGCTCAAATGATCTATGTGTGCCCGGGCCTCATGTAAGCATTTCTCGATTGACAGTCCAATTTTCCATCACTTGCATGTGTATCCTATGGAGATTCTTAGTGGCTCACACATCGGGTCGCGGGGATACCTCAAGAAGTGGCCCTCGGAGTGAGTGACATTCATGTGAGATACGAAATACTACCAAGCAAGTTCTCTACGAGGGTAGATATAGGCGTTTACGTTATAAACACCGCCTTCTACCGCATATACACGAGGTTTTCCGTCGACGCCCCTGAGATTGGCGTCACTGCCGGCAAGACTTTCTGGAAGCCATCAGCCTTGCCTGCGTCTTGCCCCAAGAACGGAAGCCCACGGGGCTTCCCCCAAACATCACATGGGAGAAACCTCCATGCACCGGCGTGTGCAGGCGACAGTTTGTCAGCAATAGCGTGGACAGCCAACACAGACAAGCCTGGCCAGTTGTTACCACCTTCGTAGGTCGTGTCGCGCATGCGAACCGTCATCGGGGGGACTATGAACGGATCTGAGTGGTCCTTGATATCTGCCTCAGATGATAGGTATAGCTGCAAGATCTTTGCACTCCGCGTCTCTGCCTCAAACGATCCAGATTGGCCGCAGAGGGATTGTAGATCTACCAGTATAGATGTCTGAGCCTCCACATAGGCCCTGAATGCATTACCGACGCCTTTGATGAGCAGAAGGAAGTTCGAAGAGTCGTACGCTGCAGGTCTCGAATGAGTATGTTCTGAATAGTCCAGCAAATGGTGAAGTGCTGGTTCGAAGTTCAACTCTTCCGTGTACAGAGAGGTAATGGACCCAGGCTTTCCCAATGTTTCTTCGAATTGCGGAAACAGTCGTGTTTGCCGCTGAACATGCTGCCCCAAGACCCATCCAGCCCAGGATTTGGTCAGAAAGAGGAGGTCGGCGACGTCGTTGGCTGCCGAGACATGGGGGGCCTGAAGGAATATCGCGTTCAGTCCGCGCAGTGCGGCATTGTGTCCCTGGCACACCTCGTTTGCGACGTGAAGGACTGGATGCGTTATCTGTGTGATGATTAATCAGGTTATTATCCAAATGCCCTAAAATACGTACATCCAATGTCAGCGAAGGAGTCTCCAGTAAAGGCAGAGGACCATCAGCCCAAGGACCACGGCCAGGTTGAGTCTGTCGTCGCCCACGCCCTGAGGGGACTGACGATGGAGTAGAGAACCCAGAATTGTTTAACGCAGGAGCGGCGAACGACATGATGCGATAATCCAGCGGAGGGCGACCTCAAGGAGAAAGTAAGTGACGCAAACCACAGAATTCAGCGCGCAAGAGCTGTCCTGGAATCCTTCCCATCGCGACGGTAAAATTCGCGCCGTGCGGAGGTCAAGATGTCATAACGTTCTAGATCGGCCACTGCAAGGGCCGTAAGCGCTTCCGCGCCTCAATCGGGCGTTGGCGTCGATGATAAGCTGTGTAAGATGCAGGGCTCATCATAGAAAACGTCTCGGGCAGTCGAGCCCTTTCACCCTGGTTCTGGACCGTGGCCAGCTTCTTGCCTATTTCAATTCAATATTGACGCAGCTAATCACTGCTGCATGAACTGTTGCAGGATAACTATTGGCCTGGCGCCTCCAATGAGGACGTTTTTAGGGCCCGTCGGGTGCGGGAACGCTTACCGAGACAGGCATTAGATGTCGTGTAAGGGGAAGCTTAAGGTAAAGTGGAATCGTTAGTGGGCACCAAATGTGTGGACACGTACTAAAAAGCAAAGCGCCGCTGGATAGGAGTGGCCCAAGATTGAATTCATCAAAATCTTGTGCACTCACCTCACTTAGTCGGAATCAGTAAACGCACTGTACCGTGATGCTCAGTTTCTGTCATCATGTAAACCATTCTCATATTTGAGTTCTCGCCTTGCGCGTTCCAATAGCTGTGTGTAATGAAGTTACAGTACATGATGCAGCTTACGGCTGACATCGCATAGGCGGCTTGGCAGTTATTTGGTCTACGAGCTATAACTTCAGCTCAAGCGCAGCTTATCGACCTTCACATGATTTCAAACGTCGCAATCACGCCAGCGAGCTTCAAGTTGGGAGCCTCAAGTAAGACGGTATATAGCATTCCAAGGGAGAGATTTCCGGATCTTCTGTCCTGTCGGGAATGTCGAAGGTGCAAGTGTACCGTGGGTTCGCCCTCTTGGAAAATTCCGCCTGACCAGACTGCAAAAAGCAGACTCTCGGCTCGTAGTAAGCAAATCGCCTCTTGTAGACCATATAGATCGAAACATGGAAACCCTCTCTTCCAATTCCCTGTGTCGCTCCAAGTTCCGCTTCTTGCTGCATCGCACGATGAAATGGTGAGATCAAGCCCCCAGCCTTCGGCTTGTAACCCTACAGCCACCTGCACGCAGAGAGGGGGCTAACAGCGTCGATCACAGGCCTCAGGGTAGCTGCAGCGTTGGGAAAATACCAGTGTTGCTCTCTTTTGAGGAACTCCCTGAGTGGCATCGCGATAGCAAGTACGTTCATCGTGGATATCGCCCTGTATCAGGATCGACGCGAGTGTCTTTTGCCAGCTAGTCATACATGCACAACGAGTCGATAACATATACTCTCACCTGATACCTGCCATTCTATTTTTGGTGGATGAATGGTATGTTGTACATTACCTACTGGGAAGATATGCCCCCGTCACAGGCGACGAGTGCTTCATTTTTTTCGTTGCTCCTCATCACTACCGTTGTCTGTTTGGGACTGTCATAGAAATATTATACCTTGATAGACCACCCCCACGAGCTTGAAAAGTTATGACTACGACTATGATCTGGTGGGGATTGTTGTCTTAACCATGGGCGGCTTTGTGTCGGGAATCTACATCGTTTTCTGGTCTGGACCTCTGCAACGCAATGTCTACTAGTCTATGGTTAGTCAACATGTTCACGATCCATTGCATCAAAAATTAAATGCTAAGTTCTCCATGTATTAGAATACGGGGTGCCTTTACCATTTTCGTCGGGGGCAACCCAAAGTTCCAGGGCACAGAGTGGCAAAGGTTTCGTGCGCTTACTTGCGCAGGAACAGCATTGTCTGGGCGTGCACCACTCGTACGCGGAACGAAGCTGTTTAGGATCTCGCAGTTGATGAAACAATCTGGAATGATGTACTATATTATCGAAGGGATAATTCCTCCTGGTGGGGACTCTAATCCATGCGGCGAGTTCAATAAGAAAGGGAATTTCACTATGCCCTCTCATCTTAAGCCTAGACAATTTGGACATATGGTAATTGAGTTCAGAAACTTCCTCTTACCAGAAACATCAACGTGTAGACAAAGGAAAGAGATAGTGATTACATCTCTCAATATGCCCCAGTCATTCACCTGTAAAGCCATCACGGAGCTGACGGAAAACTGCCAGTGTTTGATTCTTGGCGTTGTATAGGATTATCTTGTCAGCGACTCAAATTTCGATGGTAGCCGCAGTTTTCTTACTGATTGGCGTAGAGAGCATGGAAATCGCCATTGAGTGAATATAATGGTGTCGGTATAACTAGGGCCGGCCTAGAACCTTACGGATTTCTTCCATCTAGTAATTGACAAAGAAATACCGCGTTCTGGATTCGTACACCAGTTGCCTCGCTCTATGAAGAATAAATTATTCCACTGACTCACGGCTGTAATGTATCTGCAGGTCTATTTATATTGGCTTCTTCTGCGCAAAGAACGGTCTTTGCCTGAACCATAACTCCCAGAGCACTCCTGAACAACCAGCCATCATGAAGCCTGTCGCCGTTGTCTCCTTCTTAGTTACACTCATTGCAGTCACATTTGCCAAAGATTCACGAACCTTTGCGGTACTTCGATTCAACAATGAACCCGGCAAGTTCTCAACAGAAGGCCGAATGGACCCCATTGTCAGCCCAGGTGCGCCGGCTGGTCATTCCCACGGAGTTATGGGAGGTCACAACTTCGGCTTGACCGTTCAAGGAGACCAACTGCTTGAATCTAATTGTACCAACGCCATGATCAAGAATGACAAGTCCAACTACTGGGTTCCCGATCTTTGGTTCCAGTCACCCCGCAACAGCACTTTCAAGAAGGTTCCCCTATTCTACATGCAGGTTTACTACTTGTAGGTACATTTTTCTTACAGCATTAATTTTGTTGCTAACGAGCTAGCTTTGATGCTACAAACGATGTAATCAAGCCATTCCCTCCGGGCCTGAAGATGGTCATCGGCGACTCCAGTAAGCGCACGCCGCCTGCTACTGGTGCTATACAGTTAGATCCTTCTCGCGGCGCAATTCAACCGGTGCAGTGGGTCTGCCCAGCTAATGGCGATCCTAACCGGTATCCAGTGGACAGTGATGGGACTCGTGCGGGTCTTCAAGATCCCACCGACCGAGGTGCCGGAGCTGGATTCCCTGTTATCAATTGCGATATTGCCGGGGCGCCTCTACGTCAAGACATCCATTTCCCTTCATGTTACAATCCTGCCGCCGGCATAGATGACCACAAGAATAACATGGTGTTTCCCACACCAAATGGGAACAAGTTCGATTGCCCCAAGGGATGGACCCATCTGCCTCATCTGTTCTACGAGGTGTATTACGATACCACACCTTTCGCAAACGAGTGGACTCGAGATGGCCAAACCCAGCCATATGTGCTTTCCAATGGTGATAGAACAGGCTACAGCTCTCATGGCGACATGATTTCGGGCTGGGACACCACAACTCTGCAGGCAATCATCGACGGCTGTGACGCTGGGAACGACGGTATGGACAAATGCCCGAGACTCATCGGCGGCATCAATACGAGCGATAGGTGTAAGATTGACTCTGCGGTGCCTAACCCAAGAGACGAGTGGCTTACCGCGCTTCCTGGTAACAACCCATTGTCGGGATGGGGCGTGGGAGGCGTTTGAGGTTGAAGAGCCAATCTGAGTTGCGCAGCAACGTTACCCCCTATGTAGTCTTCGCCGGCCAACGTGTGAAATCAGGGAATTGTTGTGACATTTTTTAGACTGCCATTCTCTAAAGTGATTAAATCTTGGCAGCCTGCCAGCTGTCGGTGTTGTTGGCCGAAGGTGCTGAGACATCATGCCCGAGGACGCTCGGACCCAGGGATCCTGTGACTACCCAGCATCGTCGACGGAAGTTCTACAGCAAAACATGTTGACTGTGATAACAAAATTCTGCAACGCTCCACAAATTGATAAAGCTACGATCATACAGCATGGGCCCGTCTCTTGATTCTGAGCCTGACCACTGTGGCGGGCGTTGCTGCGGCGGACCACCAGCACCGAACACGGCTCCGGTCACGGCCTCTCAACCAGCTGGCTCGAGAATGGCCTACAATGTGAGCGGATACGGTTCTGGTGCCATCGGGGGCTCTTGCTGTGCCGAATCACCTGATGAGTCTGCCAACGCCGGCGATTGTTCGTGCTGTGAGAAGCCTGACCCAGGATCTCGCGATGCAGGACAAGAGTCTTCCGCCAAGGATTGTCAGGCCAAACCGTGCTGCGCAGACAAGGCTAGCCAGGACGCGACGACTCAAGAATGCGCTGACGATAGTAATTGCTGCACTGGCGAGAACGAGGTATCTGATACTGAAAGCCTTGATGAATGCTGCGCCAGCCAGAAACCGCCAACATCTACCGACAACACTTGCTGTTCTGGGCCAGGATGCTCCGCTGAAGTCGAGGCCACTGCGCCGCCATGCTGTGAGGGGAAACCTGGACCATGCTGTGATGGTATCTTCCAATTTACACTCCGATCGAATTGACAGGTTCTAATGGATGCCAGTCACCTGCATTGAACGTCTCGCTTTGCGGGACTGCAAACAGAACTGTAGCGATGAATCGCACACCACCGGCGGTTCGGATAACGGTGTTGAGCCTGACGCATGCAGCACCCACAGGACCACAGCATTCGAACGCTACAGCGAGAAGCTCGCCACGCTCGGTTGTCTCTGCCGAGCCTTGATCGCGAAAGGGCAGGAGTCGTGCTGTGTCGCTAAGCCTGCCTTTCTCAAACCGCGAGGCCGGGGCAAAGGTGATCCAGCTGCTTCATCGCAGACCGCAGGTCGTAGAGGTCGCAGTGCTCCCAGTACGGAAGACAACCAGTACTGCCGGTCAGATGTCGCTCCCATCCAAGCCCAAGGCTCTGGTTGCAAGACCGCTTGTTGCACCCCTAGCAGCCCAATTTCTAAAGGCGGGTGTGAGAAAGAGGCCGTGGTCACCAACAATGATACACCTGTTGGCTTGCGTCAGAATTTAGCTGCATCCCAACCGAGGGATCCTGAGAAGGGACACACTGGTCGTGAGCATGTTGCTCTCACAATCGCCGGTATGACTTGCACAGGCTGTGAAACCAAGCTCCAGAGAGTTCTCGGAAACCTCCCAGCAGTTACAAATCTGCAGATCAGCCTCGTTATGGCCCGGACCGAGTTCGTGTTAGATAACGCCGTGATGTCAGTTGATGCTGTCATGAAGCATGTCGAAAGGACGACTGAGTTCAAATGCCAGGAGATCTCCACCCAAGGCTCTAGCCTGGAAGTTATCCCAAAAGGCGATATGAAAGAGTTTCTCGATCAAGCAATCCCAATTGGAGTCAACTATTTACAGCGTTCAGATAATGACTCAGACATTGTTCAGGTCAATTTCGACCCGCGCGTTGTCGGTGCCAGGGATCTATGTGAAAAGCAGCTCCTGCCCTCTGCTTTGGGTCCATTTGGTACTGACCCTGGGTTGGCCGCCGGCTCCAAACACGTCAAGATGACTGGCTACTACACGCTTCTCTCTTGTATCTTGACGATCCCCGTTCTTGTATTGGCTTGGGCGCCTCTACCAGAGCACGATATTGCGTATGGCGCTGCTTCCTTAGTCCTCGCGACTATTGTCCAGTTGGTCGTCGCAGGCCCGTTCTATCCCAAGGCCCTCAAAAGCCTTATATTCTCTCGCATGATCGAAATGGACCTCCTTATAGTGCTCAGTACAAGCGCCGCATATATCTTCTCCGTGGTCTCTTTTGGTTTCCTCGTCCGACGCCAGCCCCTGTCCACAGGTGAATTCTTCGAGACCAGCACGCTGTTGGTCTCGCTTGTTATGGTCGGTCGATTTGTCGGCGCTCTGGCGCGCCAGAAAGCCGTTGAGTCCATTTCGATACGGTCATTGCAAAGCAGTACAGCGTTGCTGGTCAACGAGGACGGGATTACCAGTTCGGAAATCGACACGAGGCTTCTCCAATATGGAGACTCCTTTATCGTTTTGCCTGAGCATCGTATACCAACAGACGGTATCGTCACTCAAGGTGAATCGGAAACCGATGAGGCTATGGTCACAGGCGAGTCGCGACCCGTTGAGAAGACCGTTGGGGATCACGTCTTGGCTGGTTCTATCAATGGATCAGGCAAGCTCATGGTCCGACTCACACATCTCCCGGCGGATAACACCGTTAGCGTTATTGCTGGGATGATCGATAGTGCCAAGCTGACGAAACCAAAGGTGCAGGCCGTCGCAGATCGGATTGCCTCGTATTTCGTACCAGTTGTAGTTGCACTCACCATTATCACCTTCGCTGTCTGGGTAGCTGTGGGGATAGAAGTACGAAGACAGGGTAGCAGCGAGGCCTCCATCCAGGCCCTCACATTTGCCATCACTGTCCTGATCGTATCATGCCCTTGCGCCATCGGCTTGGCGGTACCCATGGTCATTGTAATTGGGACCGGCGTAGCTGCCGACTATGGCATTATCTTCAAATCGGCCGACAGTATAGAGACAGTTCGCAGCGCTACCCATGTTGTTTTTGACAAGACTGGTACACTGACTGAAGGAAAACTCAAGGTCCAAAATGAGTACTATTCACCAGGGGATTCTCAGGCACGCTCGGCCGTTTTGGGCCTGGTCGCCGGCAGCAAACATCCTGTGTCCGCCGCCGTAGGGGAATACCTCAAGGAGCAGGCCGTAACTGAAAGGTTGATTGCCGATAGCAAGGCGATCCCAGGACATGGTATCGAAGGAACCGTGGGCGGGCGCACTGTCCGTGGTGGTAATGCTCATTGGTTGCAAGTTGCCAGCAATAACCACGTCGCAGACATGCTATCGAACGGTTACACAGTGTTTTGTGTGACCATTGACTCCGAGCTGTGTGCAGCTTACGCCCTTTCCGATACTTTAAGGCCAGATGCTCATCAGGTTGTCTCTCAACTGAAGAAGAAAGGGATCCAAGTCTCCATCCTGAGTGGTGATGACGACGGCGCGGTCCAAAGTGTCGCTGAGGAGCTTGGCCTGGATCCTTCGGAGGCGCATTCCAAATGTCGGCCTGCCGATAAGCTTGAGTTCATCAAGAAACTCCAGTCTGGCACATTGGATGGCAAGTCACCAACAATTGTATTTGTTGGGGACGGAACCAACGATGCTGGAGCCCTCGCCCAGGCGAATATTGGAGTACACGTCAACTCAGGAACGGACATCGCTCAGAGTGCAGCTGATGTTGTTCTCATGCGTCCAACGCTCCACGGAGTTGCAACCATGATCGACATATCCCATGCCTCTATGGTTCGGATCATGTTCAATTTTGGATGGAGCGCCGTATACAATGTCCTCGCACTCCTGTTCGCTTCAGGGGCCCTCGTTGCTGCCAGTGGAGGGGCGGGCGTCAGAATTCCTCCCGAATATGCTGGGCTTGGGGAACTAGTCAGCGTTCTTCCAGTTATTGTTATCGCTCTGACGTTGAAGTGGGTCAAGTTCTAGTGTGATATGGAATATGCGGCTGCCAAAGACTAGCTGGAGGTAGGGGTACTCAAGGTTGCACACTGACAGCATCACGACCAAACCTACACATATACGACCAAACCTGGCTCGCTTCGATGGCTCAGCCTACCTTCATATGACTTCTAACCTTCAAGTTCATTTACTGAAATGCTTGTTTCTTTATTCGCATTCCTTCCCTTTTCAATTCAAAGCCAATACACAGGAGGCTGCGCTTGTCTTCAATCACCCCTTTCGTTCATGATACGTCGCTCCCGATTTTACATTCATTCATATCTCCCTCTACGGGAAAGATTACTTGACAGATGCTAGCTTGACACGCTCTAAGCTAGGCGTCTAGTGAACACGGGTCGGGAGTGTTTGAGATATTGGTATTGCCATTCGTTTAGTTCAGCACAATCGTGGGTGCTGCAATCTATCTACACAGGCAGAAATAAATGAAGCCATTAAAAGAATCTAATGAATATTGCAAATGTCAGCTGATCTGTGGGTGTTCGCCACCTTGATTGTAAGTCACAATATTAATATCTTTTCCTTGCCTTGCTTGTTCAGAGAAGAAATTGGTCAATTGGAGGCGCCATAGTTGAGTACAAGCCACTACTGGGGAGAATTCGGAGATCCTTCATTACTACTATATACAGGCTGTCACTGATTTTACACTAGTCTATTGGTCTTTTAGTCATGTGAAAGGCTTGTCACGGCAGAAAGTATATACGCCTTCCGGTACCGGACGATGCGGAAGCTAGGTCGACCCACCGTGACCCGCCGTAAGCCGACTATAGTACAGCTAGTAGAGTCTTTCATGGTCTTAACACGATGGACGTTAGAGTTCAATCTTTCTCTTTTGAGTGGTTTCAAGTTTCGATATCCTGTGTTTCTGAATATCTATCGGGGCGACGAGGCATGGCTGATCTGTCGATACTGCAAGCCGCTACAACGCGAGCTCGAAGCCAAGAAGCAATTGAGCTCGAAGAGTCTGGTCACGATGGACGTCTCCGGCAGAACCAATCACGAACTGTTCCACCAATTTATGAGGCCCCTAATGGCGGATATGCGTGGATCTGTGCTCTGAGTGTCTTTCTCATCAACGCCCATACCTGGGGTGTAAACAGTGTAGGTGCTCTCCCTCTACCAGGCTTAGGGTCGATTTGGAACTCAAACTGCATTATTCAGTCATGGGCTGTTATTTTAGCCTATTATTCTGCCAACGAGATATTCCCGAGCGCAACTCATCTCGAGTACTCCCTCATTGGCGGCCTCTCGATTTCGCAGGCCCTCATGGTCTCTCCCATCGTAACCAAGTGCTACCATCACTACGGTTTGCGGACCAACCTTCTCATTGGTACTGCACTTGAGTTTGTAGCTCTGTTCAAGACTTCATACGCTACACAAATCTGGCATCTTTTCCTTAGTCAAGGGGTATGCTTCGGTTGGGGCATGGGCTTCTTGTACATCACAGCATCCGCCGCCTTGCCGCCGTGGTTCTCGACCAGACGAAGCTTGGCTGTGGGTTTGTCTACCGCCGGTGCTGGTATAGGAGGCGTCATATACAGTCTCGCAACAAACTCGGCCATCCAGAACGTTGGCATAGAGTGGGCGTATCGCATTCTTGCGTTGTGTACGCTCTTGGCCAACTTCGCCTCCGTTCTAACGCTGAGGGAGGTGAATTATGGGGTACCACACAGGACGCGAGAAGACCATAGTCTCAGACTTCGTGACTTTACACGTATCGAAGTTATTCTCGTCGTCTTTTGGGGAACGGTCACCGAGCTGGGTTATATCACTCTGCTCTACTCGCTTCCCAGTTATGCTACATCTGTCGGACTAACGCCAACACAAGGATCCATCGCAAATGCTTTGCTCAACCTAGGCTTAGGTATCGGCAGGCCCCTTGTTGGATACTTCAGCGACAGGGTCGGCCGCATCAACATGGCAATGTCCATGACGGCGCTATGTGGTGTCTGGTGTTTCGCACTATGGATCCCAGCCAAAGGCTTTGCTCTGCTGTCTGTCTTTGCACTTTTGGCTGGAGGTATCTGCGGAACATTCTGGGCGACTGTCACACCTGTTCTTGTCGAGGTAGTTGGGGTCAGCAAGCTGGCGCGTATCTTTGGTGTTATCTGCATCTGCATGGTTCTTCCCACAACGTTTGCTGAGCCGGTGGCTATGCAGATAGTCAACACTCAAAAATCGACGGCTAGCATCTTCCTTGCGGCACAGATCTTCGTCGGCTGCACGTTCATTGCTGGCGCGCTTAGCTTGGTGTTCCTGCGAGCCTGGAAGATTGCCAATTTGGAATCAGAAGCTGCGTCTGGGACTTCAGACTTGTCGCGAAGCATCTCCCGGCTCACCGGAACCGAAGTTCGGCATAACCTCTCATGGCTTCGACCCAAAACACTCCTAAAGCTTAAGAGGGTATGATTCTACATACCCAGAAGCTTTTGAATTCGGGGACAAAGATGATGTACAAATTGATAACATGCTTGATTGAACGAAAGATTTTCTCTCATAGGTATGCTTTGATTTCGTCACTTTGGCGTCATTAAATTGAAAAGGGGTTGCAAGTCGAAATGCAGCAAGCAGGTACCCTAGTAACGGGTTTGCACTTTTCTTGCTATATTGTACTAGGGAGAGGGGGGGTAAGAAGATAGATTCAAGGTTCTATAAAGTATTCATATACAGTGTTTACTTTATTCAGTCCTGAATTGCGCTTGAGGCTATCCATAATGTTCCCAGCCCCGATTGCAACGTCAACCCTTTGATGGCACTTTCCATCAGCACCTACGGGATTGCTACTGGTTGCTTTAGAATCCTTCAAACAAAAGTTGTTTTTACCTAGTTTTGCTCCAGTCGTGGTCTCTTTCGACTGCACACAACACCACCCGTTGATGCGCGAATCTTTGGACGCACCTGTGGTCATATGTTGCGCTAACATAACTTAGCCTTCAAGTTGACTATCACAACGTGGTGACTAATATAAAGTTTAGTTGAAACTATAGTTCGGAGAACGCCTAGTTAATGCAACTTCAGGATGCTCAGCTGCAAGAGCTGGATACATCCCAGCAGCAGGCGCAAAATTTGGGACTTTTGGATGAACATGCTAACCCAATAATTCGGAAAACTGTAGAAACATTTGGTAGAGTCAGAAGAATGCGCGAACACCGAGAATCAGTGAGATATCATTCAACCAGTTGGAAAGATGCGGTAGCGCTTTGGGAAAGCCGGAGTATGCTCCAGTAAAACCAACTGGGGTGTAGAATACCCTCGCTTTCGTATTGCTCTGGCACACGGTTCGAGTCTGCCAGCCTGAGCTGCACTGGCGTAGCGTATGCAGCTAATACTACCTGGGGGTAAGGTCGTGCACGAGAGCCGCTATCACGCCTTATTGCGCACATAAAGTTGGGGGCGGTATCACTGTTTGGGAGAGCATCCCATACAGGTACGAAACACAGGTCATGTACACAAGCAGGAACTTGATAACACAGTGCACGAAGTATATCATGGTGAGTCATAGGAAACTGAAGACAGTGTGACTAAAGTTCCGGGTGTGGCTATAATGGCATAGTCAGACAGACGTTTAATACTTGAGGAGTGTGAATAACCTCAGTCTGAGGCTGACTGTCGCACAGGATCACCATGAATGTGACGAACAAGATACAGCCTAAAGGGGCGATACACCTCAGCTAATCAAAGGAAGGAAATGAAACAAGGCAAGCTACGACATTCGTTATTGTGCCAATTGGAAATCGCAACAGCGCGACCATCGGACTACCAATCTCTGCTATTGTACTGTAATATGTGCGAAGTGCTACGCTGCTGCCTGCAAAATCCACTAAAGATCGAACCGATGATTCTAAGTTGTTCGGTCTTGATACTAGACTTGGAAACACGGGCGTGGCTAACGTTGGAGTTCACTCTTAACTTGTTGAAAGTCGTCGTCATGAGGCAGAAGCCTTGCACTGTAGTCATTGTGGCCTAAGGTGGCAATATAGCATCGGTTCCATGTTCCACCGCAGGCCTCCCAGATGCGCGTGCACGTGCATGTAGATGAAACTGAGGTGGTTGGCGATTATGACTACAATGACTCACACGGAAAGAGCAAGGCGAGTTCAAGAGTTCGCCTTCACCCCATGGATGTAGCCAACCTACCGGTGAATCTATAATTGTTATGATACTGGAGCCACTTATAGGAGTTCGCCTGCACCAGGGTTTGGGCGCGTGACCAGGGTGCTCTAGCTGCCTCCTGCTTCCCCTGAGAGTAAGAATGATGTAACCATGCTTCAAGGACTAATGGATGCAGCCTATTGCGCAGATACCATGAGGAATGAATCATCTGGTGGGCTGTGAACCGCTGTTATCAGGAGTCGGTACGTGATTTGATAGTGCACTAGCTGTAGTCGTCGAATGAGATTACTAAAGCGGCAATATTCCGGAAGGCCTTGGAAATCTGGAGGTGGCGATGCCGGCCACTTCGCCTATCACATGCAAGGGGCTAGACCACAATGAACTATTGGTAGCTTCGTTTTGACACGTCAACCCCAGCAGTCCGGAACACTGGGTCACGTATCGCCAATAGAACGATGGATTAAACTTGAGCAGCCAGTCGCTCTGCGTCTGACAAAGTAGCATGACGGTGGTAAACACTACAGCTGACTGAAGGCAATACGCAGCTAGGGAATGTCGAGGGCTGCGTTGGGTATGCAAGACAATCAACTTTCTTCCCCATGCCATCAAGTCGCCGCCCGCAACTTCTAGACTTACACCCCCAAACCAAATGGATTTCCAAGAGCGGGCACAGCATGCAAAGAGACCAGGCGAAGAGACCCCCAAACCACGATGTCGGCGTTAAGTGGTTGAACACCAAAGTTCCGGCACTTGAACCGGGCATCACAACTCGGATGCGAGTGATGACTAACCGTTCAGTTTTCGATAGGAGGGCCAGGTGAGCCTAGGGCATGGACATGGGTAAGGGAGATGCAACGACACTAGCGAAAGTCGTTCCGGCCTTCCAAATGTGATATTGATATTAACCACCCGCCAGTCCTAGTAGGATATTGGTGGTAGGGTCGCCGAGCATGGTGTGGTGACAATAGTATTCACACCACCGGGAATGTACCACATGATGGTATTTTGAATACCACTAGCTCTTGGTAGCAAATAAGGAAAAGAAACGCTTACACTAATTTGAAACGGACGCCACGTTTCGAGCATTGCGCCGCTGGTACGTTGCGATCCTTCGCGGCTCGCGATGCCGCATTCTTTCTTTCTCGTGCCGCTTAGGGAGTATTCCTTCACAAATTTGAAGAAATTTTCTAGACAGTGTTTTTCTTACTTCTACAGAGCAATGCTACGTCAGTGCCACAAAATTTTTCCCTTCCTTTCGCATGGGTCAGGCAGTGGTGCGAATGTAAACAAGCCCCGCGCCCGCTCTACGGTAAGGCATGAATGACATGCACAGCCTTGCATCGGGGCGTCGTTGCCATGGAAGCTATCGTCAAATGAAAGAGTCGGTGAGTGACGAAAGACGACAGCAGCTGGAGTCTGTAGCATCAGTTGTCTGATGGCCCTCCCTATTTTTGGGTGAAGCTGTGTTGTTCATAGACGGTGAGGAGTGCGGCAGAGCAATTAGTGCAGCATGAGTGGTGAAATGGGTTAGGGATGCTGGCTTAGCGGCTCCATTCTGTCGAGATCCTGTGGCTCTGGCATGGCATCTGCACCTTGCAGGGCCCCCCGACGTCCCAATCGGAACGACGACCACTGCGTCTTCCATGCAACAGGGCCTCGGGTTGACCATTCAGCTGGCAGTGAGTCGAGCGTTGGACATGAATGCATCACAGCAAATTTGACGTGAGGGCAGCAAGGCATCGGCTCAGTGACATATGCAATCGCATGTATGCGCATGGTGTGAGTCACTCGAACGATGCGCAGACGATATCGGCTGCCTCCTCGAAGAAGGCATTCGCTCAATTGTGATTTCCATGGCTCTCGATAGCGAAAAGTTTGAAGAAATTAGCGAGCAGGGAAGAATTTTCGGTTTAGATGAGATAGTGGACAAAGAGCAGCGCACTGACGAGACTAGGCGTCGGAGGCGCTCCAGGGGGCACGGCGAGGACCAGCATTGGCTGATTGGGGGCCAGTGGTTTCCGTGCCGTGCTGGCCATCCGTCCAAGGTGTACAAGGTGCCCAACCTATGGAAAGGTGTAGTGTCCACTCGATGGCCGCCAAGTCCGTGTGACGATACGAAGAGGCATGGGTAGTCGTTGGATTGACCCGCGGTAGTGGATGTAATGTCGGCGTAGGGGTCTAGGAGAATATTCATCGTCGTGTATCCGTAGACTGCAGGCTGCAAGTTAGCAGCTGGGTCCCCGTATGCAGACTTGTGCTGTACTGTATGGAGCTATGGAGCTGGATGTACCCGATCGTGGGATCTTTGGCAGACAGGCTTGACAACGGAAGACGGGAGCCATATCCTAGAGCGACAAGCGTTAGTGCGCACCTACACGGCCCCTCCAACCGCACCCGCGCAGCGTGTGCATTAGTGGCGTCCCGAGATTCTGGGGAGCACAATCCAGCGAGCCTTGCGCTAGAGTCAGCTGGGAACATTCGATAACTTGCCGCGGGTCGAGCGAGAGACTGTGAGAGTAAGCATGCACAACCGAAGGGTCGGGTTGCCGACATTTGAGCGCCACCAACACCGACGAGGCTGGCCTCATCAGAGAGACCAGCCTCCCGCATTAGTATTGGCTGTACCTGCTGAGATCTCGCTCTTGGCGGGGACGGATGACCGGCCTGACAGGCTGGAATAGATAACTAATAAACTCATCCGGTGGAAGGTATCCGCCCGGTGAGCCTTCATTCAATCTCTCCTCACCGGCCCAGATATAGTTCCTCTGATGGGAAGGACAAATGGGCTGTAGGGTGTCATTCGCTGACGAGGTGTCAGCAGCATCCTATTTTTTGAGCTTTCGGACACCAGATCACACGCTGACATGAAGGTAACGGCGCACTAGATTGCTACCATTCGTCCGCAGCTCCGGTGGGTTGGCACCACCATTAACCAGTGCATGCTGCGTAACCCCATGGCAACTCGACCAAGAGCAAAAGGGGTTGCAGCACACCTGCGATTAGAGGCCCTTGCGTGCATGGCTATCAATAGTACGCTCAGGCACCGTGGGATTCAGAGATCGTCAAGAGCCTGAGTCAAATGTTGGGGGTGATCTTTTGAACGATTATACGTGAATCGCTGTGAATGATTCGGGGTGGTCGCGCACAGGCACTAGCGACACATATGGAAGAATAGGGGCCGAGTTGGTGAGACACCCAAGCAGGCAATGAGTATGCAGCTTTACCCCGCAAGACGGCTGTATGGGCAAATCCATCTGGGGTTCTGAGCAGACGTGCAGGTTTGGCGAACCGCTTCTGCAAAGAACGTTCGCAAGACCAAGCAGCTTTCCCACAAGATCGCCCATTCGCGGGGCCCACGTTGTGACATGGTGATGTTCTGCATGGTTAAGATCGTCGAAGCGCCGGGCCTCAGTGATGATAGAGTCTGGTGACGATTTTCTACCACTTGCAGACCGTCAACGGTGGGGGTGGGTGTGCACATCCCTGCCTCGCTGCGTGCTCACCACGTTGCTTTCTAGCATTGTGAATGCTCGTTCCGTGCTGTTTCCGCCTGTGGTGGTGCAGAAGTACCGCAAGTCTTGTCTCTCACCGGGAGTGGTATGCCCTATAGCACGTTCGCCGCACACCATCCTTGGACGCCTCTGCAGGTGTTTTGCTCCTTCAGTCTGGCCACCCGCATCTTGCCGATGATGGCGGGGAGTCCGGCCGGTGCACAACGATTAACACACACTTTCCAGTGTCTGCCAACTTTTAAAGGCTTCAAACCGCCATGCTCCACGCTCCCGCGTTCCACCCCCGTCGCTGACTTCATTTTGGTGACCTGCGACAAGTTCCCCGCCTCCAGGTTATTCACGTCGTCATCTGCTTCGCTGCCTCCCGGGCTTCTTCTGTTACTCATTCCACATTACTCACCGGGAGTGATCCATCATCTACAGGATCGCCCGTACAAAAGTTGGCAAACGCCCTGCAGACGAACAAATCGACCAACGGCTCTGACTATAGGCAACAGGGAGCTTTGGAAAGCCTATTTGCCTGCTAGCCTCGGTCGCATATTGAGTCCAATTACGGACCAATATCCAATATCTTCACTTGAGCGCAACAGCCAGTCAGGATCAGCATCAGCCTTGTTTGAACTGCAAGTCAGCAGCAAACTAGGAACTGTTGATGACCAACAGCACCCAGCACCAGAGAATTTCGATCACTGGCCATCATCTTCTTCGCCATCCCTCTTCTCGGCACGACATTACCTGGGCCGGCCTTTCCGCTCGGCCTTTCTCGTATCCAGCCAGCATTGCAATCCGTTGCGCCTCAAAGCCCAGCATTGTTGCCGATGAATCATTGGTGATCGCCAGCCTGTTCAATTATAAAGGCCCCTTGCCAAATGGACGGCTCGAAAATTTTTCTCTAAACCGACCACTTGGACCTCCCCCAGCTCCCGGCAGACGGTGGGACTGGACTCTGGCATCGTACCCGTTTGGCGCGACGTTCATTTCGGTTAGGACCCAGGCCAATTTTCCAGCGAGGAGGTTAGGACCCTGGACGCTAGGAAACCCCGGTGTTCTGACCCAACGGCGTCATATCACCCACCAGGATCTGCAATTTCGATCCTCGACGTCCAGGCATGAAAAATTGACAATACCACTGCAAGCCTACTAGTCGAGTGACAAAGAGCTAGGGGGTTTGAGGTTTGCCTATCGCAAATCCGTGGCCCCGGGCCGTAGAGGCGGTACCGCCTCGCCGCCTCCCTTTTCGTCACCTCCTGCTTGCGAGACCCTCTGCAGAGGAGCCTCGAGTCAGCGACTGCGAGGAGATCTACGGAGGCACAGCGACTATCTCTACCTAGGGAAACCGCTGGGTTTCTGCACGACTCAGCAGACGCAGCAGGGACTTTACCAGTCCGGCGGAAGGCCAGTGCTTTTTGTTAGCGCAAAGACTGTGTGTGGCTGGACCTCTGGGGTGTGACTAATCTCATCTTGGCCGTCCGAGGCTTTGAGACTGCGGTACCTCCAGGGGACACCCCACCCGCGGCTTCAGTCATCGCCTCGCCCGCACCCCTGGCCTCTCCCTGTTTTGGTGTTGGGTACTGGGTGTTTCCCTGTATGCCCGACCAGCGCGCCTCTGCACACAACGCCCGAGAAATTTATTAAAGGGATTCACCTTGGCCCAGCCATCTACTTTCGGTTCCCTTCCTCTCATTCTGGCTTTTTGCCATAAACCACCTGCCCCATTCCAAATCCAGTACTCCCGCTTTCAAATCAAACGACCTCAGTCTGGGCCCAGAAGAGTCCAGCATTTTCGAGCAGTTACTATCAAAGTCGTGACAAGAGCGACTTTGGTGCCCAATCTCTCAGGGAGATAGACCATCCAGACTTGACATGTTTTCTTACGGACGAAGAACCTCCTCTCCTCCTCCAACCGACCACATACCAAGGTGACGGGTGTCACTCCCTCTAGCGTCACGACACAGGCGCTCTCTTTGGATTTTGCGACGCGAAATACCCTCATCCTCGGCGGGCGCGTCGACAGGGGACGATTTTCCGCCAGGAGACTTTTGTTATTGCAGACTCGGATGTCAGTGGGACATCGCAAGAGTTTAGGAAGATGAGCTACGCATCCCCGTACCACGGGTCCGCCACGCCCAACCCGGACTACTACTACCCAGGTAGCCCTTCGCCGACGCCATCGCCGCGGCACAACTTCTACTACGCGACTCCTCAGCGACCGCAGACCCGGGCTCACTTTCGCCACGCCAGCAGCGGTGGTCAAGAAAACTACAGAACCGCATTTTCGCCCCGGTATACAAGCACAGGCGAATATGCCACTGGCCCTGGCCCCAAAGTGAGTTCGCGAAAGCACAGTTTCTCAAAGGGGTCGAACCAGTCACCGAAGCGCGAGCGCCGCAGCTCTCACTCCTACTATCGGGCCTCGCATGGGGATTCCGACGAGGACGAGATATTTGAGGTCAATGGCGTCACTTACGTGTTGCCGGCGCAGTCGAGGAGCCGTAGATATTCCGAATACTATACTGCTGCTGCGGGACATGGCACTGATTACTACTACTACAAGCAGGGTCCCGGCTATGAGAAGGAGAGGACAGCATACTACGAAGATCCCATCCAGCGCTCGGCGACCAGGGCTGCCCACACTCGCCGCCCGTCGGCCAGCGCCAATGTTCCCCCAATCCAGCGCCCCTCGACGGTCCGCCCGTCCAGCTCTCACCAGAAGAAGCCCACCCCAGCCCCAGCCAAGGCCACCGAGGCGGATGCCAGGAAACACCGGATCCCCGCTGGATACTCTCTCAAGAACTGGGACCCCACCGAGGAGCCGATCATGCTGCTAGGTAGTGTCTTTGATTCCAATTCTTTGGGCAAGTGGATCTATGACTGGACCGTTTACCATCATGGCCCTGCTACTCCCATCTCGGACATGGCTGGTGAGCTTTGGCTCCTGCTCATCCAGCTTTCTGGCAAGATCAAGCGCTCCGAGGATTGTGTCCCCAGGATCCGTGCCCAGGACAACCGGGAAATGGTCGAGGACTTCATCGAATCTGGTGAGCGCATGACTGACAAGCTCCGCGCCCTCCTGAAGAGGTGCGAGGCCCCTATGCTCAAGGCCAGCAAGCGCAAGGATCCTTCCCAGCTTGGCAAGGGATCGGGCGTCGAGTTCGTGGAGACCCTCTTCGGTCGCGAACGAGAATTGGAGAAGACGGAACGATTCATGCAACAAGTCCGCCTCTGGAACCTTCGCTTCGATGCCAACTGCGAAGAGATCCTCCGGAAGCCCACCATGTAGAGGAAGCCCAGGATACCCGATGGTCTTTTCTTTTTACATCAGCCATGGTTCAACTTCCAGGATTGGACCCAAATTGCAAACCAAACCCAAAAAAAATTATTGATGGCCCATCCATCTTGTACACTAGGACCCCATTTCCTATGGAGCCTTCGGAGTCGGTCTTTGCCTTTTTGGAAATGGCACAGCGCATTATACCAGGGATGTCTTCCTCATTTCTATCGGAAGGCTTTCCCATATCTGTCGCATACAGAAGTAGGGGCAACCTGAACATGCATCACGGGGAGAAGGAATCGGGCTTTTCTGTTGTCTTCATTGATACCCCAAACAGAAGACGTGCGACTTATAATATGAACACGCTAGCTAACGAGGACATGCGATATATCTGTCCTGGAACTTTACGAAGTTCGTCTTGGGTGTTGGGAATCCAAAAAAGTTCTTTTATGCTTACGGGATCGCTGCATCACACGAGTTATTGATTTTGTGGAGGAGGCTTTTCCGAGATTGAAGGGTACTGAGGGATACATTTTAATGGATATTATGGAATGCGTTATGGGATGTTTTCGTCAGCAGGGCCTTTGAGAGGACATCGAACGGCGTTTTTTGTTGTTTGACCGTGCCTTTTATAGACATCTCGAGTGCGGTCGATACCGGGAATCTGGGTGTCTACTGGTGGATATACCCTTTATTTAGATCTATCAATTTCAAGTCTTCTAAACACCTAATTCTCCTTGTTTTGAACGTGTGACGCTTTATCCCCACGAGTGAATCTAGGTCGTCTGCGGTAGTATACTCCAGCATGGCAGTCGAGACGAGCAGTCCTTCAGCCAGACCTCATTCAACCTTGGACGTCACGGACTCCTGTATGTGAGATGTGCGAAGCCTACCAGGTTTTCTAGCATGTTTTTGAACTGCCGGCGAGGCTACGCAGCCTTCGCGAAAGAACGTGGTTATTCATGCAAGGCTCCCGAGATCTCTCGCGCGTGTGTGGACCTATGAGTATTGGGTTTTGCCAAGATTTCGAGACAGGCCACCGCGCTCTGGGGCCAGTCGGCGGTCTGGACCGCGACCCCGCGTGTTCCCCAGTTGGGCATCAGTGAGACTTGTGGATGCGTGTTCACTTTCGGGCATGGATACCTGCTGCAAGACCCTCCGGGAGGGCCCATTGGAGTACGGTAGTGCTCAGAACTTGGAACAGGCCCGGCTTTTGCTCAATTGCTTCGTTGGCAAGTATTCGTGCCTTCGTTCTGCCTCGCTGTCAGAAACCTTCACCGTTCCGTCGCATCCAGTAGTGCTTCCTTATTCCGTGAAATTCCTGTGCCTCTTCGGCAAGCCACAACAATTTTTTTCTTAGGGCACTGCCAGGGTTTTTACCCTTGACCAGGGGAAATTATTGGGCATGTGTGTGAGCTCTGTTAAATTGGTTTATGCTCACACCTTCCCCCCATGTCTCAGCCTCAGGGCATTAGTTGATCGCATAATTTTGACGGATCGGCGCTGATAGCAGGCAAGAGTCAGTCAGCCCGTCAACATGCGAGATCAAAGCAGAGGTGTATCATGGGGGAATCAACGGACGGACATGTCTTCCGTTCTCATTTAGCTACGGGTGGTATGTGCAATGTGTCTATTATCTGCTTCCCTTTTTGCACGTCGTTCCTGGGAGGGCCGCAGGGTTCAATGGTCAGTTGTCGGTACCTACATGAATGCCAGAGGCTGCGCGCAATTTACCGCCCACACCGAGAAAAAAAAGTAATTACCGGCGACTCATTCTTCTTGCCCGATTCGAACCCTGGAAGCGGGAAAGAGAAATTCTCAAAAGGTCTGTGTCCCTGGGCTCGGCAGCGTTTGTTCCGCGCGCAGGACAAAAAGTTGATACCGGCCAAGCTCAGAACAGTCTATTCATTTCATTCGCCAATGGGCCCAGGGGGCTTCTTACAGGCAACAAACATGGGACGGACGATCGTGCGAATGCAATGATACTTTATCACAACCTGGATCAACTCTGCGGACGGCACCTGCAAGTTCCCAGGTAGGCAGACGTCAATTTACGTCGCTTGCGCTGGCCTGGCCTGGCCTGGCCCGCCCGCGCGTTCCTGCGGCCTATTGAGCCACCTGCCTATACACAACATATGTGGTTCCCTTGGGCCAATTCTCAATGGCATAGCAAATAAAATGGAGGCGGCTGGCGATTCCAAGCGAAAACCACAAAATCCTCTGGGAATACCATTTAACAATGAGGGAAATACTTTTCGAACCTTTCTTTCTCAGTTAATCGACACACCCCCTGAAACAAGAACCTCCTTCCCTGATTGGGGTCCAGTATTCGCATACTGTGCGCAAAAGTGGTTGGGTCTGCACACCCTCAACACCACGTTTGGGGGGCCTGGGGGTGTGCATCAAACACATGCCTCGGGGGCTGGGATCCTACGGGTACGCGATGTGGTGTGAGAGTTCGGCGCCGGTGAAAGTTCGCGGTCAGAGCCCTTTCCCGCACACGCGACTATCCCTTGCAGACGGCGTTTCTTTCCCACGCAAACAAGTCTTTTTGTACCTTGCATATCCGCCTCCGTGACTGTGGACTACAGATGAGACATGTCTCCTTTAGCTGCCTCCCGACGTGCGCTGCAAGGGGCGGCTGGACGGGACACGAGATTAGTTTCGTTCCTTTTCGGCCCGCCCAAAGTCAGTTGGCTCTGGCTTGCGACACAAGCAGCACTGTCGCGACGTGATGTGCCAAGACATCCCGGAAAGCCAAGCACATTTTTGGGGCGTCGCACACTCTCCATTTCCCTTGGTAGCAGTCCACCCCAGCCTCGCGGGAATGCATACCTACTATGGTATGCCTCTGCAGCGTCTATTCCCGTCTCTCTATTAAAGGTCATTCAGTCAACGTCCCTCGCCGGCAACAAATGAGAGTTCAATGAGCGGTTGCGTCTCCAATCACAGAGCCGAGGAGGTCTCGGCAGTTGCATCACCACGCCTTGGGGGCTAAAATGGTGCATGCGGCACGGATCTTACAACCGGATGAGTCCCCAAAAGCGGGTGGAGGAGCACATTCCACTCCACTAATAGAGTGCATGCAGTAGTGCTACTAAAGATACACACAGGCAGGGTGACTAGAGAAGTGCGAACCGCCTGTGATTGGTCTGGCGCAGTTCTCGAGCGAATCACAGAACCTGCCGATGTGATGTGCAGAAGAATGCTTTTCTAGACGCATATTATCGCAAGGCTTATGGATGTCTCTGCCGCACATTGCACATTGGCGCGTGGGAATCTTGAGGCTTATTTTGGGCTCAACTGTCTTATCGTGCGCCCACGATTTGCAGCCAACACCACCACCAAACATCCGTGCCGAGTTGAGGTCAGATCTTCGTCCTGCTTGGGGGGCGATGCGTGTGACAAGGCTGAAGTGATATGCTTCCAATGTATTCACGCCTCTGGTGTGGGATGCACGTACGACATGCCGCTATCATCAGTCAACCACGGTCATCCGGAGTGAGATGTCTAAGTTGCTTTCATCTATGGCTGTCATTGACGGGCAGCCGGGGCCTGGTGTAGGTAGTACAGAGAGAGCACCAAACCCCGCATGCAATCCCGCAACATAGGATCATGCCGGCGGCCCTTGGGCTAGCTCCTTAGTTACGAAACATGGCCAGTGAAGGAGCGAAGTGTGGTATCACCAAACCCCAATCGGCTCGGCGTGATTATCTTATCGTGAGCTTCCTGCGAACATATTGGATGCACTACACCATACAGTCTTACCTTACCTCAGCGAAGGTGGGCGGATCCAGTGGGGCTGCACAAGTCCCCGCCAGTGAGCGGAACTGCACCTAGATATCTGTAGTTGAGTTGACTGCGACTAGGCGATGGGGGTTTCACTCATGTCCAAACTTGTATACTGCTGCGCACCCGTCAGCTGCATTCGCAAAAGGCAGTGCAGGACTTTTAGGGTGGTGGGACTGCCCGTCATATGCACTCTCCTATTTTGGTCCGCCCACCGTAGTGTGTGTCGCACACAGGTCTCCCCCCAAATCGACCCCGCGCGTCAGCTTCTCACTGCATCCAATCGTACTACTACCACATTCAGGCTGTGCACATGTAAGCACGCCGGTATGACAGCATTCCACTGCAGATGAGACTAATCTCCCCTATTACGTGCTCGTGAACGGTGTCACCCCGGGCCGCTGCCTTATACGAACCACAGGACCCACAGGACGAACTATACACGACGGGCTCCGCAGCAAGTATAGGCGGTGTTGCTCAACACCACCCAAGCCCTCCTATTCGGAATCCTGCAGTCTCGTTGCGGCTGATGGCAGCTGTGGTTCAGATTTGGGCTATGCGTCTTTCACCAACTGCCAAATTGAGAGCTACATGCATGATGTAGACGACAGGAATGGATAGTTTAAGTTAAACAGATTTCTCCCGTCTTTAGAACATAGGAGGCTTGCAGAATGATTACTAGCCCTTGAGGATACACATCATTGAGACCAAAACTAAATTATAGGAGATATGTGTGAAATGATCAGGCACGGTTTGCTCGCTTCACGTCTTGTCTTCACTGCACACCACAGTTCCATAGCCCCACGTCAGCATCAGGTAGCATGTAAGAGCCAAATATTTGCAGTATCGGCCTTATTAATGTTAGATTTGAAGAGAACGATGAAGTGAAAATATATTGCCATTTGAAGTATATAGGTGGTGACACATAGCTTACGCCTCTTATCGAATGATGCTCAGGCTCGCATTGCATGTTGCTGGGAAAGTCGAAAACATTATGCAAAACCAGATTGCTGCACAAAAGATAGCCCAACGTCGCAAACAATATGAAAAGTAGACTGCTTATCCAACTTACTGTGTGATGAGTTTTCCTGCAGGAGCCAGGTATCGACTCTCATGGACCACGTCCTATCCACCAAAATGCCAGAGGTCATTAGGTGAGCTCACGTAGTTAGTCCGTCACGCTGAGTCTCTTCCATAAGCTTTGTTTGCTAGCACTCGGATATGCAGCTTTCTCTGGTAAACGATTTACGCCTGATCCCTCTCATCACCGAAATGCAATCTTTCGGCTGGATCCTCTCGTGAGGCCTTCTCCGATCGTAATATCTCAAGGAGCTCTACCTGTGCTATTTGATAAGACCCAAGGAGCCTTGCACCATCCGCTAGCGGTATCAAAATGCCTACGGTAGTCGAGAACAGTCATTTTCTAGAAGTAGTCCCTAGGGAAGTCAAGCCGTGGAAGTTGGACGATCACTCGCTTGGACTTGTCAAGCCAAAGTCAACATCGGGCATCGAATCTTGCGAAGCAATCCCAACATATGTTGAAGAATAGCTCCTCTCCAGGCGACTCTACTCAGTCAATTCTTCTTGCATTAGTATCATACATGTCAGCTTACATGATTCCAAACAAAATTGTCAGTGAGCCTAGTATGCGGCTTCCTAGCCATGCAGAGAGCTCGCACAAGTGTAGATCGATGAACTCCTCTACTGACTGTTCAATTAGTCCATGCAAAGTGTAATGCTCATCGCCAGAGCCTATCGTCTCACACGACCATTGTGTCCTGCCACGGAAAGTAATGTATCAATGTTAAATTACTGTGTACGTCTCTACCTTTATAGCTATCTCTGCAGCCGTAGCTTCACCGAGTGGCTTTGCTTTTCTAAAGGGGTGTTTATAGGGGTCCCTCGCAAGAAATTCTTGAGTAGATGTTGAAGCGCTTGACCAATAAGGGCGGCAGATGGATCTGACTGGCAGTGATCGGGCACCGACCCCGCTGCGAGGCTCGCATCAACCAACTTTCTCAGCCTCACACCTTCCTGCCTTAGATTCTGCTAACGCCAGAGACTTACTGATATAGTCACTCGCCAGTCAAGATGTCTGGGATCGAACTTCTTGGTTTCGCCTGCAATATCATGCAGGTGATCAGCTTCAGTCGCGAGGTCATATCTCTCTGCTCGAATGTCTACCAGGGAAAGCATCCCGATGCTGAGCTGGCAAAGCTTGCCACGTCTCTGCAGGTGGTATCCTCGGGAGTACAGACACACTTCGACACCATGCAACCGAGGACAGCCGATGAGAAACGCCTTTGCGACATTGCTACTCGATGTGCCATTGCCGCCCGCGATCTTGATGAGGAGGTCGGCTTCATTACGTCCCGTCATAAACAGGGGAATCTGGCATCTACGCTACGTATTGCTGCCCAGACGGCATGGCGAAAGCGCCGGCTAGATAGGTTAGAGAAATCCTTGACGGAACACGAACGTGTGCTCGACACACACTTAATGGCGCGGGTATGGTAAGTGTGGACGATCGAGGCGCCCAAGCAAAAAGAACTGATTTGCATAGCAAACAAACGGATGCCATTGGGCTGAGACAACAGGAAGGCTTTGATAAACTCGGAGCTGACATCCAACATTTTGTGTCACAATATGCGATAGGCCACAAGAAGCTTCGTGAGTTGGTGAAATCGGACATGTCCCTTTCACAGAAACGGTCCGAGAAAGTCATGAAGACACATGTCACAAAAGAAATAACGACATCCAAAATCGCTCTTGTAAATCACATTGACTCACAAGCTGAGATAACTACCAAAACAATTACACGACATTTCCGTGATCTCAACGCTCGGGGGAAGGACGATAGCAGAGAAGAACAATTTCTACGGAGCTTCAAATATCCGGCGATGAATGAGCGACGCAACTATTTGACTGAGTCCCACGAAGGGACTTTCAAGTGGGTCTTCAGCCAAGACAAGCCTTCGAATGACGAGGACAGAAGGACAGATTACCAAGATCCGCCTTGGGACAACTTTGAGGACTGGCTTAGATCCGACAGCGACATTTACTGGATCTGCGGAAAGCCTGGATCTGGCAAAAGTACATTGATGAAGTTTCTTGCCTCCAATACTTTGACGAAAGAGGCATTGCGAGCGTGGCGTCATCAGGTAGTCATTATCTCTCATTTCTTCTGGAAACCCGGATCAGCAAATCAAAGGAACGTCAAAGGACTGTTCGCTTCATTACTCCACCAGTTGCTCACCCTCCGACAAGATCTCCTGCAAGCAATATTGGAGAATTCTAGTGATTTAGGGCAGAAAGACTCGGACGCCGACTGGTCCGTGACAGAACTTCGATCGTTGTGCTTAAGCACGATGAGAAACTATCCATCCTCCATATGCATATTCCTGGACGGGCTAGATGAAATATGCGACGAGGAAGGGTCAGGCTCATTGATGGAGATCTTGGACACAATGAAGGCAATTCCGAGTGTGAAGATATGTGTTGCTAGCCGACCAGAGAAGCGCTTCGAATGTCACTTGTCTCGGTTTCCTCACCTCAAGCTTCAAGGTCTGACTTCTAAGGACATACGGCATTACGCCGACCGAACATTGCGGCCTTTCTGGAGTCGTCGTCAGGATCTGTCGGTATCGGTTCTGGACAAGGAAATATTGCCCGTGTTAAGCGAGAAAGCCCAGGGGGTGTTCCTCTGGATCAGGCTTGCAGTGAAAAACTTGATGAGTGGACTGGAGAACAGTGATAGCGATGAAGACTTGATCTTGCGTCTACACGATCTTCCAACAGAGATATCGCGGATGTATTACGAAATGTGGGCTAGGCTCAACAAGAACACAAAAGTTTATCGAGAATCAACAGCCAAGTATTTGAACCTGCTCATTGCCCATCGAGAACTGGAGGATTATGCGAGTAAGCAAGGTTACTCCAACAAACCAGCACGCGTCCTCGAGATCATGGGAGCCACAAATTTATCCCTCCAGTCCAGGTTGTTCACTACCGGCCAAGTACCAGCAGCAGAAGTCATCAATGACCAGTATGACCGGACCCGAGAACTGATAGATATGAGGTGCGTTGGCTTGGTAGATACAACACCGTTGTGGAAGGCTCGCTCAATACCTCGGAACAATCATCCTGAAGAGTGCCTTAAACCAAGCCTTATACCGGACTTATCCTTGAGAGCAACCTTCATTCACCGAACTGCGTACGACTTTCTAGTAGATACTGAGGAAGGCCACCACATCCGGGCTTACGACTCTTCTTCAGTGGGTGAGAGGTATCTCCAAGTGGTCCGAGGTCAACTGGTGGCAGCTGTTATCAGTCAAAATGAGTCCCTTTGCTCCTTACTCCCTAAAATAGCTTTCACAAGTCGTTTTGTACCTCAACGTATGACTTACGACTTCTTGAAAGTATGCTGGAAGCTGCATAATCGCACCTCCATTCGATTCGATTTTCTCCCGCGGCCAGATGAGCCGCGGCCAGATGACACCAGGCCTCACTTTTTGACTGCTCTAACCTGCCCTGAGTTCAAAGACTTCATTTCGGTCAGCATCAAAAAGAGCCCGAGGCCATCGGCTCTAGCAACTGAGCTGCTCCGGGATATGCTACTCCGGGATATGCTGCTCCGGGATATGCGGGATATGCTGCGTCCCATCATGTTCAATCAATCTAGCTTCTTTTATTTCAACCCGTTGATATCGCTAGGCGCTGATCCGAAGCTCAGAGGTCCATCGTATCAGATGAATGCAGGGCCTTTGAACGGTGATGGAGTATTTCTATATTCCGTTACGCCGTTCCAGTTACTGCTCCAAATTGAACTGAAACATTCCTTATTCAACCGGGTCAACAAGCCCCTCGAAAATCCGACTCGTGTCGAGGTTCCAGTGGAACTCTTACAGCTTTTCAAGGATAAGGACTCGGCATTGAACGAGCCATTATGGATGTCATTGAGTATTTCCCCGCACATTTGTAACATAGCTCCCCACGAGGGATATTGGGGGCGACTAGCGAGATTTGAGGAGGGACCCAATGAAACCATGGACCCAGAATGTCTACAGGAAACCAGGATGATTGTTGAGATGAAAACATCTTCTGTGCTAGAAGATCTCTGTAGGCGACATCGGGCTTATTATGGAAGAGCGAGATCATCTGCTCTAGTAACCTGCCTCGAAGAGCCAGCACAGTATATCTCCTGCATAAACATTCGCTATCTTGAATTCACTGAATTTGTGGGGGGACACATTATGAGTTATAGGGTAAGAGTTCGAGAAAGTACCCAAGACATTGAGCCGCTCATCGCATCATGGCTGTATGGCGAAATTGAAGAATACCCTAGTGAAACAGTTTGGGGGGCAGTGAAACGACTTTATTGCGACTTTGCAGCTGGTTCGACGAGATACGAGAGGGTCTATGGCGATGTAAGGGCAAATTTAGCGGATGAAGGACTTGGGTTCTGCAGAGTCACCAAGGAGGAGGCCAAGGAACGCGCTCAGCACATGAGAGATGAAGATATTGAGGCTCCGGGCCACTGGCTTTGAGATGGCAGGCATAATCGTGGCCATAATCATGACTGGTTAGAAGAAAGAGATACTCTGAGCTTGAAACTTTACAGCTTAGATTTCTGTGCTATCTGACTTGCCCATCGCTTGAACCTAGCAATCACAGTACCGCGAGAGCTTTGATTGTTGGCTATATAGACGTAGCGCTACAGATTGTACCAAATGCGCTTCAATCGCACAATTTTATTAATTTGACTACTCCAGGTCCTTATCGATCTGCTCTTACTAGATATACGTAAGATGGACCGCCGAGTTGTGATGCATAGGTGCATCGCATGTTCCACATTTCAGCAGACAGGTAATATAATTCTCCAAGCCCCATGCCCCTTCACGCGGTGAGCTGCTGGAAGGAGTCTTGCAGGTCATACTGATCTAGCTCCGTTCTGTGGCCGCTTGCCCCCCTCTTCAAAAGAAATAATGTGAAGATTTCTCATAGATCTGCTCTATTGTTATGAAGTAAATGACCTAAATGAGGTTTGATCTGCAGATAGAAAATAGTTACGAATACCGACCTGGCCAAAACGGAGAGCTCAAAAAAATCAACACGTCGAAGGGGCCGGGAACAGGACCTCCATGGAGACTTCTACAACACGCGCTACCAGGCCTTGTGGGAGTATGACATCCCTGAGCGGCGCGCAAATGCAATGCCACCACAAGCCCCTGATCGGCAAGAACGAGTGATTGAGCCAGCTCGGACGAGGTGCTGATGCCTTTGACAAGGAGACTTCAATTCAAATGGATGATTCAAATTTCCATACAGGCGGATGCTCAATCTGTACAATTGGTTACCTTAGGTGGTACAGAGAGTGACTACGTAGATTCAAAACTCAGGCATCTTTCAATAGGAATTTCCTGATGTCCACTGACTCAATGACGCACAAAGCTCAACAGCGCAGGGCAGGTCTAATACGTTTATGTGATATTCCGCCGTGGATTTACTCCACACGTTGCTGTATAACAATGCTAAAAGCGACGAGCGGAAGTCATGACAGCAGTCACAGCTTCGCCTTGGTAGCCAGCCATTTCCTCCTGAGCGTGATGCGCTCCTCCCCATGCTTGTCAAGAAGCCTATCAAGCGCACGCTGGCGTTTCCGCGCCTCCTTCTCATCGCCAGCGGCATCTGCAGCGTCGATCCGCAAAAGACTCTCATCGTCGCGCGGCGACCACACGCCTTCCCAATTGGTAGGCATGGACTCTCCATCCTTGAGCATCTGCATAAGGCGTCCAGCCAAGCCAGGCTCCCATGTCGTGGCCTCCAGGCACCGCCGCGCTACTGCCCGCGGGTAGCCAAGTGACGTCCAGTAATCCACCACGTCGGCCAGCTTCTCGGCCTGCGTCTGTTGGCGTGGAGGAGCTGGTGGACTTGGTGACTTTTGGGCAGGACTTCGAGATGGGCCTGGCATTGACTTGCGTTGTGCTGGTGCCGATTTCGAGCTCGCCATCAATGACGCTGGCAAAGAGCGGCGCTTGACTTTCAACAGTTCTGGTTGAGACAAGAGCGGATTAGGTCCTTTGCCGAATAGAGGTTTGGGCGTGATTTGTTCCACCATGTCATCGTCATCCGAATCGTTATCTTCATCATCCACCACGAATGGCGACTTGACGTTCCTCTTAGGTGTGGGTGAAGTCTGCTCATTGAGTTGTCGACGCCGATTCTCTGCGTTAAACTCGCTGTGAAGCTGCTGCGAGGGCGTCATTTCTGGCTGCGTTTCAAGGGCGTCCTCATCGTCAACAGGTGGTTCATGTATTTGGTCATTCGTGTGTTCGTCTTCTGTATTGAGTAGTGCCCTCGCATTGTGGTGGTGAGCTGCTCTTGAAGACTTGGGTAGGCCGGAGAGCTTCTGATCGCTGGGTGATACGCCAGCGCTGATGGAGTGCCGCAGATGGGATGTGCCATTTTTCGTATCGGGCGTTGATGGAACCTCACCATCGCGGCTCAGCCTTGAGCGTTTTCTCGCAGATTCGGGATAGAGGTGGTCAGAGGGCAGTTCCAATTCAAACCTTCGCTTGAGAGAAGGTTGCTTTGGAGGGGATGAGTTGAATGGAGCATTGGAGCTTTCAGGGAATACTTCTGGCTGTATGGCAGGTAGGGTGTTTGCCTCGTCCTCTTCGTCTTCTTCATCTTCTTCCTCAAACCCCTCAAGTACTTCCTCAAATGCTGAAAGATTAGCCTCGTAGCAGCGTCTGATCTCGTCTGGCGCGTCGGGCAGTTGTATCCAGTCATAGCCCAGATCCTCGGCGATCTGCTGCCAGTCGCGCTCCACAGGGTCAACTTTCTTGGAGATGGCAGCATTCCACAGATCCCATAGTTCAAAAGTGCGTCCCTGTATTGTTGGCCACAGGTTCAACGGGGAGTCTCTCTGACTGTCATTGGCTGCAAAGACCCCTAAGTCCCTGTAAAACTGTTCCTTGCCTTCGGAAAGGAGTGCTTGGGATGAGGATACAGAAGGGCTAGGAGGATCTTCGTTAGATTGGTGCGCTCTGGAGTCCCCACTCTGCCGTGATGATTCGGCAACATTGGACTCGTGCTCGTCTGTGGGAGCGACTTCGCTTGTATTCCTGCGACCTGAGATGGCTGGTTCTGGATAATGTTCCTTCCCCATACCCTCTGCCTTTATAAGTTCTTCTTGCTGCCCACGCCTGCGTTTCTCGATTACGGGCGATCGAGTCGTGGTGTTCGTTTTCGTATGAGGTGCGGACTCACCCTCTTGCACCGCTTCCAGGGCAGGCTTTCGAGGGCTCTTCCTGTTACGTACTTGCTCGACACGGCTACCCACGGAAGAAGGGGTGGCCGGCCGGCTCAACTCATCATCTTCGCGACTTTGCAAACGGGGTTTCAGTTGTTTGAGCCACCTCTCCCTCCAGGATTGCCAAGAATGTTGAGGAAACTGCTTTGGTGTCAGCAGGTACTTGGAGGCATGATCATGAGAATGTCTGCTCGTGGCTACTCACATCTTCGGCGAGCTCTTTCCAGATGATGCTTCCGGATAGTGACTTGTTGAACTTCTCACATTCCTTGACATACTGAATGACTAGCTCGTCCTCGTCTGTACTAAATCTCGCTCTGGTCGGCCTACGACCTGACGCTGGATCCGCGGTAGGCGCTGTGGTAACTTGGGGTGTTTGAGAGCCCGTCCGTCTTGCTGCGGGGGATGGGGCAGAAGCATGAGCAGGATGGTCGTCCGGAGGAGGTGGAGACAGTTCGCTGTCGGAGACTTCAGGCCTTGGCTGATGTTGCAACTTCTTAACCCACCGATCCCTCCACGATTGATAGGTATGATGAGGATACTAGTATGATTAGTGATGCGACTATCGCTAAGGGCATCCCATGCACGAACCTTCTTCTCCAAGATTTTATAAATGGCCAGCCCCTGAACCGCCAAGCCATTTCGCTCGTGCTTTGTCACATATCTAGCAAGAAGGACGTCGTCCTCTCGTGTGAAGGCGGTTCGGGTAGTCCTCTGCTGGACTGAGCCAACAGGCCGTGATGCGGTACCCGGCAGGTTGATCGAGTAGTCGTTTGGATCGAGGAGCTGACCGCTCTTGACGGAGTCCTCTATCCATTTCCAAGAACACGAGCCTGCTGGCGCGTCTTTCCTCACATGATCCGCGATCAGATAGTCTGCGTTCTTCTCCAGCTTCTCGATACTCCCGCCATTGTTCTGCGAATATGTCAATGCCGTTCATCAAGCATAGGTGTAGAGTCGCCGTACCTCGATGTCCTGTATCCATGTCGCACGCATAGGCACACGATGCGCGACCCAAAACTTGATGTCCTTGAATAACCTTCCTCCATGGCCGTGCACCTGGCCCTCATACACAATAGGGGCTGGCATAGCGCTAACCCCAACGAAGCCCTGGGTTTGCGCAGTGGTACACAGCGCTACGATTGGGGCCGGATACGAGATTAGGAGAGCGAAGGTGGAAGGTGATAATAGCTGGCAGAAGAAAGGAGTATAAGTAGATTCAAATGCTGAGCGTAGACCGTGAAGTTGCCTGATAACAGGTGTTGGGTTTACAGGCGCGCGTTTTGCTTGCTTTTTCTGTAAAGTTGGGGTAAACCCCAATTTGCCCCGAGTCTGCCCTCAAACCCTGGGGCGCCGGCGTCGTGGTTCGTCGTCTGCGTGCGTTGGTGGCGTCTTTATTGAGAGCGACAAGTAGCAAACAGAGCGGAACAATCCCAAACACGATGTTGGTGGGATGCCGGCAATTGTCTTTTATAGTGGTTCACCTAGTGGTTCGCCTTGGAATCAGACACGGCGGTGGTCGCAGTCTCGTGGCCGGTATCTCAGGGTTGACGCGTGATACAGGATCGCGATTGGAGAGCCGCTGCCCACGTCCTCACGTGGGAGATACAGATTAACCCGCTAACTGGGCTGTATGCTATGTGCGGGGCGCCCACAACGACACTCGGTGACCAGAGACCCCGATACAGACATGTTATGCACATGACAGGCCTTGAGGCTGCGAGTATCTGGGGAGCTGACGCGCACTGCCACTGGCGGCAGCCTCACCACGCGCAGCCTCAGCAGGGCCGTCCATGCGCTCAAACAGTCACCTCTGTCTCACCCGCCGCGCCAGACAACGGCTGACAAGCCGGCGATAAAAAACCTGTTTGCACGGAGAGAATCTCAGAATCCCGCTGTTTGTCAGTCATGCGCCTGGGGACGCCATTTGAACCACTCGTCAGCGGATTGAACCGGGTTCGTATCTGCCAAATGGCACCGTCCGCCATCGCACCTCTCAGTACACCTGTAAGCTGGGACCGACAAACAATACGAAAGCGCACCCCCTAGCTGCCTCGAGGAGATGGGCGTGATATCCCAGATAGCGTTAGGCGTGCTCGCCATCTCCTTCTTGGTATTTGTTGCATTCTTTGGGAGAATTCCTGCATTACGGTAAGTATTATGCCCATGCATCTAAGCTGCCTCCCTCCGGCTGCCTCAGGCGACCGGCGAGGTGTAGGACCACGCCCGAGGCCCCCCTTATCAGAATACCGCTCTCATATACTTCCCAACGGCGCTGACTTCAGCCCAGGCACACCCCAATAGCATGGCTGCATCGGCTCTTGATGGTACATATTCCGAATGGCATCCTTGCCTTGGACCAGTGGCTCACTGGCGGACGAGCGACAGCTTGGCTGTTCCGCTTTGGTAATGCAGCCATGTATGGCCGGCATCCAACAATACTGATCTTTTTCTTCCTGCTGCTCTCCGTCGGCGAGTACCTATATCTGCCAGGCGCCTGGCCACGTCTATCCACCTTCCATAAAGTTTTGGGGTTCTTCTCCATCATCTCCCCCTACTGGTTTCTGTACCTGGCTGCGTATCGGGACCCTGGCATTATCACCCCAGCCACACACTCCAAGTATATGAGCCACTATCCCTATGACTTTGCCCTTTTCCACCCCGGCCAGGTCTGCCGGACCTGCAACCTGATCAAGCCCGCGCGGTCCAAGCACTGTGCCGTCTGCAATCGCTGTGTCGCCAAGATGGACCACCACTGCGTGTTCATCAACACGTGCGTTGGCTACGAAAATCAGGGCTACTTTATCCTGCTGCTTCTCACGACCGCCTGGCTCACCACCTACGGCGCATACCTGGGCCTCGGCCTGATCACCGAGAACATCCAGGCTCGGCACCCCGGCTGGCGGCTCTTCAAGCCCAGCAGCTTCTCGTGGCACGACTACCTGGTGCTGCTGACGTTCGGCATCCAGGACGACGTCGGCATGGGCTCGGTGACCATGCTGGCGCTGATGACGACGCCGCTGGTCTGGGGCCTGCTGGGCTACCACATGTACCTGATCTACTGCGGCACGACGACCAACGAGAGCATGAAGTGGCAGGACTGGAAGCTGGAGATGGACGACGGGTTCGCCTTCAAGCGGGCGCTGCCGCGCGACCGCGCCAAGGACCCGCGCTGGGAGGCCAGCTGGACCCGCTGGCCCGTCGAGAGCGTCCAGGTCCTGGTGCGCACCGACGACGGGTCCTTCCCCGAGGCCGGCGACCACGCCCCTGGCGTCGGCGACTGGGAGCGCGTCTGGCACCTGCGCGACGTCGAGAACCTGTACGACCTCGGCTTCCGCGACAACCTGGTCGACGTCTTCATCCCCGGCTACTCGTTCCGCGACGAGACCGTCACCGACGAGGAGCGCGGCCGCCGGAGCAAGAAGCCCAAGCAGACGCGGGCCAGTGCCGTCGTTGACGCGGCTACTTGATGGGCAACGTGGGCGAATAGGTGTAGATGTTAGATTTGCAATTAGCTTGTATAGTTTTGTATTCAATGACCATGTGTATTATATGGTAGTAGTGATCAGCATTGGCTGGTTCTATTTGCCTGGTATCATCGGTGTCTACATCGTATCGCGTCTTTATACATGTACATATATATATACAAGCTCGTATCAAAGCTTCGTCAGATATACACCGGCACTATATCCTCCGGGCCTTGCAGCCAGTCTCAGTGTGTTTTGGATAATACATAGGGGTGGAGGCGTCGGACGGTAGATCAGAAGGCTTTGGCAAATTGGGCCGCGAAAGCGTCATCATCGCCATCGTCGTCACCCTTCCTGCCTTTGCCCTTCTTCTTTTTCTCCGCCTCCTTCTTGGCCTTCTTGGCCTTCTTCCCGTGCAGCTGTCGCGTACGCTGCGCCTCCTCGATCTGGTCCCACGACTCGGCGAGCCGCCTCTCGCGCTCTTCGGGGTCCTCGGGGCCCTCCTCACCCTCGCCCTCGCCCTCGCCGAAGCCCGCCGACGCCGTCTCGCCGCCATATGGGGCGTCCGCGTCGCGGCGGACCCAGGTCGCACGGCCCCGCTCCCGGCGCTCAGCATCCATCTGCGCGGCCCTCTCGGCCTTCCGCGCCGCGCTGCGCTCCTCAAACTCCAGCCGGCGGTCGTACAGCTCGGCGTGGCGCTGGCGGAGCCGCTTGGCGCGCTGGCGCTGCTCCTTGTTGGGCGGCACGAAGGTCGGGTCCCAGATCTTGGGCTTCAGGGGTTTACCTTTGGCGGCGGCATTGCGCTCGCGGTCCCGGTGCGACATGTTGCGCGAACGCGCTGCCTCGTCCATGGGTGTGTGTTTGACCTTCAGGGTTGACATGAATTCTTTCAGGAGGCCCTGCAGTTCACGGTCCTCGGGCCGGTTGGCACCGGGGAGAGTGTGCAGGGCTCGGGTTTGCGTGCGCTGCGGGTTGCGGGTGGTGGGCTTCAAGTCCCAGCTCGGCGTAGTGTCAAGCGAGCTCCTGGATGCCATTCGGGCTTTGTGCTGATCCATAGCCGCGCGTTCTAGATCCGTGAAGCCCGAGGAGGTTGAGGCAATCGTAGGTGGTGTGGGAGCGGACGCCGCTGGCGTTGGACTGGGCGCAAACTGCAGATCTTCAAACGAGACAACCTTGCCGGTATAACCCTTCGGTGCCTCAGCTTCCGGCCTCTCCTTTTCTTGGACAAGGCCGGCGAGCCGGGCGACAGCCAGCCGCGCTATAGACACCGTGTCTGCCCCTATCTCTTTCTTGGTGGCTCCCAGGGCCGTGACAAAGAAGTCCTTCTCCCAAGTCCATTTGCTGTTGAGGTCCCTGTTGTTGACATCGCGCATGGCCATCCACATCCGTCGGCATGTGTCCCGTAGCATTTCCTCGTGTTTCGCCTTGTCTGCTTTTGTAAGGACGATAGCCGTCCTAACTCCCGCCTCCTGGAGCAGTTCCAGCGCCATGAGATCGCCGTCCTTGGGCCCAACCTCGCCGTCAATCAGCAGGACTGCGCCCTTGACAGATTGCCTCTTGTTCAAGTAGAGGCTGATGTGCTTGCCCCATTCCTTCAGGGACTTGTGGCCGTACCCGGGCATGTCCACGACAAAGAAGGTATGTTTCGGCAGGTCCTCGGTCCGCTTCGTCTTGGTATCCGTATCGGCGAGGTCCTTCATCAGCGGCGCGGGCCCAAAGCCGAAGGCATTCATAGCCTTGGTCCTCCCTGCCCGGGCGCTGGTATGCGCCAGCTCCTTGTCTCTCCGGTTGGCGAGCGCATTGACGAAGGTAGACTTGCCGACGTTGGACCGGCCCAGGATACATATCTCGGGTATACGGGTGTTCTTTTTGAGCTCGTAGAAGTCTGAAGTTCCGTGGTAGAAGGTGGCGGGGTTCTTGATGAAGAGGGTAGTGAGTTGGTCCTGGATAGACTCGTTCGGTATGGGTGACTCGAGGAGCTCTTTGATGGGTATGTCTGTGAGCGGCAGCGTCGGACTATGCGGTATTGTGAAGGCGCCGACCGTGAGAGGCTTCTTCATGTAACGGCTGGCGTATGCGCCGGTGGCATGGAACCCGCGGCTCTGTGCCCATGACGGCGGAGGCACCTGGGCTGTGAATAGTAGGGGCCGAAGCGATGCCGGCATCGCCAGCAAGGCAGTGATCTGGCGAGGTGCCATGACGTACTGCAATATAGACTATAAAGACATAGAGTCAAGGCCACAAAGGCACGAGACAGGAAACGCCATGTGACGAAGTGCCCGGCAGCAAAAGAATGAATTGCTTAGGAGCTATCGTACCATCACATGGCCGGCATCTTACCTGCAGACCAGTCGCATTCATCTAACGGGGCTCACCTTTCCAAGAATTTTTAGTATGACGCCCGACCGTTTAAACGTCTATCGGGGTTAGCCCGCTCAGCTTGGCCTGTTTTATTTCTGATCGGGGCCCCTTGGGATCTTATCTTATCGTAAGCCGAAGCTCCATCTTCGACTTTCGCCTGCAACTTCCAGTGCATCGCAAGCCGCATGACATTGCGAACGCCTGAGCTAGAAACACCAGTCCGCCCGCGCAACCGAAAGCCGCGCTCAGCCACCCGGTCGCAATGTCGCACACTGCAAGGGTTCGCTCGATATACCGCGCCCTCCTCCGGGAGCTCCCGCCGCGCCCGTCACAGCCCCCGTCGCCGCTGCAGAACCAATTACGGGAGACCTTCTCCTCCAAGGAATCCACCAACGACCACTCCCTCGCACAGGCACAACAACTGGTACAATATCTGAAGGCACAGAGGCAATACGTCACCCTGATCGAGAGATACAACCCTGGAATGGGTATGGACGAAGAGGAGCGGGTCAGGTTGACCGCGAGGCGCGTCGGCATGGATCTGCCCGTCGAGTTCAACAAGGATGGCGAGAAGGCTTAAGTTTGGGGTTCCACGTCCACTTTAGAAGAAAGACGACTCCCCACGTATGAGTGAAGAGTGTCGGTGGTTGCGGCCTCGAGGGAAAAAGTTGGCAGCTCGTAGAAGTGTGCCGAGATCGGGTCTTCGCACCAGAAGAATTCATGCGGAACGGTGCCCTTGAAAAAATCATGACGGCTGCCGGTGGAAGTTCATGGAGGCATGTTACCATCCATCAAGCCGTTAGTGGCTCCAAAGGCGACGACATCCCTTTTGCTGTCCAAGATTGAGGAAATGCTGGTCACGTCTACCGTGGCTGCAGTCACATGCCTTGTAAATTACTCTGTATAAATCATGTATTCAAATGCACATCACATCCACGACACACTATTGAATATTATTTGGCCAATCTCCACAAGTCGGGCATTGATTGCAGCGAGGCGACTAACGTATCATTGAGGCGGCTTTTGCTGTCTCCATTGGTCTGCGTCTCTACTCACCTAGTCGTGAAGGAACATCAGTTTCAATATTGACAGTGAGTATCATTACACGCGCCGGGTGCTTATTCAGGCGGTGTGATGATGTGGACGGCAACTCAGTATATCTTCAAGATGTGCAGCGCAACGAACATGGCGCCACAGGCGCATGATCAGTATTATACACCGTTGTTTCACAGTATCATGAACGTTGAACATTTGGATACCAGCTCTTCCCATTAACAGCCGTGGGAACTGAAATACTACATAGACAGTTCCATTGATTTAGAACCTGCTGCACATGTCTGTCTCTATAAACAAATCTCGTTATGAAATCGACCCGAAATACATCACATTACTCTTTAGGTGCAATGACTTTACTAAGAAATAATGCCGGCAACCTAAGCCATTTCCCCCCCGAGATCATCGTCAAGATCATGTCCTGGACAGACCTACCGACGCTGCTCTCCCTGGCTCTTACATGCAAGCACATCCACAGCCACCTCGAGGCGCACCACGGCGTCATAGCCCGAGACATGGCCATCAACCTGGTCGGGAGGTACTCGTATATGTTCGCCATCATGGCGGTCGAGGCCGAGCCCATCGACCCGGCGGACCGGACGGCGCTCGAGGCCTACTTCAAGACCTGGGTTCACCACAACGTGACGCCTGCCAAAGAGTTTCGGCTGCCCGCCATCCGCCGCCTGTTGGTCTTGCACGAGGCTGTCAAGAAAGCTGTACCAGAGAGGGAAGAGCTGATTGCTACATTCAACCTGGGAGATCCTGTCTTGAGCGAACTGGAGACCATTAGAAACTGGCGCATATTATACTTTGCAGAGTTAAATGCGAACCTGTTCATCCGCCGGCCAGGACGCCCTGATGAGTTCTACATGGAGCTGCAGCATCCAGACATCTTCGACCGGTTCTGGGGCCACGGCGATCGACGATTGCACTTCCCCTGGTGGTACGACCTCAGGCGTTTCGAGAGGGGCTTCTGGGGTAAGGCAGGCTGCCGGCTCTCTATGGCGTTGAACTGACTGATGGATTTGTAGACCGTATCCGCCCGGCGCAGCCGCGGATGACCATTTCAAGATGCACTACGTGTTTGTTGCATCATTGCCCATTATATGACGCAGATTGCGTGGTATTCTTGTTCCAAGCTTTGGGTGTCGAGAATCTTGACTCTGAGGCAAGATTCACGCAGACCGTAGAGAGAATGTCGGAACACTACGCCAACGTATGCAACCACGAAGACACGTATCGTCAGGAGCCGTCCATCAGACGGGCTTTGGACGCTTATCTCGCGGGTTGCGATTATCAGCACATAAATGTTAGAAGCGCCTTCAATTCCCGGCGCATCGTGGATGTGTATCTCGACAATGCCATCTGGGATACCGCCGGTTTCCGTGAGCTGTACGAACGACTTCCCTCGCATCTACGGGAGAAGGACGGTGCCAGTATGAGACTTGGCCACTGCCCTCCTATTATGTGGTTCGAGAGCTTCTGGCTGGCAGGAATTCTCGACGTGGAGCGGCTCAGGCATTGGCCAGAGTACAGTGACAATCATCGTATCGAAGAGTCCCGCCAGGAAGCACGCCGAAGCTTTATTCAACATCATCGACACCCAGATGAACCATACTTCGAAAAATGGGAGGAGGAGGATCCGAGGGACTGGTCGCTGGATGAGAGATACATCGAGATGTTCCGAAACAGAGATGAACTTGGTATCATCCCCGATTTATAAGGGGGCTGGCCGCGGGCACATCGATTCTTCGACAACACCTACACGGCCTAGCGGCCGAATATCAGAGTGGGCTGTAAATGCATGGTTAGACAGCTTCCGGTCACATATCTTGAGAACGTAATCTTTGGCCAATGGGGACAATGGTCAAGTTTCACAACTTTTGGTTGCTATTATTATTAGTCTATATCATTAATCTAGTGTTCGTTCGTAAATTGAATTATTCAGTTTTTGGCTTCTGCGGAATGGGGTTGCCTTGCTCGTCTACGAGCCCCTTTTCACGCATGACGCGCAGCGCCTCGTGGATGGGATCCAGCTCAGGCTTCGGCGACCTGTGCGAATCGAAGTAGTAGTCGGCCCACGTGAAGTACTGGCCGTAGTTGACGGTAAAGTACATGTGGTGCAGCGTGTGGTGGGCCGGGCTGTTGATGAACTTCTCCGTCCAGTGTCCCGAGATCATGTCGCCGTCGTGGATCAGGATGGTCCAGATCTGTACCAGGCCAAACATGACCATGTAGAGGTACTTCTGCATCGGGCAGATGAAGACGAAGAAGTGGTACGGCAGCGACTGCACGAAGCCGTCTGCAGGGTGGAAGGCGAGCGCGGCCCACGGGGTCGGGACGATCCACTTGTGATGGGGCTTGTGGATGTACTTATAGACGCTGGGGTGGTGCTCCAGGCGGTGAATCCAGTAGATCATGATGTCGTTGAAAGCAATGTACAGCACGGTCGAGACTCCCATCCACGCCCACCCGTAGTCAGAAACGTCGGTGTATAGCAGACTCTTGCCCCGCACCTCGGCAAGGAAGATGGGGAGGGTCATGAGATTGATCCATGGGATTGCGTTCATGGACGACTGGATCTCCTGGCGGACCTGGTTCTTCAAGAAGCGCGGGTGGTGTTCTAACCGGCGGTCAAAGATGAAGTAGTACGACAGGGCCGAGAAGACCCAGTACAGCAGCGAGGCGCCGATCTGGGTGACGGTCAGGATGGAGATGCATTGCCGGATGATGTTGTCGCGCGGCCATGCTGATTCGGCCACGGCGGGCAACGTCGCGTTGCCAGCGAAGGCGCTTGGCGCGGGATGAAGATAGGCATATGCCTTATCGAAGATAAGAGGATCGAGTAGCTCGAGGGCCGCGTCCATGTTGGGCGGTGGTGGCAAGCGACCGAAAACTCAATTGATGCGCGAGGTTTCGATCGAACTGCAAAGGGCGCTAAAGGAGCGGGCAAGGGCTTGGGGATGAGACTTCGACGTGCTGCTTGGCTGAATGAAGGAAGCCGGATGCTGCACGAGGGAAAAGCAGCTCATGGGAGGTCGCTGAAGGTTGTCAAGAGACAAAACAATAAAAAGACGGGAAACCGTTGAGGAAACGACCCCTTTCATCCGCCGCTCTGGCTGGCTGGCTGGCTGGCTGGCTGGCTGAGGCGAACCGCGACCCAGGAAATGAGGGGTCCCACAAAATATTCTGCTCGGCCGCTAGCCAGGTACAGTAGTTCCCTGTATTTCCCTGTGGTTAGCTGGTCGGAGATGCGAGATGCCGGATCATGCCACTTCAAAAATGCCCTGTGAATGCCAGCCAAGCCTGCTTAGTCACGCCTCGCTCCCTCCGATAATGGAGATGCTCCTGTGCTCGCTCCTTGACGGAGGCGAAATTCCTCGACGACGACGTACACAGCACTCCGCCACATCTGGACACTCTAGTGTGAACATTTACATATACTGTAACTCGCTACAGGCAGATATGGGATATAGCTACATAGGTTTTGCGAAAAAGATGGCACTGCCCCAAGTGACGCCCACATGCACATCCACCAATCCGCTAGCAAAGCCACACCCACGCCCGTTGGGCAATTGAACTTCTGACCACAGCCATCCAACATGCATGCATCTCCGGTAAAGAGATGTAACCTCTCCATGACACATCCAGCACTCATCCCCTCCTTGCATTCTATGGTCTCGAAGCGACGGGAGTCAGGTAGACATTGAGCGGTATCCTGTCCCACTAGATTGAGATAAGTCAGTGAACAATGCCCACGCCACTGAATGCTCGTGTCATGTAAGTGCAAGGGGGAGCCTCATCGTAAGGATTTCCGCCGCGAGTCGCTGGGAGAACTTACCAGTGGGAACGCCTTCTGGCGCTCGATCCATCGCTTGCTGTCATCTGCGAGTTTCATGTCAAAGTCGAATATGAGACGAGCCAGGATCAGACGCATCTCGGCGTACGCAAGACTGCACCAGATCTGTAAGCTACTGCCACAGCAACAGGAATTCAAGGATCAACATACTTGCGGCCGATGCAGTTTCTTGGGCCGACGCTGAAGGCCTGGAGAGCCTCGAGCTTGTTGTCTGAGGGTGTCTTGGAATCGGCCAAGAAGCGCTCGGGGTCAAAGGTCCACGGGTCTGTCCAGTTCTCCTTACTGTGGTTCATGGCCCAATGTTGCACCTCGACGAAAGTCTGGAGCAATTTGCTGATCAGTAACTGAGTTCATTCCGCACGGATCACCAGCCACTTACACCTCCTGCCACATAATGCCCTGCAATATGCTCTCCCTTGCCCGGAACCTCCCGTGCCAAGCTGGAGGTAACGGGAGGGTACAGCCTCAGTGCCTCGTTCAGCACTGCTAACATGTACGACAGCTTGTTGACCGAGTTGATGTTGATGTCGTCGACACTGCGAAAGCTGGACCGAACCTCTTCCTGGAGCTTCTCCAGCGCTTCGGGGTGGCTAAGCAGAAGATATGTCGCACCCGACAGCGTCGTGGCGGTTGTCTCAGACCCTGCCAGCACCAGAATAAAGGCATTGGCAGAAAGCCTCTCGAACGAGATGTTCTACTTTCGGCGTTAGTCATGTCGTGCCATAAGGCTTGAGAACGCAAGATGATAAAGGGGTGTGTTACCCATTCTTCCCGTCGCTTCACGATACCTTCAAACAGGTCATTCCGGTCTCCTTTGACGCTCAACCGACTGGTCAGGAGGTCGTTGATGTACTTTCGCATCGTCTTGATTGCGGACAGTCCACCGATCTTGAATATGATCTGTGTCACAGGAGAAAGGCCCAAGTAGTTCAGCGCGACCGTGGTGGCGCCGTATTTGACGCTCTGGAAGATGAACGCCACCCAAGGATGAGTGCGCACCTTCTCAAGGCACTGGAACGACTGGCCAAACACCAGGTCGCCAACTACGTCGAATGTGGTCCAGTTGTACCAGGTCTCGAGGTTGAGGGGCTCGTTGCCGCGGTCGCACTTCTGGTGAAGGCGTTGAAGCAGCAGGTCCACATACTTTGCAATCAGAGGCTCTTGTTCCCGCATAGAGCTATCTGAAAAGCCGTGCGACAGCGCGCGGCGAAGCATGGAGTGCTCTTCACGATCCGCATTGATGATCGATGGCGGTATGTTCTTGATCGACCTCACGAACACTGGCGACTTGGGCATCTCCGTCATGTTGCCGACGCTTCCAATCCGGTGGCCGTAGATATCCTTCCATGCCTGAGGGTCCGTAAAGGACAGGTGGTTGGGTCCAACGCGGACGACGGTGCCATACTTATCATGCAATTTCTGGGTATGGAAAGCCTGGACTCCAGTGCTATGACGGTACGCCCAGAATATCCCAGACGCGCGGCTCAAGACGGGACCAGGGAAGTCGCGGAGAGGGTGGAAGTACAGATTATAGATGATGGTTGATACTTGCCAAATGACAATCTGAATCCAACATTAGCTCAATGTGCTACCGCCGCCGCGTGAATAGGCTAACCAGTGTAAGCGCTGCTGTGGCATACTGGCCGGCATTCTGCCCGAGCGTATCTAGAATTGTCATCGTCGGTAGATCAGGACTGCCGTAGACGCCTGGGTAGAGATTGTCTACAGTGATTGCATCACATCAGTTTTCATTCTCAGGAACACGTTACTTTTATTACGCCAGACCGCCGTCACAATCACAGTCGCGTACGAGTACGAGGTTGCGGGGTCCCCCAAACTATCACACCAATGACGTCCAGGATAGACGGACGGGAGCAGAAACAGCCGAGTGCTCGCTTATGCTAAAGATTGCTTAGCCCCGGGGAAGTGGGCCGATCCGCTGCCCGATCCGCTCCCATTGGCCATCCGCATTGCAGTAAGGATTGCTTGAAGAGTATCAAGTTATACTACTCTCCTACGAACGAGCGTCCTAAGCTAAATCAATCCACCGGACTATAATTGAATCAGTCGCCAACACTTTTAAGCAGGCAGAAGCACAGCCTGGAACATGACTTTGTCGACCATTCTACAGCAAGTCGTGCCAATGCCTCGGACATCTCCTGCCCACTGATAAAGACATCCATATCGTTGCATATAACAAAACTCAGCATAAAACTGCGATATGCAAATTTCGGGAGTAAACGACCATGATGTCATCCACGCCCTCTCGGTTTCCCCCGCGATGGCATGCTCCGACAGTCTTGAGTCAACATACTACCTCCTATGACAAGCAACAGATGGTGTCACTGTACCTGGTATCAAAGCACCCTACTACACAGGTCGGGGCTACAAGGAATTTATAAGAAGCTGAATCAATCATTTTCTTATCGAAAACTAAAAGTTTTTAATATATAAATCAAAAACCTCTGTTTTACGAATGGGCAGACGGCTCTGTATTTTTTCTTACTTTACATACTAATACATGTCAAGTTGTATCACCCCCGAACCTAAAGCGAGTGTTACAGGATCGTCCACGCGTGTATCTATGCATATTACCCATACTTGAACATCTAGGTAGGCACACAGGATCTGCGACATAGAGAGGTATGTGAATGTCTGGCTTTGCAACATACCCAGAACTCTAACCGAGCCAAAATGAAGTAGGTACACGGCCGCGGATGCCTTCCTAATTGCGTTTTCTGCCCAAACCAAACGAAATCAATGCGGGACGCGCAGTGAGTGCTGCGATTTTTAGATCGGATTGGTGTTGATCAAGGTCAAAGTTTTGCATTGATCAGACCATCACCTCCCAAGATTGACTCTCTATATCTCGAGAACTAGCTGAAAGAGGTCGCAAAAGACCTTCAATGGTCGCAGGTCTCCAACATCCCGAAATGATGTGTTTCCTTCGTTTGTTGGCCTCTCGACGTTCTCACCAAAGAAACAAACTGATGAACAGTCATTCTTCGCGATAGGCATCTTTTACGTAACCTCGAGACTCTTGGGCCACTGATTGAGCGACTTTTGAACATCACTGGTGTCCTGGGGGGCCACGGTCGGTGTTCTGTAGCATGACAAAATCATCCACATTGCGAACCCACGGGCATCGAGATGTCGAACGTCAGCTAGCGCCCGACATTGATACATCCCTTTTGATCCGTTTTATGACCAAAGCGCTCACTGGTTCCATGTTAGGACTGGTTGAAGAGGGAACTTCGAGCTTTTCAACCCACCTGAGTAGCTTTCCCCCCATTTTCCACGTCAAGATGCTCAGACGAATATCACACTCGAGGACCTGATGAGCCATAGGACAGGCTTGGCACCCATGGAAAATATCTGGTTCAGTTCTTACATCGATCTTCTTGTCGACCGGTCTCAAGCTGTTCCAACCATGAGCTATGCTCCAGTTGCAGGGCCGCTTCGCGCCTCATTCTTTTACAACAACATCGCTTACAGATTCTTCTTCACGTCTAGAGAAAGTGACGAATCAACCATATGTGGATCTCCGTCATGACCGTATCAGCAAGCCTTTAAATCTCAATAGAACATTCTACGCTGGGCAATCATTTGATAACAACACAATGGAACCATATGATGCTCTTGCCAATGGAATGCCTCACGAGCTCCCTCCTTGGGGTTACGGAGCAAACTCGGCAGAATGCCCTTATTCGACTACACATAGCCTTAGCTAAACTCCTGTGTTAGTTGCAATAGTACAGCCCCAGCGGCAACACCGACTTTAATGACTGCATCGGGCGCATATAATCTACCAGTCAGGCCGTTACTGAGCGGTAAACATGGGAACGCAAAAACTACAGGTGGGAGCTCCCTCAGACAGATCGAGGATAATTTGAAGGCATGTGGAGCCGGTCCGCTTTTGACCAATGTGGTCAATTTGGTTGGTGAAGTATGGGATATAGCAAAGGCAGATCCACCGCAAGCTTGGTATAATACTACCGAGTTAACGCAAGAGTGATAGTCGATCCTACATTTTTATCTATAATTCAATCTGTTGTCTCCGCTATCTTGTTAGAAGGGGCTTTGAAAACGTCTTGGGGCAGCAGCTCCAAAGGAGCAACTCAACCTTGGGAGGTGGTGTAATAGCCCCACATCAGCTCAAGCCCACTATTCACCTCAGGATTTTCGCCGCTACATGTTCACCGACGTCACCCGCGAGATCCCTGGCTGGTTGAACTGCAACCACTTCAACATTGGAAATCCAGAACCAGATTTGGCATGGATCCATTGACCGCACTCCCTGCCGAGGTTGTCCTACGCATCCTGGACTTTGCATGTCTTGACAGCATAGCCCAGTTAACGCGACTCACTCGAGCGTGGCACCAGTTCATCGATTACAATCACCCAGATGCCATATATGCAGCGAAGCTTCCGCACGTGACGACTCTGAGGGAGCCACAAAATTACTTCAAGGATCTCAAATCGTTCGCAAGATATGGCGAAGGCGTCCAGTCATGGAAGGACGCTTGTCGGCGGCGCACCCTGCTCGCCAGGAACTGGAAGGATGAGCGGCCAACGACGCGGGAGTCTATCATCCGCTTCCAGGCTGCCAACCACTTTGTATGGCGCTTCAAACCCGACTTTAAGCGACGGCTTTTCATATCGACAAGCCAAGCGGGTGGTATCTACGTGACCGATATGGACACCAGTGCCTTACTGTGGTGCCTGCAAGGTGATGGTGATGTGCGCGGCTATGCGCATCTCGAGTATCAAGACGGCACTGCTGTTTGGGATAGATTCGGCAATACTCTAGAAGTCTGGAAAACGGACCTTCCGGGCCTGGAAAGGGGAGAATTCCGCAACGTTGCCCTTTTGCCCCATGAAGCGGAAACCCGAGGCTTCCAGCTGTCGTTTGACACCCTTTGTGTCGTTTCTACTGATGGGAAGGGTTTCGTATACGACATACCGACAGGTGACAGACCACCTATTTTGAGAACCACTCTTGACATACAGCAAGGGGCAATTGGTCACCTCGACCAGGGAGAGCACGCGGTGATGTATTCTATGGGTGATGCGGGCTATCATTTCTATGACAAAACATCAGGCAGCTCACTAGGAACCATTCAACCTCAATTAGTAGATCCATTCAAGGTCTATCATATCAACCACCCGGCAGCCCCCGCGTCAGACTTTGATCTTGGTAAGTCAATTCAGTCCCACGTATGCCCTTGCAAACATGCTTACCCCTTATAGTCCGCCGAGAAATCCTCAATCTTCTCCCTCCAACAAGCACCGATCAACCACCTTTCCCACCTGACAATCCTCAAAATGACCGCCTCGTGCCCTGCCAGATTCTTGATGGAACGCTCAGGTCTAGCTTTCCCGTACCAGCAGCTCTCAACACGCCAACGCTAGCTGAGGACGACTGGGGGGCCGGCATGTTGAACGGTAAAACGATGGTTGGAGTCTCCCGCGGAGGAAGAGTCCTTATTTGTAGGGATTGGCCTCGAGCTTTGCGCAGTGAAGGTGACTTCGTTGCCGTTTCCTCCATTGTCGAATGCGAACCCAGCTCTGGTGCAGACTTCGACCTTGGCGGATGGCTCTCGATCCATGAAACAGGCGATGACAAGCGCATTATCTTCGAGATCAAAAATAGGATATACATACTCCCCATCAGCGCCGTGGGAGGTCCGATCGCGCGGCTACCCGTTTTGGTGGCTACCACGAGCTTGCCGGCTCTCGGTGTCCCTGTTAGTTTCATGGGCATCTATGATGACTGCATCATGAGCACGTTCACGATGGTTAGGCCGGAGATGACCGCACCTGACGAGCCAGAAGAGGACGGAGACGATTCTCCAACTTGGCGAATCACACCCACCAAGATCATCAGAGTGCTCAGCTTGGCACCAGAGCTTTCATCGATGGCGTCCTAAACAGCCAATTTTCCGACCTCTCGATGTGCCTCCTTCCCAACATAGAAACTGATGACTCGTTGCTACGTAGAAGGGTAATGTCAAATACGGTTTCGGATAGCAAAGGGAAGCCAGCAGTGAATAGTGTATCGAATATTCGTGAAACAGCCATCCAACGTTTAATAGACTTGCCCTTGCGGCCGTAGCAAAAGAGACTGAGAAGTGAGGCCTGACAGTACCGACTTCAGCAATGGATAGAAGCTTTGTAAAGTATTGGAAAGAGAATTTCCATCACGGCAGTCAGAGTTTTTGGTTAGGTTCATCATGGGATCATAAAGGCTCCATTCAAATAGGAAGAACGAGGGATTCAACAGCCGTCCAAGAGAGTACTCGAGAGCGAGAGGTTGACGGATAGCAGGAGCTGATTCGTAGAATGGTAGGAGAAGCAGCAGTGGAGGGGAGTCGTTCATTGCTCTTCAGCCTTAGCAGTTCCTAGTAGCGAAGGATTTGCAGCTAGACGATCTTTCCACCTACGGCAATAGGCCACATTTTACTGGCATCAAGACGGGAGTCAGATCCCAGAGCGGGCACTTGATAATCCTCAACTTGGGGTTGTTGTCTTCTAACATCAGTTTCCCATTCAATTTCTCTCCTATAACGAGTATCCTCAGGAAAGCCACTCACCACTGGATTATCTCGAGTCGCCCCTTTGTTTTCGATTACTGGACCAGCACAGACTGTACCGAAATAATGAAACGGGCAATGTACCGACTAACGCGGAGTCAGAAAAAGTCACGCGCAATAAGATCGTGAAATTTCAGCCATTGGCGAGACGCCGGTAGGCCTCCTACATTAGTTGCTGGCCTCCTGCATAGCCTGCAACTTATTGAACCTAACTTGGCCACTATCAAATGAACCACCTTGATGACCGGTTGAACTGACCTATTGCCCTACATTCGAAATATTAGAATTTTTTACCCAATGTTAAGCCTACAAAAGATCGACAAAGGGTATTTCTGACCGCTTCTTCCAAAAACAAACGTAGATCGGAAGTCCAACTACATCATGCATCCAGGTTTCCGGTATGAAACACGTTTTCTTTTCTTCTTGTAGCTGGTGACTCACCTGATCTAGCAAGTCAAACTTAAAGCCATGGCTGCTACTTCTGTTGTAGTATTTCATTGGGCTCGTGTTGAATCTATGATGCATGCAAGCATCGGCAGAGACGAAGAAGAAAAATAGCGAAGCCTTGATCTGAGTCCAGCAGCACTGACATCTTCCCGTATTATATGGAATGTGACTTCAATTCACTATAATTAGATAGGAGCATCCCATCTCCTCCGACGTCGTCTCAATCCTCCATTATTTATGAGCACCTGTTACCCCCTCTGTAATCTATAGTATCACAAAAAAACACATCCTGAGACCATTGACACCAATCAACATGCCGAACCACGAGATGAGCAAGGCCGATTCCGAGAGAATTCAGTCGTCTCAGGTATGGCCAAGTCCTGATCCATCTCTGATCTGACTGTTTCTTACCAATTGCAGGCCAAGAGTGGTGGCGATATGTCACAGAAGGGTTTCGGTGCCAGAGCTCAGTCGGCCAGTGACCGTAACGCTTCAAGCGCTCAGACCCAGGGCGCTGGGTCTACAAACGCTAAAACTGGCGGTAATCAAGGCGCCGGCAAGAAGTGAATGGTTCGTAGAAGCTCTTTGGGGACTCGTGTGGGTTTTCATCATGGTGTTACGCTAGGTCAGGTTGAGGGCGAGGATACATGATATGATTTCTTGATATTCAACATCATCAAGTGGAAACATTGCAATTGTCGGGATAAGTTCTTACCGCATAATTTATACATTCTGTCACTCTCTAAACACCCGTACCTTATGAGAAGAGAGAAAGACTATGACCCGTCCAATGGGAGCACCAGACATCCATGGCGAGTATATGTGGGCTAGGTCCAAAAGAGGATGGCACTTCTTGTTGAAAGCCATAGACGCAGTATCGTGGTGCCATAAACAGTGGCCCGAGACTTCTGCGGCATTCAGAAGTGTCTGGTCGAATTCCAGTGCAGTTCATGACAAATTGTCTTTTCGGAGCAGTCTGAAGTTGTTGCGTCTTGTTCACTGGCGACTGCGGCCACCTCTAGCCCTGCGACTTCCGGACGTATCTGCATGTCGAATTCTGACAAGACAGTAATCGACGTCTCTGCACTTCATTTACTCGTGATTTTGGCTTTGGCATGGACTAATTGGAACTCATTCGGATCAAGACCTGCTCAGCAATAGGAAATCCAAAGCTGAGTGAGTCGCGCAGGAGCCAGCGTCGGCAAACTTTGCTTAAAGGCCTCACTCAAAGCCGGTATACCCAATTGGAATACACCATCAAGAGTCGCCGGGTGAATGGTAAATGGCTTCGAGTTTGAGGCCACGCCATACCCAGCAACAACAGGTTCTGCGCGAGCTTTTCGGTTCTAGGAGTTACGACACTCTGGCTATGGAGGCATCAGGAGAAAATGGATACATGGACGTGTCAAGATAATTTTGAAATGCGGTTTACTAGAACTATTATGATCTGCTAGCTGGATGCATAATAAATCAATTAATGCATCAGAACCGATTATGCTCGTAAGCACGGGTTGACACGTTCTCTTCATGAAGGCGGGGGAGACTTGCTGAAGTGAGCATTTAATAATAGCACCGTACAGAGTACGTACCTGTCAGAACAAAGCCTTCCTTAAGAAGGAACCCGGACGTAACAAGATCCGTCGTCAAACCAACAACCAACAGCGGGCGTAACACCCCTACGTCTTGGTCCATGAGCAGTTTGAAGCTGCCATGGTTCTCTTTTCCTTTCTCTATGTTTGCCAATTACAGGTGATCCGCCGGCCGCGCCCCTATACATGAAGACCATTTATCCTTGCGTCGCTTGTGATCCTGATTCCCTGACAAAACGCATACTTTGGGGCGAAAGCGAGCAGCCGGGTCGCGCAGGACTTGTGTGCTCATTCAAGTGCTTCCATCAGGCGCTGCTCATAGATTTACCTACTGTGCATGCGTCCCAGTGCCACGGACTGGATGCAAAGTTGTACTGCGTAGCTCAAGTGACACTGATCAACCTCCCTGATCGCCATTCAGGGTTGTCACATCTACGACAGCTATTTATAACAGCACAGCATCATGTCGGTGATCGTATACAGTACAGCTATTGCGCTTTTCGCATGGATTATCTACTATAGAAAAGCCGCGGCCCCGCAGAAAGTCAAGCTTCCATATGTCGAATTCGACGATGGCGATAACTCTGCAGAGAGATACAGGAGTGACTATGAGGCAATCCTGCGAAAAGGGTATGAACAAGTAAGATACACGCCCAGCCAAGTCTGCCGCGACGAGCTTTGCGCCTTGTTTTATACAGCACACTGCAGCTTGCCTAAAACTCTAGCTGACGAGCTATAATGCAGTACACTTCCAAGGGTTTGCCTTACTCCATGAAGGATCCAAATGACCCTAACCGACCGGTTGCCATGTTGCCGATGAAATACCTCGAAGAAGTGAAATGGATCCCCGAGGAACGGATCAGCTTCTGGAAACATATCGACAAGGTATGCGCATGTCCACAAACCACAACGTAGGCGTCAGGTCCCTAACCCGATTGTGCATTAGCAATCGATCTTGACCCAGATTGGCGGGCCAGGCATCACTGAGGAGGTTGCTCGAGCAGCTCGGCAGGGCCTCAACAAGGCATTGGGTCAGTCACATCACGACGTAAATAGGTCGGAAACTCACACGCGTACAGCCTACTTGATCGAAGATGTCCAACGAGCATGCGATGTTGCCTATACAAAGGAAATGCCCTCATGTCCAGGTGAGTGATATATACCGTCGGGCGAAAGTCGAACTCTTATAATTGACTGATCTTACAAAAGAATGGACCACCATCCTACCGTACCCGCTGATTATGAAGGTGTTCGCCGGCATGTCGGCGCGGACGATTGTTGGGCCTGAGGTACGCACAGGTATCACTGTGATCCCCAGTGTCTCCAGCCTAGATGTGCAACTTGGGCTAATCGGAATATTCTTGTAGCTCTGCGGGTTCGACTCGGAGTGGCAGCAGTTGTCTATGGAATATGTCAGGAACGCGCTAAGCTCGCCGGGCAAGGTCAAGGTCGCCTACCCCCAGTGGCTTTACTGGCTGGCGCAATACACCGACTCCGGGATCAGGAAGATGAGGAGGATACAAAGACGCGCCAGCCAGATCCTTAACCCCGTTTTACAGAATCGGATTGCTGCCACGGAGGAGTTGAAGGTGATAGGGCAAAAGAGCAGAGGACCACGCAAATACGAGGATGGCGTGCAGTGGCTTCTAGACGCGCACAGTGCCCATGGTAAGGAGCTCTCAACAACTCAACTGGCACGGGATCTCTTCGTCATGATGACAGCCTCAATACATAGCACCACCGGCGCTGGGCTGTGTATTCTTTTGGACATGATGGACCATCCGGACATGATTCACGAGATTCTTGACGAGATCCAGCGTGTTCAGGGAACCCTTGTTGGTGGAATATGGACTCGTGCGGCCTTAGGGGAACTCCGGCTTCTCGACAGCTTTATGCGAGAAAGCGCCCGTTTCCACGCGCTGACCCAGTGTAAGCAAGCTTCCGTGGCTGGCCTGCCCCTTTTGACTAATCGCCACAACTCCCTGTGTGCTAACTCTTTTTTTCTTTTCCTCTTTTATTAGACATGGCGGTCCAACGCATCCCCACCACGCCGTGGACCTTTAAGGACGGCCTGCAAATTCCTGCCGGAACTACGTTCGCATTCCCGAGCTTCCACCACAACTTTGACCCTACGATACACTCCAAACCCGAAGTTTTCGACGCCAAGCGACATTTGCGAAAGCGCGGGAATCTTTCCGACACTCACAAGTACCACTTTGCATCGGCGTCTGAGGACTCGGTCAACTGGGGCGCGGGTCGACATGCGTGCTCCGGCCGCTTCTTTGCCCAGGAGACCCTGAAGCTTATGCTGATGCGTTTGCTGATGAACTACGACATTAAACACGACAAGACATCGGAAGACACACCGAGGTTCCTGAACCACAACTTGTTCGTGATTCCTAATCCAGCGCTTCCGCTCCTATTCAAAGAGCGCAAGAGGGCAGTGTAGATCAATTCATTCGCAGGTTACGTTGTCTTCAAAGTAGATGGGAGCGTCACCGTCTACAGAGAGTAGAGATACTGTTAATTGAGCTTACACGGCACTGTGTCGCAGTTCGCACCTTAGGATGTTGCCTCTGTTATTGGTATCAAGATTAAAGTTGCCTGCCTTAAGAATTGCAAATTCCCTGGTATAGAAAGTATTAGTTAAGGACCGACTCATTTGATCATTGACAACTGGCCTATGTATACCCCCCGAATTTACCGCCTTTGCCAGTTTCCTAGACAATGTCTGGACCAACCTGTTTGCGGAAGATATCCAAAACTTCGTTCGAAGTACCCTTCTATAAAGCGATGTGCCACGCTCGCAAGCAAGCACCTCGCTGGGTCTGAAGTGTCATCAGCAAGGCGAGGATCAGATATTAAACGGTGTGGTCAGGAGATACAGAGGCTTAGATATACAGTGGATATGAGTCATTCGTCTAGAACTGCCCATGGCTGTCAGGGCCAAGCCATCATAACGTGTACGGCGTGTGCGGGTCCGTGCAAGGCTGCTTACACCAGCCTGCAAGCGCTGATCCTACAACGCCTCTCATCGATCATCCTCTTCTTCACGTGCTGTAGTGCACATCGAAGTCAAAAGAAGTCTCGGTAATCGCTTCGGCAAATCTCATAATGGCTGGTTAATATTTCTTATTTAACAAAGCGTTTATATAGATTTTGGCGTTTAGGGATATCATGCCAAGGTGCTATCAATATATACCAATTCCAATGAAGCCTGAAGAACCCAAAAAATTGCAACAACCGGAAGCATTTTCATGACGCGGGCATCAATCATAACTCTCCATCTAATGTCAAGGGGTATCGATCAGGGGCGTTACAGCGACTCAAAACAGTATCAAATCATCAACCCGGCTTTTGGAAGGTATCATGCCTCGCGGCATCAAGACGTCGGGCCCACGTCTTCAAGATTCTCGTCCCAACCACCCGTGCTCAGCAACCACTCTCCAACTCTTTCCTTCACACCCCGGACCCCGTCACCAAGACCCTCATCCCATTGACCTCGAACCACCCTAACCTTCTCTTTCAGATCATCTGTTAACCTCTTCTGTTCCGCTTTTCTCTGTTCCTCGAGACTCCTGCTGTCTTGTCCTTCAGCTTCGCTCACCTTCATGCGAGCCATCATGACAGCCTCCTTGACTTCATGCAGAAGGCAGAACAGGTTTGTTTGACTCTCGATGAATTGGTAAGTGCTCTTTTCGGCATGGAGTAGCAACGAGAACAGATACTGAAGCGGATGTTCGTGATAGCTCGGGTTCTCCTCGTACTCTACCGGTGGAATCTGGATGCGGAAATCCTCAAGGCTCTGCGGCACCTTATCCAACAAGCTCTTCAGCGGGGGCGCGATATCCCAAAACGCGTTGAGCTGCATGTCTATACCGCGTGCTACATTTTCTTCCACAACACTGCGGAACTCACGTGTTCGGTGGAGAACTTCGTTCGCAAAAGCAACCCGTCTCTTCTCAGCGTCCTCAGCGAAAAACGCCTGCGCACTGGATATCTTCTCCTCATTACCGGTCAATTTGTACGGCAGTATCACCATCTCCTTGTAACGGTCATTGCGGTCGCTAAGGAGGTCGAAAATCTCTCGGTGTAGAGTCTCCCGTGCCTCAAAGATCCATTTCAGAAGTGTGAGCTTTTCCAGGAGTTCAGGTTTCTCATCGCCTTCTTCTTGGGGCATGTTGGGGTCGCTCGTATGAGTCTCCACGAATAGCCGCGATCGCAAATCGTCGAAAAGGGATGTCGCCTGGCCGATACGCCCTGTGAGGATTTCGTTCGAAGGCATAACGACAGAATTTTGGAAACGGTCAAAATCTTGCTTTTCCAGGTCCTTCGATTGCGCACGCTCGGAATCGGCAGAATCCGCTTCGATGGCAGCCGCATCTGCATACGACATAGTCCCAGCACTGACTTCCCGCTGCAAGTTGATCCGAAGTGTTTGGCGGCGCTGTGATGATGCCTTTGCTGCTTCATCGCGCTTCTGTCGGCTTTCCTTGGTAGCAAGTTCTTTCATGTCTTGGAGCTCCTTCATGTCGCTCAGTGTCCGTACGAGGGCACGGATTTCCGTGAGTTCTGGGTGGTTGTTGTTGACTGCCGGATGATGTCGTGGATATGGCGGTGGAAGAGTTACCAGCCGTGACACATCAAGATGAAGAGGGCTCGGCGTATTCGGTGTTGAGGCTGGGAGAGACAGCAACGACCTCCTGAAAGGTTGAGGAGTACCGGACTGCTCTGTCTCATGCCACCCTTGCTTCTCTGGCGGATACTCATCAGGTCCATAACCCTTGCTGGAACTCGCATATGCTTCTGCACTAGTCGGAGGATCGCTCCACTGAAGAGCTTCTCGGGCTTCTTTGGGGACACCCATGTACTTTGATTCTCTCTTCGATCTCTCGAGGCGCTGAGAGGATTCGCCAGCAGAATCCGCTTCCCACCATCGACTGGAAGGCCGACCGCGAGAGCTCCTATCATCAGGCGCTTCGCTAACACTCATGCTGAGAATTGGTGACAGAGCTGGCTTGTACCCCGAGTTCCAGTTGGCGTTATTTGGGGGTCCACCGACGGGAGAGATGGGCACTCCAGCAGATGCTGGCGCTGAATTAGATTGCTGAATACTGTCTCTGCCAAAAATGGACCCGATCGAGTTTCTGTTTGATTTGTTCTCCGACATCTGGGGCGTCCATTCACTCATCTCAGAGTTTGTAGAGTCCCTCCTCGGTTTCATGGGGCGGAACAAGTCACGAGTAAGATCAAAAATCTCAGACCCCATGGCACCAATTGCCGAACTGTATCTCTCTCGCCGTAGTCTTGACTCGTTCACGATGAAATCGGCGAAAAGTTTGACACGGTCGGCATCCGAGGCTGCAGCTGCTTCCCTCTGAGCGAAGATTTGGAACCGCTCTATGGTGCCTCTCGAAAACTGGTCGGCAGTCTGACTAACGATGGTCTGCTTGGTCATCGGAGTGGATGGAGGGTGGCCAAGCACGATGCTCCCGATAGAGTTGTGTAGTTCTGGTCTTGTGACACTTGAGCTTGATGCAGACCGGCTTTGAGGGGGCGGTGTTGGCAAGGCTTTCGGTGCCAGAGGCTGCCCATTGTCTGTTATGGGATGCGATTTCCGTGGCAAAGGTGAGAATGGAGGCGTGGGCGTTTCTGGGTGCATACCCGATGAAAGGCGCGGAGTCGAGTTTCTTGAGTCGGTATTCAGGTCGGTCTGGCCAGACCAAGGCGTGTCTTGAGAAGCCCTGCCGCCGCTCCTGGGGGTGTTCTTGTGGACGGAGAAGCGCCGGGTTAGGCCGGAGCCTTGTGGAACGACAATATCTGACAATTGCGGAACACTTGCATTGGAATCGCCTCTGCTGTGTCTTGTACGGCTTTCATTACGTCGTTCGCGGATGGACTTCTCCCCTCTCACGGCACCAGTTCTGGTCAATTGCCCACCTGCGGAACTGGATCCAGATGTGGACTCATCTGCTGGCTGTGAGGCAGAGCTCGACGCACTCGCTGTGTCTATGCTCAAGGCTTGCTGTTCCGGACGTTGCGTGTTCCTATGGTCTTCCTCCACCCAATCCGCAGGCGTTGGTGGCACAGGACCTAGGGCGGTGACACCTCCTGGTGGCGGTCTCCGGGTAGGGGGCGATAAGACAGGTTCAGGTGTTCGGTTCAGACTCTGAGATCGTGAGTTGGAAGGAGGTGGCCCGGGTGGGGGCGGGGGAACAGGCATGCCGGGTCCCCATCTTGACTGGGATGCCGACCTGGATCGAGCGGATGTTGGCGTTTCAATCGCACTCGTGGATGCAGCTCTCCTCGCATTCGGAGCTACAATGGCTGGCGAGGACTCCACCCTTTCCGAGAGATGCGGTACTTGGATGGAAAGTGGTTGTGGCCGTGATATTGAGATCGGGGGATGTGTCTCGGGCGGAGATGTTGACTCCGCGGCATCTCTCCTTCGGCTCAAAGATGGAAATCCGAATCGCCTTTCGCGAGAAGCCCCTCTGCCTCCTACATTCGGAGGCGGTGGGAAGTTTTGAGGCGCTTGTGGTTCCGGCGATGGTCTATGCAACATGGGCGCGGACGCACGAGCCGACGAGGTGTTGGCCGGCGGCGTCTCAACTGTTACGCTCGCGGGCCTTTGGCTTCTTGGTGGCGAGTACGGTGGTGGCGGAAGGGGCGAGCCTTCCCACATTTAGCAGACTTCAGAGACCGTAAAACATCATGAGAAGCATACCTTGTGGTGCATCATGCGACTGTGGAGGCGGGAACTGGTGTGTCCGTTCCACGGCGGGAGATGGGCCCCATTCTTGGGGGTTATAGGGCTGGATTGAGCTGGCCGGTGTCTGGACTGCGGAGTATACGTAGGGCGACGTCGCAGATATGGCAGAGTGCGGCGTGTTCAATTGGTTGTTGTGGAACCCACCCAGCGACGTGGTCAGCAAAGGATTGAGTGTCTGACGGAGTCGCGATGTCGAGTCCCGCGCGGAGGTCATTGTTGGTGTAGGATCACTTGAGCGATGTCCTCAAGCACGCGCTCGTCGTCGAGTGGTGGTGGTCGCGATCTCGACGAGCTGCGATGTTTCCCCGCTGGACAATCCGCTAGGCTTCGGTGAACCTCTCCGTCTCTCTCTCTCTTTCTTTCTCTCTCCTCACTTGGAGACTCGAGTCGCAGTCGTCTGGCTTGGAAGGCCCATACCTAGCACCCCGCGGCTGAAGAAATCGTGAAGGAAAACAAGTGTGTCGTCGCGGCCACAGAAGAGTTTTGTGTAAGCCTGCAAGGAGGGACACTTGATGGTGCCACCAACACTGCTCAAGACTGCAAAACGAGTGGACGAGCCACCGATCAGATCGAAGAACTAACAGTTCTAGTCCATCGGCACCCTTGTCCAGTGTGGTCGACCTTCATGCAGCTGCTTCAGGGAGGGCTGTCTGTGAACTGAACTGCAGTAGGGCCGTGGAACCATGTGCTGGTAGGGATGCAACACAGCTGGAGCCCATTTCGATTGTCAGGGTCCAGGTATGGCAAATCCCGAAGTGTTCCGCCGCCGTCCTCATGTGGATGGGCAAATGGTCAGTGGTCGGACGGCAGACAGATTGGAAGATGCTACTGATCTGCGCGGAATCACACCAGGGCAACATGCAGGTCGCCGTCTTGAGTGCTAGGGCGCACTCTAGCTGCATGTGCCCCATGTGCTCACCACTCATGGGCCGCATCGACGTTGGAGGGCAATCAAGAGGCATGAGTGATCAAATAACGGGAGGCGGGACGAGATTCTGAGGCCCAGGGGACGAGGTACCAGATCTGGCCCGCCCATTGGCCGCCTAGAAGTGGAGTTCACTCTATAATTAGATGCCTGGAAGCTTAATACTCTGTGATTGGCCTCGGGGCCTCGTTCAGCCCAATCGAGCCATCCGGCGCTTAGCATATCCCTCCCATCCGACCGCTATAGACGCTGTGATTCGCCCGTCGCTTTTGAGTCAATTATCCCCCCGCACTGAATACCCTGGTCGTTTCTCAACAAGTGGGTTAATTACCTTCCGAGAAACGAGCACATGGCCGAGGGCATCGTGCAATGCATTGCCGAGTCATGCAATTTTACCTCTACAGTACCAATGGTATGCTGATAAGCTCGAACTGGAGCTCCAGGGCCTGCCGCCGATGTCACTCGCAGAGCAGAGCTGCCTTCCGTTGCTCGACCCTGCGCGACATTGTCGTGGCGTCAGGAATAGCAGCATAATCAATCGCGCGCCGGCAGCCTCCAGTTCCGTCCCGTTGTCGCATCTGCTGACATTACTTGACGGGTTGCACTCGGCACCCACAACCGGGCTCTCTGCAATGCAGCATACCCGCAGCCGCGTCTAAATCTATGGTTCTGACACTGATGCTGGTAGTTCGTGAACACCGATTTAGTAGCACCGCGTCCGTCGCAGATCCCCGACTCCAACAACCCGGCTCCCAGGGTGCCAACACTAACGTCCGGATTCATCTGCATCCGTGACGGAAAAGCATCGCGACTCGCAGATATGATGTAGTCGACTACCAAATTTGGAATTCACCTTTCCAAGCCCCTACTATAGCTCTTCCCGTCTTGTCAAAATTTGGACAAGCCAATGAACCAGTAGTCATTCATTACGAGGCCATCCAACAGGACCCCTTGTAGCGTGAGCATGGATGACAACTAGAAATATGTTGTGGGAGCTCGTAACGAGATCTCTATAAGCCATGACCAAAAATATATCCTGTACTGGCCATCCTCAGCTCCCTACCATCCAACTATTCGAGGTTCTCAATGCCGAAAATTAACGTTTTGACCAACGCCCGACCCTGCAATATTCTTAGTTTGTGATAGATGAGTTGTTCCTAAGCGTACTCTATTCAATGGGGGACATTTCTAAAAATAGGGTTTCAACTGGGTATTCGTCTGTGCAATGTTATTTTAGAGCCTTGGCTCCGAAAAGAGGCATCAACGCCAATTATCAGCGTATTGAACTTGGCAACGTCAAAGAAGTCCAGTACGTGAACGAGAAACCTTCGAAAACTTTCTTGTCTAAATATTTGCCCTATTTATGCATTGAGTGCTATGGACTTAATGACCGAGTCCCCAATCTGAGTGATCGACAACGAGCGGACTGACAGGAGGGACAATGGTATAGGACCTCAGATAGTAAACTCTACTTCATCTCAGGGCATGAAATAACTTAGGGACGAAAAATGACTGTGCCACCGATGATGCTATTGAGAGGACCCGCAACAAGAAAGGCGTTGCTTAGAAACTGGTGCAGTGGTCCTCGAAAGATGAACCCAGACACCTACACGCCACCAAACAAAGTATCGCCGTCGATGACTAGCCAACACCATGTTTCTCTTGGAAAGCCCAACCGAGATAGATCTGGTTACCTCAGAGGAATACCACTCCAGTGCCCGACAGTAGTGAAGTCAGTTCGCGTTCAGTTGTACTGACAGGTGGCCCATCAAATCCGAGTTTAGGGTAGATATATATGTTCGAAAAACGAGTTATACACACGAGAGGCCCGCAACAGGTCAGTCCTCACCAGGACTTGCCATTGTTCTCCGAATTGGCCGTGGCCTGTCCCCCGCACATGTGTTTCAACTCTTCTCTCCTTCTCCTGTTCAACTCGGTCGCGCTCATCCTCGCCCTGTACTTCTCCCCATACAAGCGCCTAGACTCCTCCTCTGACCTCACGAACAGAATGTCATAATCGCTTGCAGCCGTCATGTTCGCATCCCTCTGGATGTGGTGCCATCGTCTCGCATCCGGGCCCTTTTTGCCCACCACGCCAACCGTGCGCTCGACTTTCAGACTTGGATGATCGGGCGCAATGACGCGTAGACCCTGTGCCCGAAGGGCGGCGATGTTATGCCGCCGCGACGGATAGACGGTGATCCGCGAGACAATGTTCGGATGAGCCGCGAGGACGGGAGCTGACAACAGGTACGCAAGGGCAAAGGTGTCAGTTCCCGCAGCGTCGCCGAGGATGAACCTGTGCCCGGTATCTAGCGCTGTGTTGATATGTGGGACATAGTGTGTGGTGAAACCGGAGGGGCTAAGGTCTGTGTGGCCGCTGATGAGTGCAATTGGTGGCTGTGGTTGCACTTTGCCCACGGCTGAGCCATCTTTCGAATGTGAAGACATGACTAGTCTCTAAAGGACAAAAATTAAATCGTTGAGAATTATTCTGGCATTGAAAGGACTTCACATTGTCTCATAGTGAAGTACATGTAGTAAGCCGAATATCATGAGTCAGGCCGTGGGATGGGGCAGCTTTGCCTTAGCGCTAGCTCTGAGCCACCTCAGCCACAGTCCAACGTCGACAGTCGAAAGTTGGAATTCGGCATGGAAACTGGCAATAGGAATTCCTTTGGCTTGTGAAACGGGTTATACCAATTAGCAAGCAATCTATTCCGCCGCGGTGCACATTGGAGAAACTGATGTATCCTGCAAGCTGGGTAGCACCCTGGCTGAATTCGTCCAATTAACTCACATCTAACGTACTAGGTCAAGCTAAATGGACTATGCAATTGATGCCTTTATAGCAAGTTACTGACCACGACCACTCTATAGCGACCGATTTTGCTTTTACTGGATCCCTGCAGCCAACGCCTCTTCTTGCTGTTTCACCAACTTGGTGACCTCGAGGTCGATACCGTTATATTATGTATCCGGTCAGGGCAATACTGACTTTTTCTTGGAAGACCACGGCCACGATAATACTTCCTTGTTGCACGCAATGGACCAGCCCCATCATGTCAATGAAGGCCAAAATTCACCCAAGTTTGGATCACACTGATGAATGGAAGTGTCATTTAAGGGCGCGCGGCTTAGCTATCCGTGACCACTGACGAAGAAATCGGCTATGGTGACTTTTTGACACATCATGCTCTGCAATGGAGTATTACTCCAAAGACGATCGAAATAATTGGCGCCATGAGGTGAAGAATAGATACAGGCAGTCACGCCATTGGCACCATGAGGATGACTACAGTTTGAACGCACAGAGCTTATATCACGACCTTCACTCACGATCTCTGAGACAATTTTTTGACCCTTCACAATTCCCCTACTGTCTTTAAAGGAACGAACGAAAGCCCAACCATCCACGCCAGAATCCCCGCCGTCAAAACCGCGCACCTCGCCTCCCGCCTAACGACACGGATCCGGCCGGTTGCTCAGGCACTGCACGGCGCACACGCCGACCAAGTCAACGTTGCGGGCCAGGCCGCTGAGGCCGAGGGGCAGGCACTCGTTGAAGACCTTGGTGGCGGCGGGCACCAGGTACTTCTGGTCGAGGTTGGGCACGGGGGCGGACCAGGTGACGCAGCAGCGCGAGGCGTTGGCGCCGTCGAGCGTCAGGCAGATGGACAGCGGCGACTGCGGCACGGCGCGCGACCCGCCCTCGCGCAGGATGTCGATTAGCCCGCCGCACACGGCCGGGTCCGGCACGTTGTCGCTGTCGCACGTCACGTCGGACGTGCTGCACGCCCGCGGGGCTAGCGGCTCGCCGGCCGCCGGAGAGGAGGCGGACGGTGCCGCGCCGTAGAAGGTCAGCGTGCCCTTGTTGTTGGGAAGCGTCTCAGCGCTCAGAAACCTGAGCTCCCCGGGCTGTGAGGAAGCCACTGGGGTCGCTGAGACGTGAGCGACTCCTGCGACGGCAGCAAGGTATAGAACAGTGGATGAAGGCGTATACATGTCGGGCTGGTTGGTAGTTAGGTTGGCTTTGCTGGGTTTGAATACGGAAGTCTGCTCTGTCATATCATGGGCAGCATTCAATCCGTCCACGAGACACGCTCCATTTATACTCGCAGCCTTCCAACTCTCGTTCAACTGTGTAACACCAGAGTATCTGAAAGTCCACTGCAGCTCACTACACGAACTGTGCGTCTCAGGGTACTTTGGTCTAAGGACATGTTTATCCGGACCGCATCTTTGGCGGTCGTACCTCGCAACGTTACGTGTGGTTCTCTTGCTTACCGGCCTGAGTCCGTAGTCGGTTCCTCTATTTTTACGGCGAGTCTTTAGCGGTGGGCGACGTTGGATACGAGATCGCGGTCATGTTGTTGAGTTACACTGGTGTCAGACAGCGGTCCACTCAGTGCCTGCGGTGTAGTCGAAGGATGAACAGTATATTGCTCCGGGGGAAATGCAGTCTCCTCATTGGTAGAAACAGCTAGCAGGAAGCTATGGATCCCAATAAGCTTGCATAGCCGGGACGGAAAGTAGATTTCGTGCATATCCCCGCAGTAAGGTCGACAGAGATGGGTGCTCCTTCGAAGGGCCTTCGTGTGTGTCTAGCTGATCAGTATCAACTGCAGGACGCCGAGTAGGACCATAATGACCATATTGTCTAACTTGGATTCCGCCCACGAATTAGTATGATTGGTTACACCCTAGTTGTTGCCTACGTTAGGTCGCGGACACCATTAGGTGACTAGTCAAAGTAGCCCAGTAGTAACAGGATGTCGAAAACTTGGAGTATTTCACCATCAGACCGAACAAAATAGTAGCTAGCACGCGAGGTCTACAATCAGGGCACAGTTATTAGTGTTCTCATTTTACTCATTTATTAACGTAATATCATCATCATAGTCGTCTGATGTCCAAATGGACGCGACGTAACTAACGTGGGCCATGGGGTTGACTACAGCATGGTAAATCTAGCGAGCACATCATGGGAGGGGATATGCCTCTCTATCGAGATCTTTCTTATGATACTAGTGTTACCGGTGAGGTGAAGAGACTTCTCTTTCCATTCTATTGCGCCGTAACGCCGATATGTCGAGCAAGGCTTTACAGGATGGTTCCAAAGCTGTTCAGCATGTTAGTCAAGTCATGGAGTGGCACAGGCAGGACGATCGACTCACCCGAAGGTTGTCTTGATGCTTCGGACGTAGTACTCGCCCCAGTTCCTCTTGGTCACGTCCTCTTGACCAATGGGAACACCAGTCCAGTTGACGCGCATGACGGTTACGCCATCGACGTCGTTCTGGTCGAACTCGATGACCTGCTTCGAGAAGTGGCCGGCAGGCCACTGGTTCAGGCGCCAAGTCTGGGTTATCTTCTTGTTCTCCTCAAGTTCAACGAACTCGCCGGACACGTTGCCGTCGAAGATCTCCCACTTGCCACCCTTCTTGGGACCCTCGAATTTCTTCGGAGGGGCACGGGTGAAGGCAGCTATCCGTTGGGGATCGGTGAAAGTGAGATACAGCTGCTCGGCGGTAGTGCGGAACTCCTCTTGATCCGAGACTGTAGTCGTGTTAACGACGCTACCCGCGTTGCTCTGCGTAGCAGAAGCCTCCGGGTTCTTGGCGCCGCTGGTGGGTGCGTGAACCTTGGGGGTGGAGAAGCCACTGGAGGGGTTGGAGCCAGGTGCGTGCTGGATATCCTTGCCGTGCTCGGCAATCAGAGCCGGCGTGAGCTTCAAGAATTCCTTGCGCAGCTGGGGAACGAGCTTGGATCGCACCAGATCCTTCACGGGCTGCTTCTCCTTGGACTCCGAGTAGATATCAATGTCAAACTAGAGCAGTGTCAGAGGGGAGGTCGAGCGGGGGTGACGACAGGCGAACGTACCACGAACTCGTCCTCCTCGGTGTCGTGGGCAACCTCGGGGACGGTGATGGTACCCGACACGTCGTCGGCATCGGGCGCCGCACCGGCATACTCCAAGACGAGCTTCACGTCGAAGATTGTGATGACTTTGCCCTTGCGCTGACTGACGTCGACATCACCATCCATGCTGACGACCTTGCTGATCTTGACGTTGACGTCGCCATCCTCGGCCGAGACCTTGGTCAAGTTCTCGGTCAACCAGGCCTGGGCCCACTCGCCAGCGTTCTTGCTGACCCAGTGCCAGTTGTTGGGGTTGTGGAGGACCATGTTGGTAGGAGGGAGGGTGAGATCGCTTGCTGGGTAATCTAGAGTGCGGTTGCAACGGTTAGCCGAGATCAGACCGCGGGCGTGAATGGTGTGCGTGTGCAAGGACCGGTCGTCGTGTTTATAGATCAGAGGAAGGTCATTGGACCAAAGCATGTAGTCATCAATGGAGGGAGTACAAGTCACCCTATGACTGGTGCCAGCTGGGTTCTCATCATGTGAAGGCACGTTGCGGGATAGCAACAGCACCGGGACGGCGGCGGCGGAATTGTGACAGACGTATCTGGGGGGGAACAGTTGGCTTACCAGTGGTGGGATGTCGCGACGGTTGCTCTCTCTACATAAAGTAGGGTCTGGCGATGAATGGGCAGAGGCAAGACACGGGGGCCGAGAAGGCAAGGGGCGCGATGGCCACAAGGGAGAAGAAAAGATTCGAGGAAGAGAAGGCGGGAGAAAATGTTGGAAAAAGCTCGACGAGCCGTGGGAGGGTGGGTTGGGATTGGGATTGGGATTGGAGGGGCCCGGATTTCTCTAGTGGGGACACTGGGACGCTGGGACGCCTGGGACGCCCTGGGATGCCGCGCTCGGGCCAATCTCACAGCCTCATCTTCTTGTCCCCCGAGGTTCGTCGTCCATGGACCCGCCCCTTCGGCGCCGCACTAACTTGGACGGAAGTCAGCCTCGCCAGGCCTGACCGGCGACCTAGCAGACTTGACGATGCCCAGCGACTACAACTCCGACATACATATCAGCTGAGAATGAATGCAATGGGTGTGACGGACGACCGCTCACGTCTAGACTAATATCTCAAACTGTGACTGGTTACCCCTTCGAGCTGCGTCCTGTATACAGCTTACACATGCTAGTCTCGAGCGCAGTGGGCCTCTAGACGCGAACCGGGCAGTGACAACATAGCAATGTGAGGCTGAACATTTACGACTTTCTCTCCAGCACCATTTACTCCGCCTGTACGGGTCAAATGCGCATTTCGGGCTGAAACTTCAATCTCAGTGTGATGGGCGAGAGCTCCAGACTATGAGAATGGGCTTCAGCATCAACATGGATTCTATTCGACAGCTTCTCGCAAGTCCGAATATGAGCACGCTCGGGCAATGACGGCATCATAAAAAGTGCTCGCAACGGATAGCCCAGGTGCTTCTGAGAGCCCTTGCGGGGTTCGACGAGTGGCTTATCCAACCGGATAGATGATTTTCATATGATCGGGAGCAATTAATCATGGGATGGAATACAGTTCGAGGTCACAAAACCATGTCATTGCGTGAAACTGGACAGAGACACGGGTAATTTCACCACCACGTTTTCGCAGACATCGTCGTCTATTGTGGCTCTCAACAGGCCAAAGTCATCTCAACCTACGTAGAGGTTGATTCAGTTTCCCCGCAACCAACACTGCTCACAAGACAGGATCGAAGTTCCTATCCATGGATGCATCTGATTCATTTGTTGGCGGCGTTCTTGGCGGCCTCCTCGGCGCAGTTCTTGGCACGAACCTGGTGACGGCGAAGGTGACGGCGGACCGTCTGTGCCTTGGTGCACAAGACGCCACAGCCAGGCCAGTTGCACGTCAGGGCATTGCCACCAGAAGCAATTGTGTTGTTGACGATGTTGTGTCCGTGCAAGTGCACATTCAGCATCTTCTCCGTGGGCGCGACGTATGCACAGCCCTTCCAGTAGCATTTGGTGCCAATGTGCACTTCGCCCTTGTGCTGGGCCAGCGTGGTGGTGGTGTTGAACGCCTTGTTGCACTCTCCACAGAACAGGGTCTTCTGGTCAGTCTGGTTGACGACCGGAGTCTCCGCCTGCTTGGCTGCAGCACCGCCCGACATCTCATGGGCAGGAGTGTCGCCAACGGTGGCTTTTATTGGGGATTCGAGTTAGTCTGGGCTCGATATAAACATGATGGGTGCAGGAAGCACTACTTACGGGGCTCGGCATAGTTAGACACACCCATCTTGTTGTCGGTCGCGTTGTAGGCCATGATCTTGGATCGCCGTAGGGGGTTGGGTTGTCTTGTGCGAATTGAGCGTGAGCTGGAGGACTGATATCTCCTGAGGTCGGCGAAGAAATCTGAATGGTGTTTTGGCAATGTTGATTGACTGGGACGCGATTGGCTTTTGTACGCGCAGTGGAAGATACCTTGCAAGGTGAATTGTCTTCGCGTTGCCGGGCAGCTCATACGCCTACCCAAGGCAACAAATTGCTACCAGCTCACGCTAAAGTAGTATTAACCCAATGTACAGACTGGAATTGGCGCTAATTGGATCATTTGGTTCAAAGAAAGATTTTATGCAGGAGCTTGCGGCCGGATCCAACGCGAATGATCATACCCAGAGCCAAGCTTGGCTCCCCTGAGCTTCGAATATTTACGTTACTTAATGCCTGGCGGAAGCGCTAGTCCAATACCCCAGGGTGAGCATATGGCTTCTGCTGGATGGGCATTTATTAACTGGAATTCTCTGTCACCAACGTGAAATGGCGAAGGTATGGCAACGAGCGAAACAGATGTACGAGATATCTCCAAGCCCAAGGACTTGTATACCACCTATCTATTTTGAGATAATCTACATGGACCCAAGGGTCGTCTCTACTAACATCACTAATCTCATCCAAGGATGTGCTATTTAATCGAATCCAACGGTGCCACAGGGCCAATGTTTTGAGTTCCATATCAGAGTCACGGCAGCACCCGCTTAGCTCCACGCACAACTACACATGGGCACTAGGTCTTGCAAAACTTGAATAAGGCGGAGAGACATGTAGCTTTCATCTGTTATCCACGGCAAAGTCGTTGCTATCAAGACTCAGGGTATTACTGGGGTGCGGTTGCATTCACAGTCTAGCACTAATATAGTGCTACATCTGGATCCTCGTGGATTTGGCATGCAGCTTATTTGAGTGTCGACGCTTCGATCTCAACAGGATATCAGTGTTGTATGGAATACTGTAGGACTATAAATAGGGACCCGCGTGGCTTAAACGCAGCCCCGCTTCATTTTCGTGGGTCCCTAGATTCTAGTAGTTCCACTGCTAGGGGTATGCGTCGATTGTCTTTCTCTCATAAAACGGTGTTACTGTCTACAGCACTCGGAAAGCGTGCTAAAGTGGACAAATGGAAGTACAAGTCGGATGCCAAGGATGTACATACGCGAGTTTTTCGATTTGACTCCTAAGGGACCCTAACCCAAGACAAAAGCGAAGCAATGATTTCACGCCCAGGAATCGTTTTACGGTGGGTGCAAACATCAGCTGCGTCTCAGGTACTGCAAACTCTTGGAAAGTAACGCAAGATATTGACTGTGCAGGTTTGCCATCAAAGCCGATGATCACAATGCCTGGGCAGGGGCCTCCTGCATTGCCGGCTGCGTGACGTTGAACCTGCGCGGGGTTACCAATGTCGGCGCCAAAGGATAGTGCAACTGTGCTTGTCGGTCCTGGAGCCAAGTCGGGTGCGGTAAACTTAAAGCTTGCTATTTAGCACGGAACGTAGCGAGTAGGCGTGTATCTGGCAGAAACGTACAGAGGTTGGCTATTCGGCGGTGGCATATCTCATTTGTCCCGCTTCATGCACCATGCACAGATGGAGCAAGAATCACGAAATCGGGGGATACACAATCAATTCGTCTATTTGAAATATGCACTATGGCGCGAAAAAGCCGCCAACGTCTTACGGTGAAGAGGATGTGAAGTGACTAGTGGTGGTCCGGAGCCCAGTAACCTCTGCCACACTCTTCAGCGAGCAGGTATTCAAAGGCCACAATCGCATTTTAACTGGATTAGGTGAGCTGGAACAAGAGGAAAGATGAGACAATCTAGTTTCTCACCTAGAAGATTCTTCTGGGCCACCTTGAGGCTCATACTGGGCAAAGTAGAAGACAACTCCTGTCGGTTCAGTTACAATGTTTGTATGCCCATCCCATGAATTGGTTTACTGCATGACCCCATGCACACCGAGTTTGATTCCTCAGACCTCGACTTGTGCCTGGTACTTAGGCTCCTGATACGTAGGTTACTGCAGGTTTCCAAGGCCCCGCATAACAACTGCACATCCGAAGCTCCAGACACATGCGCCGTAATCAATGACCATCTATGCCGATGCCACGTCAACAGAAAAAGCAACAGGCTGTGCATCCTACACTATGATTCGTCCCTGACTTTCTCAATGAACGGTACTTCGCAATCGATGCGTGTATATACAACACAATATGTAAAGGGGAAGACTCCGTCAGCCCGGTAGGCTGCTTTCATGAAACGACTCGTAAGGGCTGAAGCGACTCATTACTCGACCTGGCTAATCTGTGGCCTGATAGATTGACTTCGCATCAGTTTCGCACCTTGCCTTTTTGAAGCAGCCGACATGGTGGAGGACTACTACGCAGTTCTTGGGATCCCTCGAACAGCTGATGGCGCCACTATAACGAGCCAGTATCGCCGGTTGGCATTGCAGACCCACCCTGATAAGAATAGATTCGATCCCAATGCAACCACGAACTTTCAACTGGTAGGCTTGAACGACTCTTGAAGCCTCGTCTACCTAATGGTCATGAGACTTACATCGCCTTCTGAAGGTGGCGACTGCGTATGAAACCCTCAAAGATCCGTCAAGGCGCCGGGCCTATGACAGCAAGTGCGTAACCGAGGCTACTTCGAATCCTTTTCACTCCTCGACGCCAGCATCTAGAAAGCCACCCACGAGCTGCATGAATTGCTACACATCACCCTGGGGGCGAAAGATAGATGAACTGCAGACAAAGCTGGAAGAGCTTGAGGATCGGCATTCGTCTCTATGGGAAGGACGGGATTATGTCCGTCCCCATATCACTGCCACACAGAAAGCTATAGAACAGCTTGATGCAGAAGTTGTTGAAGACGATATGCAGGAGAAGTCGGCCAAGACTTGGTTCGCACGTCTTTTCCGAGCTAAAGAGTCAAAGGAATTGATGGTGTGCATCGCAAGGCGCAGAACGGAACGAGCGACAGGACGACTAGTTCTCGAGGCGAGACGAAATTACTTGAACAATAAGTTTGATGTTCTTGACAGAGCCATCAAGGAGACTCGGAGGGAGATATGTGACGTGAAAGATCAGGTCAGTGAGGCCAAACGCAGTGAGGCAAAGTGGTTGGCTCAAGAGGACTACCGCGAGCAAATTGAACGGTTGCGTCAGCGGGCGGACGAGTTGGAGAGATTTAGGTATCAACGGGCCAAAGAATGGCGCAAGGAGAAAGATGAGAAACGCGCGGCGCGAATGAAGAAACACGGAGCACAGAGAAGTGAAGCAGAAGTACCACGGCAAACACAGACTGAGCACCAGTGAGGGACAGACCAGTCCAGATTCTCCTCGGGCGCATCTCAAACATGCATGTACTAGAATGCCCGAACTGAACTTGCCGGAAGTAGCGGCATGATTCTGACGCAAGGTACTGCAATAATAGGTCGTAGTAGATGAAAGAACGCAGATAGTATCATTCATCATATTCCATTAAACCTGGGTCCAGATGCGTATCATGCAGCGTCAACAGCCCTCACGTCATTGTGTGGGTACGAAAATCATCCTCTCGTATCTGACCGGAATTATGCATAAAATAGTCGTTGCAGGCAGTGCATACCTTGATTTCACCATCTTGCCGACCCTATCACCGGCTTGTGTATGCAAACTATGGTGGAAAGCTATTGAGCTTGCCTGGGCTTGTCATTACTAGAGACGTCACGTTTTTCGGTTTAAACAGCTATGAAAAGCAAGGTGTTTGTAGATAGTTACTATTGATTTGCATTGTTCTCCAAAGCATGTAATAGACAAGCAAAGACCTAGTCTGCAGCCAGATCATAGAGCCGCGCTGAGCCCCTGACCATTGACCACTTGTAGGCTCAACTGAGTTTCTGTTGTGGTGTCAATCCTCCATGACATGAGTTCATTAGACGTGTTTGTGATGAACGCTTGGGGAAGAACGGAGATGTGTGGCCTCGTTCGCTCACTTCATGGGATGTATACGTACTTCTCTCAACTATGTGGCGTGTTGGGGTGGATTACGCGCAACCTGATCGATTGCATGATTAGATCATGTATTTAGCATACAGTACCTACATTGCGGTCTACCTGTTGACCCATTAAGACCTCGATGTGGTTCCAGTTTACAGCACAGCAAGATACGATAGAATGGGTGTGTCAACTGGTTACCTGGTGGCCAGAACGACGACTGCCCAGCAACGTACTATGCCTACCCGCACCACAAACACCACTTTGGCGTCTTTTGTGGTGAATTTATCGTTGAAGCAAAATTTATGTCTCACTTTGTTTCGTCTGTTCATGCGACGGCTTTCACTCCTTCCCATCCGCGAAATCCGTACTTCTCCTACAACCACTCAATATGGCGGACCAGGAAAGCTGTACGAAGCCACCTACTCACGACCTCGTGAACGATGATATTCTCCTGCTTTGTAGAATTGAAGGCGTCAATTCGCCTACGGATTCCGACTTCGCTGCAATCACACCGGAGGACGAGCCCCTCACGGCCGATGACAAGACCAGAATCTGGAGTATCATCGCGCAACAAGAAGCAAGCCTTGAGAAGCCCAAGATAGCCAACAAATCTCCTGGTGAGTCCAGCGTCCGTTGATATGCGGTAACAAAGTGGTATGGTACTGACTTTGGTAATATTAGTTGCAACCGGTAACTCCGCCGACCTGTCTGCTAACTAAGGCACGCACAACGTACAGATCAAAGCCTAGGCCCAGGCGACACCGAGAGCTGTTTCCGCTGGACCAGCCGATGCAGGGTCTTCCCGATGTGTAGTCTGTAAATGAATATTTCGCAGCAAGGCGACGCTTGTTCAACACCAAGGCGAGGTTCATATTGGGACGCGTTGTTATTGGCCAGATTGCACCTACATAGCAACTTCTGAAAAGTTGCTGAACCAGTACCTGCAACATCACAATTCCGAAGAGGCTATCGGCGTTCTGAAAGGTAGCGTCCGGAGATGTCTCTGGCTGGGCTATGGAGCATCTTGTAACTTACAGGAGTCTGTTCACCGCCACCTCCGTCGGCATCAAATGGGCGCCAAAACAGCTACATGCGACCATGCTGACTGATAAATAACGAGAGTCTATGTCCTGTGAAAAGTTTTCCAAGAGCGGCACTACAAATATGAACGCGTATCAGCCCTAATAGACAAGCATTGTCTTCTCGAAACCCCGAGGCATTATCCGTTGAAACTTAGGCGTCGGGTACAGCCTATAGCATATTTAAGTTGCGTTTCTTCTGCTGATCATGATGATGAGGCTGATCCGAAAGTATGGAATCTAAGGGAAACATGCACGCTGAAATTGGCAGTTATTACGAATCATTGATTGACTTTGGAACGTTGTCGATGCAGCTCACTACCTTCTCCTTGCACACCTCGATGAATGAACAGGGCCAGCGGAAGACGGCAACCCAGTTCCAATAGTAATCATTTGCGTTCGAGATCCTGCCTGTTCATCTCTTCACGAAACACATTCCTACCAGGATGAGGGTCAAAAGTATCACTACCTGGCTGCCAGTTTTCCCGCTTTGTTAGTTGTATGTCAATACGGGGTGGTTTGCCGTTGCTAGTGATTATAGTCGATAATCCTGGGGTGAGGTCGTCCTCTTGGGCAATGTATTTACTTGAGCGGCTCAATGTCCTTATCGAAGGCGGCCTATTATTCAGACGTTTCCTCTTCATAAAACAGATTGCCGAAGCTGCACATACGATGGCGACGCCCAGGGCTGACGGAAGAACTACTGCGAGCACATTTATGCCCCCGAACCCGGACTCGACTGGATTCATTCTGGCGATCGTTACAGTCGGCCCTTCTTCTTGATATGCGACGGCAGTATCGTTCTGGTCCACGGTAAGAATATACAGAGAGACTGTCGCTGGATTGGTCTTCTCTTGAAGGAAGTCTGATGCGATAGTCCATGTGTAGAATCCCCGTGACGCAGGCATTAATTCTGAGACGAATCCAGTGCCATTGCCGTAGTCACCGCCGACTTGGACTGAGACGTTGCCACCAGTGAAGTGTATAATGTCCCAAGTGACTATAGATGAGTTAGTAACGACACACTCTCGGACTGTGCGAAACCCATGCAGTCTTACTGAAGTAGACTTGCCCTGATGCCAGGGTACTACCCGCGCGAGGTTGACAAATAGGTGCATAACGACCGCGAAAATTATCGCAAACCATGAAAGATCCTTCCTCGCCATTGCCTGTGCCTGTTGCAACTGGATTGTGCCCCGTGCTTGTTTTTATCTGATCATTGATTGTCAATGTCCATGCCGACGTCTCCGTTAATGGCGCAGGTGGCTCGAATACTGTCACTGTTGAGCCATCGCTCGCCTGGACACTAGGTGTAACGGTTTGGGCAACGCCCTCAGAGTTAACAGTGACCCATGGGCTGAGATATGGGGTGTCATGACGCCAGACCGATGCACTCGGCTCAGGTGCGGCTAGCACTAGTTGTGCAAGAGGCTGTAGGGCAAGTACGACGAGCGAAGGCCTGGAGACGCCTTGGAACATCATCTTTCTAAGTTGTCTCTCTTAGTGAAACCAGGTTGCCTACCTACCTGCGAACTTTTCAGGCTACGTGAAGCTGATATAGCAATCATATCCTTCTAATCGCGACTGCCGATAAGCGACACCTTCAAATGCCCGCACGGCCCCGGGAACTGGCACCAACAGATCCGATCGGAGTAGTGAACAATTAGAGAGCAAGGTGCAAGGCGAATGTGCTGAGAAGATCCTAGACTGAGATCCGAGCTCACGTTCCTGGACGCCGTACTAACTGAACTCGATACATTCCCCGCTGTCGCCAGGTTTCAGCCAATAGGGTTGCCTTCAGACCTGGAGTTGTATACCGTAACAAGAAATCAACAAGCGGGTCGAACGCGGGGCAGATGCGGCTGGGTGAGGGTGGGCTCATAATCTGAACCGCCAAGACATCAACTGGATTGGTCCTCTCCTCGATAACATGCACCATGAGTAGGTTTCGAGAGCGGGGATGCAACCGACAGTGTCATGTATCCATGTCAATATGCACGCCCCTAAAGAGTGTCCCGGTTATTTTCCAAGACCCGGGAGTTTCGTAAGCGACAAAGCTCGGCTATCGCGCGCCTGCATCTGGAAAACCATCCTCAGATGGGACCGCCTCAAGGCTTGCAGACCTCAAACGTCGTTCCCGATGGTGGGGAAGGGAGCTGACAAGCGTGCGCAAAGTCTCTTTCTAATCCCTGGCGGCATTATGTTCAATGCCTCACGATGCGGTTTTTCTTTTTCCTTCTTCGGTGGTAAACAGGACGGTGTACATAATCTCCGTATCATGGGCACAGAGACATTGCTTCGGAAATATGCATTTACCCTGTTGACCGTCTACGGCTGCATTCCCAATGTCACGGGCAAGATCTGCATGTTATCAGGAAATAAACATCCATAACCATCATCTAGTGGTGATTATATCACTCCTCAAAAAACTTCGACCACATAAGGTTTTCTAATAAACACCGGAAATAGTTGTTGTCGAGCATATTACAGTGACTCTGCTAAGGCAACCAGGGTAGCTTGTTTCCGGCCAGTCAAAACCGGAAGGCAGCCATCCTGATACTTATGGCGAATATGATACAAGAATCTGAACCTCTGGCCTGGCCACGTGCGCTAAATTACTTCTCACTACCTACTCTGCCATGTGATAGCGATTGATTCCATTCAGTAGGCCACCATGCTTGTGTCTATCGCCCGAACAGTATTCAATGAAGTATCTATTGAAGATTGCCCCTTGACATGCCTCTTCATGAGAAAGAATAGCAGGGGGCGTTTTGATAAGTACGGATGATTCGAAGGTATTTAGGCCTTCCCGAATGATCCTAAGTTCGCAGCCACAGGGTCCAAGGGTAGGCTGCAGCGCAAATGTCAGTTCCTGCGAGGGTTTTAGACGATAAAACTTCTGTCTTGCCGCGTTCATGCTGTTTAGTAACCGTGAAGTCGAGGTCGGTGATTAACTGTTGCATTACCTATGTGAATAAAAGCTACCACAAAGTCACAAGTGATCCCAAATCAAGAGTTTCTCCGTGCTCTCTCCCAGACTTCATCGTACCCATGCATGAAACTGTCAATCCGGACCAGAATCCAATCATCCAGACTTCACTTGGGTATCGGCGGCAGGTTGCAAACTCTTTTACCTTTGGCATGGCCGCATCTTGAAGTGCATTGCTCAGAGAAGTCACGCCGATTAGCTCACCAGAGTAGCCTACGCTCAGGTCATGTTGGTTTTCAGCGAAGCTGTTGATTACTAGATAGCTGCCTCCAAAGGTGCACAGTTTTGAAACTTTGGTCTTCCCCGCCGGCAGTGCGTTGTACCGTCGTTGAGCCTTCATAGCCCGTATCACCATCCACCATGATTCGGGAACTCTGGCAACTATTTGCACATTTGCTGCAACTCCGTGGAAGTCAAGATATGCCACACCCGGAAGTCTTAAGAAGGAGAACTTGCACAGCTCAGATAGAAATATTATTGGAAATCCGGCTTCTTCGCAGTATTTGCAGCTCAATGTATCGTAGCTACACACCGTGTCGACGCATCTTCAAAGAGTCGTTGGGGGGTCCAAACATCGAACATCGCGGCCGCGATGCCTAGAGAGTTGGCAGCTCTTGGCACGGCTATTTGGAACTGTCAATGAGACTTCTTTCGTATTGCACCCTGCTCTGGCCAATGATGGCCAGAGAGACTTGAAGGCAAACCGGTAAGGGGCAGAGTTAGTTATAGAGACAGGCGTTACGAGGCTTGGCTATTTGGCGTCGATGGCAGACAGTGTGTTGATCTCCATCAACCATTTGCTTCTCAGATACAAGGTGCCGAAAAGCATAGTTATGGATTGAACATTCTAGCTGTCGGTAATTCTGACATGACAGGCTATCAGCTCAGAGCCGGGTGTGGGGAAACCTGATCAACCCAAACACTTCTTTCAAGGCGTTCGGCAACGCGTATGATATACTTCAGTTCCACTGTGCCTCTGCTACCAACGTACACTATCGACCAGCAACAGTCATGGGGCCCGTTGAGGCCTTTATCGGCATGCCAGGACTCCGAAATCTTGGTCTCCTTGCTCGGGCATCGGTGTTGGTGTATGCCGAAGTTGTGGGCCCTTGTAAATCCGCATAGTAGTCTTGACGTGAAAATGATTCCCCGGATACATATTTGCTTCGATGAAATCGGCAGTCTCAGGGAATAACAAGGTTTTCTGTCAGTTTACACAGTAAAAGCCTGTTTGCCAGGGACTAGAGCGCCACAGGCAGAAGCTGACGGTGTCCACTCATCCCGTGTAAGCCTCCCCGGCTTTCTATGATATCACTTAGACTCATGGATATTACAGAAGCCCAATTGGGCTTGAAAGCAACCCAGAAAGGAAGAGTTATTCCGTATTGGGATTTCCAAGCGAGGGCTGCATTGCATGGTTTGCGCAGAGTTTTCACGCCTGCATAGCTGATCGATCGTATTACTAGGGGAAGACGTGTAATACTCTGTGCCGAGTCCCGTAAGTTCCCAGCAATCTCTTAGCTCCAGAACAAGTGGTCAACCCTTGAGACATTCTGGATGATTATGGAGTAACTATCTGTTCCCGGCACGCTTCCAATTCGCTGGACTGGCTAGGTCCCACGTTGCTGGACCCCTGGAATCTGGACGCAGTCTAGATATGCATACTGAATTTGGCCGAGGAGTCAGGTACCGGCCTGGGCTTTCATGTGACTGAGTCATTCCTTTTGCACAGTTTCTTTACATCAATGGTACACGAAATTACTGAGCTACCCAACGGCCGTAGAGAGCCCGGAGATTAACCCTCGGTCGTCTCAGCCGCACCTCCACTTGAAAACAACTAGCCTTCATCGTGAGGGCCGCGCGGCACAATCCGGTGGTACACTTGGAGGGCGATAGTCAAAAGAATTCGATACCAGAACTCGAGATCGCCATGATCCTGAGACACGCTGTTTGGCCCTATTTCTTGATTCTCAACGGCCCGGAATTGCCACCCCGGATTTTTGAGTTTGCGCTAGCGCCGAAAGTGTATAGTCTCAGGTGCTCTATCCGACAAGCCCCCCTTTCCCTTAGCCGACACTCATGACTCGAACTTGATAATGTAAGGTGTCTGGATATTCCCGCCTCTCAGTCTGATCCAAAGTGGTAAATTGAGTTGCAAAATAGACTAATCAGCCCTGATTATGGAATTCAATATTACTTGTGTGCTCTGAAAGAACGACAAATGATTTTGCTCAGGTGCCATGCCATTTCCCCTGACAGCCTTTATCATATCGGGTTTACTATTCTTATCACTGAAAGGACTCCGCTAATAATCCCGTAACTAGATGTGATCCCTGTAGGTGATCACAACAAAAGTTCCGCCACAGCCATGGTTGGAGATAACTACCACGGTAGAGGATTAGCTGCAACTGCCCCTGGCATTAGGCCTAGAGCTCAGCGCCTTGCAGGGTTTCTGTAAAACCCTCCGCAATATATCAAAACGAATGGCGCAGCCAGAGCAAGTCATGTTCACTTACTAAGTGTCCATCCGCGAAGGTCCTAAATGAAGTTTCATGCCCTGAGGTTCTAGCCTCCACTGAACCTTCTCAGGACCGTTGACCTTGTCGTCAGAATGGCCGACCCGAGCGTGGTAGAGCTTTGGGTCCTCTTGAGCATTGGGCTATTTACCATAGCGCTAAGGCTCTTTGCTCGGTGGCATGCAGTTGGCTTCAGAAACTTTCAGGCTGATGATTACCTCATGATAATCGCCTCCGTAGGTTTCACTTTTTCGTTTGTCCGTTCGTTTACATAATGCTAGATCTTCGCTAAACAAACGTTGTTCACTAGGGAGTATATGCCGCCGAGTCCTCTTTCGCATACAACGTTATTGCGGATTACAATGGCCTCGCGAACAACGGGATGACGGAAGAGGAACGGGCAGCCCTTGACCCCAATAGTGAAGAATATGCCAAGAGGTAAGGGGCATGCGCCTATGCAAAAGAGTGCGGTACTAACTTTGCTGTCAGAGTAGGGGGCTCGAAGACTCAAGTGTCTGGATGGGTCACCTATGTTCTCCTGCTATGGGTATTGAAGGCTGCTATGTGCGCCTTCCTCCTTCGGCTAACGGTAAGTAAACGGTGGCATCTGGTGTCTATGGTTTGCAGGGGGATAGCACTGACTACTTTTCTAGGAGAGACTTGACGGCTACCGAATCCGTATCTATATTGGCTTCGGACTTATCATCGCGACATACATCATAGTGACGCTTTCGATCCTCCTGTCGTGCCAGCCGCTGTCAAACAACTGGAAAATATACCCGGACCCAGGAAGGAATTGCCAGCCCGCTGTATCCTTGGTCAATGTTCTCGTAACTTTGGCATTCAATATCGCCACGGACTTGTACCTTTTGACGATCCCGATCCCCATGTTCTGGGCAGCAAACATCAAGACTTGGAAGAAGGTTGGGTTGATTGTGCTATTTTCCGGTGGAATCTTCGTCATGGTCGCGGGGACCCTTCGTTGTGTCCTCATCTTGTCTGACGACGTAACTGGAGCCAAGAACGCAGGCGCGTGGGCGGTCAGGGAAACGTTTGTGGCGACAGTCACCTCCAACCTGCCGCTCATCTTCCCGCTGCTCAAGGCCATCCTCGGCCCCTTGGTGGGCTCGGCTTTCAGCAGCGCGAAGAAGACATACTCGAACAGTATACCTCTTGGCAGCATCCCACTGTCCGGTGGATGGAGGAACAAGAGCCAGAACCATGGTCACAGTGTGTTCACGTCAACTCATCGCCGTGGATCCAGTGATGCGGTAGAGTTACCGAAGCAAGGCATCAAGGTTCAGATGGAGGTCGAAGTCAGTGCTACGAGCTCCAACATCAAGGACGGACAAGGTGATCGGAGCAGTGTGGATACCTACCTTGGAGAGAGCTATGGTAAATCATTATGAGGCCGTGACAAAGACCAAGCCTGACTGTAACATTCTACACTGTACACGAGTTGCCACCACAGCACGAGATAATATTAAATGATAATAAGATATGTCACCTGAGGGCCACAACGATGATCGACTCGCCAGCCCGGCCCTTACATATGTGAGTATCGCCATGTTACTAATTCAGGAGCGAGATCAAAGTGGCTGTGGAGTGAAGGACAGAGACTCATAGCGGGTATCAAGGATGTGGCTCCTTTCTATGATATCAATGTTTGTTTACTCTTTCTGTCAATCAGCCTCATCACAGCCTTCCTGGCAGCCATTGCGGCGTATCCTACTTCGCGGAGAATGCGTACCCACCTACCTAATCGCCGCCAGTAAAGCAATTAGACAAGCGAACGAAACAAGCCTTTCCACGTCTCGATTAGCCATGATTGCGGCCCCGTCACTGGTAGTCGAAGACGTAGGAGCGGCACCAGCAGCAGCACTCGTCTCCAGAGACCCACTTGGAGTCACTCTATCAGTGGTCCCGGGGGGTTGGGTGATCATCACCGACGTTGACGAACTAGTTGTCAGAGTAGTGCGACCCCCGCTGCTAGTCGAGGAACTAATACTCGTGCTCGAGGGGCCGTAATTAGTCGCAAAGTTGCCCGTCCTTGACATCAACGTCTGTGTCTCGTACCAGCTCCGCCACTCACTCGCTTGCGTGAAAGCTAAACACCAACGGGCAAAAGATCAGCTCAGCAACCTACCGGAGGTAACTACAGAGGGCATAGAAGACATTGACTCACGCCGGTAAGTGATAGCCCTCGGCCCGTCGTACGAGGTCACGGGCTCCCCGTACTCCAGCGAGGGGACGCACGCCGTGGCCGCGACGAGGTCGCCGTAGCCCGCGACGCACCAGTACATGCACCAGCCGGCGTTCTCGGGCGTGCCCTGGTTGCGGGCCTGGCAGCGGCCGAGGCAGTCCGGCGCGAGGGCCGACTGGGCGGGCGAGGCGTCGCGCCGCACGCAGTTCAGCTGGCAGTAGGGGATGTTGGTCACGTTGACCATGCCGGGGAGCAGGGTGCCTGTCGGCGCGGCGACGGGGTCGCTGCAGCGCAGCAGACACGGCGTGTCGTTGGAGCTGAACGGCGGCGAGCCGTCGATGGTGTCCTCACATATTGCGGGGCTCGGCAGTGTTTGGGTGGCGGCGGCGGCGGCGGCAGCGGCGGCCAGGGCTGGGAGGAAATAGAGCGGCTGCATGGAAACAAAATGTCAAGCCACCAAGTGAGGAGGGTGAGTCGCCGCGAAGCAGATATTCATGCCAGAACATGAACCATGATCCTGGCCAAGCCGGCTATAGACCAGACGGGTAACCAGCATTTGGCAGCCTAAGATGCAGCATGCTTACGGCACGGGTATTATAGAATGAGTGGGGGCCGAGACCCCAACCCACTCCAACTCAGCTTACACAGGCCCGGGTGGAGAGGAGTTGATAACAAAGAAACATTATGAAACCATCTTAGTTCCTGTTCACGAAGATAACGTAGGTTGATAGTCTCATTTAAAATTCATTATTCGCTCGAGCTTGCCTACATTTCAGCGCGAGAAAACCAAACACCGTAGGTCTAATCAAACCTCCCCAATGGGTATCTTCCTTTCCCTGAAACCTAAACCAGGAATACCAATATTCAACGCCAAACTACTCAGTACGACACTGATGCTGCTAAGGGCCATGGCCAGACTGGCCCAGACGGGATCTAACTTGACACCGAGGACGTAGAAACACCCTGCCGCGAACGGGATCGCCAGAAGGTTGTATATGACTGCCCAGCCAAAGTTGAACTTGATGCGGCGGAATACCGTCTTGCTTACCCCCAGTAGGGTGACAACGCTCCGCAGGTCAGACTTGACAAGGACAAAGTCTGCCGAAGAGATGGCGACGTCGGTGCCGGAGCCGATAGCAATGCCCACATCGGCGACGGCAAGGGCTGGCGCGTCGTTGATGCCATCACCGACCATGGCTATTGTGGCGCGTTTGTTCTTCGCTCCATATTTGAGAGTCATTGCCTCCCTCAATTCCAAGATCTTTGAAGACTTGTCAGTGGGTAGCACTTCGGCAATGACATTGGTGGTTGGGATGCCGACACGCAACGCTACAGCCCGAGCCGTCGTTGAGTTGTCCCCGGAGAGCATCCATACGTCGACACCACGGTCTTGCAGGGCAGCGATGGTAGGGGCTGCTTCGCTTCTGATTGGGGTCGATATTTCGAAGAAGGCTGCGAGTCGATAGATTGAGTTTGGTTCATTCTGCCTCGTCGCAACCAAGACGACTGAGTTGCCATCTTGCTTCCATGAACGAAGCTTCGCTGCAGCATCTGGGGCAGTATATACACCCATTTCGTTCATCAGCGTTTCGTTGCCGATCACATATTCCGCAGCCCACCCAACACCTTTCAATCCCTTCCCGGGTATCTCTTCAACGTGGCTAAATGTGACCACGTCGGTAGCCGCCTCTGATTCGCAATACGAAATCAGCGCTTTGGCTAGAGGGTGGCTGCTGTTCTGCTCGAGATTCCGAATTGCAGAGAGAACGTACTTCGGCTCCATCTTATCAGAGCAGAATTCCCAGTCTACCACTCTGGGATCCCCACCCTCAGTCAAAGTACCAGTCTTGTCAAAAACAATGCATTTGAGGTGGCTCGCCTTCTCGAAAGCCTCGCCGCCACCCTTTGCGAGTATGCCGAACTTGGCAGCAAGGCCGCCTCCCACATAAATCGCAGTTGGAGCTGCGAGTCCCAGTCCACAGGGACAGGCTACTACAAAGACTGCAATGGAGAACTGGAGCGCAAAGACGACCCAGGACTCGGAGGGGTCATTGAGGTAACGCTGGGAAATAATGCCTGCGCTTCCAAGCACAAACCAGATGAGCCAAGTCAGGATAGCGATGAACGTGATAGCCGGAACAAAATAGGATGTAAGGGAGTCCGCAACTCTTTCCATAGGGGCTCGCTTCGTCTGACCTTCACGGACAACGTTGACAATCTGGTCGAGCATTGACTGTCCTGCAATGTCGGTCACCTCCATGCGAACAGGAGAGCCCTTGTTGATGGTTCCAGCAAAGACTTTGTCACCAATTGACTTTTTCACAAGTCTAGACTCGCCAGTCAAACTAGACTCGTCGAACAACGTCCCACCCTTGGTGACAAGTCCGTCGCAGGGTGGAGATGCCCCGTGCGAGACGAGAATTGTGTCGCCAAAGTCAAGCATATCTACACTGACTGTCTCAATCCGGTCCTCCGGCTGCACTACCTCATCCAAAGACTCATTCTGCTGAGTATCATGGATTTGGGAACGCTCATCCTTTGCTTCGGACTGTTGCTGACTTGGCAGAGTTGTACTGTGGTTGATAAGTAGAGAGGCCGAGGTTGGTCGAAGCTTCCCAAGGGCCTCAATTGCACTCCCAGTCTTGGACTTGCTGTAAGACTCAATGAGCCTCCCGGCGAGTAAGAAGAGCGTCAAGAACACGACTGAGTCGAAATAAAAGTTTGAATCGTCAACCATGCCTGATGGGGGATGGACAGCGGCTGCGATGAGCTGGGCACAGGACGATACGTATGCAATTGTGGTGCCCAACGACATCAACATGTTCATGCTGCCAAATCGATAGAACCTTTGGAGTAATGGTGTTCTGCTCGATGGTCGCCAGAGCAGCCAGATTTCCTTGATAGCTCGTCGGTGGAAAATATCCGCTGCACAGAAGTATACTGGGGTCGCCAGGACGAGGAGAGCAACCTGGGAGCGACTGATTCCGTGGTTCAAGTGCTCCATGAGGTACATCTTCACATCGTTTTCCATGGGAACTAGGCTCATGTATACAATACCAATGATGAAGGTAGGGATGGCCACGGCGAGCGTCCCAAGGAGCCTCAGGAGCAATCGCTTCTGCTGTCTGGCGTGGATCAACCTATGGCGCTCTTCCGCTGACGGAGGGTGGTATATAGTTGCCTGGAAAGCAGGGTCCATGTCGTTGACGGTGTTTATTATGCGGCGGATGTTGATTTGTGAGGGCTCCGGCAAGTATCTCAATTTCATTATCGGTCTGTTCTTGGATGGGTGGGTGAGTATTTCGATGGCACTGTGGCCCTGATCGTCGACATAGAAACCCTCGAGAAGCTTGGCCACCGCCCGGCGAGGGCATTCGTCGCACCAGAAGCCATCGATGCGTACCTCCACCGTCCGCTGTTGTCGTTGTTCCGAGTCATCTGTAACCTCTTCGACTTGGTTCACTTCGGCGTCGTATCCCAAGTCTTCGATCGCGGCAACGAGCTGCTGCGCCTTGTCCGCGCCAGAGAACTCGACGGATGCACTGTTCGTAATGAGGTTCACAGAGGCGTCCGTGACCCAGTCTGTGTTTTTGAGTGCCGCGAGGATGCTAGTGGAGCATGAAGCACAAGTCATGCCTCCGATCGAGACAGAGGCCCTGAACCGATTCATGGTGAAAGAAATGCTTCGTAGGTAATGATCAGTGGCATGCAAGCAATATGTTCGTAGAAGAGAATGAAGAACTATTCTTCCCAAGGGTTGACACGCAAAAGATCCACTTGAGCGTGTGAGGTGGTTGGCCAGAGGAAGGGGCAGGATGCAAATGGTGGCCCAGAATGGCAAGCAGAGCTGGGTGCATAGATGTCCGGGGAATCCTGTATTGATATACCTGGCCTGGCAGTTCAGAAGGAAGGGCAAATGTGTGCTTGGAAAGCAGCAGAGACTTCTCGAACGTCTCGAAGAGCGAGATGCGCGGTCATCGCAACGCGAATCGAATTACCAAACATACAAACCTCTGGTGCCGTGGCGGGATTGGTGTAAGCGTTTCACGCACATTTCCCTCAAGTCTAAGTTGGGCACACACCCCTGCAGGTCCTCTGCCTGCGACGAACCCTGCGAAAAGCATCTAAAGAGCACTATGACTGTCGCATTGACGAGTCATCCGCAGTATTCGACATCTGAGTTCTGGGCAATAACAGGCACAAAAGCCGCAACCCGCGCAGGCCATCCAGTCAGGGCCGAGTATGATAGGTGGGCAGGTCAACTTGCCCAGCTGATGCCAGTGAAGATGGGGATCACTCAAGTCCGACGAGCCACGGCGTTGATGTCGACGACATGCTCCAGCAGCGTATCAATGGTCTTGATTTCAATTTAGCCTGGAACTCAGTCGAAGTCCGCGTGACCACGTTGCCACACAACGGGCGCTGCCCCCGGGGGCAAACGGAGTTTCACGCACAAAAGGCGCACGACCTCCGGAAGCATCCTTGTTCGGAAGCGAGGCAGACGGAGGTCACTGGGCCCTCCGTAATGCGATGCATAGAGGTGCATCCGGTGGTCTCGAGCGGCTCGAGATGGGTTCGACGGAGCTTTGACATCCGTCGGTATGGAAATGGCCGGCCCATCCCTCGAGCTGACTCACATTGCCACTCGGCCCGCGCTGGGCAGTTCACGTCCCGAGTCGATGTGTCATTCATTCATATTACCATACTGACATGATAGGTAAATCGAGCGACGCGCTGCGCTGCCTGCCTCCATGACCAAGAGCTTGGAGCCTTGAATGGAGCCATGGATTAAGCCATACAGATGATGGTCATCATCGAACGCAGGCAGGTACCGTGTTTGCGTGTCAATTTGACGGGCGTTTATTTCCATATTAACCACATTAGACCCCTGCAAACTTGTAAGCACCGTGCCGGGAGCCGGCGGCGGCACCAAGCCGTTCTTGGTCACCTAGCCAAAAATTGCCCGAATTTCTACGCTGGGCTTGCAGTTGACGAACTATTGGAAGCGAGGAACGGAAAAGCAAGCAGTCACATTGATCGATGATTGGTCACAAAAGTCACATCACACAGAAACAGTCTGGGGTAATATACATCCCATATAGGAACCTGGCATATGCCGTTTGCGTTAGATCACCGACCAGCTACTATCTTATACAAGCAAGTAAATACGAGCGCCTTTCCTTGTTTGCCGACCACGAGCGGGCGATTCGTAGCCAATGCTTGCTTGACTTCGATCATTACAGCCTCGGCCGCCTTGAGTGCTCGCCTCATCTCGAGCCACATCCTTCTCATTCGTGCAATCGATGGCAGCCCGGTATCAAACATGTGTGACGTGATACCACCACAACACAATGCCCAGAATACTGTTTGTTTTTCGGTGAGCTGTGCTGCCAGACGAGGGCAGAGAGCGTATACGGCCTAAGCCCACGCTGGCGTCACATAGCCACGATCTTCAGCTTAGCCCAATCTTCAGGAACACCTCAACCGGGGTCCTAGTCCTTGCCACCGTCTGCTGTAGTCGCCGAGCTCTTAGCAGTGCCCGGCCGGCTGAGCGACTTTGTCAACCTGCTCCGGCCCCCTTTGGTGTTGAATAAGCTCTTCACCCTCCTCAGGCGCGCCCAGCGCTCCTTGTCCTTTGCATCTCTTTCTCTCCCATCCTCTTCCTCATCATCGACCATGTCTGGACCTAACATCAGCAGCGGCGACTCTATCGCACCCTCGCTGGGCGTGTATGCATGGCCAGTGGGGCGAGAAGTCGGTGTCCTAGGTACCGCGTGGCTCTTGCTTCTCCCATGCACTGGCGTCTTGTCGTTCTTGTCCCTATGGCCTCTAAGATACGCCGCATGCTTGACTGTCAGTACGAGGACTTCCCAGGCTGCTTTGCTCGCTTCCGCGGACCTGCTGCCTGGGTTGCGCTGTGCGTCAGGGTTGCGCCAGGGGCAGAAGAACCGGTGCTCGCGGATCGGGTCCAGGTGATCCATTGGAGCTGGCACCAGGACCTCGTTTGTCTCCTCGTTGATTTCCCTGCTTTTGAACATCCATAGACCCAGACGGCGCAGACATGTTGGGCACGAGGCCGAGTTTGGTACTGGTCCTATTTTCGGGTTTGTCAACCCTTCCCAACCTGTCAAAGCCAGTGCAAGAGCTACGTTATTTGGTGCCGCTGAAGATCTCGATGTAGATGGGGGTGGCTCGGTGAAAAAGTTTGGAGGCAGTTGGTCTTTGACTGTCTCTAATGATAGAGATGCAGGCAGACGAAGGTTGAATTGGTATGGCAAGAATGATTGACGGTCGCACAGCTCGTCATACCGTTGTCTCAGGGATGGCAGAGCCACTTGAGCGCTTGTTATCTGGAGACGGAGAAGTGAATCTGTAGACAGAATGTTAGCAAAGAGATGGAAGTCCCGGTAGAAAGAGACATACCATCACAGCCCCTTTTCTTCCAAAGGCAGTCCTCTTGATGTGCGGACACGATCAGTTCGGCAAATTTCTTGACCAATGCCTCCTCGAACTCGGAGCCAACCAATATCGAAACATCCTTGCCATCTACCGCCCTCTTACTCGTATTTACGACGAGCTCCTTGCTGCATAACGTGCACCGAACTCTCTCTTTGCCTTTGCATACCCAGCCTCTCTTTGCCCACTCGATCTCGTTGACCTTTTCCGGCTTGGGGGTCCACTCTGTCAACTCTTGAAACGTTCCCAACCTTCGGATGAGTTGTTCTCGGTCACCAGGACAGTACCTCGGCGGCTCCTGCTGTGTGTCATGCTTTGCACCGTCCCGACCCGCCGTCCACTTCCTCAGCGATACGTTCGTGATCGTCATCTTGCTGGCCGCGTTGCCTGCCGCAGATCCCAATGCCCCCAGTCGCCGACGCTTGGCCAGGAAGTCGGCTGATATCGACGAGACCGGTACTGGCGATGGCATATCCGTGGAAGCTCTCGGTGTTGAGGGGGCCGTGTTCCCCGTGGCTGGTCGGGTCAAGGTAGCGCTGTCGGCAGTGGTAGGGCGGTCGTCAGTCGAGCTGTTGCCGGGCTGAGGCGATCGCGTGCCGATCCCCTGGATGAGGGTGTTGAACTTTCGCTTTGTTGCATTCATGGCTGCTGCGGGCGACAATGCCTTTTATGATGCGAGGTACTTGTGCGGCAATCCCCAAGGAATTCGGGGGCTGCAAGACTGCAAGACGTGATAGGTGTCTCGTAAGCGCCCGGGCGCGGATGCTGCTGCGGCTGCTGCTCCTGCTGTATTGCTGAATCGCTGAATCTCGGCTCGCCAAATTGGCTCTGCAACCTCACACCCAGATCTGGTGGCCTCGACGAATGAGCAGGCTCTCGAACCGGCCGTTTGAATTTGCCGATGATGATCGGGCGCTGCACCTGGTGAGACAGGCGGTTGTGCACACTTGCTAGCTCAGCTCGTGGTGACGCTCGAGCGCGTTAATCAAGTCGGCGTAGCGGCGGCAGTCTTTGTTCGGACAACGAGTCTCGATCGACAAGGGACGGTTGTGATGCTGCGCCGGCGTTCGGTTGAGCCGTACCGTACAGTACACTGCGAGCTTCAGTCAATGTTTGACCTTATCGCGATTGCAGGGTCCTTGTTCGTTGGAAGGGTGACGGAAGCGAGAGCCCAGAAGCGACCCGGGTGGGGCTCGACAGGGGGCCGGCCCTGCATCATCAGCGATCTTCACGGGCCTCTGGCCCTGATCCAAGGCGGCATCAGCACATGCGAATGCGAACCGCTCATTTGTGTACCACAGTACCTGTCTGCCTAGGCAGCTAGGTATGTACTATGGTATGCAGGAGGTGGTAAGTAGACAGACACAAGTTGCCACCATAGATCAGCTGCTTGAATGCTGTCAATATGACTGGAGGGGGTCTAGCCAAGGTTCGGGTGGCTGTGGTTAGGGTTCGAGTGATTAATGTGCAATATACAGCCTCTCCAGAATTGCGCCATGCAGGCCTTCCCTTTCCCAATACCAGAATACAATAGATTTTCAGTCCATTTTAATATAAAAAGAGCTTAGACTCGGTCCTTTTTACATGTGCTCACCGCCGATTAACTCGTTTCCTGTGTACGCTGTACAGTCAGCCACCCAGCCTATGGTTGAAGATCCCAAGACATCGGGCGCCTGCATGGGATTGATCATCCCAATGTCTTGCAATAACTCTGCCGATCGCTCTCGTGAGCTTTCCACATCTATTGAGCGATAGTCTATTTAATGTAACTGCGGTGCCAAGAACTTCCATCCGCCTTCTTCTCATTCTAGACTGGACGACAGAGTGGGACCAAGCTGCCAACAAAGCGTATACCAATACTCCTTCCTCATACAGCGCAGTTCCATTGACGCACGCCTGGTTTAGCCTCGCTTGGTCATACAAGATGCAGCTCTACAAGCCATCCATACTTGTTGTCATCGCGTAGGCAGTCTCAAAGATCCAATTGCTAACCAGGGAGCTGTGAAAGTGCTGATTGCCGCCTAGTGCAACATTGCAGTCGGCGACGGCATCCTATACTGTTTCAGCTCGAACGACTGGTGCTTGCACAACAACCATTACAGATGAATCCGGTCCAAGCTGCCACCCTTCCGTCAACGGCTATTGCGGGTGCCGACCTATTCGAGTGACGGTCACCTCGGTACTGGACTGTGCTGGGTGCTCTACTACCGTGGTCCCCGATCCAGATATACCCAGTTGTGGGGTGGGTTGACGCATGCCGGTTCTATGAGACACGAAATACTAACGAAATGGTGTAGCCTACTAATACGCTCACGGTCATTGAGCATGCCCCATACTCTACCACAACCTACGCTTGCGCAGCAACGCCAACAGCATGATTACTTTATGTATTGAAGTTTGCAGTGAAGGTGTCCAAGCTAACGTGGAGACCTTGAACAACCGGCTGCGTTTCCTTGCTTCGCTTTCCTAGGCCTATTTCACAGCGATATCTCCATGTAGCTAACGGGAAGTTATGTACGGAGGCACTTTGAGCTTTGGAAAGCATGAGAATGAATACTATTTCCAATGGCATCGCACTTGGCAATGCATCCGTGTCTATTGTAGCCCCAATTGGGTTCCAGCTGGGGCTCACGCAATCATATCCAATGCTGTGTTGAAACACCTGACCACTGACGATCTGGCCACAGCGACAACCGGCGGCGATTTTTAGGCTGCAGGGCTCCCGCTGAACTCCCGGCGGTCTTAACCCCAACAGGCTTGGAGTCCAGAGGCCCCAGCTCCTGTCGGTTCTGACTTCTCGGGACGGCAGGCACAAGGGGCCGCTACCACGTGGGGCGTCCAATCCGCAGCTCGGTGCGCTGGGGCAGTCGACCAACAGTGCCGATTGGGATGGATTGGGATAAGGGACTGAGATAAGTCTAGCAGGCGGCCGTCCGGTACCTCATTCACATGGGCGCATCGCATCCAGCAGCCAGCAGCTCACCTGCTGCATCCGGCAAGAGACGGCAGCAGAGCATGAGAGCGGCCCTGAAGCAACCTCATGATACGCCTCGCGCTGCCCGTCCATCGCCCTTGAAAAGGAGAGCGGCGGTCGTGCTGCTCCCGCTCCTCGTCGTCATCCTGGCGTGCCTCCTAGCGAAAGCGCTGCCCCGCCTCGAGCTACTGTCCACACATTTCGCAGCGCCCCGCACCGTCGGCAGAATGGGTTCCTTCTTCTCCAAACCTTCCGCCAACATGTCGTCTTCGCCCTCGTCCTCGTCGTCCGCCTACGCCCGGGAGCTCGAGGTCGCCCAGCTGGCCGTGCAGCGCGCCACCCTGCTGACCAAGCGCGTCTTCCACGAGAAGGCCAAGGGCACCGTCGACAAGAACGACAAGTCGCCCGTCACCATCGGCGACTACGGCGCCCAGGCCCTCATCATCTCGGCCCTCAAGGCCAGCTTCCCCGAGGACGAGATCGTGGCCGAGGAGGAGGCGTCCGACCTGCGCACCAACTCGGAGCTCCGCAAGACCATCTGGGACCTCGTCAAGGACACCTCGCTCGGCGATGCCGGCGCCGAGAAGACCCTGGGAGGCGCCATCAAGACCGAGGACGACATGTTGACCATGATCGACCACGGCAACAGCAAGGGAGGCGCCTCGGGCAGGATATGGGCCATTGACCCCATCGACGGCACCAAGGGCTTCCTCCGCGGCGGCCAGTACGCCGTCTGCCTGGCGCTCATGGTTGACGGCGAGGTCACGGTCGGCGTCCTGGGTTGCCCCAACCTTCCCGTCGACGATTCTGCACCTCTGACCGCGGACATCGGCAAGGACGCCACGGACGAGGGCCGAGGTGTCGTCTTCAGCGCCGTCCTGGGCCAGGGCGCCACCAGCCGCCCCCTGACGACCGGCGCGTTGGCGGAGCAGAGGAAGATCAGCATGCGGCCCATCACCGAGATTGCCAAGGCGACCTTCTGCGAGAGCGTCGAGGCCGGCCACTCGAGCCACGGCGACCAGGCCGACATTGCTAACAAGCTGGGCATCACCAGCCCGAGCGTCCGCATGGACTCCCAGGCCAAGTACGCCAGCATCGCCCGCGGCGCGGGTGATATCTACCTCAGACTGCCTACTAGCAAGACTTACCAGGAGAAGATCTGGGACCACGCTGCCGGGGACTTGATCGTCCGAGAGGCTGGCGGTCAGGTCACGGACATCCATGGCAAGAGGCTAGACTTTACCGTGGGCAGAACCCTTGCAAACAACAAGGGCGTTGTCGCTGCGCCGGTCGGAGGCCACCCGCAAGTCCTCAAGGCCGTGCAAGAGGTGTTGAAGATCTAAAATGGGACTACCTTGGCAAAGAAAGCTCTAGATAGTACATATGTATACAAACGAATACACTGCATAGATCTTGGTCCGGGTATTCGAACTGCCCCATCCCATAATGTACATGTACAAGTTTGAGCCTCTGGTCGATGACTCTTGTTGCTCGTCTTTCCACCGCCGCCACCCTCCACATACACTTGACATCTAACAACCACCATCCGTTCCTGGTCCAAGTCATGTAGACCCTCTATTTGATCTTCTTCTGCTTGAGCTTGATCGTCTCGTCGTTGACAAAGATGCCCTTGCCCTTGTACGGCTCCGGCCGTCTCCAATGGCGGATGCGGGCGGCGAGGCTCTTGACCTCCTCGAGGTTGATGCCCTCGAGCAGGATGCGGGTGGGCTGGGGGGTGCTGGCCGTAATGCCGGCGGGGACGGGCTCCTCGACGGGGTGGGTGAAGCCGAGCTTGAGGCAGACGAACTTCTGGCCGGGGAACTGGGCCTTCTTGGGGCGCTCCTCGACCGTGGCGCGGTAGCCGACGCCGACCAGGCGCAGGATGGCCGTGTGGCCCTCGGACACGCCCAGGATGTACTGCTGCAGGTACGCCCACGTCGTGCCCCACATGGCCATCTGCTGCCGCTCCTCGCGGTCCTCGATCGACAGCACCGCCTTGCGCGCCTCGCCGTCCTGCGCGATCTGCAGGTACGGCGGCACGTTGAGCTGCAGCTGGCCCAGCGGGCCCGTCACCGTCACGGTGCGCCTCGGGATCCGCAGGTACGTGGTTGGGTCCTTGACGACGAACGGCTCGCCGACCGTCAGCTCGACGCCCGGCGGGATCGAGATGGGCGTGCGGCCCAGCTTGGAGGGCTTGGACGAGGTGTGGGAGAACGGCCGCCACGGTGTCGAGGGTGCTGCTGGCGACGACGGTGAAGGCACATTGTGGAAGGCGGGTACCAGGAAGCCTGGTAGGGTGACGGAGGACGGTGCGGCGTGCAGAGCCGAGGCCAAGGCCCTACTCCTGGTGGGCGCCAGCATCGTGAGTGAACTGGCGCAAGGGAACCTTTGGGGGTGGTTCAATTGCTTGGTTGGCGGCGCTCGGTGATGGTGTTGAGCTGCGAGCTTCAACAGCCGGGTCGAAAATTGATGGGCCAGGTGTCATGTGATTTGGCGATGTCGGCTCCACAAAAAGGGGATCGCCCGACACGGCAGCCACGTTCCCTCCCCTGTCGTGGCTCGCTCTGATCGTGCTGCAGACGTACAATCGCTTCTACGGTGTTCCGGGCGTCAATTGGCAAGTAAAGAAGAGATTTCTTGCTTCTTGAAAGGAAATTCTCTTCAATGGCGTATGTTCTCATAACATCAGATGCTGCCGTCGTTGGTGGCCGCTGACAGGAAACCCAAGAGACGGGGGATCCGTCAAGCCGCGCCTTCACAATGGGCCATGGGCCATGGGCCACGTTCAACTGAATCTATGCTCGCCGGCAACTTCCCGGAAAAGTACGAATGGACTTTAGTCTGGATGTCTACATACATAGGTTGGTATTCATCTACGTAGTTATCAAAGTGGAAGGGTTGCTTATCGAATAGCCGGGGCTGTGAGTGACTGCCTGCAATGCAGAACAATCTGTCCTACAAGCTTGCCACGACAATACAGACCAGATTAATCCACTTGAGCCGAGTTGGCTGATTCATCGAGGTACGAATACGATCCTTGCAATCAGCTCTCCAGGCTCTCACTTCACGCAGGTGGAAGAGTGAGGCGTGACCTGAATTTCCACCGCAAAATGCTTGCCTTCGGACTGGGAACTATTCACTTGATATCTTGAAGCTTTTGACCTTCACCCTTCCTTTTCTTTCCTATTCACCCCAGAACCCAGTCTTCTCACCTTCTCTCGACGCTCACTTTGGGTCTTGGTCTTCGGGTACGATCAAGGTCATCGACAGACCTTCCATGGCCATGGGTTTCTGGGCCAGGGCTACTATGCTGCTGCTCTTAGCCAGCTGCCATGTTGTCGCAGGATTTGGCTGGAGGAGAGAGTCGAATATTAACCCAAGCCGGAGAGTCGGCCTCAATCTTCAGCCAGACTTGAGCGCGTCATCACTTCTCCATACCCAGAATCAGCGGGCCACGACGTACGAGATTGCGCTCCATGAACTACAACAGCTCGAGTCGGAGCCTCTCTGCCATCGCACTGCAGCAAGGCTACTCGTAAACAATTGCCAGCTCCTCGAAGGCAAGGACGAAGCGACCGTGCTCACAGACAGCGGCAGGCAGATCCGAGATTTCGTCGACGCCTACGCCGCTAGCCTGGCGATTTGTGATCTTGAACGTGGTAGCTTTGCCATTCCCAGAGAATGCACGAAATTCCGAGAGTCAGCCCTTAACCAGCTCGGTCCTCCTGAAACTGCTCAGCTTCATGTGAGCTCCAAGGAAATTGACAGTTGCCTCTCGGGATTAGGCGCTTCCGACTCGGCTTGGAACACATGGATCAGCTATCGTCACAAGGCACTCCGATTTTGCGAAGCTGCGAGGGCGGACAACGAAAAAGGTGATACATCTTAGCATGCCTCCGTCCAATGAACCTCGGTTAACTATTTGTTTGCAGCGGAGCACATCCGCCTTTTCCAGCGGCTCACCAAAGTCATGAGCAAAATGACTGATGGCGTGGAGCAGGCGACCGATAAACGAATGGAAGATCTTGATGCCAAGGCCCAACATGTCAGCCAAGGTCTTGACAATTTGTCACCTCGGATCGACCATATCGCGGCTAGCATTGCCGGTATTGATAGCCTTATCTCAGGAGACCTGGAGACCGCTCTGAAGGTACTGAGTGATGACTATTGATATTATGTACTCGGCTGACAGCGAGGTAGCAATCAACGGATACTGTCAATCAGGGACTTCACAGTGCTGCAAATCTGCAGAGAGCTCTAGAAATCATGATGCAGACAATTTTGAGCACGAATGCCGAAGCTGCTTCTGCCCACGAAAAGTCGGTAGAGCTCGTTACGCGGAAAGCTGAAACGGAGATAGCCACAGTTATGTCTGCGATGGCTGCCGCTGTTTTCTCGGCCACCACGCTACAAAACCAGATCGAGCAGTCGCGTCTACAGGCTGCAGAACTTGAATATCGACAGGCAAATGTGGAAGAGGTTCGATCACTCGTTTCATGTTGCGCACAATTCACTGACATATCCTCAGGGGATGATGCGACTGGCCGATATTACCGAGAACCTTTCAAGCAAATACAACGACCATACACAGCTCCTGCACCAAGCACAGAATATGACAGATGAAATTCTGGACGCACTTCAAGACACGGCAGCTGCGGCTGCAATCGTAGGCGATGCATTCTCGAAGCAGCCACCCATATCTTCGTGGTGGCCCTACATCTGGTGTCCCGCTGCGTCTCTCGTCATGGGTTCATACGGGCTTCCTCCTTCGGCTGGGAGAAACCTAGGTCTAGTCGCACTCGGTAAGGAATGAGTATATTCTTGTCATTGTCCCGCTGCTAATATCGATACCACCACAGGCGAATTCGTGGGCTTCATGGTATCCTCAGCACAATCGCTTACCTTCGACCTTCCATTATTCTCGCAGGTGGCAGTCTCTGGCGTATTGGCCAATCTTGTAACAGCCGCATCACCAACCGCAGTCACAAATTCCAAGAACGCCACGATAACCAACTTTCCCTAGAGTTTCTCATTTCTATGATTATCATCGTATTAGCTTCCGGTTGGTCATTGGGTCCTGGCCATGGGTCTCTGTCATGGGTCTCTATATATTTTTCGGGGTTGTTTGCCCAAATCTGCAGATTCCAGAGGTAAAACGAGCCAGGGAAATACGGGGATGGATTTGGGAAAAGATGCCACGGCAGCTAGCTAAAATTCACAATACCATGTAGCCAGCTGACAACAAATTCCACTAACTATCATCATCCAGCCAAGTTCCACGCTGCTGCTTACCACGGGTGAATGCTGTGAGTTAAATAAGTTTCTTCGTTTCCGAATTCCGCCTGGGATCCAACAACCAATTCTACTGAGATGATTGGCAGTCGAAATAGGCAGGTACAAGGAGCATCAACAAAGCTCATCAGCAATACTGTAACAGCGGTGAGTACCATTCAGGAAAGCTATCTGCTAACACGGCGAGTAACAATTAATAGAACAGGGCATTTCAAAAGTGCATGATTGATCGTGAACGGTGTTGTATTGTTGAGATTACTTCCGTTACAGCAAGCATCTCCTGATCGTGGATTGGATGCGTTCTGCGCAGATCAATTCCCATGCCCTGACTGTCTCCCGCGCTTGACTATGCTACATATAAAATTCATAATGCTCCGCAAATGTGCAGAGAACTGCCGTAACTCATGATATCAAAATTCTTCCCTCGCAAACGGACGTCATCAGAACTTGTTCTGGTTTGCGTTCTGCATCAACATGGTGGAGTCCGGCTTGTACTTCTTCGACAGCAGACGGATGTCGTACTCGACCTCCAGAATGGCGCCCTTGGGGTCGTTCTGAATGGGCTTGAAGTCCAGGAGCAGGTCGTCCTTGACTGCGGAGACGGTGTCGGTCTCCAGGTACTGGTCGTCGCGGGAGTACAGCTGGGCGGTGACGCCAATGTAGTCGTCGTGGGTAACCATGCAGTGGATGTGGCCGGGGCGGTAAGGGTGGCGGCCCATGATCTTCAGCAGGTCGGCCGAGGGGCCGGAGGTGTCGATGGCGTACTCAGTGGGCTTCAGGCAGTAGAACCAGAACTTGCCGTCCTGGTCGGTGCGGAACTTGCCGCGCAGGTTGTGGCGGGTCTGGTTCTCCGGGTCAAAGACGTCGTACTTGCCGTTGGTGCTGGCCTGCCACATGTCGAAGACGGCGTTCGGGATGCCCTTGTTGGTGTCTGCGTCTCTGATCACACCGTGGAAGTAGGTGAACTGGCCGTCCTTGGGCATGTTGAGGACGACGCTGTCGCCGAGCTCTCTGAAGGGCGTCTCCGGCGACCAGAAAGGTCCCAGAATGGTGGAAGATGTGGGGGAAAGATCATGCTCAGTGACAATCTTGTGGTTGATCTCATCAACGAGGCTGGGTGAATGTTAGTTTTCGGTCAAACTCGGATAGGCATGCAGTTGCAAGGTGAACTCACGATTCGACACCCAGGATGTCGCACACTCTCCACGCCTCATTTCGGTTCTTCTTGTAGGCCTGGCCGATGGCGTTGATGTAGTTGACGCCGATGATCCACTCCTCTTGGGTGAGCTCGACTTCTCGGCAGAAGTCGTGCAGATGGCTGATCAGAGAGGTGAGAACCTCTCTGTGTCTGGGCTTGGTCTCCGGGCTCATGAGGCCGATGACATGTTCCGTGAAGTTAGGGTCGAACTTGCTGGTGTTGGCCTTGGCACCATTGGCGCCGTTTGTGCCGTTCGTAGCCATTATGAAATGCTTTCTTGATGATAGAGGGAGAAAGGGAGGGGGCACTTTGGTTCTTGCGACTTTCCCGTATTTGCAGACCCGAACGAAGAGAGATATTGTCATCCAGATGTGAACCACGCACGTCGTAGGCAAGACGAGAGGAGGTCGTTCACTTTAAGTATGAATCGCTAGATACAGGAGGAGCTAGGGACAACCCAGAACACGTGAGCCGAAGAAACCAAAACCATTCCCCCGTCGCAATAGACTTCGGTATTCGCAAAGGGGGGCTCGTGATTGGGCTCGCCATCTGGGGCACTTGGGGAAACATAAAGCCGCTGTCGTCTAGAAGCCCTGGGAGAAACGTAGAGCCGTAACTAGGCCGTTTGGGGAATTGATTGGCCTGACGCACAAGCCGGATTACTAGCCGACCCCCAATCTACAGCATAGGCTAGGTAGGTTTCAGCTAGCCCGAGAGGACCTTGGCGTCGGCTACCCCAGAGCTGCCAGAGCTATTGGAAAAACATAGAGCCGTGCGGAGTATGCGGAGTCCTGCGACGCTGCAATGCGGGCTGTGTGAACGGAGTAGACCAATTGCAGAGCTGCTATTATGTTCTGTGCCGTTTTGTATCAGGTTCTATTGATGGGGCGTGGGTGAAGGGTGAGGAGCTCGGCGTTGAGGACCCTACAAGTTGCCAGACAGATAGCACATAGGCAAAACTCAATAGATCAATCGGCCTGTCTCACATCCATCGTGACGTGAACCAATCAGATGGCCTGCCTTCCTTATTCGATGCTGTAGCTACCCGGATTATACTGCTTTCCACCGGAATGTCGATATGATAGGTCATCCAGATCTAGATCTGCAAGCATCCGAACCTAGCGGGGTTAGGGCCTTGCGCTTGGGTGCTCTGCAGCAATGGGAAGCTCACATTTATACCCACAGCATCCTTTTCAGTCACCTCTCCTTTGAAGTCAATGAGCACAGAGCTCCCACAAGCAGGGCAGAATCTGTGTGTAGCTTTATGCCGGTTGAACTCATACGAGCCCATTTTCTCTTCGCCACGGATGAAAGTTACGTCGTGTCGCTCCGGGTACACCAACAGATACCCGTTACGATGACAGATGGAGCAGTTGCAGGATATCACGGTGTGTCCTGGGAACGGCGGAGAGAGCTTGACCTGGAACTTGACTTGCCCGCAATGGCAGTTGCCGTTGTATGTCTCCCATGTGCCGTTGGCTTGGGAGAGAACCTCCCTTGGAAAGGGTTTGTATTCAGGCTTCATGTTTGACGGTTTATTTAATAGGATACAACAAGATGCGGTATTCCGAGTTAATGGCTAGGAATTTGGTGAACTAAATACATTCCATGGCACGCGTGGACTCAGTTTGCAACTCAACCGGGCTCTCCACACACGTCAGCAGCGAAGCCTGGTTAGCGTTGAAGCGATGCACGCCATTAGCACTTGGGGAACGGAGCCAATTAGGGTGAGGTATCTGATGAGGCTAACATCTCTTCTAAGAACCTATAAGCTGGTTCCAGGGAATATTTGTGCACCCCTTGTCATCCCATGGCCAAAAACTTGGCGTTATCTAACGTGGGGATACACACATCAGACTTTCGTTCCAGACACCTCCTTTTCTGAGGAGTGACTATGAGTCTCCAGGCTGATCTCGCGGCCGACCGCATCATGCGTCGCATCCCAACGCTCCACCTCCGCATTGGGTACCTGCACAATATTATGGCTCTGCGCTCCGTTTTCGTAAGTAACGACGGTCTGGCGGAGCTGGTACTTGCGGAGCTTGGGCAGAACATAAATCCAGACTGTATAGTAGGTTCCACAAGCGAGGAGGAACCCAATACCAGTGACCACATAAGTCGCATACCAGAAGCTAACATCTCCAGCAAACGGACCGCCGTCAGGAGGGTACCAGGGCATGATCAACAAATAGACGTGAACCATGATCGCGAAGATGACGGACACATCCCACGCCCGATACGACGGTCTGGGCAGACCAAGTCGCTTGCGCCTGAATCGAATGATGTAAATGCCAGACGCCATAGCTACGTTGAATACCGCGTTGGGATAAGTCTTGAGATTCGCAACTAGAGTAATAATGAGCCTGTGAATTTCTACGACTAGAGCAGTCAACTTACCGAAATTGAAAGCGTCGCCTGCGGGTATCGCCAAGAGCACAACCACGGTGAATCCCCACTGCACGAGATATGGGCCTAACGGTGTGCCAAAGGGTCTGGTGGAAGCCCAGAACCTCGGCCACAGCAAGACTCCTTGCCTTCACCGTCCACGTCAGCAACGCCACTTTACGGTAGGTTATCACCGGTAACTTACCGTCCGCATTCCCGTATCATGCGGGATACTCCAATCAGAACAGTAATGAGGTTACCGAACGCACTAAGGGCAATCAAGAAGTTGAGGCCCCTCGTGGCATTGGATGATCCAAACACTTTCTGGAAGAACAGACTTGCCGATACTTGCGCAGCTGCTTTCAGCTCGGCCTTGGGTACTAGAGGAAGCATTAGCTTGATTCTTCGCCATCAGTGTCACGAAGACTTGCCAGCAGCAAAGTAAGCAATATTCGTGAACAGGTATAGAGCCGTAACGACGGAGAGCGAGATATAAGCGCTATTTCTGATCGTCTTGACCGGTTTCTGGGCATCGCGTTAGTTGACATGTTCAAAACAACTTGCAAGTATACCAACCTTGACCTCGTTGACGACATTGAACGCGTTCTCATAGCCAGCATAAGCAAAGATGATCTTGACCAATGAGTTTGTGAGACCATATGGCGTAGCCTTGCCCTCAAAAGCGTTTTCGAAGTTTGCATGCGGATTCGCCACCGAGGTCCGTCCCGAGAGAACCACCCAGCCAGTTATCGAGATGAAGACCAGGGTTAGGACCTTGACTATACCGATGGCAATGGTAAATCGAAAGGAGAATTTCGTATGTAGCGCAACAACTAATGAGAACCCAGTTAATGAAGCACTTTGGGCATGGCATAGCCACTTACGTAAGGTTGCGACGGTATAGGCTGCTATGGCCACTCCTTTCTGTTCCCACGCTGCAGGAGAGCGACCACTGATGCGGAAAAGGTATTGCGCGAGGACTACCTTTCACTCAGTATTTGAACCCACACATCACCTACGTTAAGGTGCATACCTGTTGCATTGGCACTGCCGAAAGAGAGTACTACGGACTGGAAAGCGAATGCCGTGGCAAACAGATACCGAGGTCGAGGGTAAGCCTGTTCCAGATAGACGACCTCAGAACCAGACCGGTTGGGGAAGTATGCCAGGTACTCCATATACACAGACAGACTGGAGGCAGAGGTGAAAAATCCGAGCGCCCACCAGATCATGGCTACACCGACGGAGCCGGTCCCGGTCAAGATGGTCGAGGCTAGAGTAGTCCGACAGTCAGTAAAGAGTACTTGTAGAATGGTAGCCAATGGATCTTACGGGTGGAAAACACCCCGGTGCCGATCATTTTTCCAACATTCAGAAATATCAAAAAGAGGCTGTTCGCATGGTAGCCCATTGGACTTGTAGACTCAACGGGTGCCCCCGAAGCTTCTTGGTAGGTGATACCGGAGTCGTTACCCCCTTTCTCGGCAACGAACTGGAGGCTTCCATCCGAGACCACATCTGCGTCGCCATCTTGGCCATCTTGGTGCGCTTCGCCCGGCGCGGCTTCCCGCTGGCTGAACGGACGCCTGAAAAAAGACATTCCGGGGTTCCAGTGCTTTGTCAAGAAATGGACAGACTGCTCCTCGAGTGAGGGCACGAGTGCACAGCAAGGCTTTTGTGTCACTGGAGCTGATGGACACTCTCTTCTTATCAATCTTGGTATGCATGACTGCAGTATCTGGATTCTCCACTCAGAACGCATCAAATTCGACCTGACCAGGTTCAGATCTATGATGCCTTATCTGCCATGGATGGTGTTAGAAGATCCTGGTTCACGCCAAGACATGCTCAGAAGGATGGGTGCGAATGCATACAACTCTGGGCGGACGTTGCACCAGCTGCATATGCGGGACTAGCGCCTTGGTTGCATGTGGGATACGAAAGACGTGCTATTGCACGACGCTCGGCGGCTCAAAGATCTCCAATGACAGTGTCGATGCGCGTTTCGGTGACACCGTAACTGCTCTATATAGGACTTGGCTGCACACAAGCCACCGATTGCGACTACACGCCACTCGAACTCTCATTCTCATTCTCATTCTGCTTATATTACGTATCAATTATGCTCTTATATTACGAGCAAATTATCCTCTGAGCCCTAAATCAGGCCAATATTTGTCCAAGCAGAACTACAGTTACTTTAGTGAGCGCGATTCTCAACACTTGCAACCTGAGCTATCCGAAATACATGGCGACTCTCCGTTAGGCTCAGACATATCCACTGAAAGGTTTGATTTGACATGGATACGCCACTATACGTATATCCTACTTACAACTGCAATCCCATTTTTGTATTACTTCTATTTACTTGTAGGATTCAAGTCTTGACATCTTATGGCCACCCAACCCTTCACTGCTGCTCCGAAAAAGATACATGTATTGATCGAGTAAGCTTATACCCCTTGGACTTGGTGGTGGTGGTTGTAGAAGGCCAGCTTTCATTGAAAACTCTTGTGCCCATGTTGAGAGGATGTTGTCGACCAAAGACCGCCGTGGTTCCGACTGCCAATGGCGAATAACAGAGCCAAAGCGATGCACGGAGGTACATAATACAGAATAGAGGACAGCACCGTTGTCCAAGTAGGCTGGCTTACGTTGCGAGGAATCGCCCAAAGTATATCAGAAGCTATGCCCCAAGTGGTACAGATGAGGAACATGATTGATGCAATCAGGAGCAAAATTGCATTCTAAAATGTTCTGAGTCAGTAAGGGCTGCCATGGATAGCATACATTGGAAAGGTAGTGGTCGGCAAGCACTTACCTGCCAGTGCTGTCCTATCTTTCGAGCCCGTAGGAGAACGGCAACCGAGAATCCAGTCGCAGCCAAAGCAGAGACCCATAGAAGAAAGTCGAAGGCAATTGACACTTCCTGGAATTGCGGTATTTCATTGCCACCGACTGACGAGAAGTTGCTTCGGTCGCCTCGAAGTTGCTCGTAGTAATCGGTCGTGTTAGATTCATATGTCCCAAGAACCACCAGGTCGAATATCATTGCCACAGACACAAACCCGTACGTGACCCACTGAACGATGCCACGAAGCTTGTGACAATCTTGCCAAGAATATAGAATACCAAGACCGACGCCGGCAATGGTAGCAAAGATGAAAATCCAGCCTATCCGCACGAAGAAAAATGCCCAGTCCGTGAGACGACGTCCTGTTTCAGCCGAACGATCGCCGCGTTGCGAGGCATTCAAGACACTGAGGTACTTAAGGATGTACAACAACCGGTAGATCCATATGAGAAGGGTACCCCTACAAGACTTTATCAGTTCTGTAATGGATCTCCAGATATATTACGAGGATACTGACACAAATGTTGAGAAGAGAGCAAACTTCAAACACATGAATCCGCGCCTAGGTGCTTTTTGGGTTTCCCGTATTTTGAAGAAACTCGTAATTAAAAGCGCCAGCACTGTAAGCATCACAATTCCCACGAGGACTTCCCACACAATGTCATATTTCAAAAAGTCAATCAGAAAAGTGGTCGATCTAGCCATGGTTGAGCAATTCGTTACTGAACTTCCTGTGGACGAAAGAGGGCGAAGAGATGAAATGACCGCCGGCTGTCAGGCGGCGAAAGCGCTGGTTCTTAATCATAATTACATGCGCTGGAGATTGCGTAGCAATTCGAGACGCTGCATGCGGCCTCTTCCTGGAGTAGAAACAACGCACAAAAGGCTGGGCACGGTTCTAAACCAATTATAAGGCATCCAAATTACTAGGGGTAGCAGGGAGAGACCAATCAGTAGATCGGTGTGGCTTCCCTCAAGGCTGCGCCGCAACTCAAATCAACCAACGGTGGATTCTGATACGTGCTATCTGGACTCAGTGGATACCAACAAAGTCATCAAAAACTGACTAGTTAACCCCATCTCGTCTCATTGCGCTCAATCAAGGTGAACAGAACATTACCGATGAAGCAGGTCATCAGATGAGTATAATTCAGATGCAACACTGCCCCAGGATTCAAAGGACTATATCTACATCTACATAATCGAAGGGTTCTCATGCAATTTATAAAACACTTGTGATGCATTTACTTTAAGAGTTCTTCAAATTGCCGAAAGCCCCATCTATTGACGATACTTCTTCATCGCGTTCTACATGGGTTCTGGCAGAACGCCTATTCTTGATCGGTATTGTGTTGGCCTCACGATATAGTTATAATTATATAAGTCAACACCACAGTCAGATTTGAGTCCATGGATCAGGACTGCCCAGGGCAAATAGTGATGAAGTACAGGACGAGGCGGTCTGTAGAATATAACCAGAACCCAGCCACTGTTACTCCACCGGCGATGGCCAAGGTAAGTGTTCGGCACCACACTTACATTTTGACAAAATCAATGGTGGTGACGTTGTTGACATAGTGAATTTTTTAAAGTAATGACGCCGCCTATGCTAAATGTTGGATATCATGCGAAGGACCCCTCTAATACAGCTCTTTTCCCCATGTCGAAATCTAACAACCCAAGAATACGATAAAGAGAGTAGTTTTGCCCATAACAGAAAGGTATCATAGCTCCTTACCAACTAAACAATCCCTTGGTGATTAGTTGTCCTTTTCCCATCTCCCCTTTTCGGGCCACAAAGTCTTGAATACTGTCTTCATGACATCTTGAACCCGCCCGACTTGTTCCGCACTTTCCGTCATTACATCGTCGTTAAGGCACCACTGTCCGTAGGTCTTGCCTTGGCGAATCGTCCGGTCAAGCAGCTCCATCTGTGCTTGCTCTGCGTCTTTGACCATAACGAACTTCATAGCATCGGTATCTACAACTGTGTGTTGATACTTCTTCAACGCCTTGATTATTACCTGGCGATCATGTTGCTTCGTTGACTTCGGCGGTAGCAGAGGCTCCAGGCCGCGAGGCGTCGAGGCTAGCAAGAACTTGATTAGGCAATCGCCGCACTCGGGATGCTGCGACGAGAGGCGGGAGAAGACATTGGATGCAGAGAAATCCGGGTTCGGTGATGTGGCATCAGAAACAGGCGAGCCGAAAGAATCGGCAAAACACTTATCGACATTGAAGTCATGGCACTTGCTGTTTCTGATTGTCTCGGGACCGTCCAATGATGTCCACAAAATGTTCATATTGACTTTGGGAGGTTGCAGACCAGCCTTCTGGAGGATCTCGGGCACCTTGTAGAACATCCTCTCTCGGTTCGCAGCCTGAGTCGCCGGTTTCGAAGAATCCTTGGTCGAGAGCTGGCGCCACCCTGGCTCGAGTGTTTCGAGAATGTTTTGGCGCTCTTTCCAGTCGAGGTATCCATCTGAGTTGGCATCGGAGCGTGACATGATGAAAGACCACAGCAGGGCCTCTCGGAAGCGCTCAATGGTGTAGTGGAAACTTGCGTACCAGGGATAAATCTGGAAGTGTGATTCTCCACGGAAACGCTCGCAGGTCCCTTTATTCGAAGGTTGCGGGAAAGAGCTCATGGTCTCTTTCATAACAGCGCGTGAAACCGAGTGGCCGAAGTGAGCTTGAACCTTTCGAGCTCGCTGCCCGAATCTGTGGTTCAGCAGATATGAGGTGTAATATGCGAAGGGTTTCTCGCCAAATGTGGGTTGACTGCCCAGCTTCTTGACGTTATAGCTGTCCGGCTTGAAACCCATCACTGAGCCAAACAGAGGAGAATAAAAGTCCGAGGGCGCATGTGGCATCCCTAAGAACATGTCGTCCGACATTGCCACCAATCGATCGGTGGTCGATGGAGTCATATGAATCTGCGACTCGATGGACAACGAGTTGAAAGTCGGTAGACACTGTTTGCCAGCCTCTTCGAAAAATGACTCGTGGGGGAGGATCTGGACAAAGTTGTTCGTTGGGGTATCGTTCTTCAACCATGTCGGTCGTTGCGGGTACATGTCTGTACCGTCGGGGTGATATTTTGAGTTGCTGCTCACTGAATTGACCAGAATCTGGATTTTGTTGATGAATCCCTTGGCGTAGGTGTCCAGACTGCGCATTGAGTATTTCAGTTCGTCCCAGTCGCGATAGCGATTGATGCTGTGCTGAGCAATCCAGTTGCCAGCGGCATCATTCAAGGGCGACTGCACCTCAAAGCTATGCCGGATCGACTTGAAAGCATCCTCAGTACCATTGACCCAGTTATAGACAAAGTCAATCTTCGGTTCTGGCAACGGCCCTTCACGTCCAGCATCAAAGTTGGCCGACGAAAACCACTCATCTTCCCAGCCGTCCAGCTTGATGTCTTGCACAGCTTCCTCGAATGATATCCTTATCACATCTGGTATCGGGCGCAGCAAGCTTTTACCTCCTTTGCTGTCGCCACCGTCCTGATCTCGGTTCTCCTGGTCACCATCAGGAGATGGCACAACAGCACCACCGCCAACCCATTGTGGAGCCGAACCTTCGCTTATACGCAGTCTGGTATAACTCTGATATGTGCTGCTCCCCAAGTCGACGGTCTCCCATCTGGTTACAAACACCAGCCATAACACCAACAAGATACAGAGAACTCCCAAGGCCTTCCGCATGGGCCTCGAGGTAAGAGTCCCATGCTCTATAGGCGACATCGGAGGTTTGATCTCGAGGCGCTGTAAACGCCGGGGCGACATCATTGTAGTGTCGCGTGATCAAGGTAACGGTTGCCGGTAGTGGTTTCACCTGCCTAGCATGCCTGTCCAACAACGCAAGGCTATATTCCACTCAGGCGCTGTTTGTGCTTCAACAACGAGGCAAAAGGGCCAAGGCTGTAGTCCGTATTAATGGCACCAGGGCACAAGATACTGGCTTATCCAGGTGCCTGAAGGAATGAAGAGAGGGCACGCGAGCAACGTGGAAGGAGCGACGAAAAAGACAGATAAAGTTGAAAATGAGATCCGCTGCTCGGGCGCCAGGTCGGCAGTATCCGTGGGATCGCACCAGGAACGTTACCCTGCGGGAAAGCAGATGAAAAGAAAGGATGAAAGATACTTCGTGGGAGGCCCAGACCGCGCGACGTGGGACGAGAAATCGAAGATTTACGATATCGATCTAGCACGCGGCAGCAGAGGGGCCGACCCTTGCGGCAGATAGAGAGCGACATGAGTGATGTCGATGTAGATAATGCCTAGTTTGGTAGCACGCGATCAGCTTCTCAGGAGGGACTGGTACCAAGGCTGGACCCCAGCACCAAGAATGATTTTGGAAGATCGCAGCCCACTTAGGTAGTCATAGCCAAGGGTTTGTATGAGCCGCGTGTTTCCTGTACCGAAAAGTGGGAGTTAGGCTGTGGCCGATAACTTATAAGCGCCTTGGCGGTCTTGGCACAAGGGGTCAACGATTCTGCTTGGCCCACATCATCTGAAGAATTGGCCGACGATAACTGGGTACGGCGGCCATGATGCCGGCATTGAATGGGCTCAGTCTGCCTGTTGCATGGGCATGTTCCGCAAGGGGAGGTTCTGAACTGTTCCCTGACCAGTGTTTGGCCATAGGCAAGGTGGCGTTGAGATCCTGCCATCTAAGCTGCTAGGGTATATTCAAGGGTATGCAGTATCTGTTACTGATAGGCGATAACAATCCCTCACAGGTTTTCTGGGCCTTGCGGCCCCTGAGGATCATTCCCAGATTTCAGCTGGAACCCATGACACATCATGGAGAAGTCGGTAGTTCCCTCGCGCTACCAGCCTATAGTACAAGAAGAGGTGGACCTCTCCTCCATCCTGGTGGTGCTGTCAACCTTGAGCTTGATGCCAAGAACAGACTAAAAATCGTTGCGGCTATCAACTATGCTTAATTGAAATAGAGATCTACAACAGTCACATTCACACATTCGACTTTTCCGTCTCCTTATCTTCCACAATTTCCCACGTAAGTACCGTACGGAAAATGCCGTGCGACTTCCGGCGAATGACGAGCCGAACCAGTTAACAAAGTCTATCGTCACACAGCGCGGGTCCCTTGGGTTTTCATCTCAGCAAAATTACTGATCATGTAAACAATTTTGCAAAGCAAGCCCGCTACATCATATAGTTACATGTCGCAGGGATCGTGTGAAGCTTGATTTCTACGTGGGGTATTCTCCATCCCAGGGGTTTGTTCTCCTATTGCCTGACTGCCTGCCGCCTATTCCATTCAGATTTGCATCTCAAGATCGCTTTGCCATCTTCCCCCCTCCTCCCTTCGCGTACCTGCCGGCCAGAGAACTGTGGAAAGACTGGGCCGCTGATCGAGATCAGATTCACGCTATGTATTCCAATAGCTTCTCGAAGCGGGAGGACGAGGAGTCCCTCCTGCCTCTCTCGCCTCTCTCGCCGTTACAACAGCAGCCAAGCTCGGCCCGGCGCGTGTGCTCTGTGCCACCTCTCCGAGAGATGCTCATCCACACGTTGGCCTTCATGCGACCCAGCTTTCTGAGCAAACGGGCGCCGCTTGAGGTATCTGAAAAGCCGTCGGCGCCCAAGAAGAAGCTATCGACAGAATATCTTGATGGCGTGCGAGGTGTCGCATCACTCATTGTATTCATTCTTCACTGGAGTCACATTCCGTACCCGTCGGTCAACTCAGGATGGGGCTACAAGAACAACACGTCATTATGGTTGTTCCCATTTATTCGGCTCATCTATTCAGGAGCGGCGATGGTCTCGGTCTTTTTTGTTGTGTCCGGCTTCGTCTTGTCCCACCGGTTCGTGCAACGCATGCACCGCCAGGAACACAGTGAGCTGTTTGCGTCACTGACGTCCATCACATGGCGTCGCGCTATTCGCCTCTTCCTCCCGGCCTTCGCTTCGAGCCTGATGGCCTTCGTCTGTGCTTGTCTTGGCATTATAACTGTGCCAAGGAAGGTCAATGGTCAACCTTTCGAGCATAGCTTCCAAGCCTATCTCGACTACTTGGACGCAGAGTCCAACCCATGGGACTGGACTGCCGAGTTTTTCGGGTTCTATAACCCGCAGCTATGGTCGATCGCTGTCGAATTCCGTGGATCGATGGTCATTTTCCTGCTCATCTTGGCCTTGGCGCGAAGCCGGACTGCCATTCGCTTGGCAGTTGAAGGTTTCCTTGTCGTTCATTCATTCGGCCACAAGCGCTGGGATGTCGCTCTTTTCGTTGCCGGCATGATCATCGCCGAGCTGCAGGTCTTGCTGAAGAAGCCAGAACGGGCGTCCCGGCTGAAGCTAGTCAACGCTCTGCTTGTTATAACACTCATTTTTGGTGTGTTCCTCTCCGGCTATCCTCGGGAGCATAACACACAGACTCCTGGATACATGTGGACAAAGTACACTTGGCCTTTCACTGCCTACCGTCGTCGATTCTGGCTTGCGATCAGCGCGATTTTGATCGTAGGGCCAATGGCGTTCCTGCCCTCAGTGCAGGCAATCTTTCTCACGCGACCAGCTCGGTATCTTGGGCGAATCAGCTTTGCTCTTTACCTTGTGCATGGCCTTGGTAACAGGACCATTGGCAAATGGCTATTGAATGCCTGCTGGGACCACATTGGCAAAGAAGGCTTTTGGCCTTACACTATCAGCTTCATTGTCTCTACGACTTTGTATTTTCCTATTATTATATGGTCGTCAGATATATTTTGGAGGGGTGTTGATGTTCCCTCTACGGAGTTTGCTCGTTGGTTCGAGAAGAAATGCTCTGTTCCTGAGGTTGCCAAGTTATGACCGTAACACAATGCATTCAAGTATGTACAATATTATCAAGACCTGAGAGTCCGTGTAAATAGATAGAAGAAACAAGCATCAATGCTCCAATTTTCCCGTATACTTTCAATCGGAGTTGAAGTTGTTTTATTGCGAGTATATAGTTGCTACTGACATCTGGCGGCTTCCTCCCACTTTCCTTACCAGTACAGATGCTTCGGTCCAACTGACTCAAGATGTGGTAGGCAACTTGTAACACTTGTCCTTTGGAATCGTTTCGCCTTGATCCCACTATATAGAGAGTAATAGTCAGGACGAGTGACTTGGGTGGTTGACAAGATTTATTTGCGGAGTCGGTTTTTCAACTTACGTGTTCATGCACACATCCATCGACCCAGCGCCAACGGTCTGTGGTCGAGTATTTCGCGTACGACATGTTGGTGCTGGCATCGAAGCACCAAGAGGTGTTCTGTTCAGTCCCGATCTTGTTACCGCTGCAGAAAATTGACCAGATGGCGTTTGGTCCGTCCGCATATCCCGGGTGATGTTGCTACATGTAGCGTGAGTTTCATTATTCATAATCCAGCTATCCGGTGGGCTTTCGGTATCGCAAATGAGTGGGTGGACAGTGCTATTATGCAAAAAGATGCGGGACGAACTCCGATTTGCATAAGACTTACCTTGTAAGTAGAGTCTATGAGCGAAAACATGGTTCTGGGATCCCCATCGACGACGAATGCGCGATAGAACTTGTATGCTCTAGCTGCCGTCTCCTCGACAGTTACCGTAGAGTTGGGCTGGCAGAGGGCCGGTGGTGCTTTCAAGCTGCATAGATTTTCTCTCTTGTAGAGCGCTTGGTCATGTACGGCCGATAGGTCATCGCCGGTCGGAGCGCCTAGGCTGATGCCGGGCGCCAAGACGCCAACGGAAAGCAATAGTGACAAACGCATTTTCAACAGCAGTAAAAGGAAAAGCGGTTGTGTATAGTGTGAGAATTTCACGTTCAATCTCACAGATCATTCATTCTTTATATAGGTTTCTGCATTTAGAGATCCTCCGCGGACTCCGCACGCCAAGGTACGTGAGCGATCGAAAATACTACAATCAATGCGAGTAGCCTAAATTAAACCTAGATATATTAATACGGCCCCTCAATTATAAGTCTAAAAGGTTAAAAATACCCGGTCAAGTGGCCCATACTAACGGCATTTTTGCATTCCAATTGACTTTTACTCGTATTAGAATCGAGTTATGTTCCACGCGCATGAACATCTGACTTGTCTAATGCGCAAGTTTGCACAGCTAGGTTGATTGAAACTTTGAACTGAAATTTGCTCTTGAAGAGTATGATGGATAATGGCCGGAGATGGATTGCATCTTTCCTCTATTTCATATGGCATTGACATAGTAAATAGTAAATCGTTTGAAGTCGCAGTAATAGTTGCCCTCTTCCGACAGTCCAATTGTGAAGACAACCACAAATGGACGACAGAATGCATAGCACCGGCTGCGCTCCTGGGGCAGTGCTCAATGCAGCTCGCTGGCTCGCATGAACTTTTGGTTTTGCCCGCAGAACTTCCTAAAGTGAGCTAAATAGAGTTTACTGGACAAAGCCACGACATTGACAGGGCTGATGAGTCCCTGCAGGGCAACATTTTAGCACTAGCGTGTTTGAAGATACGAGCAGCATCGCAGTAAGAAATCTAGCTCCTTCTACAGATGAACCAAAATGCTGTACACAGTAATTGAACCAATGATAAGAAAGCCACTGTGCCAGTTGCTAGTTTTCGTGCTCTCTTGTAGCGTGCGTTTCCCAACCAACTTCACATTGCAATGCTCTTTTCAAATTGTCTCTAGAAAATGAACCCATGTCTCGGACGAATCTTTGGAGCCTTTACTCACGAAAGAGTATAATTTCGAGCCTAGCAAGCTAGGTCCAAGTGCTGCTTTATCAGTCTTTATTATTGCGGCCCTTTCAGCTTTTTGGCACCATAGCGTCATTGGAACACTATACGGCAGCTTTAATACTGTGTATTTTTTTGCAGATTCAGGTCAATTCCTATCTGTCGTCTTTCCTCTCTGCCATCTGTCCTCCTCTTGGTGAGAGGGTAGTATGGCGGAGCGTAACTTTTATGTTTCCATGAGCATGGAACTAGAAGTGCAATCTCCCCGATTTCCATGAAGTGATATTCCCGTTTCCACCCACCAAATACTCAACAGAACGATGAAAGTTCAGTGAATGTTGGCAGACAGGCCTGCCAAGGCATCCAGTATCCACGCACATGGATCTTCACATTATTTGTGGTGTTGTCGAATACAGCACAAACTTTTCGGCTCTGAATATATTTGAACTTGGAGATGCCAAGGTGGCCTTGGCCGGTCGAGATCGGCAAGCACTCAGTATTCATGGTACAAACGTTGTGGGGGTTGGGTTGGGGTTGAGGATGACAATACAATCCCAAGGCGCTTACAGACAGACAAGGCTATCTATACCTTGTGACGATAAAGGGCTTTCTTTGAACAACGCTCAGCTCTGATTGGGTCCGATCCAGAGTAAACTCTTCTGCGCTGGTGCCTGTGCCATGATATAGTTAGTAGTATGAGACCCAGCGCATTTAATGCGGCAGACTCAATTCGTTTTCTTTTCGCGATTTGTCTGTACTTTAAAGTAGGGCATATCCAGAGAGTAAGAGTAGTGCCCCGGGCCGGCGGCTTCAATACGGGTTCGGATTTAGGTTGGTGCTGCCCCTTATAAGGATAGTTACAAGGGCACGGGTGAATGCTTAAACCATTCTGCTGGTGCATTGGCGACACAGAAGCAGGGTACATCACTGAGGCAGCAATCTAGAAGCCACAAAAATGCATCTCACAACATGATGTAAAATTCTCATGATAGGATCACAACACTTAAAGCCAACATCGAGATTGCGAAAACAGCAAAATAAATTGGAGGAGCGGGGAATTGAACCCCGGGCCTTTTCCATACAAGAGATTGCATGCGAAGGAAACGTCATACCCCTAGACCACACCCCCTGTTGTTGTAGTGCAGTTGGCTTATCATAGTTTAGGTTGGTAAACCACTGGACCTTAGGTGATCTTCGTAGCCCGGCCCCACTGAGACACAGACACATGTAAGTGGGGGAGTTCGGTTTGTCACGCCAGTGTGCACAGCCGCTGGATTGTGGGTGCTGAAAGAACAGTTAGATTTTTTGATTGGACCGCAGCTCTGTAGAGCGGACACCAACAGCCTATTTGTGACAAGCCACGGGGCAACGACAACTGCGAAACTTCGAACACACAAAGTAAGCAGTTCACAATACACAGCGTTTGCAGCGTCAAAGTTTGATTAACTTTTGGGCTCAGAACTTGCTACCACATTGGCTGGGTTTGTGCGGCTCCGCTGGTAACATTGTGGTAACATACCCATGAGATGGGTTACACGCGGCAATATCTCACCAACAGCACTGATGAAATCGACAATACAGTTCTACCAAATGCAGAATACGACATGGGTAGACCAGATGGGACTTTACTCAATATCTTCGACAATGTAATAGCCGTGCATTCCATGAAAAGAGTCAAAATTCTTTGTGTCTGATTGGCTGGGGACAAAGCACAATTACATCAGCGATAGGTATTCAAATGTCATTTCGGCTGTGAAGAAAGCCATATCATCTTCGAAACAAGAACTGTCATCGGAGTATTTTGACCTATTGCTCAGTTATTACTCTGCTCTAATGATTCCAGGGGTCACTCATTTTGGGAAGACATACCGCGTCCATGTGCTAGTTCTACATCAGTTGGAGCGCACGTAGCAATAAAGCCTGCAGCAGGTTCAATGGTCCAGCACAATGGCATCCCTAGAGAGCCAGATTCCAACGCACATGTAACGATTGAAAGCATTGTCTGAATCTATTATCTGCAACTATTCTCTCTCGACTACAGCTCCTTGACCTTCTCCTGCCTCCTCAGCGCGGCCGATATGCGCAGGGTAAAGACGTAGGCCAGCATGCAGGCCTCGAGGCTCAGCAGCCCGATCCACAGGGCGTCGAGGACGTGCACCTCGAGGCTCCAGGGCAGCACGCCCTCGAGGTGCCAGCGCAGCGGCCCGTAGGCGATCTGCATGAAGAGGAAGGCGACGAGTGTGTAGTAGGTGTACCAGTACGGCCTGTTTCCTCGGTCAGTCTCTGTTGCGGCGACGAGTGGCACTGTGGACTTTGGCTCGTGTAAGTGCATCGGAGGCAACCCCACCCGCTGAAGCTAGGTGTTGCTGCCAGAGGTAGAAGCCAGTGCGGTAGTAATGCAAAGGTAAGACAGCAGTATCATTGAGCCAAATACAGAAAAAGGGGAAAACATGTGATTGCAAAACGAAGCCTCATGAAGAATATTGAACGTACTTATTTTCCGGGGTGACCACAGTCCATCGCGGGCGCGGGTCGGCCCACGACTGCGACACCTGGACGGTAACGACGAGGCCGCTAGCGATAAAGACCCAGATGAAGATCATGCGCTGCAGGAGGCTGAGGTCCTGCGGGGGGAAGACGCTGTCCAACATCTCTGTATATCTCTTCTCTCCCTTCCTATGCACAAAATTCGTGGTCCTGCTCCTTATGAATACCGACTCAGGCGGGCTTCTGGCGAATCGAACACGCTGTTCAGTTTGCACCCTGGGCCGAGGGCAATGCCGAGCTGAGCGGGCGAAGCGAGTTGAGGCGCGTGGGCGGGCGTTACAGCGCAGCAGCAGGTCCGTTTTGGGGGTGGTGGGAGGGGTGTGTGTGGTGATGGGCCAGGCAGGCTGGAATCCGGGGAAAAGCTTCAGGTTACTGACAAGGGCAATCGCAGTGCTGAGAGGGGAAGGCTACCTGGATGCAGTCTGGTAATATGGGGGAAGTCAATCAATTGGGGGAAAATGGCCTGGCTTCAGAGAAGAACGTGGTATGCTATTTATTGGGCTCTCTATTCCGGGCACGTTCTCTTTTCATGTCGTGGTGGCATCTTCTCGCTTCGCCTCTCCTGTCTCCCCGGTTCGCTGAGCCGTCTCTCCGGCGCTCAATTGGGGCCTCTCCCCCGCAGACTACATCCCCAGTCGTGGAAAATTGCAGGTGACATGGGGGATGCTGGATTTGAGGCGTCCCCAGCTAGGCCGGGTTCGATCTCCTTTTGATGAGGGCGGGTCGAGAATGAGGCTCAGAGTGCAGGTGTATTATAGATGCTTCGTTTTGAAGAGGGGATGTTGAAGCTTGTGTATGTACATATATAATATACAGAATTACCATGTCCGTCATGAAAAATCAAGCCGCGTGAGTCGTGATGTCTACTCATCCAGGCCGAGGCCAAGGCCAAAGTGCCGTAAAGCCCGTCGCAATTGTGTACAGCCTTTTTAAATCATGCCAAACTCCGTTCTCCCTGATAATGCGGCCCAAGTCGGTTTCTCCTTTTACGTACGGCCCTCTGCACGCGCTGTATTGCTCATGATGAGCCAATCTCACGAGGTTCGAGCCTGTCGGCGCGCCTCCCACTTCTCCTGCTCGCGTACATCGCCGCCCGATGCCTTCCACCAGGTGTCGCAGCCCCATCTCATCAGTCGTTCGGCGGCCTGGGTGGGGGTAACGGCAGGTCGGACATCGAGGTAGAAGATAGGCTCGCCGGTCTCCTCGGTGCCGCCGGAGTAGTAGTCGATCACGTAGCGGATTTCCTTCTGCTGTCCGTTGATGTCGCGTGAGACGAACCAATCGTGGCGGTCGAAAGGAGGCTCGGTTCTGCGTGTTCGTATTAGTTCTCGTCCCTGGGGCCATATTCTGCGCGCGTGGTGAGCTTACCCAAACATGGCAGGATACAGCCAGCCCATGACCTGAATCATGGCGGCCTTGGGCGTCATTTCCTGGGGGCGACCCTGGAAGCGCATCAAGCTCGGGGACAAATCCTCGACCTCCTTCTCGTAGCCGTACTTCTTGGCCATCTTGTCAAAGTTCTGCTCGCCCTTGGAGCACAGCTGCCAGCCGCGCTTGAGACCGCCGGCGAAGCGCTTCTCCCACTCCATAATCTCGGCCCAGGCTCCCTCGTTCAAGAAGTTGTGGACGCTGACCATGCTCTCCACGGCCGTGACGTCGGTGTCCGAGTATCCCTTGCGCAGGAGCGCGTTGTACATCTGCTGGGGGGACGGGTACTCCCAGTTGCCGGCGCCATCGCCCCTGGGTATCGTCGAGGGTTCACGCTCGGTGGGCAGGTAATGCGACTGCTCCGGGGCGGGAGCTTGAGACAGGTCGCTGAACATCCAGTTGAGCGGGTTCAGCTTCGACAGGGTGGACTGAGGCTCGGGCTCGGCTTTCGCGGCCATCCTGGCTTCGTGAGGGACGGGACACGCTGAAGGCGGAGCGGCCGAGGCGTCGTGTTTGACGGGGCAAGCAGCAGGTCGAGAGGGAGGAGATGCTAGGGCTTCGGCGGTCTTCTTGTGCATGGGGCATTGGGGCTACATGGTTATTAGATACAGGAACACGAAGGGAAGAAGAACGGGCGATAGGCGATGAGGTGTATGGTGTCGTGACTTACAGGTGGTGATCGTCCGTCGGCGACGAAAGCATCATGTGCCGAAGGCTTCGTCTCGACCCTGCCGACGGGAGCATCTGCCCAAAACCAGCCCATTTTGTCTGTAGATGAGTTGAATATAATACAAGTGCGTGGGAGGAGGAGTAGCTAGCGACAGAGACTTCGCGCTGGGGTGAAGCTGCTCTGTCCGTAGAGTAGACGGGAGGATGCAGTATGCCCTCTCCTCGGTGTGATAAGAAAGATGCGACAACTTTTTGCCTGCGATAAAGACCCGGCAGGCCGGCGGCGCACGGGAAATGCAGAATTGGCCGTCGCTCATTCGCCGCCCTGCTGACGCGACCCGCCCAGCCGCTGGTTGGCTCTCCTTGCCCTCTGCTCTTAGCGTGTAAAGGGGGGTCCCAGCCCGCCTACTATGGTAAGAGGGCCCTGAGGTCCCGGAAGCGCCGCCCTGCTTTTCCTGCTAAGGCATGCCCAGCAGGCCCAGGTGCCCAGGTGCTGAGTTAGAGGAGTTAGCGCCCAGTGATCCCGATCCTGGGCAGCCAGCGGCATGGGCCGGCTCACGACGATTGAAGTACGTCACTGAATTTCGCGGTCCGTCTACTGCATCATTCCAGCACGTGTCGGCCCTTCGGAGGCACTGAACCGGTCAGACTCGTCGGAACCCCCGTCGCATTCCCTCTACCCAACGACTTTGAGGTTTATATCGCCGTCATGGAATAATGCGACTGCAAGCAATCGATAACTATAGTCTGGCCCCGTCGAGATGAGGTCGGTCTTGCTCTTTGGCCGCCTGTGCGCTCGCCGAGGCATTGCGAATGGGCCGAAGCCGCCGAACTTCACAGCCTGCACTAGATGGCAGTCGACATATAGACATGGCGGTTCGCAATGGAGGAATCCACGGCGGACAAGGTACACGCTGTACGCCACCGCCCAAGGCATCGCCCTCGGCACGGCCGCATTTGTGAAGCTGGCCGAGAAGGACAATGCGGGCACCGAAAAGACGTCCGAGGCGCGCATGCTCGAGGTGTCGCGCAAGGAGATCGAGAAGAACAAAGACGACACGAGCAGCAGCGCACTTACCCGACTTGGGCACAACATCATATACTACTTGGATGTATACCTGTGGGAGCCCCTGTGGACCGGCGTTCGTTTCTTACAACTGGCTGCAATATTCGTCCCCGTCATCATAACAGTCCCCGCCATCTGGATAGGGAACCGACAGCCTGATCGCGATAATGAGAGGTCCGGCACTTTATGGTGGTATGGCTTCTTAGTGCAGGCCATGGAGTGGGCAGGCCCGGCGTTCATCAAGGTAAGAGAGAAGCAGACGCCACAACTTCGACCAGGACACGGTTCGCTGACACTGACCATTCACAGCTTGGCCAATGGGCTGCCTCGCGGACAGACATCTTCCCAAACGAGATGTGCGACATCATGTCCAAGTTGCACTCTAATGCCCCTGCTCACTCAATGCACGCCACGAGGCGGACGCTTGAGGCTGCCTTCGAGGGGAGGAAGTTCGAGGACATTTTCGAGGAGTTCGACGAGACGCCCCTGGGCGTTGGAGCTATCGCACAGGTCTACAAGGCCAAGTTGAAGCCAGACTTGGCTGGGCCAGCCGACATTGACGTTTCGGACTCCAAAAGAAACCTCCGCCAAAACGTGCGCAAGAACGTAGACCCTATTTTGAAGAGCACGCCGGGGCGGGTGCCTTCGACATATGTGGCTATCAAGGTCTTGCACCCACGGGTTGAGAGGACTGTCCGCCGCGATCTGCGGATCATGGGCTTCTTTGCCTCCGCGCTGAACATGATCCCGACCATCGAGTGGCTCTCATTGCCAGATGAGGTCGCCCAGTTTGGAGAGATGATGAAGCTTCAACTGGATCTGCGCATTGAAGCAGCTAACCTTGCCAAATTCCGCAAAAACTTCAAGGACCGGACGACTGCATGGTTCCCCTTCCCATATCTCGAGTTCACGACACGAAATGTCTTGATCGAGGAGTTTGCTCAGGGCATCCCGCTGGCGGACTTTATGGAGAACGGAGGAGGCGTCTTCCAGAAGGAGATCGCCCAGGAAGGGCTAGACGCCTTCTTGCGCATGCTCCTGTTGGACAACTTTGTCCATGCCGACTTGCACCCCGGTAACATCATGGTCCGCTTTTACCAGGCAAAGCAGCCCAATATTCCCGGCCTCCGGCATCCTGGAAGGGATGCGCACAAGCCTCACCCGGAAGAACAAGAAGATGTCACGGAGCAGGTGTTGGCCCGTCTCCGCCCTTACCGCAAACGAAAGGACCCTGCGGCATGGGTGGCCGAGCTCAAGAAGATCGATGCCGAGGGATACCGCCCCCAACTGATCTTCATCGACACCGGCCTGGTGACGGAGCTCAACGCCACCAACCGGCGTAACTTCCTGGACCTGTTCCGGGCTGTGGCCGAGTTCGACGGCTACAAGGCTGGCCACCTGATGTGCGAGCGCTGCCGCCAACCCGATGCCGTGCTGGACAAGGAGGTCTTCGCCCTCAAGATGCAGCACCTGGTCCTCAACGTCAAGAGCAACACGCTGGCGCTCGGCAACGTCAAGATCGGCGACATATTGCAGGAGGTCCTGGGCATGGTCCGTGGCCACCACGTCCGCCTCGAAGGCGATTTTGTCAACGTTGTAATCAGCATCCTGCTTCTCGAGGGCATTGGCCGAACCCTCGACCCCAATGTTGACCTACTGAGCAGCAGTCTGCCCATCCTCAGAGAACTTGGAGCGCGAGGCGGTGCCGAGATGGTTAGAGGTGGTGACTTGCATATGCTCGTGGTCTGGGTTGGACTAGAGGCCAGACGGTTTATGCAGGCCAGCATCGAAGATGTAAGTAACACCTTTCCCAGTCGTTTGGTATACCACAGAAACGATGCCGCTAACACGTCTGTGTACAGGTCGAGAGGTGTGTGAAGTACGACTTACTGTCACCTAATGTGTAAACACCATGGAGAGCAAACATTTGTAGAGATAGATGTGCATATAACGGCGTTTAGACGCGAGTCCAACAGCTGTCAGTGGGCGGGACATAGAAGAAGACAAATCACCAAATATTCTCGGATGAGCGAGACCAATCCACGGGGAGACCATTTGCAGTTGTTGCCAAAATCATTCTGTGTCTTTTCCTGTACCATAACCATAATATTACCGTCGGGGTCGATCTCTCGCAAGGTATCGGTATCCTGGTTCTCACGGATTGCTGCCGCATCCAAATGACCAGAGATCACACTGCATCCTCGCCCCCTTAACTAGCTGTCGCACTCTGTTACCGAAGGAATAACGCATCGAAGTCCACAGATATCCCGCGCACTGCGGCAGCGCACTGTTGGGCTGTAGGTTGAGTTCCCAGTACTTCCTCTATGTCCTCAGGATCCAGGAACAAGACGCCCGATGTGGCGACGCCTATACCACATTCGCCGCGTAATTCCATCGTCTCCTGCTCTTTGGCGCGTTGAAAGAAAGGTGGGAGCGGGTGACCACGAATCCGCAACCTCGAGTAGACAAACCACCACAGCCATGCGTCCCGCGAGCCGTCGTCGCCTGGAACAGGAGCAGAAAAAGCAGCGGCGAGATCAGGTGTGCCATTTGCTCTCGTAAACATAGCACGCTGCTCCGGCCTGACCATGTAAACGGACGCAAACTCATACGCACGTGACGAGACATGTTCTTGACTGGGGCACTCTTGAAGACATCTGCGCACCAGCCGCGGGAAGAAGCATCTCACCCCCTCCTTTTCGTAAACGAGAGCACTCACACCGAAGTCTGGGTTTGTTCCACCTACGTCGGCGGCCGTTTGCAACAGAAATGCATGCATAGTGTGCATTTTTGACCACTCCCAGAACGGTACTCCCTGCCAGAATACATCCCAGGGACCTGAGAGATCGCGTACTTGATAGCAGTCGTCGCCCTTATTGTTGTGAAGCAAGTGGCCTAGCATGTCGTGGAGATAGATCGCTCTTGCGCAGCGAGTGATTGCCCTGTTAAAAGTCTCCAGCTTCACCCGCATGACTGTGAGCACTATTTTCGCTACCCCAGTAACACCGTGGTAATAGGCGTGAATGGCTTCCGCTTCTTGGAAAGAAAAGTGCGGGTTGGGCTGAGCCAGAACCCCACGCTGGTCCAAGTAGTCCCGGCAGAACTCTCTCATGTGCCTCATGTCGTCGATTGGCAAGTCCTTTTGGCTCGGAGGACGCCACTACCAGGTTAGCATCAGCGAGTGAACCAAGTGATGGAGTCGCAGTGCTCGCTTGTTGACTTACTCCTCGCGTGACAACCACGTAGTGTGCTACTATGATCTGGACAAGCTCCGGAGGGCAGTGAGTTCGGATGAGCTCGAATCCGATGAAGGGCTCCATGTCCTTGAACACGGCGTGAAAGGCCTTGCATGATAGCACTAGACATGGTATGTAGTTAGGTCGTACCTTGACCAGGATCTGTGCGCGAATCTCGGCGGGCAGTCGCTCGATCTGACTTTGGCCGGGCAATTTCTCTACAGCCGCGTCCGCCATGGATGCGTCCGCATCGCCGACTGGCTCTAGGTCCATGTTGGCGGAATGCAGAAGATGGTGATGCAGTCGCCGATGAGCTACTGCAATGTGATGAAATTAGTTGGTGGGAGATGGCAAGGCGCGTGAGAGGAAATTATGTACGTCCCCCACCTTAACAGGCGAGAAAGTGAATCGACCAAGATCTGAAATTTCTCACGTTGTCCAGGTTGCAGCTGTTTGTTCACAGGCTAGCCATTCAAATAATCGCGGGTTCACTTTTTCGACGACCTAGACCTTTGTGAGCTGTTGTTACCCGTTCAAACCGCGGGAAAGGGCCACACTTGCAACGCAAGAACATCTTTGAGTAGCCGTTCATTTATCGTCTACCTCAAGCACATATTTCCAATGTTTGTGACCGCCAGGCCTGTAGAAATGTCTGTATCAACCTGGAGAACTGGCGGCCTCGCGCTCCATTGTTACCATTGTCCAAGCACTACTTCGCATTGCCGACCAGGCATCCTGAACTACAACATTCTCCAAGCAAATGGAAGAAGGCTTAAGAATATCAATACTCGAAGCCATTGCATCAGCACCAGCTATATGGAGTCAAGCCCAGCGATAGTAATAGGCGTGAAGAAGCCCTATGACCGCGGTCTTCTTGATATGAAGTCCAACCCACACCAGCAACGCGTAATAAAACAGTCTGGATTTCAAGGGTGGGAGGGGACTAGTCATGGGGTGACGAAAAGGTCTTCAATATTGCAAGCCATAAAATATCTGTACAACTTATGAAGGACACTTGAGTATGCACCCGGCAACGCGCCTACGCGCTGACACATTAAGCCAACTTAGCCGTTAAATGTGAGACCGGTTTTGGAGTCCATAAGGCAAACGAGTAGCCAAGTATTCGGGTTCTGATCAACCCCCTGAGACCAGTTGCTCGACATTTAATCGACAGCAGTTACTCTCCCATCGATGTACCAATCCTCACCTGAAATGAGTGACGCCGCGTCTCTTCGGTGTCTAAACAAGTGGACTGAATCAGGACCAGCGTTTCGAAATATCCCTGTCTCGTCTACTTCCACGCCACACTTCTCCGGGATAGCACTTACTATGACGGAGTGGTCGTCTGCCCACTTCTGACACGTAACAAAGTGAGCAGAACTCCCCGCGTCAAAATGGGGGAAAACCACAGCGCCGTTCAAGAGGTCTAAGCCCTGCGTATCCTCCAAAGTATACTCGTTTTCGTCTAGACCTCCGTTCTTGACGTCGCAAATGGCGATATCTGCGCCAAGCAGGATTGCGCCTGCACTCCCACCATACACTTTGCCTCCACCTTTCAGAAAACTTGCCACTGCTGTAAAAAAGCCGTTCTGTTGCACCCATTGCAGTAAACTGAGTGTATTACCACCGGGTATCACCAAGACGTCGGCTTGTTCGAGCCCGAAGCGTGGACCTCTGTCCCCAAGCTGGATATAGAAATGTCCACGCTGGGACAGAGCCGAGCTCACCCAGTCCATTACCCTTCGTATCCTATTAGAAGGTTGAGCGAAGGACCAAACAGTAATCCGCTGCCCTGACTGGAAGACCAGGTCCCATGACCTGGCTTCGTCCACTTCCGAGCCTCCACCGCCCAAGTACAGCATCTTTGAGTGTGAATTCTTAATAGCGGACTGGAACTCGAGAATAGCAGTGAAGAATGATTCCATCAAGAAAAACAAGCGATATTCTGAGGGTAAGCGCGGGGCCATTTAGACCGTCCCCATTATAACGCTTCAGCCCCTGGGTACTGAACCCGAGGTTCTGGCTAATATTCCCTGAGAGGCAAAGGAATCAAGCCCCTGGTGTGGTTACATGAAAATTAATTACGGAGACAGGCACGTGATTCTGAGTAAAAGTGCTTAGAGGATTTAATAAGACCATCATTAGTCCCTTCAATGACTATCTGATGAGTAATGCAACATTGGATCTTAGATGCCTCATCATCGCCCGTTCAAACCTGCCATACAAGACGTTCGCCAAACTTCGTCTTCTTTCATTAATAATATTCGTGTCTGCTAAGATCGCTCGTGTAGCCCACGATTCATCACTTAGGCATCCTTGACCTCCTGGTGCTCTACATCGTGATCAAGCTCCATCTGCTTGCTCTTGCTTGGGCCATCGAAGATCAGGGCAACATCCTCCAGAGATGGACCCTTGGTCTCCGGGAAAAGAACCCACACACCAGCAAACTCGATGACGACCCAGATGACGAAGACGATGTAGAGGCGCCACTGGATGCTCTCCAAACCCACTGGCACCGCGAAGGTTGATAGGATCATGAAGCAGAACTGCACAAAGTAGAAGAAAGAGATTCCCCTGGTGCGCAAGTGGAATGGCAGGATCTCGGGGATGTAGAGACCCAAGTTACCGTTGAAACCGAAGTTGTACGCCGGAGAGAACAGGTATAGGAAAACAACGACCGAGTATCCAGCAGCCTTGTTGGAGTTGTCCTTGGCAAATTCTGCGCTACCTGCCGTAATGCAGATGACCACGATCCACATGAACACAAGAGACCACAAGAACATGGTCCTACGTCCAAGCCGGGCTGGCAGCGTGGCAAAGTAGATGGCGGAGAACCACGAGACCATCTGAGAGGTGGCATTGATCAAGGTCTGTTGGAGGTCCGACTTCAAGCCGACGGACGAGAGAATGGGCGACAAGTAGTAAGAGACGAAAGCGTTGCCAGACATCTGGGAGCAGATCGCCGCCCATATCATGATCATGGTTCTCTTCCGGTTGCCAGGCCCGGTCATCAGCTCCCGCAGGAACCCAAAGAAACTGGATTGAGCCACTGCCTTTTCGCCCTCGATCGTGGTGGTGATCTCTTGGTACTCAAACTTCACAACAGGGTCTTCAGGGTTCCCCTCGCCATGATATTTGACGAGCATAGCCAGCGCCTCTTCATGGCGACCCTTGCTCACAAGCCATCGTGGAGACTCGGGAACGAACCAGATAAAGATGATCTGGATCAAGGAAGGAAGGCCCTGCAGAGCTGAAGGAATTCGCCAGGACGCGTCGCCGTCAATGCGGAACGTGCCGAAAGTACACCAAGCAGCTGCGATCGAGCCAACCGAGTAGAAAGTCAGGAACAAAGCTGTAGCCGTACTTCTCTGCGTCGGGTAGGCGATCTCGGTGATGTAAGGCGCTCCGACACCGGCAACAATCACACTTCCGGCTCCAATGAAAACACGGGCAATAGTGAACATGGCGATATCCTTTGCACCTGCTTGAAGGGCAGCACCGAGACAAGTGATCACGGCACCAAGGCAAATGCCAATCCTCCTTCCCCAACGGTCGGCGGCGGGGGCGATAAGGAAGACTCCTACTAGGCCACCGAGAGGGTACGCAGCATTGAAGACGCCGAGTGTTGCTCCCTTGGGGGTGCCAAAATAGGACTGCCAGTGCGAGACAGATTGGAGACCGTTCATCATGGAGCCGTCGAAACTGAGAACCCGCAATGTTAGCTGCCAAGCATCGAGAAGAGCGGATATGGTACGGCGGCATGTCCAGCTGCTTACCCTTGACAGAAAATCGACAAGAGAGGGATGATCATCCAAAGGTTCATGGACCTAAGGTTCTTGTAGCGCCACCATCGCGAGACATCGATAGTCGACACCGGCACCTCGGGCGCTGCCTCCAAGGGTTTGGATTGAGCGTGTGGGATGTTGTCTTGTATGCCCATTGTGAAGGTATACTACAAGATTGATAAAACTAATGGAGAAGCAGCAGCTCAGCCAGGTAGTTAGCCTATGGTTGAAGATGCGAGTAACGAACGGCCGATCTTTCCTTGGGAGGCAATTGTCGAATATTTATAACAGAGGGTAGCATAAGGTATCATTCAAAAGAATTGCACCGACTCATCGTAACATGTCGCCCTTGGCAGGTGGTCTTCACTAGCTTCCAGTAGCCTGGGGTCTGGGGTAGTCTCCAGCTTCGCGGCCGAGGGTGGAGGCGGGGATGTTACGACCACGGGAGGCACAAACAGTGGGTCTGGCCACACGACCAGCCAACATCAACCAGCTGGGGAAGATTGTTTTTTTTCTTGAGTTGCTCCAGGTCGTTGACTGGTTTGCGGTCTGGAGTATCCCCAGGGGGCAAGCCGACTATCTCCCCCAGAAGCGGCTTTGTGGGGTACCCACTAGGCAACTTCTAGTATGAACAGGGGTTGGTACCAATTTCCGAAGTACAGGTACATCAAGAGTGGACTGCAGGTAGGTGCTCGGCTCGCTCCAGAATGCCGACATAGAGTCTTGCAAAGGTAGCAACAGGCTCTGCTCGGTTCTATTTGTCCCGGGGATTGTTTCTCGGCTTTGTGCTAAGCAAATGGCTTGAATCACTATTGCTAGTTTTCGAGCTGGAACCAGCAAGAGTATCACGTCCTTCGGCAACCTCGGTCATACAAGGCCGCAAGGTCGGCCAAGTTGACCGCGTTGCATTAATTAATGTATTCATGCAGGGTTTAGTACAATTCTGATTTGGTTGCTTCGCTTCGTTTCTGTCGGTAGATGATATTACTTGACATGTTAGCCATGTCACATGGCCTGCCATGTTTTGCATATGCACCTCAGCGCCCAGATCGGTGGGAAGACCAGGGACTCGTCAGCGTGTATACTAGCTGCGAAAGGAATAGTCCAGTCCAAAGCGCCGGTGCCGTTTGGGACCTGATTCGGAGCATCGACTGTATAATTCCAAGGGATAAGCGCCGAGGCGCGTACTGCATCGTCGTTTGGGTAGTACAATGTCTACATTTCAGTGTGAGCGAGACCAACGACGAGTTCTGAGGGGCATTTTCGGTGTAGTGTAAATCAAATTTCATCAAATTTATCATACGCTACTAATCGGTATCATGGGGTTCCTTCAAGTAAAGTACCTGACTGCACAACGAAAGTGTAGTCTGACGCACTATCCACAACCCGCAGAGGCTGTGATGGCAGCTTGACGTGGATAGGTATCAGCTTGGGTTCCTGCAACTCTAGTCTCAGGGTTATCTTTATTACACCCTCCGCGTTAGTGACCCAGGAAACATGGACAAGACCTTCTGACTTGGCACCAACTTGACGGAGTGGGACTGTTGCCTCTATGGTTGAGAATAAGTTCAACCTCGGGGAAAACTCGATCGATTCCCAACCTGGACTTGCTGGACGGACGCCTGCAACCTCGGCCATAAACTCGTAGATAGGCGCGCTTCCCCAGGCATGGCAGTCCGAGCGTTGAGAGACGCTATCTTCCTCCCACGTAGTCAGGCCCAACGCCAGCTGTTGCCGCCATGGATCCCAAAACTGATGAAATGTCTCATCGTAAATGTTTCCCCCAACAGCACTGAGGGCGCGTAGCGTGTAGAACGACATTGAAACCGAAGATCGAACCAATTGCTTGGCTGGCGCAGGCTCTAGGCTTTTACGCAAAATTGTTGCTGCCACACTTGCACTCGCGGCACCGCTGAGTACTGACCAGACTTGGTTCTGCTCGGAGTAGTCGATGTCCGCGATTGCGCTAGAGGCAAGACCGTCTGAGAAGAGCTCGCCATCAAAACAGTGATTGCGGACGGCGTCGATGATGTTACTCGCACGACCTAGATACTCTCCAGCGATACCCGGTCGTCCGAGAGATGTCACCAATGTCGCCGCATGCTTCAAGGTGTACGCATACAGGTTGTTCGTATATGTAGAGAACCCTGTCCGCTCAGCCGCAGGAGGAATGCCATATGGTCTCCACGCCTCAGCCCAGTCAACAAAGTTCCAGATGCCGGGTTGGGAATTCGACGCCACAAGTCCCAACTTCTGGTCTATGAGGCGGTGGAAGTATCCGAGGATTGCATCTACGGCTGGCAGCAATGGCTCCAGGAATGATTTATCGCCGTAAAACTTCATGTAGTCGTCGAGCATTAGGATCCAAAAGAGCGAGAAATGTGGGATGAACTGCGGCTTGTGCGATGGCGCACGACTGCAAGTCAGGCCTAAACGAGACTGAAATGAGTTGTGGATCTGTGTTATGGCTTGCCGTGCCAATCGATCGTCGCCCGATACGTAGTACGTAAACAGACATGAGCTCCTGGTGTCCATGGCATACTGGAGTTGCTCATAGAAGGGGCAATCTTCGTAGCAGTCATGCATGCAGTTGGACAAGGTCCGAACACTCGTTGACCACAACTGCTCTATGACTCCGTTGCCAGACGGAGTAGCCTTGAAAGATGCAAGTACCTCCAATGGGTAGTTTACTGCTTCAATTTCGATTCCTTCCAAGTCTAGCTCGCTGTCTCCAACATCAATCGACATTCGAAGGAACCGAAAAGTACGGAAATGAAATGGCATGAACGATTCTTCGGATTGGTCCTCGGCGCTTTCCGCTGCAGTGATCCCTCCAAAGTGATAACGGTCTTGCGGACCATACAAGGACTTGCTATAGTCACAGCGGTGACCTTTGCGTCTCAAGTATGGCACCAGGGTAGGTTCGTCCTCGTAGCTCTCCGAATATGTGACATTCAAGACGCTTCCTGCTGTACGTGGGCGTTTAAAACGAAGACGGACAAACGCGGTAGTGTGTTGAGCCATCTCAACGTCGAAGTGATGGCTACTGTGCGGCGACAGAGTCAAGCTTTGACCCGAGTTTTGACTGCCAGGTGCGCGAAGTAGCACGGACTCCCAGTTCAAAAGAGACTGATTACTCTGCACATGATGGACCGCCGAGGCATAAGCCGCCTCACGCTTCATTGGCGGGATGATTCGTGGAGAGAGATGCCATGGTGTTGCATTTCCTGTAGAAGTCATAAATTCGTGAACCTTCGCCGGAACCCATTCCAAAAGGCGACGTTGAGATTTGTCGACATATTCATAGATGTGGAGAAAGTCATCTTCTGGCTCATCTATTCTGAGAATACTCGTCTCATCAATGGCTGTGCTCCAGTGAGTACTGCTTTTAAGGCTGTCATGCCATGAGCTTTGAGCGTCGGCGATCGTGACTCGCAAGCCGCCCAAAGGCAGCCGGGGGAAGGACGTCGCGTAGGGGCTAGCATAGAAGAATCGCAGAACTATGACCAAAATTTCATTGGTCCCGGTCCGCAGGTAGGGGCCGACGTCGACCTCATCAACGAACCAGAGGCTCGGGTCGCCTTTTACTGGCCCGAACGAGGCGAGCTGCCCATTCACGTACAGTTTGTATCGCGTATCGGCTGTGATCCCAATGACGAGTGAAGGAGGCGGCGAACTATCGACAATCAACTGATTTCTGAAGTGGACGAACAGCCCGGCCGTATCTGTGCGCTCCTCTGTGAAGTTAGGGTGCCACATCCAAGTGGCGTCAACCTGGGGTTGTGCCATGGCCTGCAAAAGTAGACTCGAACTGCCTAGTTGACAGGGTTCGGGGGAAAGAAGACGAGGAAGAAGGCGGCATGAGCACGCTTTACCGCGGCGGTCAACGTGTGCAATTTCAGCAATATAGTTGTAGCTCTAGTCCTCGGTAATGTGAGCTTGGCCGACCGAATCTTCGGAACCTCGTCCTAGTGATGACTACCATCCCGACAGCCACCATGTCGCTCGGTACAAGATTCACTGCATTGTTCGGAGTAGTGATCGCCGAGGACGAAGCCATTCTGACCTGGATCTGGCCGAGAACGACACTCACAGCTCGGGTGCTCCCGTATTCGCATTTGCAGGGATGGTTTCCGAGCTGCTGGCAACGTCCGAGGCGCTAACCAGGTACTTGCGGAGGCAGTATTGTGACTTGTGTGGGCCCTCTGGAGAATCCCCAGCTTCCTCCCCACAACAAGCAAGGGCATGTCTTGGCATAGCTTCGTTGTAATGTCAATCATCATCGACCACGAGCCACGCACCTCGAAACTAGCTGATTAGGTAGTGAATTCCGGGGTAATTCTGGGATAGAGGCCGTTCTCTTGAGGATCCTCGGCGGGCTAGGCAGAACGCCGTGGCGATCTTGGGTTGGAGATCATCTGCTGCCTTTACCCGAGCTTAGCATGTATGCTACGACTACATAAACAACCCAGGGTAGCCGTTGGTGTTACTTATATAGCTCTGGGGATCACTCGCGAAGCAAGCAGGCACAATCCGATCGCGCCCTGCTCACCGTATGTTTTCGAGCAAGTAAACAACTCGTTTCTACCGGTTATCTCTCTCTAAGATGGCGGGTCTTCGTCTGTATTTGGGCGCCGCGGCCGCCGTTGCATCCCGCACACTAGCTGCTGTTACGGTCACGTACCCGGTTCCATCGACAACACCAAGTAACTCTGTGGAGCTCGATTCGGCGCCAGTGGGAGTCTCGTAAGTGGCCAGCAAGTCTTGATCTCGCGATTTGGTTGCTGAATGCGCGTTTGCATCGACCTGATAGGATGGAATTCTTCATGTGGCCGTCCTACATGACCAACATCAGCATTGCTACAGACTGTCTCAAGCATTTCGATGAGCTGTACGGCAAGAAAACACCAACCCGCATCGGTGGTACCACCCAAGACCGAGCGACCTACGACCCCGATTTCGATGGTTACGTCTCGTATCATGTGGACGATCCTTTGGACGCTCCGATGACTTTGACATACGGCCCAAAGTTTTTTGATCTGATTTGTACGTGAACAATAAGCTTTAGCTCACCTTGGTGTGCCACGTCGAGATATCGATAATTAACAATCAATCAAACATTCAGCGGCCTGGGGCGCAGAAACCACACTTGGTACGCCTTCGTATCTTGCAATATCTCGCGAACGCACCTTTTAACATTGTTACAGGATTCAACAGAGGTGACAATAACTTTACCAACACCATGGAGGCAGCATTGACTGCTCAGTCCAGGGCTGGAGAGTTTTTGTGGGCAATTGAATTAGGGAACGAGCCAGATTGTGAGTTACGAAGCTCTGCCAATGCGAGAAACCTACTCTGACTGGTAGCTGTTTGGGATGGGCAGTATACTACCTTTACTGGAACAAACCCGTGGCCACAGCTCCATGGAACGAAACACAGGAGGGTGCCAACGCGGCCCAGTGGGCGCAAGCTTTCATCGACTCTTGGGATGGGGAACAACCAATTCTCTCGGCTGGTGTCTATGGTGTACCACTTCCTCTCCAGCCAGGGTGGCCGAACATGATTTACCTGGTTTCAGAAGCCTACAACGAAACCGTAAAGGCCGGGACCAAGGTGTACTGTGCGCATGCGTACGCGCTGTCGAATGGCACGGACTTGCAGACCGAAATGAATCACGTCCGAACAGCCAGCGACATATCCCAGTTCAAGGACGATGTTGCCCTAGTCAATTCGATTGGCAGAGATCACATCATTGGTGAGTGGAACTAGAATATTCCCAAGGACGAGCCAGATCGGCCCACTTTTACAGAGTATTTGGAAAAGCTGACCCGCCTCACCACAGGCGAAGCGGGTTTCCATGGTCAAGACGTCGATATTGATGCCACACTCGGAGGTGCCGTCCAAATGGTGGACAAAACGTTGTTGGCTACATCAATCGGCCTCAAGCAAATTTACTACCACCAAGGCACTATAAATCAAGGTAATTCGCTCCGAGCATTCTCAGGTGCCCACTCGAGCTCATTGTATCATAGCCTACTTCAACTGGTGGTCAGACGACCAAGTGGAAGCGCCTTTCTATGGAGGCTACTTTGCCGCCCTTGCTCTCTCTGGAGGTGATCACATCATTGCGAGTGACAATGGGACCGATTCTTACGCCCAGTATATCATCTACAAAGATGGCTCGCCATTCAAAGCAGTCTTGGTCAACACTGACTACTACTCCGGCACCGGTGGCAGAAATCAGACAACCTTCACACTCACTGGTCTCTCTTGCTCGAAAACGGTCAAGACCCTCCGCATGACTGCTCCATCAAGTGACTATACCACGACAGCAGATACGTCTGTTGCACAACAACTGACCATCGGAGGTAAACAAGCCATTATTTCACGTGCATTATTTGGCTTTAATCTAACCTGATTGTAGGGCGATACTTCTCGAACACAGACTGTGCCGCCATCGGCGAAGAGCATTTCGAAGAAGTCAAAACATCTGGGGGCAAGGCTTCATTTACCGTTGGAGCGTCTGAGGCATTGATCGTATACTTGTAATGTGATGCAGATGATTCATTGTTCCTGATCTATCTGCCTCACATGCAACTGTTGAGCAAGATCTGCAAACAAACATGAGCCCACTTGTGGCCCAAATGATAGCTAGACTCTTGACTTTGTTGAAAATTGTCTTGAGGAAGGCGTACTTTAGTTAGACTCAGCATCTCGCCAAGTACTCTGGAATATCACCCAAATGTAACTAATTGAGGGTTCAATACCTCCTCCTCTTCCCTGCACCTTCATACACGTCTGCAAAGTCATTTAGTACAAACTTTGCGGAGTCAGAATACCAATAACACTGATAAGGGGCCATCGTCATCCTAATTAAGCAGGCTGCCCAGCGACTGTATAAACGAGGTAGTATCGTATGTTGGGGGGGGGGGGGGGGGGGGGAAACATGGCCGACATGGTCCACCACGTCTTTGTGTAGGTGTTCTGTATAGCTAGATGTAATGCGAGGCTCTAATACTCACTCTTTGTGGAACTGAGGCATGAATATTTATCGCTTCATAGTTGAGAAGTTAAGCCTAAAACTAGTACTACTTATCACTTAATCTAATTTTGGCTCAGTTGTACAGCACACTTCGGCCCGTCCCCGAATACGACTTTTGCGAACGTCGCGCTATCACTACGGTTTAAGTTAGGCCTCGCTAACTACTCTTTCACTAGGCGCAGACTAGAATGAACTCCACTGTCTCAATTAAGGATGGCTTCTCCATACCGTCTCTGAACATAGCTCGTTTTTCAGCCTTTGAACTGCTAACTACACAGTACAAGCTCTGTGGCGTATGCTCGGGCCCATCAAATGTGCTCTGAAGCTGAAGCCTAATGCATAAGTCAAGCTTAGTGCATTAGGATTACATAGCATACAGGATAATGTTTATTGTTCGCATGACTGGCTTGCCTCTGAGCGGCGACAGGTCTACATTGTGTGTTATGCGCTAGGCCAGGTCGGTATTCATTAGACCCATGATGGCAGAAAAAAGAAAAAAAAAAAGTAGGCATCGCATCTAGTATCTGCCGTACGCGAATACCATTTACGGAAACGCCATCTTTCAAAACGGACAGTAACGTGGTAATCATAGGGAAAAGCTTTCTCATCATGTGCGACAAGCCGACTACGTTGATCCCATGGATCAAGGGCGCAACGCCGGACAAGCCAGTCGGCCACGAACATCAATGCTCGGAAAAGGTGATAATTTGGACATAAAACTTGGGATGCTTTTTCATGGATATGTTCAACAGCCCGAAACCACCAGCCATAGACTAGTATATATTGCGCGGCAAAGGTACATGCCAGAAAGCCTTGTATATTACCAAGAAAAGATTGCCCAATATTAAGATCGCTAAACTCGGAATGTCCAGTTTGTGGTAGAAATGTTCCCCTGCTTGGGAGTGGTTTATTCAGGCGTGGTACGTCGCCGACAACGATAGGAACGTAACAGCAATCAGCATAAAGATGGAGAAAGCAGTGCAACAGGCACCAGTGGCCCCGGAGTATCTGCTAACAAGGTACTACTGGATACACCACTCACTATGCAGGAAGAAAACGGCTGGGATGATGTGGGAATAGATGTTGACCGACTCGTTGTGGATATACGACCAATTGCAGAAAGAAGTGTGAGATGAGCGTGAGATGGGCCGATGCTTATGGAAAATCTACTCTTTGGATTCACGTCGGAACCATTCCACCATCTCATCGAATGAGAGAAGAAACGGGCGTTCTGCCTTGGCAACCTTGGATGCTGTGTCGCTGATGGCTTCCGTTACCCGCCCTTTGTGCGCCTCTGGCTGCTTCGGAGGCGGAATTCGAAGACGGGTAGACGATGACATCTGGTGAGAGATGAGAATGTGATGTGGGGAGCCCGATATTGAGAGTAATTGGAAATATAAGACAAAGAAACTGGTTTGCTTCTTGCTTTATTTCTTGAACTTCTACCCTTTTCTTCAATTACTCTTTAGTTCTTACGTGCCGGCATCAAACCTGTTCATCCACGACTGACGCTCGAGATGAGGCAGAGGCAATACAGAGACACAAACGTATATAGGCCCTCAGGATTAGTCACCACTGTCGAAACTGCCGCCAAGGCCCGCGCGGAGAGAGTCCAGGATGCGAAGTTGGTCAACTCAGCTTTCAACCTAACCGATGCTGAGTTGACAACCAGCTATGACAAGGCCAGTGTGCTCCTCACTCGGTTCTGGGATGGGAAGGCCGGCCGTGCTCCAACGACTACGTGATAGTACTCCTTTGTGAGTCGCAAAATTGGTGTGCAAATATGTTTAAGTTGAAATGCTAACTAGGTTACAAAGGAGGAGCGTATTACCTACCCTGGGAGCTTCCAGCAAACCTCCCATAACCTGACATAATTGACCAAGATGATTTGTGTTGTCAAGACATTCAATATCTAACCCGGCAATCAAACATTCAATAGCTGTCAATATTCACTCCGTCAATAGAATTTGATAATTGTGTACCAACCATGTCCATAACGAATCTTGGCGATGGTTAGGAATAATCTAAAGGAATGAAAAGATCAGCGCAGCTCCTTCATCTATGGTCAGATCCTCTATTATTCACGGCGCTTTTGCTTTCAGGTGATAGTCTACCTAGGATCTGTCTGAAGGAACGTAGCATATCAACACTTCGCCAAAAGATTAAAGGCCATGTTGCCTCGAGGTGCCGAACCGTCATAGCATGCTCTATGTCCCATACGATGTCACGGTCGTTATCATTTGGCTATCTGGCTTTGTAAAGTATATACTTCAAGCTTCTAGAGAAACATGTTGCATGTCAGTGAACGCTACTTTCAAAACAATCTTCAATCGCTTCTGCAATGCAGTTGACTGGCATATTCTAGGTTCATTCCCAGACCTTAGTGAACCATATGATGTCCATTAGACGCATGGTGCCCGTTAGTTGCATGATGTCCCGTAGCCATGTGATGTCCATGGGCCATGTGACCTCCGCTGGCCATCTTGGTCGTTTCCTCTGCTTTCTTGACCCCTAAAGCCTCGGCTCGTGACTTGCTGTGGGGATCAAAGTAAGGGGCCTCCCCAATGCCTACGGCACGGTTGCCAGCCCGCTCACCAAGATTGAGATAGTCGAAGGTTGCCCGGTGGAAGGTGCTACGGTTGTCCCAGATTGCTATCATCATATTAGAGTCGTGTGTCTCTCACGATAGACTAGGAGATGCATACCAATGTCATTGGGGTTCCTCCATCTGAACCTGACCTGCAAATCATGGTTGTCCTGAATCATGCCGTAGAATTTCTTGAGGAGCTCGTCCGACTCATACTGGTTGACCTCGTTGATACGCTTCGAGAACTGACCGACAGAGTAGATACTCTTCCAGCCAGTCACCGGGTTCGTTCGTACAACAGGGTGGACTGCTGTCAGGGAACGACCGACGTTCAGGGGACTGCCTCTTTCACCCTCTTCAATCTGCTCGCCTTTGCGCTGCATGGCCATGAGCACGCAGTCGGCACGGCATGTCACAGTCAAGCCATCCACGAAGTCTTGATACGGCTTGGACAGACGGTTGTATAGCTCATAGCCTGATGCCCACAAAGTGTCACCGCCGGACTCAGGTAGCTTGTGGACACGCAGTGATGTATAGTCTGCCGGAACGGGTTCGAACTGAATGTCCGTGTGCCACTCAGCAGCGTCAAAACGGCGCTTGTCCATGTTCGGCATCTTCTCGAACATGTACTTGAAAGCTGTCGAGTTGACGTAACTGATGTGTCGGTCGCCCGTTCCGCCTTCTGGAACATGTGCCGGTGCAAGTGGGAAGATGTGAACCGATGAAGACTCAGGCTTGCCGACAGAGCGGCCCAGCCGGTTCACAAACTCCATTTGTAGTTCGTTGGTCAGGTTGTTCTGTGCACGGAAGAAGACAACACCGCGTTGAGAGACTGAATTTGGTCAGAGAATGGGCCCTGCTCAGGAAGATTGCTTCTAACTTACTAGTAATCGCGACATCGCGAAGAATCTCGTCCGCATTTTCAGCGTTCAAGAGATCATCGACAATGTTCACATTGGGATACTCGCGTCCAATCTCCGGCGTGGTTTCTTCGTACTTGAACTTGTCTAGGGCACCGCTAAACTTAGGCAGCCCCTGTTGGTGCTGGGTCTTCGCCATGATGTGCTCGAGATGATGGTGTTTGCAGATACTAACGACCAATACTGTGTGAAGGCAACTGTCTTGGAATGCTCTTACAGAACACGAAAACTATAGAAAAATTCTGTAGTGAAGAAAAAGCTAAACTTCAGTGTATCTTCACTCCCTATTATATTGGAAAGTAAATCGTACTGTGATGGTAGTAAAACTATGGACAACTATTACGGGATACCATGAGATATCCAGATGCACTTGCGCAAATCTGAAACCATTACAAATCCTGCTCGGGACAAGGTGAATATATCGCCGCTTTTACGGCCTCCACCCGTCGGCATTCAGAAGTACCTGGTACATATCGACAATATTTGGTTGTGATCTGTGATATCGGGGTTGACAATGCCGCTCGGTGTCTGTGATCTGATCTGTTTGATAATCCTGGTTCGTGGCTGAAGTCCGGTAAGCAGCGGTGAGGACGCCTCCTTCTGCAAGTTGTAAGCGAATTCAGGCAGAAGTATCTGCACTGTGATATTCATTCGAGCCGATTTGTTGTAAATTAATCCTTCAGAGGTCTGGGCTTAATCATCTAGAAGCGATCGCCAAGCAACCTACCTGAGCCGAGAGCCTTGAAGCTGTGGCGTGCTACTTTCATGTCGTGTAAGGGCTAGAATCGCAAAAGTACCGTGTCTAATCTGACAGCAAGGGTAGGTGATGATGGGGCAGGAACAGCCAATCAGGCGCCGCTTACGAAGTCTTCTTACTTTGTAAATACGGAATATTCAAACTTTCTTTTGTACGTATTCAAAACGTATTAGACGGACTTCGTACTCAGATCATATGATTAGCATTGTTTTATTTTCGTTTTCCCTCTCAAACAAATCTCAAGTCCCTAGAAACCCTTTTTGCAGAGCCTCAAACTACCTACAAGAGCCACGCAGATATTTTGTATCCCGCCGCACCGTTTCGCATCGTTATCATGGACGACCAGCATCAGCAGACGGAAAAGGCAGTTATCGAGGATGCCGCTCCAGAATATTCCGAGTTCTCGAAGCCTCGACGAAACTTCATCATTGGCCTTGTGAGTGCAGCGGGCCTGTTGGGCCCTCTAGCTGGAGGTATTTACCTTCCAGCCATTACGGTGCTACAAGATGAGTTCGGTGTGAGCTACACAGCCATCAACGCGACTGTCTCGGTGTTCATGGCCCTCTGTGCCATCTCCCCTCTTGTATGGTCCGCTTTTGCCGACTGGAAAGGAAGAAGGCCTCTATATATCATGTCCTTAGCAGTTTACCTCGTTGCCAACGTGTTGATGGCGGCGCTGCCAGCTAATTTTGGTGCACTGGTCTTTCTCCGCATGCTTCAGGCATTTGGTTGCTCGTCAGTAATTTCATTGGGAGCGGGAACAATTGCTGATGTAAGTATTTACGTTTCAATTTCTCTGCTTGGACTGGTAAGTCTTTTTGTTGAGCCAAATTGCTGAAAATCAGCCACCGTTTAGATTACAGAGCCGGCCCATCGCGGCTTCGCAATGGCAATCTTTTTGCTAGGACCAAATCTTGGGCCCACCCTCGGCCCTGTTCTGGGAGGCGTCATCACTGGGCAGGCATCGTGGCGATGGACGTTTGGAGTCCTCGGTATGTCCTCAACCATCTCAGCAGACACAATCTTGCGGATCCTGACCAATTTCTTCCAGCTATTCTCGTTGGTATCACCTGGACCATGATCATACTGTGCCTTCCTGAGACACTCAGATCTCGAGTCGGCAACGGAAAGCTATATAAAAACAGTAGCTTTCTTCTGCTGCCGCCTCACTTTGCCTCGCCTCTTGCGCCAGAATCAGAACGCGGCCCTCCACCTCCCAAGCCGTCTTTCGCTGCTTTATGGAAACTGTTTTGTTACCTACCCATCAGCATCTCGTCTTTATACACAGCCATATTGTTTGCCAATTACTTCGCCATTGCTGTTGACCTGCCCGTCATATTGACGGATAAATACCAATGGTCAGTCACGGTTGTGGGCGGTGGTTATGTTGCACTGGGTATCGCCATTATCGCCGGCTCTCTGCTCGCAGGCCGTCTCTCTGACTGGCGTCGTGCAAGAAAAGTTCGTGCATCTGGAAATAGCGTGATCGCACCCGAAAGCCGTCTTATGGACCAAGTATGGGGCACATTCATTTGCGCAGCTGGGTCTATCATGTTTGGGTGGTTTGTTGAGAACTCAATTCATCCCGCCGCTGTCATAGTGGCAACCTTTCTAAGTATGAGCCTTGAGAGACACGCGAGCAAAGGTGGTGATATGCTAACTCAACATGTTTAGCTGGGTTCGGAATGTCATCTGTCCTCGTCATTACCTTTGCTTTCTTGACGGAATGCACTCCTCAAGCTGCTGCAGGAGCAATGTCCATTGAGACAATGTTAAGAAACCCTGCTGCGGCCATCGCTGCTGTTGTAACGCCACCTCTCATTGGGCGAATGGGTTTGGGGTGGTACTACACGGGGTTTGCTTTTCTAGACTTGGTGGTATTTGGGGTCGGAGCGATTGGTGAGTTTCTTTGTTGCTTTCTCGATTATTGTAAAAAAGCTGATCAAAGTTGCAAGTGCTCGCGATGTATGGCCCTCGTCTGAGAGCAAGCTCAACGAAGGCAAATTCAAGCGGTGTGGGAACTCCACCACCAGTGAAGAAAGTTGAATCAACAGAGAAGTGAGGGTGATAGGTACCGGGCTAAGCACTTGAGCTTTCTATAAATGATTCATTGTGGTCAAAGCCCCTACTTGATGTGTTTGACGTGAATTTGGTCTTTGTGACAGTATATTACCTTGAAACAAAACCTGAGCATATTGCTTTCACAAGAAATGTTTTCGTGGAAACGCGACCGGAGGTCTGAGTTTATCTTATGGGCATGTCCTCGATGGTGACCTGCACACAACAACCTCTCACACGCTTGTTCAATCATCTCTTCTATGCCGCCTTCCGGCGTCCAGATATGAAAGCTTATGCGAAGGGCCGAATTCAAGTTGCGTAATCTCACAAGCATATATACCTTGAAACAACAAGTACAAATAATTTTTCCTTTATTCACTTTTGGGCATAGAAATTTCTATAATCTTGTACTAGCCCATGGCATTGCGTCGAATCTATTTGCTTAAGTAGGGCTACTTATGTCCCGGGGCAGCATCCATGGACATTCCCATTTTGGGATGATCTGTTCTTCCAGCAGTATACTAGCACTCGTGTTAGTCTCATAACGGCGACAGGAATACATAAACCGTTGTGGTGGGGAGTGGCTTACCCCTCCATCAATAGGCAGAATCGCACCGGTAATCCATCTTGCTTCTTTGCTGGACAAGAACATGATGGCTTTTCATGCTAAGGTCAACTGACTGCTTCAAAGGACGAGTATACAAGGCAGATACACTCACCATTTCCAATGTCCCACGCAGTCCCTTCGTATTTGAGAAACGCCAGGTTTTTGCGCTCCATGCGCATATCTTCGGTCATGCCACGACTACGGGCCATGGGCGTGTAGGCCATTCCCGGACAGACGCAGTTAACACGAATGTTCTCGGGGCCGTGATGACCAGCCATGGCCCGCGTCATCTGCACAATGGCGCCTTTGGCGGTTGGATAGAAGACTGAAGGGCTCCCGGCGGTCAAGCCACATACAGAGCTCATATTGACGATCGAACCTCGTCCGTTCTTGCGCATCTCGGTCACAGCATAGCCCGACATAAGGACCATGCTTGTAACATTATAGTGGAAGTCGTGATTGAATTCTTCGAAGCTCACTTTCTCGACCGTTCCCTGGGCGCCTCCGATACCAACTATGAGGTGCATTCCATGTTAGCATTGAGCTACCGTGACTATCTCGGAACGTACAAGGAGTAGGATATTGGAGGATAATAGGATGTAAAACTTACCAATGTTCACGAGGATGTCTACCTTCCCGAACAACTCGACAGTTCTAGCAACGGCTGCTTTGCAGTCTGCATCCACTGTCACATCGGCTTGAACCACCTCGGCCTTACCACCCTCGTTCTCAATCATTCTTTTGGTTTCCTCAGCTGCATCTAGGTTGCGGTCTACGATGGCTACCTTGGCTCCATGACGAGCAAGTAGCAATGCCGTAGCACTACCGTTGCCAACCTCGCCTTTCATCCGAGAGCCAGCACCCGTTATGATGGCGACTTCGCCTGTGAAGTCGAACGCTTTAGGGGGAGACATAGCGGTAAAGTGAATGGTAGAGAAAAGGGGTTGGGCAATGAGTGTATGCCAATGCACTGGGTGCAGGACCTGGGCCGTATCAGCGTGGAGTCTCTAGAAGAAAAGACTTGGGGTTTTCTGTTGATCGTCTGAAATCTCCGGGGCCCGTGATGATTGCACCATTAACTGTTATGTGGTAACTCTTTTATGTACTGATCTGTCCTTCCTGGGTCGGCGCGTGTTACGGAAGGTTTACGGTTCAAGTGCTTCCGTTTTCGCTCCGTATAATTATCTGACAGCGGATGTGGTAATCACGCTTCAGACGTACAACGCGGGCGAGTCGAGGTGTTACGCCACATAATCTCAGCATGCGCCAAGACTGTAGCACCCTGCAGATAATACGGCGTTTATGAGGCTTGAGCCAAGCAGCCGTGAACTACGAATCGGTTGTCAAGCAATGGCAAGGGGTCCAACGGTCAGAGCATGCACTTATCGTGTACTGCTTCAACAGGCAGGCATCGGGAACGTACCCGGCCATGGGGCTCTTTGCACACTATTTGTGGCGCCATATTATGAGGTGCAGTTCACGCCTTCTAGCCAGCCCGAGCCCGCTAACCCTGGTTTCACGAAGAAACTTATATGCAGTCACAGGGATCAACATGGTTTTCAACGATCTTACCACTAACCGTTCGGGCAAGTGGTAAGAGCACGTATCAAGGGCTATACAGCTCACGCAACGCTACAGACCTGCAGGTTGGCTGACGCTTTCGATCCAAACTGGTGGGTCGTGGCTTTTTTTTTCTTTCCGTCCCTTGCCACTTGACATGTTATCAGTGCGCTAATCCGGCGCAGGAGTCTGGTCACCCAACTTGGCCAGCCACCTGTATGTCCGCGCCTCTCTACCTCCGTATAAGTGATTCAAATAAGATTCCGCATCTATACAGGGTATATTGAAATAAATTCTTTTTCACAGGGCCCTGGAACCCGACGTAATGTCCTTTGCACACCGGTTCTTTCCCATGAGCTCATGTCTATCGGCAAAGCGGGCCGCAACCTATTCCAGACTCACAAGGCTAATTGTTGCCTGTGGCCTACACTTATCACAGGAGACTTCAACGCCAAGTCTTTTTGGGAGCTGAAACCATGGTCTTGCTCAAACAGCAAACGAGGGCGAATATGCATGTAAGGCTTGGCCCGTTGACTCAGCTACACCGAACCCCAACTCATTTACAGATTTAGCGCATCCAAAAGCACTGTAAAGCGAACCAGCTCCATTGCAGAGGGCGTACGAGGTTATTGTCGCGACTGTACAACATGCGACCTGACGACATTGCTCGCATCGTCCGCGGTCGCCTAACTAGTTGCTCAAATCAACTCCCTCGAACGGCTGCACGAAACTGCAAAACCCCAACACAACAGCGGTCAAGCTTACTGTCTCAAGTTCGTTCCGTGTATGGCTTATTGATCAGCAAGATGTAAGATAAGCCTGCACCGTATCTCCGTATGCTTCCTTCACCATAGCGAAGGTAATGAAAGACAGTTACCAGTCAGAAGCGGGTCCTCGTCACGTTTGCTCTAAGAACACCTGCGTTTGACTCGGGGATTGTGCCTCTGTCCCTTCTCGCTCGGCAATTCTAATGGGGCATTGCGAACTCAAGGGAAATATCGTGTGACGGAGCGAAAGACTGAGTCTGATCAGGGCATCGTTAGCTGGTGTGGATCATACAATGAGAGAAAAAAAACCCCCGAAATGTCGTGGGGACCTTTCTGCGAGTGGCTGATGTGACCACCAGCCGGCCCGTACAAGGCTCAAGGGCCCACGCTGGGGGCACAGCGCCCAAAGCCCCGGGCTGCCGGGATAAACACCCCCACTAAACCGTTTGCCTATTCCGTATCGGCTTTCCCTGCAGCAGTGCTGTCACATCCGATCTAGACCGATCTCAGGTGTGGCTCTGCATTGTTGAGATCACTAACACCCCACGTGGGTAATCGGTCTGGTCTCAGTCAGCACCTTCCGGTAACCAATCATGGATGGCTTGGAACTCTAAAGCTGTATGTCCTGATTGAGTGGTCTTGCTTATGCGAGCTATATTCTTGGGAAGGATCCTGATGCCAACATTCTTCATGTACTTATGAGTCCGTATGCCTCCAAGACCATCAGTAGTTCTCCGCGGCGCCGTACATATACTATCCTCGATCAAGAAAAAAATCGTCGTTCTAATTCTTGGCACGGAAGATACCATTCCTACACAACCAAACACGAATTGGCCTGGGACGAACACTAGCTGCTCACATCATCGTGTTTTGAGGTTACGCAAGCCTCGGGCACGTTTCACTGTTTGTTCTACCTTCGGGTTTACTAGCCGGGTAAGGATCTTGGAACACCCATTCCTGTCTCTCCCGCTGTACTTGCTCGGTTGAGAGCATGTATGAGGCGGTTAATATCGGTAAGGCTATGTAGCGCCCTTGCGTAGGATTCAACATGCTTGGATCAGATAGCCCTTGGAAGCATGGGTTTGCATTAGCCTGCAGCTGATGCATGCAGTTGTCTTAAGCTCGCCCGGCTGCGCCGGACGTCCGTTGCCGGAGTCATTCAAGGCCCAGGTCTCGCTTATACGGAGGATCCCAGTCTAGGCTTTTATAATCAAATGTTAAACAGAACATCATACGAAAGTGCGCGCAGGCGACATACGTGACATACTTTCACAGGGCACGTTGGAGCAAAGAAATGGACGAATAACCATGGTATCTTGCGCATTTCGGTTGATATCCCTGGTGAGACAATGTTGCCAAGTCTTGACCTTCTCCTCCAACTAGAATGGAGGGTGGAACAGAACGCCTCTATGGAGACAAGTGATTCTAGTCTTACTAAGCCCTTGCCACGGCACCTTTCGCAATCCAATGCAAATATCATTGGATCTTCATAGCGGATGACGTCTGAATACTATAGCGGATGACGTCTGAATACTAGCCTGAGGGCTCTTGGGAAAAGTGGTCCGGCCTGTCATGCGCATCAGCGGCGTCTTTTCGTCCATCATACCACGAATGGACTTACCGGTGTCATTTTTTCTGGCCAGTTGGCGTCAAGCTGCCAGCTGAAGCGCCGAGCTAATGCGAACAATGCAATCTTCAACTCCAGAACGGCAAATTTCTCGCCCAAACAAGCCCTGTTTCCGCCGTGGAAGCTCACAAACTCAGCCCTGGTCCGTTTCTGGCGATAAAAACGCTGGATTGCGTCCATTGTACTACCCCATCTCTCTGGCCGGAAATCACCGGCATCAGGACCCCAGTAATCCACATCCCGGTGAGTGGAGTAGCAATGGTACCCAAGGTACGTTCCTTTTGGAATATACACACCATCACCCAGTGTAACACCCTCGGATGCGCGCCGGTTGATCAACTGGGAAAGGGGTGGAAGTACACGAAGACTCTCGTACACGACCGAAGCCATGTACGGCATGGATTGGAGAATTTCCAATGTTGGTTCTTGAATGCCGGCGTTATGCACTTCTTCAAATAGTCGTTTTTGAGCCTCTGGATGTCGTGCAAGTAAGTACAAGATTGATATAAGCGCAATTTGTGGGTTTTCCTGGCCAGCAACGTAGAGAACAGTGAGATTGTCACGGAATTGCTTCTCAGTGAACTTCCCTGACTGTCTGGCTGACAAGAGCCTTGCGCCCAGTTTGTCTGACTGACACTCCCAGTCAATGCCCTGGTGTGTTTTGACCAGCCGAGAGGTCAGCTCATCTTTGAAATGAGCTATCATCTTGCGGGCTGCTTTGCGACTTGGAACCGATAATTGATCCAGGAATGGAAAATTCATAAAGATCGGTTTGAAAATGTGCTGTGTCAAAGTGGTTTGAAGCATGTGAATTGTCGCATCGGGGCGGTCGAGAGTCTATAAAATGGAGATTGATTAATCACCGCTAGGCAAGTCGATACATCGGACATGAAAGAGACTTACGTCGAACTCGGTCTGCAGAGCTACCTGGGCTATGTTTGCAATGGTATATCTCTGTATGAAGTCCTTCACAATAATTCCATCTTCTCTTTGCACCGCAGCAGCCTCAACGAGATCGCACAGCGTCTCTGCATTTCGAGCCAGCTTATCGATCTCGAAGTTCCGCTGCAGTCCCGGCTTAATCACATCTCGATAGCCTTTCCAGGTCGTACCATGGCTAGATATGATGTTGTCTCCAAGGAAGTCTGCTAGCACGCTGTGCGGAATCTTCTTTTGGTTGCCGCTTTTTTGATAAGTATCTTCGTGTCTGAACAACTCGGCCAGATATCGTGGCCGATGGACCAAGACATTCCATTGGGCTGCGAAGAAGAGTTTCACAGCACCATGCTCGAGAAGTGGTTCCTCGATATATCGTTTGAATATATCAATTTGATCTACGTCTTTGAACAATGGTATAAGAGTCACCCAGAAAGGGACGGTCGGAATCCCTTCTGGATATTTTGGCGGTTGAAGAAAGACATGAAAAATCAGAGTAAACAGCAATACTGCTGCCAAGAGCAAAGCCTTGATTATCGGCGAAATTTCGTCCATTTCTCTGTTGCTAAGACTTCTTGGGAGAGAAAAAACCAGTCGTGCTGAGGAATAGTTGGATTGCGTTACTATACCACTATCGCCTTTAGTCGGGCCACTCTTCCTAGCTCCTACACTCACTGCTCTAATACAGCCACAGTGTGCAAGGTTCGTATTCCTCCGGGTCAGCGAGAGAAACGTTTCCGTAGGGCCTGTTGACAAAGATTACTCACTCAAAACAAGATACCAATGCACCCGGGCGGAGATTAGGTGAGACATGTTATGCACGCACGGCCTTCCACATGGTCAAACGACAACGCTTTCTTCTACCCTTGGTACCCACAAGAGAGAGTCTTGGCCGGGTATCCTGTAAGCCCGAGCGTGGACATACTGGTAGGAGTCCAGACCCAGGTCTGCCATGCAAGTGGTGAAAATCTCTGCATACGGTAGCACGAACTGCAGCCTTGATCACACACGGAATAAGCCACCTGGGTCCTGGGTACTGACATGATCTGATACTGTCATGACTGATACCACCCATGTAAGCCATGCACATCTGAGCCCACGGTAGTGCGAATCACAGCCGCTGCTCGAACAAATGAGTAGCCATTCAGTCATGGTCATCGAAGCCTGTTGCCCGATCCAGGGCCGTGTCTTCCGCCAACGTCGCCGCTTTAAAAGTTGCCACCGCTGTTCTAACTTCGTCTGACGGATCCTGATCGGAGTAGCATGTACATATCGCAAAGTAAAGTCAAGGGTGTTCCATTGGTTTTATGGACATCTAGCTATAGGTCCTAGTTCAGACCTATCTTACCCCACGGGGGCAACATTCCTGCTCAGCCTAGCCTCGTCGTAGCCACTGAATGAGAACGTATTTACGATTGTGTTCCTAGGATGTCTTTTCCAGCTTATACAAGTGGATCGTCTTTCTAACTCCAACTCACAATTACCAAAACATGCTCAAACCTGCAACCACCGCACTATCCCTACCTTACCTGAGAAAAAAAGAATCTGCTCATCATGGAGCCAAGCAACTTTCATAGATTCTATTGCTCCTTTACAAGAACACGGAATGGTGATATGCTGTCTTGTACCGGTCCCATGCGGACCATGGTTGAAAGCCACTGGGCAGTCATCTCAGCCTCTATGATTTCACAGCCATCACAAGAGCCATCAATTTTTCCCATTTCCACTCAAGCCAAGAGCGACATAAATCAAAGGGAATTGACAGTCAGAAAGTCATGTATCGAGATCACCACAGCCTCGACCATCGGTCTAGATGTGTACGAAATTCAACACAAAGTCAATGAAGATGTATACATTGGCGTCATCTTCGAACACAAACCGTCTTCGAGTACTGATCTTGATGATGTCTTCGCGGCACTACTGCTCGAAAACATGAAACCTTTCATCTCAGCACCTGTGGACCAAATTTACCTCGGAAATGATGATCCCAGAGTCATCGCAACTGCGATAGTCGATCTTTTTGATGAGCGCTTGAGATATGTCAGTGCTGATGATAAATGGGTCAACGGCGGGCGTACATATTTCTTGGAGCGGGTGTACGAATTTGTGCGGCGAGGACAAAGGCTTGAGTTCTGCCTTCCTGCTTTCCCGTGCAAGTCTTCAAGTGTGGACAAGGTGTTTGGAGTCATGCCTGATAGGGGAGAGCAAGCTGCGGTCGAGTACCTGCATTCTTTCATCGAGGAGATTGAGAAGATATATGGTCTAGGTGCCAAGCTCTGGATCATTAGTGACGGACACGTCTTCAGCGACTGCAGTAAGTATTCCCAGTTCACCTTAGAAAATCTTCAGCACACCATTGCTTACACCTTTGAAAGTCGGGGTGGATGACGAGACAGCCGACGCGTATAACACTCAGCTTGCTCGCTTGAATGACATTGTAACCCGCCGTCGCGGAGGTCGTGACCGAATTGGTTTCAAGAGCCTCATCAATTTGTTCAGCTTGGATCACTACGTGGATGAAATCAGCAACCTGCTGAAGCTCCCAGCGCTGCCTCACCAGATCTCAACAAAGCGCACCAAGGTCGCCGACTTCAGTCGTCAGCTCTTGCTCGAAGTCTGCCAGACTGACGCCACTGTGCTGCGCTCCCGCATTGAGCAGGGAAGCGCTAGCGTGTTGAAGTTATACCGCGGCTTCTCGCGCTTTATGCTGGAAGACTTGGACCTCAACCAATATACCAAGCAACTAAGCCGCAGCCGGCGCAAGAAGCTGGCGTCTAAAGTCGCATTTGAAATGATTCAGCGCAATGAGGCGTATTCCAACCTTGTCGAGCTACTTTTCCCACACCACGTAAGGCTTTCTATCCACGCGCACAACAACGCTGGCCCCAAGTTTGGCATTAGGATGTTTGGTACCAACGTCAGGGCGGTCGAGAAGCTCGCATTCGACGGCGCCGAAATGCGCAGTGTCGATCTGCTGCACGTGCCGACTCCATGGCACAACTGCCTTGTGGAGATAGCCGGTTGCGAAACGCTCTTCATGGTCAAGGCCAAGACTGTCAGAGACGCTCTGTCTTCTGGTAAATTCAGCGGCGGTTGGGTGGATGGGAGTCTCGATGGTGTGGCTGGCCATTTCCGTCTAAAAAGCGCCAATTCAAGTAAAACTTTCGACCACAAACCTGGAAAGGCGATTAGAATCACGGAGACGCCTCTGGGGCTAGATACACAGTCCGTTTGTTATCTCGACAATGAGGCCCATTATTACATGACATCGACAACGGATGTTGAGCTGATTACTTCTCGCGCATACTTTGGCGTCGTTTAGATAAGCTAGTGTAGGGAAAGGGGGCAGTTCATTTTCTGATTCTCTGATATTCAATAAGTTTTCATTTCGCGCCATGTAGGAGAATGGAAATCTAAATGTTGTTCCCAAAGAATAGCATCCATTGCTTCCTCCAATCAGGAAGTAAGAACAACGGTATGGATTCCCATCATTGTTCGGAGTTTAACTATTAAATGCGGTATTGTCCAGAGAACTCGCGCATGTGTCAGACTAAGGGAAGGGCGGGGGCGTGGCAGTGCATCTGCGAGTGTTTTCAGCAGTTCCGGGGGAAATTGGTTACAAAGACTACAGGAAATTCCAGGAGACAAAGAACCACTGCTTCTTCATCAATCAAAATAACAAACATATCTTGGAGCCATGCTGCCTGATGGAGTTTGAAACCGTGATATATGTATCAATGCGGATTCAAAATTGAGAGGGTTTCCTAAGTTGGGTGAGCGAATCAATCTTTCCAAGCCAACGGGTCGAAAGTGCGCACGGATCAAACATATGATCCCTCACTAGGAGAGACCCTGCCCCTTGCATGCCCAGCTCTGATTCCACCGTCAGATATTCAATGTGGCTGATCTGACCAATAGAGAAAGGGCCATGGCCTGTGGTATGTAAGCCCCCCAATAAGGTGCGCATTTATGAGCAAGTTTCGTCCGAACCGACATATAAGAAATTCCCAATCTTCTCGCGAGTCGTGCGAGATAAGGTTCCTGCTCCCTTGCAACAAGAATAAGTCTCCACACACGATCTCTGTCCTTGACGCTCTATACCATTTCTCATTCAGGCGGGAACTTAAGAATACGGTTGAGACGCGCCTATTAAGGCTAGCGCGATTCACGATGGCTTCAGGCTTAGTCTCGCGATGGAAACGAGACTCGTCTCTCTACACTTTCATATACACCAATTTCGTGGTTGGCCTTGCCTTTTCGATTTTCAGCACCTACGTACTGTACCAACTCCAAATTACCGGTTATTTCATTGGAACAGATGTTGACGGACTGCCATGCATGACCTATTGCATCGTGCCGTTCGGCAGCCAGCAGCTAGACCTGAATACCGTACTTCTGTACATGAATGCAATGACCTTTGGCATCGGTGGAGCCGTCACCATCTTGATCATTGCCTATGCCGATTTTTGGAGTAAGATTTCTGCTTGAGGACGATACCCGTTTCACACGGAAATGCTAACCCGCGTTTTGCACCAGATCAGAAGACTCTTCTTGTGTCCGGTGCTATTGTCTTGTACGGCGTATTGGCAATACCTAGTTACTGGCTGACAGACCCCACAATCACAAATTTTAACGCTCTGTTCGCTCTTTACGTTGTCTTTGGCGTGGTCACATCGATACTTATCGCCCTGCTCAATATTTACATTCCGCATTGCATGCGTGCTGCGGGCCATGATCTAGCTGCCAACCAATTGGACGAACCGTCGAAACCGAGTCACGCATATGAGTCTCCAAAGGAAGGAAAGGCTCGAAAGTACGGATTCGCCATGACGATATTCGGCATGCTAGCAAATAACATATCTGCCGCCTTGATCTTGGCGATCGTAGCCATCCTGTCTGGCACTCTTGTGGGCGCGTCTCAGCAGTCTGCCGGTCTTCTGGTAACAACAGTGGTGGGGTTTGTCACTGTGGTTGCTGCCGTTGGGTCGTTTCTCGGCTTGCCTGCACTCTCAGCAAAGCCTTGGCCCACAAATAGCCCCTGGACAACAGCAATAGTTGGCATTCTCACTCCTTTCAAGCAGCTTTTACGTCGAAAGAATATGCTCTTCCTGTTGCTGGCTTATACAATCTATTCCGATACCAATTTCGCACTCTCGTCGATTATCAGTCAACTTTATTTCGCGGAGGTCCACCCTGACACCCTCGAGTTCTCTCTGTACATCTTGGCTAGCAACCTTTTCACTGTTATCTGCACGTTGGCTTTCTATCTGGTCCACCGCAAACTCCAATTTAAACTCGAAAAGGGCCTGATTTTGGGCTACGGGTTGATCCTTATTGTGCCTATTTGGGGCTGCGTCGGTATTGCAGATCAAGACAAGTTCGGCGACAAGGTAAGTTGAATTGCTAATTTCTCCGCCTGTCAGAATAGCCAAAGTGGGGAACTATTTGCTCACTCACTGACAGCACCGGTGGGAGTTTTACGTCCAAGCCTTAATCACAAGCGCTTCGGGTTCTTTGGTAAACCCGACATTTCGTCTGTTATATTCTGAGTTGATTCCAGCTGGCGAAGAGGTCATGTGGTTTGGCTTGCAAATCGTTCTGAACTGCGCAACCACTTGGGTGACATATGTCGCAACTGGTCCACTGCAAAATGCTACACATAATCTGCGATTCCCGCTAATCTTATGTGTGGTCTTCCTCGCGGTACCGCCAGCGATGGAAATTTTGCGTCGTACTCTAGGGATCTCAAAACGTGACGATCTCCAATGGCAAGACAGAAACTCCCATGATCAAGATAATGCGAACTCACTGGGCGACACCAAGTTTACAAGGGCGAGCACCACTGTTGAGGGCCAATAGTGTAATGACGTAAAATACGAAATTTTATAGTTTCCGATTCAGGTTGTCGGTCCCTTCGCTTCTTGGTACAGATTGTTGAGTCTTCATGATAGTAATCGATACATCAGATGAGCACTTTGTATCATATTCGTGACTTGCTCTTTTATATCGGACTTGATTAAGTGGAGACACGTCGAATGTCATGATATAGGGTACGGCTAGTGCCTGTACTTGGGCATCCCTCAATGCTTGATAGTCCGCACATCAATGATAAACGTCCGCAGAGAATCCGGGACGCCTATTGTCTACTGTCTACGTCCGTTTGAGTGGCAATGAGGCTCGTGAATCAACTCGGCTCTTTGATCGCCACGAACGAAATTTCCTTTGGTGGTGTTTCTCTCATGTTGGCATGCGATCAGTTCCTACGATACACTGTACTTCGCTTACTTGGCCGGTGGTAGGCGAAGCCAGTAGCACTCGATGCTTTTCTACTGTCCTAAGACGAAACACTTGCAGATCCGGGCGGTGAATTTTGAGCGATTAGCTTGTACGTGCAGCTCAAGGAACAAAACACCGGAATATCTGGCAAATCAGGAGTCCACAGATCAGCATGGGCCATCTTTGGCCAACTGCACTCAAACACTCAAGCTTTCAAGCACTGAACCACTCAAGAACCCTTCTCTCAGGCACATCCGCCAATTAATCAAGACAAGGCCATGGCGTATGGAATACAATTAACTGCGCTGGCTTAGGCACGGGAGGCCAGGGCCAAAGAAAAAGCGTGCCAAATCTTTCTACCTCGGCTGCGGTCTTGAAGTACAGCAGCATGTTGATTCACATTCATGGACGAGCTTCAGCCTTAAAGCTGGCACAAAATCATGCCATCCTAACATCTTCTAAGAGGAAGTTCTTACTAAAGATAGCAAATTTCCAAATATCCACCTCTTGCCTACGGAATTTCGGTTTGCACAAATATCATTCGTTCTGGGTGCAGTTGGCTTCTATAGTACTTTTAAACAAGTAGGGTACTCTATGCAGTATTGATCGACATTGCACTATCATGATTGCCGCGCAACAGGCGAATCAAGTCATATAGGGTAGTACCTCGCCTACTGGATGAATACACATGTCATGCCACTGCTTTGACGCGACGAGCACGAATTACCTATATGATCAAAATGTAAGTAGGTTTCTACGAGATGCCTTATGGTACATGGGCATGTAGGCGTTTCATAGGCTGCCACCATACTCACGAGAGCATGTCCCGTGCGTATTTCAAAATCCCATTTGCATAATGGGCAGGTCGGAGATATAAGTCGGAGCACCCACATATGGGCCCCCCCTGCATTTGGGCCCCCTGTTCACCAACCACCCGATTTTCCTACCATACAACAATTTACCTCACTGTTCAACCAAACCTTCTTCAAATCTCTTCAAA